CCCAACCCCAACCCCAACCCCAACCCCAACCCCAACCCCAACCCCAACCCCAACCCCAACCCCAACCCCAACCCCAACCCCAACCCCAACCCCAACCCCAACCCCAACCCCAACCCCAACCCCAACCCCAACCCCAACCCCAACCCCAACCCCAACCCCAACCCCAACCCCAACCCCAACCCCAACCCCAACCCCAACCCCAACCCCAACCCCAACCCCAACCCCAACCCCAACCCCAACCCCAACCCCAACCCCAACCCCAACCCCAACCCCCCCAACCCCAACCCCAACCCCAACCCCAAATATTTTGTACCTTAATCATACTTTATTTTTATTTTTTAATGTTGATTTAAGTTTTTACAATTTTTAAGCTATTTTAGAAATATCCAAATTTTATTTTATTTTATTTCACTCATATCTGCTCTAAAATGTTTAAATTTTTTTTAGTATATTAATGCAAATTATATGCATTTATTTTATCAAAAAGCGGGAAATTTTTTTTAATTCAAAAATTAATTTAAAAGTTTATTAGCCATAAATAAATAAGCAATTAAAAATTAAAATTTGTAAATTATAATAAAGGTTTTTGTTTAAACATAAATGAATAATTATTTATACGAATAAGATGGAGGAGGAAGCAAAAAGAAATCAACTTTAAGAAATTCTAACATAAATTATAATAACAATTTTATTGAAGAAAGCAATTCAAAAAAGAGAATTAGCTGGGGCGGAATACACACAAGATGGTTTAATGAGTAACTCATTTCCATATTTAAATATTTATTAATTTAGCAAATTATAGATAGGCAAATTAAAACTGGGATGTTTCTCCTCAGAGTTTGAGAAGCGGCAGTGACAAAAGTAGAAGTATTGATTAAAGTAATTTGACAGATGAAAAAAATAAAGATTCACTATAATCAGCTTAGAATATAAATAAAGCAGCGATTTAACAAAATCCTAAAGAAGATAAATAATTTAAGACAGTCGATAGGCTTAGCATATATTTTAAAAACGAAAATGATTCTTTTTATGATGAATCTATGTTATTGCCGAGCAGGATAAGCTTCAATAACTAAGAAAATGTATTTAAAAGAATTTCAAATGATCATTAACACATTGAAGGCATCTAAAAAAGGCTTTCTTCACCAGCAAACTATTTTAAAAATAAGACAAATTATCAGGAGGAAGATGTTTAGTTAAATAATGATAGTGATTCGAATCTTTTAGAAAATCTTGATAGAATGAGTAGACTATCAGGACTATTTAATGATAGCAGCGATGGTAGATAAAATGATAATAGTGAGATTCTGTAACCAATTTAGGAGATATAAAATTAAATTAGTAATTAAAATACAGACTAGCTATTTAATACTGCTTATTCAAATTAGTAATTTGCCAAAAATAGTAATAATAATAATTAAATAAATAACAAAGATACTATCAATTTTCTAAACGATCAAATTTAGATATAATTTTAAAATTCAAAAAAAATAGACTCATCTAATATAAACACAATTTAAAATCATAATTAAATTAATCAATAAACAAATTACAATTAAAATTCAAATTAACCAAAAATTTAGGAATCCAACTCAAACTAAAATTAAGGGAATCTTTTAAATATTTAAAAAAATGATATCAATTAAAATCTATTTTAAAATGTTCATCAACTAGAAAAAAATTAGATTACTTTTAAATAAATTGACAATTAAACTAATAATTAAGCAGATAATTCTAAATAAGATTTCAAAAGGCTTAGTGAATTTTTTTTGTAGGATTTAGGGAAAACGGAAACTAAGAAAAACCAAGATGCAGAAGAGAAAAAACTTGAAAGTTAAAAAAACAATAAATAGGATAAAATGATTTTTGATAATTAATTTTCATAAATTAATGTAGACTCACTAGATTCATCAAAAAGGAATTTTCCTTTCTCCATAGGATTTGCAAATGATGCTTTCAATGAAAGTAAAAATTCAGGTAATGATAGCTCATCTTACTTGCTTGAGTACTTAGACAAAGTTAATAGATTGTCAGAAGTAAACCCTCCTAAATAAGATAAAATAGATGAAAAAAATTAATATAAATAAACTGCATAGATTACTCCTTCTCCTCTTGTTAACGATTTAAAGAATTTGAGTTTCGACTTAGAAGATGATGAAAATTTTAGCAGACACGTAAATAGCTAGGTTAAAATAGCACGTGAGAAGAAAGTCAAAATAAGAGAAGGAATATAAGAAATTAAATCAGGAAATTTATTTGGAGATGAACCAGTTGAATAAATTAGCAACAATAACAATAAAAATATCAACTAATAAAAACCTAAAAGTATTTTAAGTAGCTCTAATAGTATCTTAAATGATTAAGGAACTATTTAATCACAAAAAAATTAAGTTAAACTATAATTGAGTAAAATGATTAATAGTGAAAATATCAATTTAAAAGATCAAGTTTCTCCAAAAAAGATGTCTATATCTAAGTCTATAATTCCAAATTCATCTGTTTAAAAGGAGATAAAAAGAATATCAATAATTCCTAAAGATTCAAAAGAAATCTTACAGAAAAATACAATAAATTAATAATTTTAGTAAAGTAACAAAGTAAATGCTGAAAAAAATAGTAAAGAGAAATAAATTTTAAATAGTATATCATTATAATCTGAAAATAAAGAAAATTTCAATCAATCCAATTAATAGGGTTAAGAATTGAGTAATTTTGAAGCAATTAAAAGCACGCCTATGAAGAAAAAGCATTTTAATGATAAAGACGAGGTTTAGACAGATAATACAGACGACTTAGAGTAAGAAGTAGGGTAATTGGAAAATTTAGTTGTCAGAATGCCTTTAAATTCTTATGAAAAAAAAGTTATTTTAAATTTTTTAACTCCAGGTAAAAAGAGTAAAAATTTGTAATAATTCAGAGAGTCTATTCTAGCAAATAACAATCATAAATAATTAGATGCTAAAATTTAAGACGAAAATGGATAAAATTAAAGATAAAACGCCCTAAGTCATAATCAAATTTTAAACAGCATAAAAAAATCAGAGGAACTTTTGGAGCAACTATGTGATTCGTATTAATTAAAAATCAAGAGCTTAGAAGAAAAAGTGGAGAATACAACAAATTAAAACATTGCTTTGGATAACATTTTGAGATAAAAATAGGAATAAATTGAAAAGGAAGAATTGGAACTCTAAAAAATAGAAGATTAAATTAATGAAAAAAGAAAAAATTTGGAACTTCCATAATAACCTGAAGAATAAAATGAGAAAGAGATCGATCATAGAGTTATTTAAAAAGAAAACAAAATTTATAATATTTATTTTAATTAATATTGGTAAACTTACTAGATAATGATTAATTATTTTGGTTTTGAATACTTGGGTAAAGTTAGAGACAAAAATAACAAAGGAGATATGATTGCATTTAGATTTTTAAATAAATATTTATGTTCTTTGCAAATAGTTAAGTAAAGAAAGGATGATAAGATTTTATTGGTTTTTGTAAAAGGGTTAGTCTATTCAATTTTTAATTCGTAAGAAAACACTCTTATGAATACTCAGGAATAGTCTAGCATAGCAGAGACAGAAAAGCAATTTAGTTCTTACACAGAACTGTTGTCTACTTCAAATATTGCTAAAATCACAGAGAATACTTTGAATACAAAATTTAAAAATTATATCAGTCAGAATGGGAATATTATAGAAATATTGCAGTTTATTGGCAACAAATTAGCTGAACTGGAAGAATTTTATAAATAATTAAAAATAATTTCAACTATTTATTCACTTAGTAATTACACTTATAATCTTTCCACTAAACTAATTTCATTTACACTTAAGTTAACTCAATTTCCTTCCAAGTTTGTTAAATTTATAATTTCTCCAGAATAATGGTTTAACGAAATATAAATTTAAGTTATAAATCTCCCAATACCAGGATTAGATAATTTAAACGAAAAATTATGTGAAGAAGTTGATAAATCTATAAATACTTAGTTTAATAGTAAGATTAACTCACAATCTTGCTACTAAAAATTAAGATAGATTATTGAAGCGATCAATGTTAAAAATGCTATCGAATAATCTAATAACGAAAGTAATACATCTGCAAGATTAAGCACATCAACTAATTTATAAAATACATCTAAAGATTAAGAATGATGATAATTTATATTTATATTAATTTAATATATATTTAATTGTAAATATTTCGTGTTTTAACTAAAAATAATAAAAATAGTTTTGTATTGGGATAATATTAATTTTCTTTAAATTACGAGTTAATTGATGAAAACTCAGTAAAATCATTTTGTTAAAATAAAAAAATTATTATTTTAATTCAATTTTATACTCTTATTACTAAAATAAGTTAAATAATTAATTCATTAATCAATGAGATAGTTTATAATTTAATAGTGATATTACAAGTAGAGTTAAAAGTAGAACATTATTTTTTAGCGAATTAATTCCTAATGAGTTAAGAATTAGATGTGAGTAAAGCAGAGTCAAGTGACATTTCTATGGAGCTAGATGTCATTTTCCAAAAGAAAATGTAAGAAAAGGAAGAATTAGAAAAAAGATAAATTGAAGAGATTAAAGAAATCCAAAAAGACATTGATTAATAACAGATTCTTAAAGAAATTGACAAAATCCACATCTCTTATGAGCAGATACATATTTTTCATTTGAAACAAAAGGGACTGTATAACGAAGAAGAGGAAGAGATTAAAAAAAAATAAAAATTTCAAAGTATAAAAGACATAAAGGTCTCTGACGTAAATGAGCTGCCTATTGAATTGAATATTTTAGACTAAATGAAAGAACTATTTTAAGATTAAGTATTAAGAGATTGGGAAAATAAGTAGCAATATGATAAATTTAAGAAAGTTTGCATGCAACCTGCTGCTTTAAAATTAAATTAATGGATATTTTGGATGATTCTTACTATTAAATATCCTAACACCTCCTCCAACCCTAAAGTAAACTCATTCAAATATTAAAGCTTTTTAAGTAAAAAACCCCTCTACTTAGCTGTTATCATTTAAATAATAAATAGGTTTTAGAAGGAATTAAAGATTATATTAGTCAAGAATACACCTTGCTAAATACTCTCATCCCTAAGCCTAAAGAAGAGTTTTTAAATCCAATAATCTTTATTATGACCTACAACTGCCATAAGATGATGTTCGAAATATTTTTTCAAGATCGAAAATAATTTAATATGAGATTGATTTTAGATTGCTACCACCTTGTCATATTTGAAATAAATGGAGTTCTTACTACAGATTTTTACATTTAACAAACGATAGATAAATATTTTTCTTCTAAATTTCTTGATTATGAAAAAGCTACAAAATTTACAGAAATTTAGAAAAAAAAGAAAATGTTAGAAAGGGGAAGAGACTTTCTAGGGCATTTTTTAGAAAAACCAGAACCTAAAACAGCTGATGAAATTAATTTTTATCAAAACATTAAAAGAATATTATCGGTTGGCAAAAAGAAAGAATCAAATAAATATGGAGGTAGATTATAGATGATAAGAAATATTAGCAGCAATAGCTCAAATAATTCTAGCTTAATGGAATCAGAATCATCGCTAAAGCGTAACAGAAAAAGTTCATTCTTAGCTGGAAAATAAAATTAACGTGGTTCAATTTAATCAAACAATTCTCCTTCAATTAATAACATAAATGGTAATTAACAGTAAACAAACTTCTAGCCTCTATTAGATATAATGAAATAAAGAAAAAAAGATAAAAACTTTAGATACCAAAAGGGGGATGATATTTATGAAAACATAAGTCCCTCTTTGAGAGTTAAAAATTCAGGTAGAGACATTGCTTATGCTCGTCTTAGATTTAATATAAATCATGTAAATATTTTAAATAAAATGTGAAAAAATTTAAACAAAAATCATTGATTAATAATTGAAGGTTTCTCCAGCAATATCAAAATAACTAGAGTTAAAGGATTGCTCCTTGTAGGATACTAGAAAGCAAGTTATTTTTCATCCAATAGATAGATTTGTTAAATCAAAAGACTATATTTAAGAAATAGAGAAGATGAAACAAGAGTCTATTGCTAGGCAAAAGCAAATTGATATTAAAGTTAGGGAGCAATTTAACATGCAACTTATAAATAGTGAATAAATGAAACTTAAAGTCCTCAAAGGAAACCAAGATATGCCCTCAATGGATGTAATATCTTCACACTCCGATTTATCTTCAGATAGGTAAGCATTAAAATATATAAATTATCTATGTAAATCATATTTTTAATTAAAAATAAAGTTCACTTTAATTTGCAAGAGAAATAATCAAACTTAAATTAGCGCCCAAAAAAAAAGATGATGAACTGCAAGCATAAACTTATCGTCATAGAGCTTAATTTGAGCAAGTTAAGTAGATAAATCAGCTTTTAGATGAAAAAGGAGCTAAACTAGCTGATCTTCCCTCTACACTACAGTTTACTCAAAAAGTAAAATTTATTTTTTATAGAAAATGTTTTCAAAAGATTCTATTTCTCAGAAAAGCGCTGAAGAATAAGAAGAAGAGGATGATTAAAGATAAAAAATATTAAATATACTAAACTAAAAAAATATTTATTTTTAAAAATAAAATTCTTTGATACAAAAAGAATATAACTGGCTGAATACGAAGCTTTAAAAAAATGTTACTTCTAACAACACAATTACAAGTTAAAATCAAATATCTTAACACTCGTTACATCTTTAAATTAACTCAAACAAAGACTTAAATCAAAATAATTAACAAACTCAATCATCTTAATAGAAATTATAGAATGTCAAATCAATAAAAGTAACATTTGATGTAGGTAATAAATCTCAAGCTTCATCAATGAAACAAATTCCTAAATCAAATGAAAATAGTCCAAATATTAGTAATTAAAAATCACAATTCAACTTCTTTCCTAATTAACTTAACTAATCTATAAAATCTGGTAATAATGCATAATTAGGTGATTTAAACATTAAAAATTCTTCATAATTTGGTATAAAGCTAATAAATAATAAAATATAATCTAAATACTAGCATGCAGATGACCACTTTTAAAACTATCAACATTAAAAAATTAAATTTATTCTAGAAGAAAAATAGAAAGTTGATTCATCTGTTTAATTTTTAGTACTTGAATAAGAGGAAGATTTAATTAATGGCCTTAATAAAGCCAAGCGTTTTTCTTCTTTTTCACCTCGAAACGCTTAGTAGCCATAGATTAAGATAGTTAAATCAAAAGAATACAGAGATAAATATCATAACATGAGCGATTTAATTAGCAATTTAGAAGACTAATAATTACTTAAAGAAAAAAATCGTTTTGCTATCCAGCAAATTTGAAATTAATTTTTATTTTAAGTAATTTATCAAAATAAATTTTTATATTTAAATAAATTTGAGCTTATTTAACTTTATTTTATATAAATTTATTGAATATTTAAAAAATTTAATAACATACATATATAAAAAATATATGAATAATACACTATAAATTATTTTTTTATAAAAAATTTAAAAATAATTTTTTTGTTCTGGACTTGTTCTCTAATATCTTCTTTCTCACAATTTTTTCTTTTTTATAACTTTTTTGTCAACGAAGATGGTATATATATTTAAAATTATTAATTTAATGTCAATATATCTCAAGCTTTTTCTATTAGTTTAATAGCAACAAAACATATGACAAAAAGACAGAATTATAAAGCTATTATTATTTCAATACAGCTAACATAACTCTCTATCCATTAAAGTTCACTTTTCAAAGGACTTTCAAGTAAGCAACTCCACCCAATGCTATTAAGGTATCTTGATAAATAATTATAATAGTAGTAATTATAAACTGTCATAAATATTATGATAAACAATCCATAATTAAGTAATGCCTAAACAGCATATATATCTTTAAAGTTATTATCTAGACAGAGGATAGTAAGAAAAATGAAAAAAATTAATTATGTTAAAATATAAATTAATATATGAAAATCTTCTTTTTATGAACTAAATTCTTCATAGTTTAAACTGCAAAAAGGAGTATAAGGTATTTGATTTTCTAATTAAAGAGAATATTGAGCTAATTCTAATTGATATTGTTCACATAAAAGTGTATATTAATCAAATTTACATAAGCTAACTGAGTCAAATATAAGATCAGTTTTTCTCAATCCTTTTAATTCATCTTTTTAAAGAAATAATCCTACTAAAGGAGTAGAATTATTATCATTTCTTTTGATAAAAAAATTATAATTATCGTTATTTTCAATTGCTATTTTTTCATAATTTTCAATTTGGTTTTCTTTAGAAAATTTAATATCAGAGATAGGACATTTTTATGTTTTTTGATTAAGCTAGAAAGATAAGCCATTATATTAGCAATCATAGCTAGAAAAATTCTTCTATTATTATTATTGTTGATTAAGATAAACAAAATTCATAAAATAATCAATTTTATAGCAAACTTTGATTATATGTGTTTTCTAAAATTAATCTTAAAGAGGAATAAGTGAATTTTCAGGTATACTATCACCATAATTATAATTTAGAAGATTTTCATCATAATTACAGCTCATTTAATCATAAATTATTCTCACATCTTAAATATATCTTTTTTAAATATTTTTGGTAATAAATTTATTTATCTTAAAAAATTCTTAAGGTCTCTTTATTAATAAAAGATACCCATTTAAAATTATGTTCATAATTATAAAGATACCTAAAATTATGCTTAAATAAATTAATAATTATTATTTATCTTTATTAGATAACATTTTCACTTTAATTATTCTTTTTTAATATTTAATAAGTATAAACTAATTTTTTGGCAAAACAAATTTTAAAAAATATTTATGAGATCAAATAAACGCTTTCTATTTTTTTTCTGATCATATTAAAGAGATCAAATTAACACTTTCTATTTGATATTAGATATAATATAGCAATATGCCATTCAAAAATTTCGTCGTTTGGAAACGACTAGATAAGTGAATGGCATTTATTATTTTACATTTAAATTGATTTAATTGGCTTCTTAGCTGAGTTAAGCTAAGTAGAAAGAAGAAAAGTTCACAAAGTAATTAAATTTTATTATATAAAAATATATAATAGAAAATTACAAAACTGCCCCACGGGGCATACTTTAAATTTTTTAGATTGGGTCTGGGGCCGGCCAATTGAAATTTAACTTGTTATATTTTTACTAATAGAAACAAATTGTAAAAGGCTAATACACAGTGCATGCATATACAACTATCAGAGTTGTATGTGATAATATATATATAGAGAGATAATTAAGTGAAAAAAAATAGGGTTAGACTCAAATTCTTTATAAGCTATTTAAGTATTTTTAACAATTTCTTTAAAAAATTCAAATTTAATGAAATCAAGTAAATGTAGCTGAATATCAATAAAGAGCAAGCTTTTTTTTTAATTAATGGCAACAAAATGTGCTACCAAAAAACAGAATTATATAGGTATTATTATTTCAAAATAGCTAAGATAACCATCTATCCATTAAAGATCACTTTTCAAAGGACTTTCAAGTAAGCAATTCCACCCACATCTTGATATATTATTATAACTGTAGTAATTACAAACTATGATAAGTATTACACTAAAAAATCCTACTTCATTAATTTCAAGCCAAACAAAAATAGTAAAAAAAGTGAAACAATAAATAATAAAAAGTAATCCAAAATTTAATTCTTCAGAATAAAAACTGCATAAAGGAGTAAAATGTATTTGATTTTATAATTAAAGAGAATATTGAGCTAATTCCAATTGATTTTATTCACATAAAAGTGAATATTAATCAAATTTACATAAGCTAACTGAGTCAAATGTAAGACCAGTTTTTCTCAATCCATAAAATTCATCTTTTTAAAGAAATAATCCTACTAAAGGAGTAGAATTACTATCACCTCTTTTAATAAAAAAGTTATAATTATCGCTATTTTCAATTGGTATTTTTTCATAATTTTCAATTTAGTTTTCTTTAGAAAATTTAATATCAGAGATAGGGCATTTTTAGGTTTTTTGATTAAGCTAAAAAGACAAGCCATTATATTAGCAATCGTAGCTAGAAACATTCTTATATTGTTATTATTGTTGATTTAGATATAAAAAATTCATAAAATAATTGATTTTATAGCAAACTTTGATTAAATGTATTTTCTAAAATTAATCTTGATGAGGTATATGTGAAATTTCAACTGTATTAATGGGGGGGGGGTCACAGCAGGGACCCATTCATTTTGAATGAAAAATTTCCATTCAAAAATGAATGAGATTTTTTGTTTTTTTTATTTCCATTCATTTTTGAATGAAAATTTTCCATTGAAAAATGAATGGGTCCCTGCTGTGACCCCCCCCCCCCCGTATTAATTTTATCAACACCATAATTATAATTTAGAATATTTTCATCATAATTACAGCTCATTTAATCATAAATTATTCTCACATCTTAAATATATCTTTTTTAAAGATTTTTCCTAATATATTATGATTTACTTTCCATATTAGTTTATATCAATTTAAACCAAAAATACCCACTTAAAAGTATGTATATAATTATAAAGATACCTTTAAATATTTTTGAATAAGTTGATAATCTTTATTTAGCTTTCTTAGATAACATTTTTACTTTAATTATTCTTTTTTAATATTTAATAAGTATAAACAAATTTTTTGGCAAAACAATTTTAAAAAATATTTATGAGATCAAATAAACACTTTCAATTTTTTTTTCTGATCATATTTTAAAGTGATAAAATTAACACTTCCTATTGATATTAGATATAATAATAAAAGAATTTTTCTCTAATACCCTATTTCTTCATATATTAAAATTTTCATCAATCTTTAAAAAAACTCCATAATCAAAAATATCAATCAATCTCAAATCTATCTAGAATTTAAAACTTATTATAAAAAATTATTAAATAAAATTATTTTTTATTTGTATAGTATTTTATTATTAGATATTTATAATTAATTCATGCACTGAGGCACATATTCAGTAACACAATTTTTTAAAAAGTTATTTTTAGTGTATCTTTATTCCCTAATTATTCAGTATCATTATATCTCTCTTATCTATCAATCGATCAATAATTTACTAATTATTCATTATTATAAAACAGAATTTATCAGACTATTTTATAAAACTTAAAAAATACTTTGAGTCAGTATAATATTTTCTAATGTTAAAAAAAATTGCACTATCATCTAAATTTGAAAAAAATCACTAAATATAATAAAATTAGTTAAATTTGAAAGAATGAAGTTGTAACAGATCAAAATTATTTTTAAAAAATAATTAGTTTTTAAAATAGCTCCATCTCTAGCAAAATATTTGACTCTATTTTGAATTTAGGATAAGTAATATTAAATTTTAGAGAACTGTTAAACCATCTATAACAAAAAATAATCTTAATGTTGAAATTAAATAAAAAAATTAATTTTAAGTAAAAAGAAAAATTATTTCCTTGATAATTTTAAAAATTTTATATGATAAAACCTAATAACTAAAGCTTAAAGAGTAATAATGTTCATTAATTATTAATGAAAGTTTTATTTTATCATTAAGATCATATAAATTAAAGAATATTAAATAAATAAATAGGAGAGAAGTAGAGCTTTAGTAATTAGTATTAGTTAATATATATTGAAATAAATAAGCATGTGATGCTACAAAGTGGACTTTTAAATATTTTATAATATTTTACAAATAATATTATAAATAATTATATTTAATAATTAAAATACATATGAAAAATATGGAACTAAAAATTTAATATTGAAATCCAAATAAGACACAGATAGAATTTATGGTGGTTTACCATTAGTTAATAATGAATGGCTCATTTTATACTAAGTACTAATTATTAATATTAATAATCTAATTATTACTCAAATCTGATATAAAATTAAAACAATTCTTATGATTTTTAACCTCATAATTAGTAATTATTAAATAAAAAACAGAAAAAGACATTTTAATTTTAATTTTATTTAAAAAAATGTATAAAACAAAAAAAATTTATGTTTAAACAAAAATAATAATATATTATAATTATTATGATATTAATCATTTTTAAATATTTATTCCTTTTAATCAACCTTCTAATATCTCCTTATACGCAATTTTTTCTTTTTTATAACTTTTTTCTTATTTGTCAACGAAGATGGTATATATATTTAAAATTATTTATTTAATTTTAATATATCTCAAGCTTTTTTTATAAGTTTAATAGCAACAAAACATGCTACTAAAAAACAAAATGAAAAAGCTATTTTAATTTCAAAATAGCTAACATAACTATCTATCCATTAAAGTTCACTTTTCAAAGGACTTTCAAGTAAGCAACTCCACCCAATGCTATTAAGGCAACTTGATAAAGTATTATAAGCGCAGTATTCATGAATTATCATATATATTATGCTAGCAAATCCAAAAGGATATTAATCTTTCCAATCTAATGCAAAAATTTATATAGGAGATAAAAAACAAAAAACAAGCCCTATAAAAGCTATAGCTACGAAATAATTACTATTTTAATTAAACTCTTCATAATTAAAACTGCAAAAAGGAGTATAAGGTATTTGATTTTCTAATTAAAGAGAATATTGAGCTAATTCTAATTGATTTTGTTCACATAAAAGTGTATATTAATCAAATTTACATAAGCTAACTGAGTCAAATGTAAGATCAGTTTTTCTCAATCCATAAAATTCATCTTTTTAAAGAAATAATCCTACTAAAGGAGTAGAATTACTATCATTTCTTTTTATAAAAAAGCTAAAATTATCTTTAAATTCAATTGGCATTTTTTCATAATTTTCAATGTTTTTTTCTTTTGAAAATTTAATATCAGAGATAGGGCATTTTTATGTTTTTTGATTAAGCTAAAAAGATAAACCATTATATTAGCAATCGTAGCTAGAAATATTCTTCTATTATTATTATTATTATTATTATTATTGCTGATTTAGATAAACAAAATTCATAAAATAATCAATTTTATAGCAAACTTTGATTATATGTATTTTCTCAAATTAATCTTATAGAGGTATAAGTGAATTTCCAGCTATATTAATTTAATCCTCTTAATCCTTATTATAAATGGTTATTTTATATTCATTTAGAAGAGTTTCATCATAATTACAGCTCATTTAATCTTAAATTATTCTTATATCTTAAATGTATCTTTTTTCAAGATTTTTGCTAAAAAATCTATATTTGCTTTCAAAGGATAAAATAGATTTTTTTATGAAAATGAGATGTACATATTAAATTACGAACATAATTATAAAGATACCAAAAGAAATCTTTAAATAAATTAATAATCTTTATTTTACTTTATCAGATAACATTTTTACTTTAATTATTCTTTTTTAATATAAAATAAGTATAAACAAATTTTTAGGCAAAACAATTTAAAAAAATATTTATGAGATTAAATAAATATTATCTATTTTTTTTTCTGATCATATTTTAAAGAGATCAAATTAACACTTTTTATTTTATATTAGATATATAGTAAAAGAAATTTTCTCTAATTACCCTATTTCTTCATAAATAAACATTTTCATTAATGCTTTAAACAAGATATAATAAAAAATATCAATCTATCAAATTTACCAATAACATAAAACTAATCATAAAATAATTTTTTATTTATAATGTTTTATATTATTAAATCTTTATAATTCATACACTTAGGTAATTATATAGCAACACAATTTTTAAAAAGTTATTTTTAGTATCTTTATTCCTTTATTATTCGTTATCACTAGATCTTTCTGACATATCAATCAATAAGTTATTAATTTTTCATGCATTTTTTATTTTTATACAACAAAATAAATTTAATTGACAGACTATTTTGTAAAGCTTAAAAAATATTTTTTTCAGCATAATATTTTCTAAAATTAAAAAAAAATTATACTATCTAAATTTGAAAAAAGTAAATCATTACATATTAAAAAATTAGTTAAGATGCAAATGGATGAAGTTGTAGCAGATCAAAGTTGATTAAAAAAAATACTAAATAATTGAAATTGCTCCATCTCTCTCAACAAATTTGACTTTATTAAGAATTAAGGATATTTTAAAGTGTAGAGAACTGTTAAATCGTCTATAACTAAAACAAATCTTCATGTTGAAACTATGCAGATTATAAAATAAAAAATTTTATTTTAAGTATATTATAGAAAAAGTATTTTATTGGTAATTTAAAAAATTTTATAAAATTTATAGCATTTAAACGGTAAAATCTAATAAGTAAAGCTTCAGTAGTAATGTTGATTGATTATCAGAGTTTTGTTTTAATCATTAAGATAAATGATATAAGTTAAAGAAAATTATATAATTGAATAGGAGAGAAGAAGAGCTTTAGAAAAGTTTCATCATAACTAACTACTGCTTATTTAATCATAAATTATTCTCACATCTTAAATATATCTTTTTCAATATTTTTGCTAATAAATTGATTTATTTATTTTTAAAAATTGACTAGACTTAATTTCAAATGTAAGATACCAAAAACTATCTTTTAATAATCCTCAATTAACTTTATTAGATAATGTTTTTACTTTAATTATTCTATTTTAATAGTTAATAAGTATAAACATATTTTTTGGCAAAAGAATTTTTTTAAATATTTATGAGATCAAATAAACACTTTCTATTTTAGTATAGATAAATTATTAATAATATCAAATTAACCCTTTCTATTTGATATTAGACATAATAGTAAAATAATTTTTTTGTAATTACCCTATTTCTTCATATAAAAAAACTTTCATCAATGGTTAAAAAAACTCCAAAATCAAAATTAAATTTTTTCCCCCCTACAAAATATCAATTTCTCATGTTCGAAAAAAAGAGAAAGAACGGTAATTCTATTATAGAGAAAAACCTTGTAATAATTCAAAAGAAAAAAAAAGAGAAAAAAAAGATGAAAATAAATTTAAATTATACCCAAAAAAGAAAAAAAGGAAGGGTATTTATATGAAAACAATGGATGGGGAGTTAAACAACGTAGAGGTTATTAATAAAATAGGGACTATGTTCGAATATAATTTCAGAACCACTAAAATCTTTTATTAACTGTGATAATGAGGAAGATTATGACAAAGAATTTTATGAATTATTGAATTAAATATTACTAATATATTGGAGGAAGAAATTAAAATAGAAAAAGAAAGATTAAAAAAGACTGCTATAGATATAATCGAAAATTTTACCAAAGAAAGGAGAATAGACTACAAAGACTTGAAAAGGTAAATAGAGTATTATTATTTTTAAGATATTGAAGATTAAATAATTAAATGGTTTATAGATAAAAGTTAAAATAGAAGGTGTTTTAGTGATAATTCTGATTTAAAATTTTAATAAAAAAGAAGTTAAAGACTAGAGAATAATAAGAAAAATAAAAAAGACCATCACATTGAGAGATGAAATAAAATAAATCCCCATGATGCTTATATATAATATATATAAAAAAATAATAAATTGTAAAACTACTTTATGTTTTATATTTGTGAAAGAAATAAATAAGTAATATAATAAATATATTTTCATATTTAAAGATATATATTAAATTAACTATTATTATTTAAGATAATTGATTATGCTTATGCATTACATATAAATGTGAAATTTGGGTTATATACTATTAATAATTATTAAATATTTTTATTAACACAGTTGGTTATACACTTTAGTTTAAAGAGAATTTTTATTTAAGAATGAAAATTTTTTTCAAAAGTTTATTTTTTCATCCTCTTAAACATGCTTACCCACTTTACCTACTTAAAATCTTCTTCTTTAAGTTCATCATAAAAATTTTCTCTAAATTAAATTCTCAATTAATATACAATTATAATTGAAAAATAAAAAAATTACTCGACTTACAATTTCTTATCTACAATAAAAATATATTTATTAATTATTTCATCTAAATTTTTATTTGAAAATTCTTCTTTAATCTTCTAAAAATCTAAATTTCTTTATTATTTAAGTTTAAATTATTAATTAAATAATTGTTTTAAATATTTTTCATGATGTAAACTATTAATATAATTGTTTTTCTCATTATACTATTTATTAAGCTACATATTAGCTTTGTCTTATTCAATCGTCACTAAAGCATAAATAAAATCTTTTAAATAAGGTCTATTGTTCTATAATAAATTATCATTTAAATATAGTTTAAATAAAATTTAATATACATATTTAAGTGTTGATAGTAATACAGAATGAAATAAATGCCTCTACCCCATTATTACTAGTTTCAAAATAATCCATAAGATGCCTTTTTCTGTAATAGTTAATCATTTACAGATTAAAATTTGATTCTTTTAACCAATTCTTTTATAGTAAGCTAATAAATCTTATTCCATAGTTTATTAAAACTAATCTTTGATGACATGAAATAATTTTTCAAGACTCTCAAGTGGGAGAAAACTGAGCTGTAAAAGCTATGATATTAGTTAAAAAGTACTGTTAAGCTTTTAAATTTTTGAGTCCTTTAATTGCAGCTCTTCTCCGTAGATTTTAAGATAGATGATAGAGAGAGACAACCAAAGATATAGCAGTTTGGAAACTCTAGCTTAAGAGAATTATAAGGCGTCTTTTCTTTTTTTTTAAAATAATGAAAAGTAGAATAAATTTAAAAATAAAAAATAATACCAAAATCACAGGTAAAAATGCGTATTTATCAATCTACTTTAAGTAACTATTTAATTTTAATTTTACACTCTGCTCTAGCACTCTAATATAATTTTTATGACTATCCAGTCATTAGAATATGATAAACAGGTATGTATAAATTTGTTTATTTATTTATCTATTTATCTTTTATTAAAAATATAAGGAGTTAATTCCATCCTTTTGGCACTTTGTAATTACCATCTAAGAAAAATTAGTTATGGTTATTATCTATCATTCTTCTTAGTTAGAATTTGGATGCAAAGTATATTTTTCTGCCAAGTTGCTTATACTAATAAACAAAAAATGAGTTAGTTACCTTTAGTCTGTCTGTCTGTCTGTCTGTCTGTCTGTCTGTCTGTCTGTCTGTCTGTCTGTCTGTCTGTCTGTCTGTTCTAAATCTACTTTTTTAAGATTATTGTTTTATCTTGTATTTTCTGTTGTTTTAATAATTTCATGTTTATTTGGATCTATCAATATAGTATTCTTATTTGTAATAAGTTAATTATATATAAATTATGGAGAAAGATTCGGTAAATTAATTGCAATATTTATAGCAAGATTTTTTAATTTTGATGGAGTAATCTACGAGAGATTAGATAAGTAGCTGTTTATATAATTTCAAGTAAGGTATTACTTAGTATTTAAAAGATTTTATTTTAATTCTTAAATCAGTCTCCATTTTACTTTTCTTTTATCTTAAATCTAAAGATATGATAAATTATTACTTGTATAATAAATTATAAGAAATTTTTTTAATTTAAAATTTTCAATTTTCAAATTAGAAATTATGATTTAATAAATAAATTATGAAAAGATAACCAAATAGATTATTAATAAAAAATTAAATTATACATAATGGAATAAATTATCAATATATAAATAACAAATTTAAAGTATACCTACTATTAGTTTTATGAATTATTTTTATAATAAATAAAATTGCATGACAAAAAGCATGAGCGATATTCCAAAACTAAACAAAAAAAGAAAGTAATAATTACAAGTTTATAATAATCACGGTAACCAAATTGTAAAATTACTACAAAATGAGAAAGAAAAAATTCAAGAATCCATCAACAAAAACAATAACTCTAAAAGGTATTTTATAAATATTAAATGATAATTCAACAAACTTTTACTCATCCATATTAATATATTCATCATTTATACTTTTTAAAAATTTAACATTTTGTGTATTAGGGAGAATTATAAAATCAAAATTGTTTCTTAATTTTGGAGGCATTAATTTATCATATTATATCGCAATAACTAATGTTATCTTATAATGTCTTCCTTCGAATAACAATTTAGATACGTCATCTCTTTGTAACCATTTTGTACTCGAAACACAATCATCCATCAATATGAACACATGCCCTAATCCTTCATATCCGTGTTTATCCATTAGTTTTTATTATATGTTAAATATTTTCTAATCGAAAAAACCTTCTTATTATACATCTTATAAACCATAAATGAACATTCTAGGAATAAATTATGAATAGAAAGGTTTATTATCAAATTCTGTTCCCGAAATTACAATACCAAATTCAAATTCATGACCTATCTTAGTCATTAAATCTCTTAAAATATAACTTTTTCCACAACCGGATTTTCCTATAAGTAATATTTTCAAAGGATTGAAATATTTAATTTTTTTTCCATTTTAATTTTCTCTTGTATAGAATTTTTCTTTATGTTGAAAACTTTCTAAAATTAAATTAGCTGACATTTTTATATTTATGTTTTTTATATAATTCAATGTAAATATTTAAAAATTAAATTAAATTGTAAATTATATGAAATTAGTTATAGATAAATTTAAGTCAGGCCGACCAAAACAAGTTAATTGTTATATTTTATTTACAGATAAAATATCGTTTATACTTTAATATTTTTTATTTTTTATTTTAGTTTATTGTGTTGTCAAACATTTAATTTAAACATTCAAATCTATTCCGTAAGGAATTGCTAAATTAATATAATAAATAATAAGTGAGATTGTTTAATTTATGATAGGTGTTTCAGATTGTGTTGCGAACAAAGGTATAAATTCTTTGTTGAAATCGGTTAGAGTTTTTGTTAAGAATTTAGGTAGAGTTGCAATTCAAATAATTGAAGGATTATTTGATGCGATTAAAGATTTTATATTTGATTTATTTTGAGTTGTTTTTATTTTTATTTTTATTTTTATTTTTATTTTTATTTTTTCTTATTTCCAAATGAATCTAAATTAAAAATAAAATAAAATAAAATAAAATAAAATAAAATAAAATAAAATAAAATAAAATAAAAATTTAAAATAAATTTAAAATAAAATAAATAAAAATAATCAATCAATCACCTGGTTAAAATAAACCTCCGCAAGAATCACATAAATAATTTATAATATGAGTTTCTTTTTATGAAGTTATTAATCTCATCTATGTTACTTTCTATTCTTCGGGACAAAATATCATATCATTATAAAATCTATTATCTATAGTTATAGAATCATTAATATTTAATCCATTTTCATCCTAATTAAATTCTATTGTAAATAAATTTTATGGTAATATAAATTTATTCTAAGGACATCTATTTATACATCTCCAATGATATTATAAATTAAATTAATTCTAAAATAAAAATGTATAAACACTGAAAATATATTCATCAATAATAATCTTTTTCTTTTTTAATTCTTTTTTTAATTCCTCGAATTAGAATTATACTTATCCTTATATTTCAGAAAATTTCTTTTTTATTATTTTATTTTTTTAATTTTTATCAACTTAAAATTGACAATATTAATCTATGAATTCTTATAGAGATAATTTTTTTTTGTTGAATTATTATTTTTCCAAATTTGTCTAGATATCCATCATTGAACCGCATTGGCAAAATAATTTCTATTCTTTTACAAATTTATTCTAAAGTTGATTATCAGATTCCATTTAATTATTAAATTATTTAATTTGTTTTGAATTGAGTTATATTATATATATTATTCTTTGTATTTTATTTATAAGTATTTCAATTTTTTATTTATTTTTTTACCCGTTATCAACATAAACCAAAACAAAATATTGCTTTTAATATACTCAAAATTAAGTCCCAGATATATGATACTAAAGCATCAAACACACCATATACTATCTTACCGGAATTTTAAATTAAATTAGGAACTAATTATTTAAAAAATTTAACAACTAAATTTAATAATTATTTTGAAACACAAGAAGATACATTAGTTAAAAATTTAATTAATTCTTGAATTATATTTTAAATCATTTTAAATATCATATTATTATAATCTCTAAATTAATTTATCAAATATTTTATAAAAATATAAATTAGTATAGAAAAAAGAAGATAAGTTATAATTTAACTTATTTTTAAAGTGAAATTTATATAAGGATTAATCTATTTTCCTTTTCTTAAAAATTCATATAAAATTTTATTGCTTTTCATTTTATTTATTTATATAAATATTTTTATTTATTGTCACTTTGCGAATCATTGATTGAAATAACTCCATTTCAAATCATAAAATATAACATCGCACATAATTTTTGTTAAAGATTAATCATCAATTGAGTAATTTAATTATTTCCAAATCTGGATTAAATTGATAAAGCATAGCAGAAAATATATAATGCCTTTATATTGGAACTTATACACATAACAATTAGTCCTATTTAAATTTGTCTTATATTATCTAAAATATTTTAAAATATTTTTATCTGTTAATCTTATGATTCTTATGATTAAATTAATTATATAAGTTTATAAATATCATAAATAATTTACTCTGATTTTTCTATATTTTCTATTTCATCTAATTTTTTATATTATAATTATTAATAGAAATTTTCATTTTCAGCTTGTTCAATAATTTCAGAATCAAAAGGAAATAAATTAAAATTATAACCTTAAATAAGTAACTCTGATTATTATAATAATTACAGAGAATAGGGAAATTAAATATGATCAAAAACATATTCTAATTTAATTCTGTGTTAGAATAGTGATAAATTGCAAATATCATAAATAGATGGTTAATTTTAATCGATCTTGAAAGCGCTAATTAATTTCAATGTTTTCAAATCAATGATATCATTTCCGAATCTGGAATTGAAAAATTCTTATTGATTTATAATTGTTAAATCATCTTTTTATAATTATTATTTTATATATTATTTAAAATTGATGACAAAAGCTTCTACAAGATTAAATTCGAATTTATTTTTACCTGTTTAAGTTATTTTCATATGATACTTAAAATGATGAAAAGATAATTTTATTTAATAAACTCCAATAGAATTAAATTATTTAATGATATAAAGACTGAATGATGTTTAATTCTTAGATTGGCAAAAATATTGATCTTTTTTATTAAATGTAAATTTTTCTGTACAGTTTACTTTATTATCTTTTCCAAGTATTAAGAAAAGAAGTATAATATATTTCTCATTAAAATGATCATCATCATTATTATTAAACTTATTTATGTAATTTTTTAAATCTTTAACAGTGAAATTTTTGCCTTGAAATTCTTTGTTAATCTATTATATTTATTGTATAAACATTTAAATTTTGCAAAATACTTGTAAATCTTTTTGGTATAGTTGTTCATGTGGAAAATAATATTGAGTTGCATATTTATTATTTAATTTTTCTTTTAATGATATTTTTTTTTTATTTTGATCTTCTTTTCTAAATTATTTGATTCTAGATAAATCTAGATTTTTTATCATATCGAAGAATTATTTATTATTTTCACATTCAATAAATTCTTAGAATTATTATATTCTTTTATTGTAAACATTTATATTTTACTAAATTTGTTACTATATTAATTAGTTAAATTAGTCATTTGTTTCATCTTCATTTAAAGTTAATTGGAAATTATTCGGCTTCGAAGAATAGAAGAAATTATCAGCAATTCCTATAATATTTCCATATAAATTAACATAATATTATACAATTCCATAGATGCTTAAATTAGAATCTGCTATTAATAATTGTTTATTTTCTTACATTTAATTTTATTATTTTATTTGTTTTTGTGTATAAATTGATTATATTTTTTATATTATATTTCAATTGTTTCACATTTCAATTTTTTATATTTTATTTGAGATTTGAGATTTGAGATTTGAGAATTAAAAAATAAATAATTAAAATAATTAAAATTAAATTCAAGTCAAATCAATAAAAAACAAATAAAAAACAGATAAAAAAATCAAAATAATAATTCATCAATCTAATCATAATCGAAATCTTCTTCAGGTTATGCGTTTTAACTATCCTGATTATCTGATGAAAACCCAGAATATGTGGTATCGTTATCTTAGTTTATAGTATAAAAAGTTTCTTTATCATATATACTTTAATCATATTCACTATTATCTTCCTCTTCTACACTAAAAATTTAATTTACATGCATTAAAAGTGGTAAAATATATTATTTATTTTCGTTCTAATTATAATCTAGTTCTCTCAATGCCCTTGAAAATAAGAGAATATATTTTACAGTATTATTCGCTTGATCTAGATCATATGAAGAAGGAATAAGAAACTTAATGTCAATCAGAACCTAATTATAATAATCCAACTAAATCTATAATTTTACTTTCTATTATTTATAAATTAAATTTATTATTTATTCATTCTAATCAAAAGTTTATTTTTTTTCTATGCTTATTTATTATTATTGAGAATCTTAGATTTTTAGCATGAATTTGTGTATCTAACTTAATATTTTACTATATTCAAATTCACCTTGATATTCATAATTATATATTTAGTAATATGTTGAAATTTAGATCATTTTTGATGTAATTTTTTGTTATTTTTTCTATTGTTTTATTTTATATTTAATTTATCATTCCTATTATTTTTTTTTCATTTTTTTAATAAATTAATAAAAATATAATTTTTATTTTTTTTTATTTATGTTTTTATTTTTTTTTATTTTTTTTTATTTTTTTTATTATTTTTTTTTTCTTTTTTTTAAATTTAGATATAATATCGTAAGTTCATAAATTCATTACATGTAGCAGCTCAGACAAAACCGAAAAAATCTCCGTTTTCCATAGCCTATAGATTTCTTCTTAATTCTTCAATTTCTTCAATTTCTTCTGCGAAGGCTATTTATTCATTTTAGAGTTATTATTCGGATTATTGTTGAATTTCATTTGTTTCTTGGTTATGGGTCATAGCTTCTTAGTTATAAGGTATAGCTTCTTAGTCATAAAGTATAGCTTCTTAGTCATAAAGTATAGCTTCTTAGTAGTCATAAGGTATAGCTTCTTAGTTTTAAGGTATAGCTTCTTAGTTATAAGGTATAGCTTCTTAGTCATAAGGTATAGCTTACTGATCTGATTAATAATTTTCATAATCTTCATAATCTTCATAATTTTCATAATTTTCATAATTTTCATAATTTTCATAATTTTCATTTTCAATCCCATGATTATCCTATTCATCTTATTTTCTAAATCTTCTCTTTGTAATATTTTCGAGATCATCAATATATTACATAGCAGTAATGTCATACTCTAAGGCAGAATATTAAAATTCTTAATTCTAAATTTCTTATTGATTATATTAAATTTTTTCTTCTTCTTCCTAATCTCCTTCGAAGATTTACCCTTACTATATTTGTGCGCTCTGTATGTTGTTTGGAACTAAACTATCGAATTTTTCGGTACTTCCATCGACTTTGCAAATACACTATTCTAAAATGTATTTATTCGATACAGTATTAATGAATCTAAAGCTCCATTACTTTTAATAATTTATTTATTTTTTGTTCATATTTTCTTTCAAAAATTCTTTATTACTACGATTATCTTTAGGATCAAACAAGTCGTTATATTGAATAATCAACTTTTATAAATTTATATCCAAGAATATATTTTAATATAAATAAAAATCAACATGGTCTTAAAAAAATATATCTTGTTGATCTTTTGTCAACATATGTTTATCGGAACCATACAGATATACTTGACGCTTATTATTTGTGACAATCTATTTATCATTATACATATTGTTAAAAATAATTCCAAAATCTAAACGACATATTTTCTAGCCCCAAACTTATTTTTAAAACATACTTTATCTTTAGCATATAAATAACATATTGTCTAATGATTTTTTATTTAAATTTCCATCAATATCTGTGATGATATTTTTCCAGAAATTATTTATTATTAACCCACTCTCAATAAAATAATTCAAGGCAAAGGGCTGTTAGAATAATTATTTAATTGCTCCGTATTATAAATTTTATTACATTATCTAACAATAAAATTTGTTATACAAATTTCTCTCTTATTATTAGATGTTAGAGTCTTAGATATATTCATAATATCTACATGGGCTAAAATATTCTCCACTGATAAATATGTTTTATTTTTAGAGTATATTGATTTTTCCTTCAAAATCAAAATAAAATAAGCCTCCTAAATTTTTAAATATTTTAGCATAAATATTCTTGTCGTGTTATTCTACATCCATAATGCCTCTTCCCCAACCTTTTTTTCCAATATCAGGATTTAGAGATGTTTGATATTTTATCATATCATAAAATAGATCATAGCCAGCTAGAAATTATAAGTTTTAAAACTAAATTTGGAATGTGAGCAGATCTGCAAATAACATTCTCTTGAAACCTTCATCACTATTCAATTCTTCTATAGTACAGTTTCTCTGAACTTAATTTTTAATTATATTTTAACCGATAAGAATAATTTGTGCATAATCAATTTTCTTTCCATTAATCTAACATTTTCTCAGTTCATTCAATGTTTCTGAGATTCTATTTTACTTATTAAGTTCATTAAATATTAATTCATTCTCGAAAAGTTTTGTTTATTATTATGTGAACTTACTTAAAAAATATTTAAATTAATAAGTATCTTCACTATTTGCTAATTTTTCTAATTGATTTTATTCTTATTGTTTTCTAGATACAAAATACTATTCAACATTGTAAACACTTTTAGGTACATGAATCTTGTCAATAATATAGTTTTTATTAATTTTCATCAGAGTTTCTTAGAAGATGAAACTATAACCTAAAATAAGGCATATATACGAAAAATATTCTTCTTTAATTTTTATTTATTCTCTTCCATAATTGTCTCTTGTAAACATTTCCCTGATCTTATCAAAACATAGATAGAATATAGATGTATTATCTAAATTGAGAAGATTTAAGATACTTATTTAGTCTTTCTAAATTTAATAACTTAAAACCATAGACAGATCCAAGATTTATTCATTAACCTCAAAACCTTTTGAAATAAAATTTTTTGGTTATGTATTAAATTTACAGATATTCACATCAAGTGAATTTTAAAAATCCTAAATTTTTTATACTATATCAGTCGAAGGATAAATTATTTAATCTCTAATTTAATAAACGTAGTTTGTCATATTCAACTTGGATTGAATATCATTTTTAAATTCAATCGCAGTTTCAAGAGCTTGACTAAAGAAATTTTATGGAGTTATTTTTTAGAATAAATCCTATAAATATTGTGGTGTGATATCGTTAAATAATTCCTAATTTTTTTTTATTTAGAAATTTTTTTAAAGAATAATTCTAATTTTTTATTAAGAGTTATCGATAAATTATTCTTTATTAATCTGGGAAAAACATTATTTTATCTCATCTCCAATCATTCTAATTCTTTTATGGAAACTTCTTATTTATTCTTAATTTTTCATTTTCTGAATCTCCTCAACATCATTACCAAGTTCAAAAATATTGAAAAATTCATGTTTGATTTGTTGTTATGATTCTTGCCACCAACAATTATCTGGGATATCTATTAAAATAGATTCGAGATTTTTCATTTAAGTTTAATACCGTGCACTGTTGCTCATTTTCTTACAATACTAGTTATTATATATTTCTATATTACTATATTGAAGTTTCACAATTATATTTTTTCAATTTTTTTAACAAATTAACAAATAAAAATATAATTTTTATTTTTTGTTTTTCCTTTTATTTTATTTTCATTTTTTTGTTTTTTTCTTTTTTTTTGTTTTTTTTTTATTTTTTAAATTTATATATTTTCAATTCATTCAGATATTATGTAAAGATATTAATTGTAATTTCAATCATCTAGGGAAATGAATCCAAAATTTTATTATTATTTATTCTTTTTATTAAATTGAGATTGCTTATAATCTAAATCAATTTCATCAGAATTAACCATTACATGGTCGTTGTTTAAAAAGCATATTTCTTCTTCTTCAATATTATATTGGTTCACGTCTTATGGAATATACTAATTCTTTTACTCTTCTTCTTATTCATCATTTTTAATATCTATATTGATTTTATTTTGATTCAAAATTAATTCATAATCTATACTTGGATTTATTGGATTTTTTATTATAATAGGCTATTTACTAATAGAACCATCCAAATTATAAAAGCATTTTTCTATTCTGCATTACTATACTTTTTTTTTACTTGATTTATTTAACTTAAAAATTCCAAAACCACTGCACTATGTCTTCTGAACTTAGTTTTGTTATTCAGAAATCTCTTCCATTATAGCTTTAATTAAATTAGAATCAAGTTTATATTCGTTTTGATTATTAATTCTCTTATTTTTTATCGTGTCGAGGATCATTCTTTGATCATTATTAGAGAACATAATATTGCAGAGAAAATAAAAATAAGCTTGATTTTCTAAAACGATATCGTGTCTTACTTGAAAACCTTTCATATACTTACAGATAGATTCGTATTATTCATATTATTTTTCTTTTTCATCTCTATAGAAGTCATACATGTATTCTCCAACTGTTACATTTTTACAGCTAAATTAAAAAAAATTCAATTTAAAAAGCTTATTGTATTTAAATTTGTCTTAATGGTAGATATCAAAAATATTATTCCAAAAATTGTTTGTTATTAGTCCATTTTCGAAAAAGCAAAACATTAAACTTGGTTATGTCATTAGTTGTTTTATAGCAGTCAATTACATTCTTTATTCAGAAATTTATAAATACATCATTTCATATAAATTTCTTTCATCTATTTAGAAACCTGAAACATATTAAGTTGGGTTTTTACGCAAAAAGAAATTGTAGTTAATGAATAAGCATTTACTTTCGAATAGCATGATATGATTTTGATAGTAATAGAATTATGCTTTTTATTTTTAGCTAATTTATGTGAATGCAGAATGTAAAAAATCATTGTAATTCATGTTTTTTCTATTAGTTAATATTTTACAAGTTTTTTTCATAAAACAATTCTTTCCCATGTAGTGTTCAAACAATTTATAACTAATAGAAAACTATAGTTATTAGAATTCTTATTGAAATGTGAACAAGTCGTTGAATAACATTCTCAGGAAACATTTGTCTTCATTCATCTATTAAATTGTTGATTTTCCTGCACCTTGTATTATGTTCTTTCCTATTTAGAGAATCTAAAAATGGTTGAGCTTTTAATTTTAAAAAGAACATTTTTATTGGAATTCATTAATAATATTTGTAATTTTCTTGTCTTTATTTATTTACTCGAAATAAAGTTCGTTAACAATTAGCTCATTGAAATGATCAAATATTTAACCAATATTATATTTTATTGTATGATCTTATTAAAACTCGAGGAATTTATTAAATATTTCAGCTCTATTTTTGAATCTTTAATCTATTGTGCCTTAGAATAACGTTGTGTTTTTGTTAGAGCTAACTTATTAGAAAAAGTCTCCACTAATTGAAACTTTATTAACGAATAAAATCCTGTTTATTTTCATTAAAGTAAATTTCGGGCATTAAATTACATAAGAATAAATTAATTCTACCAATTTCGCGGTGCGAAGCGCATGCGGAGCAAATTACTTATAGTTAATTATACTTCTAATTTCACCATTGATAATATCTTAACTAAGCTTATCTCTCAACTTTTAAGGTATGCTAAATTCTACAAATTTTTAAAGATACCCTTTAAAAGTTTTAAAATATGTAGAAGTAATACTTGATTGATTACATGTAATTTATATCAAGGTTTTAATAAAGATACAATAACTCTGAAATTTTAACATTTATAAAACTATTCGATAATTAATATCATTATTATAACATTCAATGATGATTGTTTACAAAAATCATTTCAAAATAGAGTAAATATACTTACTTATTAATTCAATAATAAATTAACTTTCTATTTCTCTAATAATTTTTAATATTTAAAATGATCATTTATTTATATTTTTAGTAAAATATTCTTTACTCTAAAATTAATATTTTTGAATTTGTGCGCCAAAAATTATTGGCCTGTCAATCAATGAATAAATAAATAGCTATTATTAAAACATCTATCTTTAATTTAATTTGATTTTACACCTAAATTAATAAAGATTGTCTTATATTAAAAAAAATCTAAATATCATTAGGCATTTTTAAAATATTATTATAAATGGACGATTCAGAAATAGGAAATATTTTTCCTGAAGATAAATACTATGAAGAAGAAGATGATGATAATGATCATTAACATAAGTTAGAAGATGGTAGAAAAAGCGATAAGATCAAAAATAATGAAGAATCTGAAGATGAAGATGATGACGATGAAGAAAGCGAGGATGGAAGTGAAAATGAAGATGGATCTAAAAAGAAAAAGAAAAAAAAGAAGGCCAATCTTCTTAAAGAAAAGAAAAAAACTAAAAGAAAAGTTGACATATTTAGATTCAAGGCGGATATGCTTACAAATTAAGAAAGAGGAATTAAATTTCTTTATGAAAACATAGAAAAAGCCAAATTGTTTGATAAAAATGAAAAAGGAATTTTTGATGAGGTAATATTTATTTATTGATGTGGTTGTTTATCTATTTTATTAAATCAAGTACAGACATTTATATTTTATATGAAAAATGATATGAAAAATGAAAGGATGCAAGATTTTTTAAAATTTACTTAAATATTTTTTCTTATAAATCAATAAGCTTAAAGCTCTTGATAAATTAGTTAACTACTATAAAGGTTGGCATTTCCACTTTATGCCTAAATACAGCTACTAATATTTTTTAGATAGATGCACTGAATTTGGTAAAACAAGTCTTATTAAAGTAACATATTAAAATTTTTAAAGTAGTTAATAATAGATAATTTTAATTATTAGACATATATGAACAACGTTAGAAGGATACATAAAGGTGAACTTTAATGGAAAGATTTAGTAGATTAAGTAGAAAACGAGAATTAATAAAATGAAAATGATCCAAATAATCCAAAAGAAGCAGCAGCATCAATAAATTAAAATTCTGGTTCTAATGCATAACCAAAAAACAAAAACAATAATAATTAAAGCGTACTGAATGATACTAACTTATCAAGAACTTTAGATTCTAATATTATTCCTAAGAATATAAAGGATATGTATCTACCTTCTAATAAACTACCTAAAAACAACAGTAAAGTTTATGAATCATCTTATGCTAGGTCAAATGACGTTTCTAGAAATCCAATTTAATCTCAATAATCACAAGATAACTCTTATTTAGATAAAAATAGCTTATCTTAAAGCTAAATTAAAAAAAAAAATTCATTAACCAAAGATCGCTCTATCCAAGAATATTAAGAAGATGAAGAATTAAATAAAATATAAGAGTATGATGATGAACTCAGAATTCTATAGGAAGAAATAGAAAAATAGTAAAAAATATTAGAAGAGCTAGATTAATAAAATCAAAATGATGAATCTGATGATATGGATGATATCAAAATTAAAAGGAAAAAGGATGATGATGATGATGATTGATTGTTTTGGAACTAAAAAATATATAAATATTTATAATATTAGTTAGCAACTAAATAAGTTATTTATTGTAAAGGTGCTTGATTTATTTATTTTGTAATATAAAAGCAAGTACTACATTTTCAAATTACTATAAAATTAATTTAAAAGAAAGAGAGTGTTAAATATTAAATATTCATATTTTAAATATTATTTTGAAATTCCCTTTTAATGAATAATATTTAAGCTTAATTTGATAAAAAAATTGGAAATAAATTTTTGAGAAAATTAAATATTTATTTAATTAATTAAAATAATTGTTTGTTTTTCAATTTTATTTAAATTTTATAAATAAATAAATTAAAAAATATTTTCTTAATTTTTATAAAAAAAAGTTGTTAATAACAAAACCTAATACCTACCTACTTTTGATTTCAAAACATTTTAATCAGTAAATAATTTTATCAGTTTTAAAAAAGATTTATAAATGAATTAAAATATTTTTTTATTGAATTCATTTAAAAATTAAAAAAAGAAAATTCATCAATGATTAAAGTAAATTATTATCAAACATTTAAAGTAATATTTTATCAATTATTATTTAAAATTTGGATTAATATTTTTATTCATTTTAAAATCGTGCTATTTCAATAAGTAAATATTTTACTTTTTTTTATATATTTTTTTCATAGATAAAGTAAAAAAACATCAAAAATTTTTTTTTTATATTTAATTTAAAATTATGCTTTTACAATTTTAATATTTTTTTAATCTTTTAGTTTGTAGATATGTTTCTTATTTATATTTAATATTAAAATAATCAATTAATTATTTAAATTTTGAAAATAAATTTATGTATTTGATTGAATAGCTCACTTAAAAAAGAACAAAAGATAGAATAAACTTGAATTAATAAATTACAATTAGTAAAAAAATAAATTTGAATACATTTTAAATAGAAATGCAAATTTAATTATAAGGTAAAAATGATAACTTAAACTATCTCTTGAATTTAAATAAAATACTTAGAGAATTAATATTGCTCAACGTCTAACGTAAGTGTGAGCTTTTCTGGCTTTATATCTACCAGTTTTCTTTCTTTCCTTTTGTCTGTAATCAGTACGAAGTAAATCAACTATTTAAAAACAAAAAATTTAGAAAAAAACTTAATTGAATAAAATTAATTACATTTCATGAAGATAGGTCTAAGGTTGGGATGTATTTAAGTGAGACCTCTAGCAAGAGCAATTTGGCAAGCATGAGATTGACCCATAACACCACCACCTCTAACGTAGAAATGGAGGTCATACTCACAATATTGGGTGGATAGTAGCATAGGCTTTAAGGCAATATTTCTGTTGTATGAATGAGTAAAGTAACGATAGAAAATTTCATTGTTAACAAATACTTTTCCTGTACCTTCTTTAATCACTACAAGGCAACTAGAAGTTTTTCTTTTACCAGAAGCAAATACTTTAATTCCTTGATCTTTTTCTTTTTTAAGTTTTTAGTATTTCATTCTTAATTATTCATCATCAATCAAATCAAGAGGGATATCTTCTAAAGTTGGATCGTAATAGAAGGGTGTATCATTCTTTCTCTATAATATTTAAAACAAAAAACTAAGCATGCCAATTTAGTTAAATTTAAATTTTTTACATCAGCAGGAACAATGACTTAAGCAATATCAAGTACACCGTCTTCGATTCTTTCAGTGAAATATTTAATTTCGTTCTAAATATAATGTCTGAAGAATGGGTCAGTCTTAATTCTTCTATAAAGTTCAATTTCGATTTAATTATCCTTAGAAAGATCTCTTTCACCACGTTTTCTATTTTCTTATTCCTTTGAATTGCTGCTACCATAATCAACACTTTTTAAATAAATTAATTAATATTTATTTTTAATATAATGTTTAATTATTTTGAAATAACAAACTTAACAAAATATTTTAATTGATTAAATTAAAATCAATTTAAAGTAAATCATCATCAAATTTAAATAGTAAAAATTTGTTTGTTTTATTTTAATTTGCTCACTTACATATCTAATTCTTTAGGGTGGAATCTGATATCGTTTTCATTTTGAACAGACTAACTGATTTATTCTTATTCGGGCATGCTTTCTGGGAAGATAGAAACGAAGTTATTATGGAAGTGTTTCCACATCAAATCTTCAGGCTTTAAATTTTCTTGTAAGAAGCTATATTTAAAATGAAGAAATATTTAACTATAATTAATATTTTTACTAAAAAATATATAAATATTTGATAAATTTCATACTTTCCTCTAAAATATAAGTCTTTATTTTGGTTCTTTTCTTTAGCGATCTAAACCTTAATAGAGGTAGAGGCTTAATCAACAAGGTAATCGATGTTTTTCAAGATTTCTTTAAATTCAGGTTTTGGGATAACCTCATCAACGAGGTTGTACTTATCAAGAATTGTTTTGATTTCTTATTCATCTTTTTGTATTTATTTATTTATTTTAAAAAGTTATTCTTTATTGTTCAAACTAATTTTACCCTTGGAATCAATTAAGAAGTCAATAACATTAAGAGTCATATCTTTTTTAACTACTTCTTTGCTTTTATCTTCTTCAGTATACATTTTTTCCTTATAAAACTTTCTCTTGTTATCATAATAGTTTTATTTAACTTTCGCCCAAATCAATTAGGTTTCCAATTATTTTCTACCTTAAGTAATGAAAGGATCTACAAGATCTTTAACTGTAGCTTTTTTGTCTTCAAAGTTGAAGAGAGGTTCAGAAAAGTTTGATTCTGAATCACTTTCTTCAGAGAAGAATGGATCATCTTAATCAATTCTTCTTGGTGGCTACTTAACCCTCTTTAAATCTTTTTTATAAAAATTAATTTAGCACACAAGCATGCTATAAGTAAAAATCAATGTTGGTTGAAGATATTTTATAATTAAAATAAATGAAAAAATTAGTTACTTGTGTTGAAACGAATTTTTTCTTAAATGTTGGTAATAGCACGATTCTTAGCTTCTTAAGAAATTAACTCTTCCTTAAATAAGGTGGAAATAGTTTGTGCAAATCCTTCAGAGTTGCCCTCCTTTAAGGCATTTTCGACAAATTCGTTGCTAGCCTTTGAAGAATCTAAATAGCTTGAAAGCTTGGATTTGGCCTATTATGAATTCCAGCCAAGCTTTTGGATTTCTTGGATAAGACGTTTAAGCAAGAATTAACGAGCTTCATTTTTGAAGGAATCAGCAACCTTTTCAGCAAGAATAAATTGATATAATTTAACAAGTTCAACATCGTTGTAAGCACCAATTTTTCTACATATAACTTCTAAAGTGCTGTAGAACTAACCAGTCTTAGTTGTAATTGATTCTTCTTTGATAAGTTCAATATAATCATCTAATCCAATACCATAAGGTAACTTAGTTTCCTCATCCAAAAATACATTTTCAGCAATAGCTTAAACTTCTTCTTTTTATTTTTTATATTGTCTTCCTTTTAATTTTTTAATTTTTTCTTCTCTTTCAAGAGATTGATTTATTCTCTTCATCATGTGGCTGGTATGTCTTTCAAAAATACTATTTTATCAAAAAATTTAAATAAGCAAACCAACTAACATTCTGAAATTTTATTGTATTTATCATTAATATTAATTAGTGCCTTCTATAATAAAGAATCCTATAATTAGTTTGCATAAACTCACACAAGTCTACCTTATGCATCAAAGGAGAACAAAAATATTATAAATTTTCTTTTAAATTAATTAGATTTAAAATGTAAATTGGAAACAAATGCGTTTTATTTTGCATTTTGCTTACAAAAAATCTAATTAATATTTTAATTTGCTCCTAATATTCTAATTATATTCATCTTATGTGAAGCTTAAAATATTTTATTTGAAACAAAAGTTATATAATTTCTACATTCTTTAGTCTCTTTGATTAGATCCAAATTTGGTTCTTTCAAAATCTCTGTATAATTTAGATTCATCGTCCTTACCATCTTTTTATAAAACAATAAATTCGTTAAAATTTTAATTGCGTTTTCATGTTAAGTATCTGATTTGCTAATATTTTCTAATTTAAAAGCCTTAAATAACTGTATTGCTCTCTATTTAAGAACATTCTCATTGATATATTTCATAGAGATTTAAATTTGCATATATATTTGTATACTAAATTATCATACCAGGGAATATAGGATCAACTTCAAAAAAATTTCTGCTTCTAATCTAATGCTAAGCAGCTTTAGAATTCCTAACACTAAACAAGCCTTTTAAAATATTTTAAGTTTAGCTGATAGCTAAAGATTTTCTAATTAGCATCATCCTTAGTGAGTTAAGATATTTAATTAAAAAGATTTGATTTTGTTTCTTAGTTCTTCTCTTTATTTCCCTTCTAATTGATTTTTTATTCAATCAAATATTGGTTTAGAGTATAAAAAATATTTGTTAAATTGACTGCATTTATCTTTGAAGAATTTCTTTCTCTTTCTTTTACCCCTAATTAAAATTTAAGTGAATTCAATAAGAAAAGACCTTGATATCTACTATATATATATATATGTATGTATATGTATATTATCACATCAAGATATAATTTCATTTAAAATTTATTTTTGTTATATTTTAATATGTTTTATTTCAAATAACTCCATTTTAAAAATATTTTTTTTTTTCGCTTGTTTACAAAAAAATAATATTTATTTTTTTTCAAGTGTTTAAATTAATCTAAAAAGGTTTCTCTTATTTTAATTTATATTTCTATTCTTAGTCTTTTTTTAAATTAATTTTTAAGCTAAAATGTTTTATGTTCAGTTAAGTTTACGGTAAAATATTTTTATAAATTGCTTTAAGCAATTATGTAAATTATATAGAAAATTGGATATTAAAAATTTCGTAATTTATTGTATTAGCTTTATTTATATTTCCCTTATTATATTTATTATGATATTTTAAGAAAAATTAATCGCAAATAAGGTAAATTTAATTGAATTTCTTATTTAGTTTCCTTTGAGTTTATATGTATTCAACACTCTTTCATAATTTTTCATCAAATTTTTTTTGATTAAACTAAATAATAAAATTTTTATATTTTTAAGCTAGGTCATAAATGGAACAAAGTGATTTTACTGACACAGACAATAAAAACTGTGAAAACATAGAATAAGAATCTTAATAATTAGTTAATCTTCCTCCTCCACCACCTCCTCCTTAAATTAATTTAGATTCAATTAAACTAAGTACAACAGATGAATATATATAAAAAAGGCTTAAGAATATGCAATTATTTGAAGGTAGATAAACCCTTTATTATTAATTGAAAGTACATTTTCGCTTTAAAATAATACAATAAAAAAACAGGGAAACAATCGGATGAACTTTCATCAAAGATACAAAAAATAGAAGATATTGATGAAAGAGCAAAAGCAGATGGCGAAGGAAGTACTACTACTACTTTAGCATTATATTTATTTTTTATTATTAAATTTTAATCAATAGCTGGAGAAGGCTTGAAAGAAGATATAGAAGGTAAAATTTAATGCGAAAGATGTGAACATTATTTTACTCAAGAAGAAATGAAGTCTCATAAAATATAGCATTCATCCCAAGTAAGATCTTTATTGAAATGAAAATAAATGAAATATATAAGATAGAATTAAACTTAAAAAAATTTTTTTAATTTAAGCCAAAAATAAGGATATTATATTCAGTTATTTATTATGAAAAATGAAAATTTTTAGATTTATTATTGGATAAGAATATTTCATTTAATTCTAATTATATTTAAGAGAAGAAAATATTTTTTTGATATCATTTAATCCTTTTTTAAAAAATAGATTTTAGATTTTCTATACTTAGGCTCAAGCTATAATAGTAACAATTATAAAGAGCTAAAAGTGAGAACGAAAATCAGCTACATTCTTAACGTAGCTTCAGAGTTGTCTAATGTTTATCCTGAAGACTTTACTTACTTAAAGTTAGATATAGATGTATTTATTGATTTTATAATAACTTCAAATTTGATAAAATTGTAAAAAATACTAATTCATTTTCCTTCTTTAATTTAAAGGATATAATAACTCAAAAAATATATGGTCATTTTTAGGAATGCATTGATTTTATAGGTAAAATTATTTTATTTTCAATATACAATATATTTTTAAACAAATTCCTAGAAAAAGCACGCTCTGAAGGAAAAAATATTTTGGTTCATTGCATTTAAGGGATAAGCAGGAGTGCTTCGGTAGTAATTGCTTACTTAATGTACAAAGGAATGACACTGAAAGAAAGCTATGATTTTGTAAAAGAAAGGAGATCAGTTATAAAACCAAATCCTTCATTTGTAAGGGATCTTTTAGCATATGAATTAGAACTTTATTAAAAAAATTCATGCACAGGCGAATACATTAACAAATTATATAAATTTTTAGTATTTGACTGATATTTTTTATTTTTATGTAAAAAAAGTAATTTGTATTTAATAATTTTTTAACATAAATTATCTATTCACTTAAAAAAATTAAAATAAATGAGAATAATATGTTTAATAATTAATAAATGTAGATTATCAAAATTCATTTGGTTGTTATTAATTATCCTTAATATTTTTATTCAAAAAATAATTTATTTAGATATTTAACAAGTAAATGATTAATGAATGAAAGATTGATAAAATTGATTTAAAATTCTAATAATTAATTATAATAAATAACTTTTTGAATGATAGATAATAGAATAATAAGTATATTTTTATTTAATTAAATATTTTATCTATTTAAAAAAAACAAAAGAAGCAAGAAAAACAAACTCTTAAATGCTTGTTAACTACATCAAAATCTAATAAAAAAATTAAAAATTGAATTTATATTAAATTTAAAGGAGAAAATAAGAATCAAATATTAGTCTTTTATATTTTTTATAGTTTTTATTAATTGTTAAGAAAATATTGTATGCTTTGTAGTAATAAGTAATGACAAGTAGAAACACAACATCAAGTGAATAAAGGTTTAGGCGTGCAAAATTTATCTTCGATGATCTTGAGAAGTTTATAGTTATGGATGTGTTTTTAAAAGTAGCGTTAGACGATTTAAAATTTTCCTTTTCTAAAATATTAAATTTAGATTTCTTTGGTAAAAGATTCATATATTAGTTTTAAATTACACCTACATCTGGAAATTAAACTGATAAAGTTGAAATTGATTTAGATGCATCAAAGCTACTTGAAGAATAAGATTGCATAAAAAAATTTATCGAAGACTCATAAAATTAAAATAAAGAGGTAATTAACTATTAACCATTTTTTATTTAAAAGTTATTAAAAATAAAATTGGATTTAGATGTAATTCAAAGTAAAATTCGAAGATATTGGTGCTTGAAAAGATATAAAAGAATTAGTAATAAAAGAAATAATAAAAATAAAATATATGTAAACATCATTAATATATTTTAAAAAAGAATAATAAAATTAATTGCATATATAACATATTAATAAAAATGTTTTTATAATGTCTTCTCATTTATATTATTCCTTTCTAATTTATTTTTACTATTTAACACTATTCTTATAATCAATTTAAAAATCCTCATCACAAATTAATTAAATATTTATTTTTCTAAATTTGTTCTGCAAATACTTTAAAAAAAATAAATAAAAATAAAAATATATTTTTTGAATATTCTAACTTTTTATAAATTAAAAAATAAATAAAAAAAATACATTTTTATTTTGATTTTAAAAATATAAATTAATTTAAAATTAGAGGTATCTATCTGATAGAAAATATGCTTGGCAATAATTTTAGCTATTTATTCTAATATCTCAATTATCATTAAATAATGTCATATTTTTCATTTCTAAAACATGTTCGATAAGAAGAGGTATTTGTTTTTGGTAATTCAAAATATTTTAAAAAAACATTATTTTTATAATATTATTATTTAAGAAAATTTTAGCTCTTTCTTTCTGAAATATGTCTCCATTTTAGCTAGCAACTAATTAACTAATAAAAGTTAAACTATAAAAAATATATACGAATAAATATTACTTAATAAATATGTTTACATTAAAATTTAATTATTGATTTCATAAAGGTAGTTTTTTATATTTTTCTTCAATGTAATATGTAATCATTTGTGTTTTAAAAAGAGTTTTTAAAAATTTTTTATGCTTTCCTATATTTTGGATAGTTTAATTTGTTATCTGTTCATAATCTAAAAGGCTATTTTGATTATTAGAGTAGATGGGGTTAGAAGGCATCTTGTTTAGAATATCACCTATATATTGGTTTAATGTTTCAAGTAAAGCAAAACAATCTTCTTTTATTTCTAATTCTTCATGTTCTTATAAAGGTCCACCCTTTTGGCTATGACTTTGAATCTTTTTAAAATTAGGCTCTATCTTTTCTTTTATTTCATTAAACATCTCTAGTGTAATATCTTGCACTATTTGGGAGTTTAATACTTTAAAGCTGCTACCAAGCTAAATAAAAACGCAATTGCTAAATTCTTAGTCTATTTTTTCTTTTTGAATGTACGAAATATCTTTGTTTATTCCTACCAAAATTGGTACGGGGCTGTCTAAAATAGGTAGGAGCTTTTATGGAAGATTGAAAATCATCGGATTAATCCACTTTAAAGGTTTTAGAATGGAATTGGAAAACAGTAATAAGGTAGATGTTAGTAAAGTTATGTTTTTAGTAACAAAAACTAAAGAGTGCTCTAACAAAAGAGATAAAAACAAAAACAAAAAATTGTTTATATCAAATTGTTACAAAGCTTTGTATATTCCCCATTCGCATTCTAATCTACCTGCATGTAAAGCACTTGGTATTTTAGATATTATCCTTTCATTTTAAATATTAAAATGGAGAGACGAATTAAAATCTGGCAAATCCTTTAATATAAAAATAATTTATTTATTTATTTTAAATATTTATTAGAGTTTAAAAAATAATGTTTACCTTATGAGCTAATTCTTATAGTAGCTTTTCAGATAATTATATGAAGGTGTTTGTTAAGAAATCAGAGTCTATGTTTGATAAAGTGTTTGGGATAGTATCAAGGCGCTCATTATATGTTTTAATACGCTTTATCTTAATCACATTTAAAACAGTTGTGATAATTTATAGGAAGAATTTTACAAATGGAAAATAAGTCACAAAGCAGAATACTTTTTCTGTTTACCAAAATTTCATTTTCTATTTTCCAATATTACTTGTTGAGTAAGACTTTTAAAGATTGGTGATGTTATTGTTAGCTATTGTAGAGCTGTCTAACTTTGTTGATTCAACAAAATCCTTCACCTTGAAGCAAACGCAATACAGGGTTTTGCTTGGGTTTATCTTCTCTAAAAGCTAGAGTACCCTTGAGTAGTAAACGGGGAAAGATTAACTTACTTGAGCAGACTAATTTAAGCTATATTAAGAACTGGTATCATTATCAGGTTTAAAAGCAAGGACAAAGCAAGAAACGCTGCTGCTACCTTATTCAATAGAATTGTTCGCAAACAGTATTTCATTTATTGAAGAAAAGGAATTAGTCATTTTAAGTTATTTAATTTGGCAGCCAAAAGGAAAAACAAATTCGTTAATAATTTTACTTTGGGATGAGTAATTCTAGTTTGGATTGCTACTAATATTATTTGGGTTTCTGTAGTGATAGAGAACTTTAGCTTCTGTAGTAGCTTATTTTTCATTAATATTTTTATTATTCTAATTTCTTTAAGCTAGTTACTTGATACACTCTTAAACATCACTATTATTAGGACCTGTGATAAAAAATTCTTCATAAAGCTTTGTAGGAATGTAGTTTGATGAAGCTTGAGATGCTTCCTTTGAAAAAAGAGCACTTTTTTTGCTTGAAAAATCTTTAATCTTAAGATTTATATTTGAATATTTAGTCAACAGCTGATGTGAATCAATAATTTAATTTATTGCTCCATCTTCATGGTTTTCAAATCCATTTTAACTCTTATCATAAACTAAGGAATGTTCATTATTAACAAGCATGCAGCTGCTCATAACACTCATACTCTCTTAACTCATTTTTGTATCATTGTCTCCCTCAAGATATTTATAATCTTTTTAATTACTAAGCAAGTTTCTGATATATGCATCATTACCTCTCTCATTTTTATTATCTGAAACATTCTAATTATTTTAATTTCCACCTTATAAGTTGATTTTATTTTTGTTTTCTGCTTCATCTTTTATGTTTTTATTATTACTGTTAGTTGAAATTGTTTTAATTATATTAGAAAAATTATAATTTCTGTTAGAAAATAACGCATTTTCTTCAGAGTAGGCACAGAAATGTTACTGAGATTGCATAGTTTCAATAGTTTCTTAATAAGACTGGGGTTGCTGCAGTTATTTATGGGATTAAGGCTTAGAGTGAGTGGCATTTTTTAAATTAAAACTATTTGAATATTTTTCATCAACTTTCTTAAAAATTGTTGGACTAGATTCTAAATCTAAACCTTCTTCAATTTAATTTTATTAAATATTTATTGGATTACTTTTTTTGCAAGATTTTGGAGTGCTTGTAGCAGAAATTGGTAATGGGTTCAAGTTGGATTATTAATAGTTATTGTTTTAAATATTTCCTCCTTGGGCATATTAAGTGTAGCTAGTGAATCTGTTGTGCTTATTGACTTAATTGTTATAGCTACTAATTTAGTTTGGTGTTAAGTTTCTCCTATGCATGTTTAATTATGTCTATCCATGACTGCTTATTGATCTCTGCTCTATTGATTAGAAATAAGTTTCCTTTGGTCTATTTAGAGTGCTTCCTTTTGAGTTTTGAGGGGTTGTTTGTCCTGAATGACAGCTTCCATCTAGTAGTCTAAGAGAACTCTAATAATTATTATTATTACTATTTTATTTATGACTAGAAGTTGCAAGTAAATCATTTTAGTTTTAACTATTTACTGCTATTCCTTGAAGAGATTAAGCAATCACATTTCTATCTGTAGAAGCAGATCTATTAGTGTTGAAATTTGAATGTAAAGATGCTCCTCCTTTAGTATTTTTTACATTATATGAAGGTTAATTTTAAAATATCCCATTTTAGAAGTTAGCATCTTAATTATTAGGAGATGGCTAAGCTGATAATCCTTGGTTCAATATTTCATTTTAATTCGCATTTTGTAATTATTGTGAATTATTCTTTTAGCCACTATCTTAGTTTTAACTTTATGGTTTAGGTTAATTCGTAAGTTGAGAGGAGTTTTATTTATTATTATTATTATCAGAAAAAAGAGTGTTTGAAAATTATTATCTTGTTCCTTTTATTTTAGTTAAATTTTAATTCTAGGACTTTGGAGTTTATGATTAGTTTTATGTGGGAGGAGGCATATTGTTATCTGATTAATTTTAAGCAAATACTTTTTAGTTTTTAGTAGAATTTTGTTAGTAGCTATTTAATGGAAGTGTGTTTTAGCTTATACCAATATTCCTTTGATTATTAGGATTTTAAATTGTAGTTATAGAAGTTGTAGATAAAGGATTAATTTATTGATTTTGAGCTTACTCTTTTTGAGTTTGTATTTAATAATTTTGTAGACTTGCTAAAATTGGAGAAATATGGTTACTGTCTTTATTTAATTAATTTTAATTAGTCTTTTAAGAATTATCATAGTTAGAAAAGTTTATTTAGCTTAAACTTCTTTAATACTCCTTACCATTATTATTGCTACTCACATTTGTAGTTGATAGTAAATTGCTTAGCTATGACTGATTCCTAGTTAATCCATGTGACACTTAATATTGCTAATACGAATTTTATTACACTTAAACAGTATTTTGAGTTATATAATTTTGTTGCTAATTTTACTCGTTAGTAATTTTATTTTAGCTTTTTGATGATTTTAATGGCGTACTTTAACTATTTTCATATGCTTATAAATTTGTTAATTATGAGCTTTGGTCTGTGTTCTCTTGAATCTAATTTGTAGTACGAGTTTAGAAATTTTAAGAGTTGTTTTATTTCTTTGGAGTCTTTGAGAATGAAAAATTTTCTTTCTATTTGCTTGATAAATTTAAAAGTTTATTTTTATTGTCAGCTTAATTTTTAGATTATTTTTAGTTCTGTCTGTTTGTATTCAATTAATTTGATCCATTTGTTGAATACTGCTAGTTCATCGTACTAGTGTTGATATTTAAAGGAATTACTGAATTGTATTACCCATTAAAATTAGAACTGTTATTGTAAGAGTTAATCTGAGAAGTTGATCTAGTATTGTCTTTGGTAGATACTATTTACTACTTGCCTTATCCGAGGGATTAAGCTTAATTTTCTCTTTAAAGAATTTATTCTATTTTTTTCTTGTAAGCTTATGAATTTAAACTTTAGTCAGAGTTGTCACTGCATAGATTATTATTATTATTATTGTTTATATTTGAATTATTATTTTATTGGTTGCTCGACTATACATTTGAGCTTGTAGATCTACTGTTAGATAAAATATTGCTGTTTGAAAGGTTAGACGACTACTACTACTACTATTGTTATAATAATTAAGGTTATATTAAAGGATTTGACGAATGAGAGATAAATGACTAAGTTCTTGTTAGGTTACTTGTAATTTAGTTTGGCTTATACGGTAATGTATTATAACTCTACTCTTAGTCAGCAGCCAGTGTTACAACCTGTAAGCTACTAGATGGATAAGATTATTATTACTATACATTCTTATTCTATGTTGACACTTGTGTTTATAAATCAGTACTTAATATATTTTGAGAATCAAAATTATCATTGAGAACTTTATTCTAAAAGAATGTCTACTGTTTGAATGGGAGACTTGAAGAATTCAAGTTATTTTAGATGCTTAAAGCACTATTGTTGCTATTTTATGTGGCTTGATAATTCATACCATTTGTTAAAATTTTATTTTCAGTAGGCATTTTATTTATATCTTGATTATTATAGAATGTATTTATATTTGTTTAATTTTCATTTAACATTTGAAATCCACTGCTCAAGTTAGTGTTATTATTGTTATTAAATGCCTAATCAGGAAGGGGAATCTACTGTCTGCTGGTGGTCTATAGGAAATAAGTCATTTAATTATTTGTTGCTTAGTTATTTGCCATGATTGTATTCGATGTACTTAATTTTTGATTCTACTTTTCCAATAAACATATTTTTTCTTCGAGTTCAGCTATTCTCTCAATGTAGACACACTCTCTTTATCTATGATCATTCAAACTTTTTTCTAGATGTTAAATAAAAGATTGTCTTTCACTTAAATTTTTATTTAAATTTTCTGTTGCCATTTGGAGCTAATAATTTCTATTAATCTCATTTGTATGATTTGTTTTCATAATTTCTATTAAATCTCTCAATTTTTGATTGTGAGCTTCACTTGCTTCTAGCAATTAGCTTAAAACTTAAGCGTTGTTCATAGCCTAAGCTACTTTAATTTATTATTTTATCTATTGGCTTTAAAAGTATTTTTCTTATTCATTAATTTCTTCCATCATAATATTAACTTATCCTCTTGCCGAAAAAACTAGAGGATTGATCTGCTTTTGACTAATTTACTGCTGCTAATCTTGTTAAATGTTTGTTATCATTCAAAAATGAGAAAGTCAATAGGGTAATTGGAATTTTTATTAGATAAAATAATACAACTAATTAATTTATTTATTTTCTATTATACTATGTTTTTATTCAACTCAAAATATAAACTCTTCTTACTAACCCTTTGTTTGATTTTTACTTAAATAAATATCAATTTTTGAATTAATTCCTTTAAATGTTTATTAATTTGTTTGTTTTTTGTTTGTTTGTTTGTTTAACAACTATCTTAAGTCTATTGAATTTGCATTAATTTTAGAATTTAAGCAACAAATTAGTATAAACAACTTCTTTTATTTTTGAATTCGATTTGATAAAAATAAATAGCTAACAACTAAATAACTAACTAACAAAAAATATAGCTCAATAAACAAAAAATTTTTTATTAAGTATTTTGTTAAAAATATAGAACATATATACCAACAAATTTGCATATATCTTATTTATTTGAATGTAGATATCAATTTTCTAATTGAATCAAAATTTGACTAAATTTCTACCTTATTGAAAGAGTAATTAATTACAAATAAATTTAGAAATTATTAATTTTAATAAAATTACAATTTTGCTGAATATTGATTGATTTATAATATAATTCAAATTTATTTAAGTTACAAACTAACTAATACGAATAATAAATAATTTTAATATATTTATATTAATATAAATGTATCCTTATTAATTCAAAATGTTTTCATTTTATCAGGATTCTCTAACATTATTTATTTTTGCTAAAGATAAATAATAAAGAAAGAAAAAATTTTGAATAGAGGAGACTAAAACATCACTTCATCTTTATCAAGTTGATTAGTGATTCTTTTACACTATTCATAGTCTTATACATCGTTATGATATCATCAAGTAATTCATTTCTATACATAGCTTCGACTTTTACCTTTGGACCACACTTTATGCAATCTTTAGCATAGGCTTTCTTGCACTAAAAGCAGAAAGAATGCCCACATGGAATGATAGTTATAGGCTCTTTAATAAATTTAGAACAGTAGTTGCACTTCAGGCTCTTTAATATTTCTTACTATTTATAATAATACGTGAAAATTAATTAACCAAACAAAGTTGATTTTTATAATTTAATAAAGTTTATCTCACCTCACCTTTTTCAAGTTTATCTACATTAACTTTAAATATTTATTCTTTCTATTTGACACTATTTACATTTTCATTTAGGGATTTTATCACTTCTTTAAGATTTTGAACTTCTTTTAGTATAACCTCTTTATCTTTAGACTCTGCTCCTTTTTATAATTTTTCTTGCTATAAAAGATCTGTCAAATTTACTATTTTCTCATCCTTTTTCTCTATATATAACTTCAAAGTTTTTATTTCATCAACTCTCTCTTTGTCTTATTTTTTGAATCCTTCAATATCAGCTTCCAATCTTTGAATTTAATCCTAATTAAAAAGATATTTATTCATAATTATTTATAATGTAAAAAAAAATACTTTATTTTGCTGAACTTGTCTCTCAAAATCGCTTGCATATCTCTATGTTTATGATCTCAAGTCTCCTAGCATAAGTTGCGACTTTTGAAGTTCGTTTATCTAGGCTTTTAATGTTTATTATTCTTAAAGGAGCTGCTTGTTCTGTTCTTTTAAGTTCTTTTCACAAATAAAAATAATTTTAAAAATGTAAAAATTATTAGTTGATTGACTTTACATGAGTTTCATTTGATTGGTTTTCCAACTTTTCTTTTTGATAGCTGCATTTTTACCTCAGTTCTAAAGCTTCTGAACAGTACTAAAGCTTATCTTTATCAAGACTTTTAATCTTTTCTTCTTAAATATTTAAATCAGCTTTAGCCTTTTCCATATTTTGCTTTATTTTAAAAGGAAAAAAAAATGTTTTTTAATTGATTTCATTAATTTAAAGATTTACTTCCAAGCTCTTAATTTATAATTGAAGCTCATTAATTTGCTTTTGGGCTTCTATCAAAGCGTTTTTAGCCTTTGACTTTTAATCTTCTTTCTACGAATTGAGTTTTGCTTCTAGCTCTGCTACTTTTTTTTGATAGTTTTATTCTTTTACACTCCATTAATCCATTCTTGATTTTTCTAGCTCCTTTATTGTTTTGAAATCTTATTCTAAAGAAGTAAATTTAACTTGCAAATCATCAAACCTTTATTTTTTGTTGCAAAAATTTTAAATGATTTAAAAACATAACTATAAAATACACATTTTGAAATTTTTAATTTAAGAATGAAATATTTTATTTAAATAATTTATTATAGTTAGGAAAATTAAAAAATTTAAATAAATGAATAACTAAGCAAGAAAGACTATTTGAATGGCATAATTTTTTGCTTGATAAGTATTAAGAAAAGGATATGTTTTTAACTGATAAATTAAGTAGAATATTTTTTCGAAAGCATTTATTTTTGATAAATGTAAGAAATCCTGTAAAAAAAAGTTACTTTTAAGTTTATACTCTAATTCGAGAATTAAGTTTTTCATTTGTGTCCTACAATTTTAGGTTCTACTCCGTTTTTACTTGCACAACTATTTTTTCATTTTAAAGCTCTACTTTTATCAATTTAACTTAATTTTCTAATTCTTCTATATTAAGATTGCGGGAGTCAATGAGGTATTAGTGCTCATCCAATTTCTCGCTTAGTGTTTTTATTATTTCTTTCTGGCTACCTCCTAACTATAAAAGAGTGTTAAAAAAAAATTGTTAATTATTTCAAATTACTGTGATTGAAGCTCTTTTCTTATTATCCACTTACAATGTATTAGATTTATTTTTAAATGGCTAGCCGAAAATTTCTGTAGATTGAATAAGCTTAGAAGATCTAGGCTTGTTGAAACTGTTTTCATCCTAAGTACTTCCTCTATTTAAGGTTTTTAAAGATTTTGGTTCAATTTAAGGGAAAAAGCTACTTGAACTGAGCCTCATTTTTAAATCGTTATTAAAATTGTTTGTGTTAATTATAAAAAATTTAAAGTGCTACCTACTTATTTATAAAATTGTTATCTGAATAAATGATTATTTTAATTACTTTAGTTGAAAAAAAAATTTTATTGAATTAGTTGTGTTAAAATAAACTTCCTTTTTTATTATAATATACTGAGTGATAAAAATTAAGTTAACTCCTACTATAAATATAATATAATATATATAATTAAGAAATCAGATAAATGGTAGAAAAAAATATTTATCACCAAATAAAAATAATTTTAACCAAAGTATTTTATCTTCAAAAAAATATAGTAAAAAAAGAACTTATCAACAAAGCCTTTATAACATAAATATCTTAAGAACTATTCTTATTTTTAAATAGATGATTAAAAAATTAATATTTATAATGATAATTAATTAAATTAATAAATTAAAGACTTTATAAAACTCAAATATAAATTAATTTTAATGTCTCTTTATTGATTATTTTACATATAAACAGATTAATTGTTGAAGGTTTAATTAAATTAAAGAGTGAAATATATTTTTTTAAAAACGATATTTTCCAGGAATCTAAGAACAATCAATAAAGTGAGTATATTGTAAATATATAAAAAATCTTTAAAATACTTATTTAAATTCATTAAATAAATAAAAGAGATTTTCAAAAAAAAAAAAAATATACTATATAAATAAAACATTAAAACGTAATAAGTGGTGTCTCTGAGTATTTAAGACAAGCAATTTTTGTTTACCTTTAAAATAAGTAAGAAGAGCAAAATTTGATAATTTGAGAATGCAGATGATAATAATAATAGAAAGTTGACAATAGATTTAATTATTTTGGCGAATTAAGGAAAATAAATAAAATATCATACTTTTTTTAATCTAAAATAATCAAAATAAATTTACATTCGTTAATTATTTCTTTATTAAGCATTTAATAAATTTTAGCTTTATTTTAAATAAATGGATCATTAAGCTTTAAAAAACGATCTCCTCTAATTAGGATTTGAAGAGGCTTTAGTAGATTAAGCTTTAGCTCTTACATAAGATAAAGAAAAGGCTGTTGAGCTTATATTTTAATTTTAAGAAGATTTAAACAAAGGTGGTTAACCAGATTTAAGTAAAGTAAATTTATTAGGAGATCTCTCTCCTGATTAACTCCTTGGAATGATTCCTGCTAACCAGAAGCAATCTTCAAAAAATATAGGCAGCATCTAAGTTAAAGATATGACATATCCCATGGGAGAAGATGTTGATGAAGTTTATTACAAGATGGTAAAATTGAAAATTTCATTTTTTCATTTTTCAGATTTTAACTAATTAATTACTAAAATAAAATTTTTTGTATTTTAAAGTTAATTTGTTAAATAAATAGGTCTTTTTAGTTAGAATGGATCTTAAGATGGGTACAGGTAAAATAGCTGCTTAAACTGGACATGCAGGTAATATAATTAATTAGTATTCGTTATTTATAAAATGAAATCTAAGAACTATTATACTCCGTGTTTAACGTGTTTATGACTTTTTGTATAAGATAAGAAATAGACTTTACTCAATAAATAGTTTTACTTAAAAAGTTTTTGCAGAAAATATTTTGGTATATTTATTAATGAAAAAAATTTATTATTAAAGTTTTGGGAGCTTATTAACAATTGGAAGAACGTGCCGATGAACGTGAAGTAGAATAAATTCTTGACAATTGGGAGGAATGTGGTTGCCCTAAAATTGTTTTAAAAGTAGACTCTAAAGACTAGCTTCTTGAATTAGAAAAGAAAGCTGTTGATGCAGGTCTAAATACCTATGTAGTATGTGATGCAGGAAAAACTTAAGTAATTCATTTCTAAGTTTTTATTTTGAAGGTTAAATAAATATTATTTAAAATAGGTTGAACCTGGTAGTATTACAGTTTGTGCTATTGGTCCAGCAAGAGCAGATATTATAGATTCTATAACTGGACACCTCAAATTGCTTAATTGAGTTTTTTGTTTGTAAAAAATCTGATACTACGTACTATAATAAAAACTCAAAAATATTTAGTTAATTCATATTTTTAATTATTTATTAAATGCATATGAAAATATTTTAATCAAATTTTAATTAGTTTTTTTATTTAATTTTTTCAATAAAATTTCTTTATTTTAACCAAAATTTTTAATTTTTACTAAGTTTCATCAAATTTAAATTCATTTTGATATTTTAAATCACTACTTTTGTTTAATGGATTTCTTCAAATATTTTATCATAAATTATTATTAAATACATGTGAAAATATAGAAATAATATTGAATCAAAATTAGTGATAAATTTTAATTCATCAAATCATTTCAATCTAATTTTTTTATTTTATTTAATTTATAAATTTTATTCAGTTTCTTTTTATTAAAATTATTTTGGTGGTTTCGATTTTTGAAATAATCTACCTCTATTTTAATGGCACTTCTAAATAGAAATATTTATATTTAATATATAAATCCAAACTCTACTCTTTAAGAAATTAGATAAATCTTATTTATTTTATTATTAAAGCTTTTCAAAGATACATTTTTTTATTTAAAAAAATAATTCATTTTTTATGAAATTTAATGATGAAAAAATCAACAAAACACAGCACAGAATTTTTTCATATTCAATATAAATTTATAAAATTTTTAAAAAGATTAATTTTTCTTTAAGAAAATACTTTTTTATAGTTTAAATATTTAAGTTGAAAAAAAACTAATTTTTTAAAACAAACTGCCAGTGATTTTTTCAAAAATTAATTTTATAAATTTTACATAATTAAATTTAGAATTTTGAATTAATTCATTGGCACATCGATTTGTTCATTTGAATTGTTTTCTTAAAATGTTTTTCTAAAAATTATTTAAAATTTTTTTAATCCAAAATCATTTTAAAATGAAAAAAATTGAAAAAATTTATACTAACATTACTTGATCAAGTAAGTTTTTCTAATATTATTAATAGTAGCAAAGAAGATTTTACTTAAGAATATTAAATCCAATTTTTAGTAGCTAATAGTGAATATTAATTTTGGAAGCAAGTTTCAATTCAGATAAACATTTAATATGCATTTTATATTTTGTTTTGATGGTAAATTTCATAACTTAATGCATTTATTTAAGAAATTTTCTGTTTATAATCATGTATTTACAACTTTTATTGCTATTTTTTAAGCCAGCTCTCTAATTCTTGCCAATAAATATTGGGAAAACTAGTGTTTAATTTTAATTTTTTATGAAACAAAAACAAATAAATCAGTAGAATACTAATTAGATTATCAAAAAGAGAGTTAAGCTTATGATTTAATAGAGATCTGATCAGATTCTTGAAGAAGGGAGATAATAAGATATTCCAGATACTTAAACTCAAAATACTTAATACACCCAGAATTATAACCATCCTTTTGAGTGGTCTCGAGTCCTTGAAAATATCTCTGTTGTCGCTTTACAGAAGTTCACCTCATAATCTATAGGTATTTTGAGCGATAAGCAAATAATTATGTTAAATGTTAGGACTTGCAAAATAGAAAGAAAAATAAAGCCTAATAACAAAGCAACATGCATTACGATATTGAACTAATACTAAAATTATTCAGAGTCATAATCACCAACCCATATTATTCCTAAAAAGAAAGTAAAGAGTTTATGCGTTTAATTTTTTACAGGCCACTTTGATGGAACTATTACTCTCTGGGTAATCTAAAACAACAAGGTTAAAAAGATGAGAGTATTTACTGATATTGAACCTTCTAATAGAAGACCTGTCAGCTGCTTAAATGTGATGAGCTTCAAATAGCACTTACCAGCTCCGCAAAAAAGGCATTGCTCAGAAAAATTACAAAGATGGAGAGGATCTACTTAACAACATTAAAAAACTTAGGTATAGGTAGTTGTCTAATATGTTTTGTTAAGTGGACACTAAAACGGAAATGTTAAACAATGGAACATACTTACAGGATAGTGCTTGAAGGAAATAGAAACAAAACACAACGGTATTCTCTTTTGTGTAGCGTCAATCCAAGAGACCGTCTTAACTGGAGGCTATGATAATATCTAGGTGCACTAACCTCAAAGAGCTAATTCTCTACCTCCCTTTTCGTCATTCTAATAATAATCCTCCTGTCAAGCTACTTCTACTAACCAAATTTACGACAAAGTTTAAAGGTAAGTAATCATAATTATGAATTTTTCAATTAAAAATTTATTCAAAAATAAAATAAGCAATTTCTATGAAGACTCTAAAACAAGCGAAGGACAAAATTTCCCATTTTCTGCTTCATAATCTAGAAAAAAATCATGGAGCAATTAAAGGGAAGAAGAAAGAAGCAGACATATAAAAAAGGAATTCAAAGTAATCCATAAGGGATTTGCGAACTACTAAATAAAGCCAAACTATACATAAAAAGAAGAAAAAATAGTTAGAAACATGATTGCTCTTGGTAGCAATTAGATTATTTCTCATGGCTTCACAAATGATGTTACGGAATGGAAATTAGAGTCAAATAAAATGACTAAAAAAATATACACAGGTCATACAGATAATGTAAAATGCATTGAAAAGTTAAATGGTTCTTCCTTCGTAACGGGCGGCAGAGACTCTAATGTTATAATATGGGATAATAACACAAAATCTAATCAAATATATGAAGGAGCTCATTCGCAGCCAGTAAGTTCTCTTTCAGCTATTGATGATAAATCATTTGTCTCTTCAGGAGAAGATAACCAAATCTTATTTTGGAAATAATCTAAGTGACAAATTTATTTGATTTCTAAAAACTTTAAAAATAGAATTCAGAAAAAAAATAAAATTTTATTTACTTGATAAAAAATGTAAAAAAGATTACTTTTTTATGTTTAGACAAGAAAAATAAATGCTATTTTATTTGGATTTCTAATTCATTTAAGGAAGTGTTCTTTGAGCATAAATAAAAAATTCAATTAGTTAGACTTCAATACTTACTATTATAATATATTTACTTTAAAAGTTTAATTTAATTGTTTTTTTTATTATAATTTTAAAATGAAAAAATAAATTTAAACAACCAGTAAAATTCATTAATATTATAATTCAATTTAATGCAATAAATTTGATTTTAATTCATTAAAATTAATTTGAATTTATAAACGTTTAAATATTTTTTTATTTTTAACGTATTCTAATTTTTCTCATTTATTTGCTCCGAATATTATTTTTTTTAAAAATATTAAAATTTAAAAACTCTTTGAATAATTTTTAGTATTAAAAGCAACAACAAAAAAACATGAATTTAATTTAAAATAAATTTTTTAAAATATTTTTAATTTCTTACTTATTTTGATAATTTGTTAAATTAATTTTGATAAATAATATAAATTTTAATTTTTTAAAATATTTGATTGAATATCTCTTATTATAATAAAATGATTAGAATTCAACCACAACACCCTTTCTTTTTAGTTTTCTTCATATCCTAATTATTATTTTAACAAAAAGTTCAACAAGAATTATATTTTCAACTAATTAAAAAACTTAATATCTTCAATAAATATGCTATTAATTTTATTAAATAAATCAATTTTACGACAATTTATTTCTTTAGTGAATCTATTTGTTAATTTCTATCTTCTATTTATGATTCTAGCTCTTTGATGTCCATTTTGTAAGTTTTCCTAACAAAATAAATAATTATGAATATTTTATTTCTATTAAAAATCTTTACTGCAAATTTTCAACTTCTTTTCTAGTTTCATCTAATTTCTTTTGGATTTTTTCTTTTTCTTGCTCGTATAATTGCTTTTGCTTTTCTTACTACTTAATCTTTTTATTAATATAAAAAACAGATATTTTAATTAGAAAATTAGTTGTTTAATGATCTACTCTTTCTTCATATCTATTTATATTTTCATCTAATAGTTCTATTTGCTATTTGTAATATGTTTCTTTTTCTTGGTTGAATTAATCAGACTATAATTTGCTTTAATTCTTTTGATCGAAATCAGTTATAATAGAATTAACTATTTAACCTATGAATTTTTCATGGATTGAATGTATGTGAGTAATCAAAATTTCTGACTTTTTCATTCCTACTGCATGCTAATCATACTGGCTTAAAAATCTATAGATATTTATTTATTTAACTAAGAAAAAAGCCTCATAAATAAGAAATGATTAATAAGTTACTCATTGAATTCTGAAATGTATTCATTAATATTTTTATGATTAAACTTCTTTAAAACAAACTTTTCATTGAGTCCTTTTGTTAAGTCTTAGATGAGTAAATCGTTTTATCTTTTTTTTATTATCAAAAGAAAATAATTAAAATTTAACACTTACAATTAATTCAAAGTGTAAATTACGTGCTAGCTATTTCTTCGTTTTACTCGAAAGCTTATTACTCTCGTGATTCCATATGATTAATTAATTCCATACGATACTGATGGTAATACTAATTTTTTTCTCTGATTCCTGCAATAGAATCATATTTTTCTAATACGTTATCTCTAATCGCTCTAAAGTTGGTGTACAATTCCATAAAATCAACTGCAGTCTCTCTATTTTCTAATAAGGTTTTCATTTAAGATTCAAACTGTTATAAACCAACTTGATGGCCTAATATGCATTCATTTTAAACAATATTTTCCCAAGCACTTTATATATTAGGAATTCCTTCTTTATGATTGATGTTATTTATAAAGGTTTCTATCATTGAAATCATCATTCTTCCATTAAGATACTAACCATTAAACATTTTTGGAGTGCATTTTTAGAAAATAAGTGCCCTTAATGCGATTATTTATTTTTAAAATTCACTTCTTAAATCTTCCAACTATAACCTATCCATTATTTTTAGTTTATCTTCTTCGCTAATTGGCCTTTTATATAAATTAAATTAAACTTAAAAACTTCGATTAAAAAAGAAATCTATTTATATTTATTAAAATATTTGAATACTTAACCATAGTCAGACATGATCTGTCCTTGAAATAAGATAGAATTGCTTTTCTAACATTTTTACTTTATTATACTTTGGTGTTACCCTATTTATAAAATATATTTTAAATATTCTTAATTAAATCATATGAATTACATCTTCCATGAGACAGTTTTCTAAGTACTGATTTGCAGAGATTCTTCTTCCTTTTTAGTCTTATAATTCAAGGGAAAAGTCTCTTAATATCCACAAAAATTTGGGAGTATACTAAGCAAGCATATATTCATCCATTTTGTCTCCATACTCATTAACTGCAATATTTTTTGTAAGTTTTGTAACAAGTCCTAACTAACTTATTGATGTCTCATCAATAACACCTTTGCTATTATATATAAAAAAGCTAGAAATAAGCATGGTCAAAGTGAAAATCTTTATATCATGATCTTATGTTTATTCAACGCTTTATAATCCTTCAGTATCTTTTATAAAATAGTTTTAAATATACAAATAAATTAAGATATTTTAATAGAATATATAGCTAGTAGCTTTATTTTTAAGAACAAAAGTATTTATAAATTCTTAAAGATATATATGTATTACCTATAAAGAATATATAAAGATCATCATTTTCGTTATACTATGGATTAGACCACATCCAAATACCCATAGTGCAAGCATTTACAGAATCATCTACTTTAAATCCTTCGCCTGATCTTATATCAAGAAGTTTATTCAAAAGAGCACTTTTTCCTGAGCGATAAAGCCCAACAATTGAAACGAAACAAATTTTATGATCAGAATATTTTTCTAGTATTTCTATTGCTCTTGATCCTAACTCCATTCTATTTGAATCTTGATGGAATTATATTAAGCAAATAGCTGATGGTTTTTCAGAAGTGCTATGATTCAAGTTAATTTAAATGTCATTAATTTTAGAAGGCGTATCATTCATTTTGTTTTTATTTTGATTATAAATGTTTATTGATTGCTGTATCCCATTAGTATAGCTTGAATTGCCCATATTTTATTAATTTTAATTGCCACCATTTTTAGAATAAAAGTTATCCTAATTTCCATTTAATCCTAGATTATATTTTTAATTGCCAGCTGCACTAACTCTATTTTGCATATCTTTTACTTTCATTTCATGTTATGAGATTTCATCATCATCTATTTCTTCAGAATCTTCAAATTTTTCGTTAAATTTATAGCTTTGGGCTATATTCTTCTGTCCTAAATATATTAATATTAATTAGAATGACCTCATTTAATAAAACCCTTAAAAAAAGAGAGCTTATATCTTCTATTATACCTTGATAACTACTTTGATAGTTTTGCGCCATGTCTAAGGTTTTCAGAAACTTTAACTATATTAATTGATAATTAAACGCTTTTAACTTAACAACAATATCCAGATATTAAAATGAATTTTAATATTTTTGTAATATAAAAATTAATCTATTAAATTAATGAATTAATTAATTAATTATTTGATAGTTTGCAAAATCAAATTATTTGAAAATAAAAAATTTTAGTCAGCAAAATCGAGTTTTAATGAAAATCTAAAATATTTAAGTTTTTTAAATTGAAATCAAATAAAAATAAAATCATATTTTAAAATTATGACATATGATTTTCACTATGACATACAGAAAGACATACACATGTGCAGACACTCAAAGTAAATTCTTGATAGAATCAAAAGATAATTTTATTAACAAAACATTTATTATAATAATTAATAGTATTTTTTTAAAATTTATTCTTTTATTTATCCAAATTCAAGCGAATATCTTTCGTTACTCATTTATGTGCTGAATTGATAGTGCAGTCCAACTATTTTAATTAGTTAGTATTTAACATTTATGACATCATATTATAAATATTTATTTTTTAAATTTAATTATAAATTTTCAAACACTTTAAAATATATTTTTTAATTAAAAAAATAATTTATTTTAAACTTAATTAAACCATTTTGAAAATTTGACAGAATTAATACTAGCATCAAATTTATATAAAAAATTTCATTAAAAAGTTAGTTTAATCATTATTTTTATCTTAATTGTAGCACATATTCTTATTTTATAATTTAATTTAATAGTTTATTTTAATTTTTATAATTTTTTATTGTTATTATATTAATTAATTTGATATGAGTGTCTTCTTTCAATTTATTTAAATTTTTTTGATTCCTTTAAGTTTAGTATTTAGCATTTCAAGTAATTCATATTTTACTTTTATTTTAATATCATTAAAGTTAAGATCTAATTTAGTAATATTATTTTTAATGGTTTTTATAATTATTTAGAATTGCAATATTAATATTTTATAAAGCACCCTTATTATATAAAATAAGATTAAGGCTTTCTATTAAATTAATTTTCCTTGGAAATATTAGCTATAAGTATTTTTAGAGATTTTTCATAGGCATTAGGAATTAATATTTCCATAATTTTTCAATAATTTTATCTTAAATAAGAGTACATTTTTATTAAAAATTTTAAATTTAAATATAAAAAGATTTAATATTTTATAAGAATCCCTTAAATTGTTTAATTGTTTTAAACTACAAGTAAAAAATTTATAATATTTCTATTACATTAAAGCACAAAAATATTTAATATAGAAGCTAATAAGCATTAATTAATGATGGTTGACAATATGATTTGTGGGTAAAATAAAATTATTGGTTAGATATTAATTGAAATGATTAAATAATAAATTTTCAAACTGATAATTAAAAATATAATAATAGATTTATTATTAGATTACACTTGAATCAATCAATCATTATTTTGAAATTTTTTTATTTTAATCTTACTTTTTTCTCATTAATTTTTAATTTATTTTGAGAATTGACAGCCAAAAATACATACTGTACTATTTTAAAGATCAAATAAGTTTTTTATTAAATTTAATTTGTCTACTTATTATAAAAAAGTCAATTTATTTGATACAACTTATTTAGAGAATTGACAGCCAAAAATACATACTGTACTGTTTTAAAGATCAAATAAGTTTTTTATTAGATTTAATTTGTCTACTTATTATATATTATAAAAGTAAATTTATTTGATACATTTAATATAAAAATTAAAAAATTTAATCCAATAAAAAATTGACTAAAAAAAGAAAGGTAGAAAATGGAATATTTTAAAAGCATACATTTGATAGATCTTAAAAATTACAATCCTTAAGAAATTTAAGATTTGAAAGAAGTTTCTTTAATTTAGAAAGAAATCAAATACTACTTTTAACCACTATATGAAATGTTTACAATTAATCTGAGACCTTTTAATGAATAAGAAACATAACAATTATCATAAGAAATTAGTTAACTTTTCAATAAAATTGAGAAACTTTAAATACTAATTATGGATGAATATTTTGAACTGAAATACCTTTAGTTGATTGGAAAAGCTATTTCATAGTGCTAAAACTTAAAATATTTAAATATATTTATCTTTAATATCAAGTATATTTATTGTGAAGAAGGATAATTAAGTGACTATGTCATTTTTACTTAATAAATAGCATAATGCAAAGGTATTTAATACTTAGATCTAAACGTTGAATAAGGTCATATCGATGACCAAACTTGCTTTTAAATGCTTAAAAATTTGAATAGCCTTCCTAAACTTAGTCAAATTGAATTAAACTTAGTTGATAATCCATTATATATTGAAGATTGCTGGCAATAACTTATTTAGATGTTTAAAGGATTTCATAATTTAAATTATCTTATAATAGTGTTTCCTTATGAATAAAGTAGAGAGTTTATGGAAATGTTAAGATTAAGTTTTAAAAAAGTAATTAAGAAATTGACCCATATTTGTCTTTCATGGTTGGATTGACCAAGATCAGTAATAAAATAAATAGCTAACTTTTATTAAAAGTAGTAAATAAAAAACAAATTCTATTGTTTCATGTTAATTTGATAAAATTATAATCAAAAAATTATTTATTTTTTATATATTGTAAAAATAAATTTAAATTGGTTTTATTTAACTTAAATTTATTTCTTTAATTTTTACCTTAATTCACTTTTGAATAGAGGAAAAGTCCGAAATCGGAAATCCGAGGGACGAATTATCACGGTATTACTGTCATTAATTAAATTTTCATAAGTATTTTTTCAATATTTTAAAAAAACAAAAAGAAATGTCATTATAGAGTAATTTTTTACAACAATCTAGAAGAAGTAAATATTTATTTTATAATTAATATTGTTTAATTATTTTTACATCTAAAATATTTTTTTAATATCCTCACTTTAATCTTTATAAGTTCTCTATTTTGAATGGCATTATTAATTTTATCTGCATATAGACTAATAAAATTTTTAGTAAAATTGAGATCTAATTGAGTAACATTTTGATAGTTTTATTTAGCTTAAGCAATATCCTAAGCTTTATTGTTACAAATTTACTTATAATTTAAATTCAATTTAAGTTAGAGATATATATAATAATGAAAGATTATCTATTTAATATTCCATCAAGTCAATATATAGAAGAATCATATTTTTAACAATATTAAGAATCTGATAAAAAATAAAATTTATTTAATTGAGACTAATCACTTGATTTAAGGCTTAGAGAAGTAAGGCTTTTTAAATAATTTATAATTTACTATTTTTAGAAGCTTAATATACCAATTTTACTTAAATATAAGTTGAATTTCAAATGAACAAATCTTAGCAATTTTGAAATTACTTTTGATAAAATTAAAAATTTAATAAATAATTACTAAATTCAAACTCAATATTTAAAAATGTTTACATTTATATTCTAATTTATTAGTTTCAGTAAATACTAAACCTTAAAGATTTAAAATGGCTTAACTTGTTATTCCAAGAATCTTATTATATGTAGAAATATAATTTAACTTTTGATTAAATTAATAATTCGATGGTACATATTATTTATTTATTTTGTTGTTCAATAATCTAATTTGATGACAAAATCATTTAGCTTTACTAAATCTTATTTAATTAAAGAAAATAATTTTCTTTTGTTTTTAAATGATCTATCTGTTGAATAAATTTCTAAATTTTTTGTATTATTATATGAATCTTTTTTTTTGATAATTCTACTGATAATTTTTTTAGTATTGTTGCTTTAGCATCTCATTTTTTTTCCCAAATCTCCATATACATTTTTATTATTTTTTTTAGTTTCAGCAATTTGATTTGGGATTTTTATAGAGTTTTTTCAGTTTTTCTTTTACATTTATTTAAGGCTCACTAAAATAGTTTCTCGTTTTTTTTCTATTAAAGATATTATTTAGACTTTATGTTCTTTAAAAAATATTTGATTTTCTATTTGTTTAAATCTATTATTGATATATTTTATTAATTCACTCATAAAATTATTTTTCATCAAAATTAAGCCTATCTTCAAGCACATTTTCATACTAACTTTCAAAAAAATTTCTAGAAAAAATTAGATATTATGCTAGTGTGTGAATCAAAAAAATATTGCATTTGATCACATAGTAATTATAAACCTTTAGCATATTTATTATTTTTTTTTATGGATCTGGCATTTCTAATAATTATTGACAACGAATTCTGCTTCTAAGTACTAAATTTTTAATTTTATTTAGTTTCAATTATAGTAAATTTATTTTATTTCTATTTTTTATCTCTCTGTTTTTTTCTTTATTTTTATCAGAATCTTTTAATCTATCTTTTTCCACTTAGCTTTTTTAAGAAATAAATAAAAAAATATTTCTTTAACAAAAATAACCTCCTAATTCTGAAAATATTTAAAATTAAATTTTAATTTTAATTTATGATCCTAAAATTAAATATTTTAATTAATTCTGTTTTTTTAATGAATGAACAAACTAAATTAATTTAGCTGTAGAGGATTTAAAATTCTTAAAAAACATAAGAACTAATTAATATTCTTTTATATTTATCCATAATCTAAGTTAATTGATATACATCAATAACAATAATACGACTTTATTAAAATTTGTAGGCTAGATTTATACAACACTAATTCTTATAATCTAAAAAATTTTTTTGTGGAGATTTTGATGCTTTTAAGCTGGAAAAATTAATTTTCATCTCTTTTCACATTCATTGATAAATCTTATTTTTTCATATATACTGACTCTAAATATTTTCGAGGATAGAACAAAAAGTAATAAAAATGACTCAAAATTTTTTAGTTTACTTTCTTTCTAATAATTTTTAAAAATAATACAACTAAAATAACTTGAATACTCTATTATTTTCTTAACGAAAAATCTAAAAAAATATGATTTATGTATGTGTAATATAGAATAAATATAAGTAAGAAAAATTAATTCAGAAACAACTTATAAATATACTATGACTAACGGAAAGGTATTCTTCATAGACTAGTGTCTAAGGATAATTTAATTTTTAACTTTCATGACTAAGATATAGTCAAGCGAAAAATATTATATATTTAGATTTTTTTATAATTCAACCATTAAGTTAAGGAAAAAGTATCAATTTTTATAAAAGTTAGTAATACTCCTCGAGTGTGATAGAAAAATTCTCTTAGATGCCTTTATCTTTTTAGGAAGTTTTAATGTTTTTAATAGATTTTATATCAGAAGCGTGATCATGTAACAAAAAATAATCTAATGAGTAAGACAAAGTATTTACATAGAAATGAAATTAATTTTAGTTAAATCCGCTTATATTATGCATTTAAAATATAATAATAATGATATTAGATATTTATTAATCACTTAGAAAAAGTTAAGACTTACTAATTGATTAACTTTTACTTTATCATTATAATTTAATTTCTGTATCTATTATGTTCGATCACACAAAAGTTGAGGCAAATCGCTGCTTTACCCAAGAAATTGAAAATTTTTTTCTTTTCTCAAAAATTTAAGATGTGATTGATTATAAGTATCTTTTTGACTAAAATTGAAAAGGATGAAATTTGTAAAGAAAAAGATACTCTATTCTTAGGCCAGCTTCAATCAAAAAACATGAATTGAGCGCCATTTTTAAAATTATATAAATGGATAACGAAAGAAAAATTATATTATTTGGAGACATTTTTATAAAGAAAGATATGCTTATTAGATAGATAGAAAGATACATTTGATTATTACCAAAAAAGTTATAAGATTACAGTTATCGTAAACGTCATATCAATATTTAAATTTTTGAGAAAAATTCTAAATAATGCACATTTCCTTAAAAAATGAATTTTAGATTTATTTTTTTTATAAAAATATTTTTTTCATCTTGAAGTCTTGTTAATTCTTTTTAAATTTAAAATAACTTCTCGAGAAAAATAAGAGGAAATGGCAATTCTACTTTTCAGTATTATTTATTAGGTTTTTTTAAATTTCAAAATGTATTAAGATTTCTAAATCATATACAACTCAAATTCTGATTACAAATGTTCAAAGTTTTTGTGTATGACAATTAAATGTAATATTGAAAAGCAATTGAAAAAAAAGACATATAAATTATAAATGTAGAAGTAGGTTTGATGTGCATCGCTTCATTTGGTTAAGCGTTAATATAATCAACGGAAAAAATATAAAGAATACGAATAATAAAGTACTTAGTTTCTAATGACATTTGCATAGTAATGAAATTATTTGAAAGTGAAGAGAAAAATAAAATTCTAAGGCGGTATATAGTTTAGACTACTTGCATTATTTATTTATTTTTTATTGTGTGTTTCGATGTAAAAAATAGGATTTAAAATAGTAGGTATGTATGTATGTAGGTAGGTAGGTAGGGATGAATGAATATCTGTCTAAGATTTTGAAATTATTAAGAAATTAATAAAGAATTTATCAATCTGTCTATGTAAGTGTGGGTAGATCTAAGGATGGTGCGGTGTTATAGATGGTTTTTAATAATCTGAGTTTTATTATTTATAATGAGCGGGTATTTCATAAAAAAATATCTTTTAATAAATAAATAGTGGTGAATTATAACTATTATTTTCATTATAGTTAATGCTAAATAAACAAACATCGATTTAACCATTTATCTATCTTTCTATTTGCTTCTCTCTCTTTCTGTATGCCTGTCTCAATCTGTCAACCTCTACTAGCTTTGCTCATTTGTTAATAGGGTTGAATAATTAATTATCCCGATTGCAAGTTTTAGTTTTTCATTTCTTTACTCTAGAAATGCTTTAATCTTCTTAATACTTAATATTTAGTAGGTTCTACTGGAAATATTTGACTATTACTCACAGACGTATTCTCTCTCTTTTAAGTGATGCTAATTATTTAAATTTAATTACTCTCTACTGATAAAATTTTTCATCAGTTTGAGAGAATGCTAATTTATTTAAGTAGCTTACTTAAAAGAGGAGTAAGAGTTTTCTAATGTTATGTATGGTTGATCTATTTTTAATCAGCCATTTATATGTCTATATTTGTATGATTAAGTGAGTATTCATTAGTACTTTGATATGGCTTAGCAGAGAAATCATGAAAATAGGCTAAATATTTTGTTAGATTGCAAAATATTTAGTAGTCAGAAATAGTACAAGGCGAGCTAGCTTACTTAATTGTTATTTTATTTTTATCTTTTAAAATATTAATATGAAATAACTTAATGATTATTTTATCGGATAGGGGATAGATAATTAAATTATCATGCATTAAATGTGTAAAAGGTAATATTAAATCTAAAGGGTAATAAAGGTTTAAAGATTTTGAATTCCTAAGATGAATCATGAGATAAATAAATGTACTTAGCATTTTCTCAAAAAATAGACGTTCAATTTTATTTTTCTTATTATTTATTTATGTTATTGTTATAGAAAAGTAAACTAATTATATTTATTTCTTTGTTCAATTATGATTTATTTATTTATATTATATTATATTAATTATTATTTTATTTGTAATTTGAAAAAAATCTCTAACTATTTATTATATAAGCTACCTAAAACCAACTCTTGTAGCCCTTGTTGAATCCTTAAAAAAGCTAAATTTAATCCTTAATATTCATTTTATCAAAAAAGTATATTTTGAAACTTTAAAGCGATACCTTTGAAGTCAATAAAATGAAGAGTATTGAAATGCTACTTAATTTTTTTTATCTTTTAATGAATATTTTAAACTTAACTTATATCCTAAAAGCTTTATCTGTTTAGATTTGGTTAAATTTATTAATTAGATTTTATTGGTAGGTATCTAGGTAGGTATGTATTTATGTAGATCGTATGGTATATTTTGAGTATCGTTATTATTAAGATTGTTAGGTTTTTAAAAAATATAGAGAATTTTCTCAGTATTCCATCACTTTGTTTGTTTGTCATCCGATTCCGTTTCTTTTATTTATTGTATTCTCATTAAAAAAGGTTTTGATTCCTTCCTTCGTTCCTTCTATCCATCGTTTTATGCATCTAATCTTATTCTTGCATTTTTTTTTATATGCATAATTGCTTGTTTGTTAGGTAGAAGATTGGCTTGATTGATTATGAAGGAATTTTTTGAATTTTATTCTTTATGATGCAGTTGATGAGTTTTTTTATTATATTAGTTATATGAAAAAAAGTGAAGATAGAAAATGTAATTAGGTTTTCAAATTATAGTTGTTGATCAAAGATTATATTATTATATGAAGAAATTTTATGGAAAATAAATAAATCGCTCTAAGTTAGTTAGTTAGTTATTTATGTTGTTAGCAAAGCCAGGTTATCGGAATTTCATACATCGATGACCAAAACCTGCTAAGGCGATTTATTGTCAATCATTAAATAGGCAGGTAAATTTGCGCTGACTACTTAAGTGACTTTTGCAAGTGCTTTCCACTTCTGATTTCTCAATAATTTTTATTGAAAGTAGGATTGTTGGCTTCGAATCCGTATTCGAAATCAAGTTTTCTTTGAGAAGAAGAGTGAAGATCAGTTGTAGCTACACTGCTTGTACGTTGTTTTGTAGCTCCAAAAAAATTATCAGAACTTCCAATCTATTGATTGCCTGAGTTGAAGTATGAATCCATTCCTGCGTTTCTTGAATTATATACTCTTCCGTTATTTGCTTCATCTGCGTATGATCCATAATATCCATTAGAATTGAAATTATTATTTATATTAGAGCAACTTCCTCCATAGTATCCATTTTTATTTTATTTAGGCTTGGATTGGGAATTTATTAAGTCTTCGATTGTATCATTTTGTGAAACATATCCGTAGAGGGTATCATCATCGTCTTTTTTAAAATTTGTAGACATCATGTTACCTTACTGATTGTAATAAGGGTTTTCATCTTCGTAAATCACTGAAAGGGCTCCATCCATGTTATCGCTTTGAGTTTAATTATATTTAGTTAAGACTTAATAAAGTAATTAAAAAATATAGGGGAAAAGGTATGGTAATAATTATTTGTATACTTTTTTCCTATATTTTTTTAAAATGATTGGATATTAGTAAAGTACCTGTGATTGAAATTTCCGATTTAGTTGTGATTACCAATGGAGCTCATGTAATTGTGATTATTGTGATAGTAGTAATCTCCGAAGGGGTCTGACATGTACTTTCTAAGCTTGGGTTAGTAAGCGAAGTCTTCGTATTGGTTAATTCTATAGTAGATTATAATAAGAAATGTTTTAATACACTGAGAGTAAAAATATATAGAGAGAGTAAAAATATATCTCGAGAAAGGACTTAAGATTATTTTTGATTATTTTTTGTAGATAAAAAATTGCACTCTAAAAATATGCCCTGCTTCTGCTATGTTTCAAAATTGCAAATATGGAACTATACAGCGGGATAGATTATTTTTTTTTTAAAAAAAAGCAAACAAGCAAGATTTTATAAAAATGAAATAAGTGACGATTAGGCGGAAGAAATTTTCAAGGAAAATGATGGAGTAAAGTCGGGGAGAAAAAAAAGATATCTTTTGCAAAAGATTTAATATCTATCTAGATAAGAGAGGAATTTTGGGTGAATGCTTGTTTGCTTGTTTGATTGTTTGTTTGTTTGTAAATTTCTAATAATGAAAGTGGAAAAAGAAAAACAAAGAAAAAATCAAATTAAATTTTTTGATAGAGAGCTTATCAAACAAAATTTGTTTGCTTGATTATAAGGCTTCTTTTAAATTCGCTTTCTATTACTAATACTTCAATTTTAGGGATTTTTTTTTACTTTGAAATTTTCAATTAATTCTTCTTCCTCTTTATTGACTTACTTACTTTATAAACAAAATGAGGAAAACAAGCTAACACATTAAGTAAGTAACTAATTTAAAAATTGTTTGCTTGCATCTAAGCTAACAAATACTTGATACAATTTTTTGCTATTATTTTAATATTACCTCATTTTGATGATTAAAAATGTACTCTTATTTATTATTTTTATCTATTATATATTTAATCTTTAAACGATAATGCATGCATTATGCGCTAACAAAAAAGATAATTTAGTTTAGTTTAGCTTAGTTTGTTTTTGATTGATTTTTTTTATTTAAAAGTAATAAGATTTTTATATGCAAGTGACTTTTAGAAGAGTATCTTTTTTAAATACAAAGAAAAGTTAAGCGTTTTTTTTAAATATTTATAATGTGTCCATATTTGTTTGCTCTTCTTTTTTATATGTTTATTACACTAAATGCCTCTAAATAAACTTAAAAGGTAGACAAAAAAAATTTGTATGCTAGTTTTACACTTCTTCTCCCGCATACAAATTGTAAATACCAAAAATTTGTAAATTTAAATAAAAAAAGCTATTACTAGTTATTCATGAGTTCTTACTGGCTCATAACTTCTTCTTCATAACCTTGCATAGAATGGGCAGGCTTACGAGGAGACATAATGCCATTTTTATTAGGGGCTTGATGATGATTGTAACCGTCTAATGACTAATTGTTATTAGCAGCATGATGATGATGGTGAATTGCAGAGTTGTCGCTGAATTCATTATTAGCAGCACGATGTTGTTAGTTTCCTTGCTAGAAAGGAGCAGCTTAAATATTACTTTCTGCTTCCTTATTTTACATATCTTCTTCTGAATGATAAGGATAAAAATTATTGTTCGTTGATGCGTTGGTATTGCTGTAAGTGGGATTATATTAATCTATGTTCTCATTCTATCTGCTGTCGCTAGCTTGTGCTATCTATTAATTATTTTATGAAAAGTTGTTGCTGGTGGGGTATTTTAGAGGGGAACAGTTGTTTTAAATGTTTTGGTCTTGTTTGCTTGATTTCTTTGAGGCCTTCTTTTGCTTGGTAACCTTTTATTGGGGTAATACTTCAGCTGATTCGCTGCATTAATTACTAGCTTTGTTTAATGCAGATGCATTGTCCCTTGAAGAGGAAGTAATTTCTCCATTTGCTATCATAAGTTTTTCCCTCAAATTATCAATAGCGTTTTCTAATGTGGTTCCCTCCTTTAGGTTAGCAAGATGGAATACTAATTTTTCTTAAAGCTATTGAGCTTCTCTTACCTTCTGGTATGCCAATTTTTTGTTATTATTTGGCATCTAGATGATAGGTACACAATTATCAAAATTTAGCTATACTTCTTCGATATTGCCATTCATATTTAAAGTAGCTCTTTAAATTTCAACTGGTAAAACACTCCAATTCATCAAAAGAGATGCAGGATTGCAATTATTTGAAGCAGATTTGTCAAAACCAATTGATGTGAACTAGCTTTACTAATTAGAAGGATATCCTGAATTGTAATTTGAGTAGCAACTAGCATTGCTACTATTTAAATTATTCTTTTATGAAGATGATTAAGTGTAAGTTTGGGGGTTTGAGTTTTGTTGATAGTAAACTGAAGATTTTGGTGAAGGAGAGTGTAAAATATGATCTTGAGTGTGAAGGGGAGCTTACTAATAGTTAAGGGATTCTTGAATCGGAGAGATTGCAGGGGAGAAGTTTATTGAGTTAGCGTGTATATTTATACATTCATAGGGAGGTTGGGTGAAATTAGCCTGATTCTAAAGGTGGGGACGATTAGTAACTCCTTGATTAGTGCTACTGGTCGAAGACCCAACACAATCGTTGTAAGAATACAAGTCGAAGGAAGAGATCTCCGAAGTAAGGGAAGAAGCCTAACTACGAGGTGAAATCTTAGTCTGGTTCTTCTTTTTTGAATTCGCTTAATACAAATTTTGTTATTATTGTTGATTTTACTGTTGATTTAGTTAATAAGGAGTATTTGCAAGACACTAGCCGTTCAAAGAACCCTAGCTAGGGGCACCTGATGAAGAAATTGAGCATTTAGAAGTCAAGGAAGGTGGAGCAGTCGAGCAGGTAGAAGATGCTAAATTGACTGTTTTATCAGACCAGCTAGGAGAGGTAAGTTAAGAAATGACTTACTTGTTCTTTTGAATTTGTTGGTGCTACTATTACTGTTTAGGAGTGCTCTTGTTAGTAGCAGAGGAAGCTGATTCTTTTCTAATCTTTTTTTAAACTTTTTACACCTTGGCCTTGGTAGGAGTTTATGATGAATTGAGGCCATCAGGATTAGAAATCTACACGATCTCATTAGTAGTATAGTTCATTATCATACTTTCACTACTCAGCATCGTCTTCAATTTCAGTCAGTCAGTCAGTCTATCTGGATCTCTCTCTTTGCAATATTATATATAAATATATATATATTTTTCCCTGTAAATGAAATCTAGTTCGAGAAATTTTTTTTTTCTTTTTGTTATTTTCGATTATTGCTTTTTTTGTTTGCCTTTCTCTTATCTATTTAATATTACTAACCATTCTTGGGATATTGTCACTTAATCTCAGCTTGTACTTCTAATGCATATTATCAAAAAGCTATCTATCTATCTATCAATCAATCAATATATCAACCATTCTATTAAACTTGATAGTAAAAAGTGAATTACATTTTGCATCTCATTATTAATCCTATAGCATATTCATTCATTTATAAATTGTGCATATAAATCTAATCATTATACAATTCCCCAAATGCAAAAAAAACCAATCGAATTGTAGCTATTCACTATTTACTACTATACCCCCACCTATTCGCATTTATAAACTATACTTTAGCTTGCACCAATCAGCTTTCTCCATTTCACTATGCTACATCAAATGGCTCTCAAAAATAAAAATAATATTTTAGATTTTTATAAATAATTCGTTTATACTATGTTTCGCAGACCAGTAGTGATTTTGCTCAACTAGTACTAGTTCTGCCTAACAAATACTTTTTTTATTCGTTTGTATAATCAAAAATTTCAGTACCTTTAGATTGAGAGCAAAATAATTCAATTACAACACTCCTTAACTTTTTTACCCCTTTTACATGCATATAAAAAGGAATTTAAATTTTTTAGATTTTGTGTACTTATAATTTCTTTCCTTCCCTCCAATTCTTTATTTTCTTTTTTACTTATATGAAATTGTCTCAATCTCTATTAATGCTCTCTTTCCTGCATCAAATACAAATATCTCATAAAATGGATGCTATATAAGATAAAATATATCTTATTGAGTTGGTTCAAAAATTACCTAATAATTACCTCCAATAGACAATCAATTTATGAAGTATTTTTCCAGTAATTTTATAGTTATTTTAACTATTTTTAACTATGTTTATTTTTTAGGACTAAAAAAACACTACTCACTCATTCAGACTTTGAGCATCTACTCTCAAATTTATTCTACTTAAAAGGAGAATCAAATCTCTATTAAATCAACTATTAAGAAATTAATCTAAATTTGTATTTTAAAAGTAATTAACATATAATAACTTGAAATAAATAGATTGTTCGTCACTCTTTCTAATTACATCAACAAAAAATTTTTAGCTTGAAATTAAATCGTAACATTTACGTAATCTAACGACCTTATTAATTTTTGAATAATTCTTTGAATAAATACGCTGACATACTTTATTAGTATTTTTTATAAATGCTAACTCAAAATAATATTTTCTAACTGTATAAATATTAATTCAATTTTGATCAATTTTATACTCAATTTAGACTCTTTAATTTTAATTATTTTCCTTTCATTTATCAAATTTAAATCTACATCTATTCTGCTAAATCAAAATAAATCAGTTAACAAATTTTAACGAACTATTAACATATCATTTAATTAATTTAAAAAAAATTATAACCAGTTCTATCTTACCTCTATTAACTAAAAAGTATAAAATCAAAATTTGTCATGTTCATTTTCTAATTAATTTATCCTCAAATAAGTTTTATGTAATTATTTTTAACGCTGTGTTTTTTTAAAAAAATACATTCCTTATTTTCTTTTTTTTTCATAAAACATTTTTAAAAATCATAATATTTTTATAATTAGATAAATGAACCCCTAAATTTAAAATTGGTAAAAATTATATTTAAAAACCCTAAAAAATATTTAAAAGTTTGAAGTTTACATAAAAACAGTTTCTTCATAAAATATTTTTGATTCAAGAAACTCATTAAAAAATTAAGTCACATAATTGAATCAAAATATAAATTGTATTTTTGTTGATAATACTTCTAAATAAATTCTAGCTGCCACAAAAAATAAATAGTGTTTTGAAGTAAAAAATAGAAATTTTTCTATTTAGTATAATAATGCTAAAAAACTTAAATGTAATTTATAAACAAACGTAATTAATTTAAAACTTTAACATTATTTATACTTTGATCATAAAATCTATTAAAAAAACTTAATTTAAAAAGCTTGTCATTTTAATTTAACTTTCTAAAGTATGATAAAAATAAATATAAATTATTTTAAATTCAAATAAAATATTTAACACTCATTTAAATATTAACTTCTTCTAATTATTTATTTAATTAACTCTAAAATAAGGTGAAAAATAAATAACTCATTAACATTTTTAAACAAAATAAATTAATAATTTTAAATTCTAAAAAACATATTAATTTTAAGAAATAATCAAATATAGTATCTTAATTAGTCTTTGAGATAAATTTAAATATTTTATACTATAATTACTATAATTTTTACTTTCCAATTTTGAGGTGTTTGATGATGATATTACAGAGATATTATTTGTTCTTTTTTAAACAAATATATTATCAAGTTTTATATCATTATGGACAATGTTGAACTTAAGGTGCAACTTCTAAAAATCTTAAAATTGAGCAATTTTTCTAATGATTGAGAAGATTACAAAAGCTTTAATTTTTATATATAATATTTCCTAATTTAGAGGCAAATATTTTATTTTAATATTAACCCAAAAATGTTTAAGAAAATCTAATTTTTTATTTATTTAAATAATGACCAGATATGAAGAAATATACAAAATAGCAGCATATAATTTTCATTTATCTCTCATTTCATAAGTTTAATTTATTTTGGCTAATAAAATTATTTGTCCTCTAGTAATATTATTATTTTAATTATTTAAGGTAAACTCAAATATATATTTTTTATAAAATCTGTGCAATCTTAGGTCTAATAAAAATAAAAATAAATTAAATTTAAAAAATTTCATATTTATCTATAGTATTAAAAATCAAATAATAAATATATAAACACTTCAAGTTTATTCATTTTAAAGTGCAAATTTAATATGGAAAATCAAAAAATAAAAAAAATTTATCCTTCATATGAAATATATATTACATATTCAACAATTTTTAAGATATCTGAGTATTTATTTCAATTCAATATTATATTTCTATGAGATGATTTAGTTTTTATAAATAAATCTACATTGAGTTGATATTGTTTCATTGATAAAAAACAAATCTAAGCCCCAAATCCATATATAAATAAGTATTTTGCTGAAATTTAAGTGCTAAATTTTTTGAATTTTTTTCAATTTATACCGACCTACCTAACTCTAGTATATTTAGTTTAATAAATTTTATTTTACTTGAACTAATATTATTTAGATTTAACAATGAATGTTACACTAACTTTTTTATCATTTTTCTTCATGAGTCAAACATAAACTCATATCTGATATATCTTATAATTATCTAACTATCTGTTCTTTTTATTTGAAATAAAACTAAATAAATTTTATAATATTTAAAATTAATTAAATTAATAAAAGTTTCTTTTCAATATTTCTGAAAAATAATAAATTTAATAATACAAAAATATTTTATAAATGTAATAGATAAAATTATCTATTTATTTTTTAAAAAATATTCTTTAATTTTATTTTTATTAATAAAATAAGTTTCTAATTTCATTCATTTCTTAATATTGATCTAAAGTTACTTCAATTTATGATTTTGATTATTTTAATATTTTTTAAATTTAATTTTAAATATTAACAATATTTTTTTCTAATAGATTTTCTTATCTTTCTTTATTCATTTCTTTTTATTTATACTAAATATTTATTATTTTAATTATTTATTTTTCATTTTTGATTTTATTATTCGTTTGTTATTATTAATTAATTAATGATATATTTTTTCTTCTATATTTTAAAAGTTTAAATAAAGAGATTACATCAAATAATAAGCTCACAAATATAAATATACTTTTAAAAAAAGTAATATTAAGTTTAATTATAATATTATTTAATTATTCTTATTATTATAATTATTCCTTTATTAAATTTCAGCTTTTTCTATCAAACTTTAAACTAACATAATCTAAATTAGTGGTAAAGGTGTTTCAGAATTAGATTAAGCAAAAGTAAACTGCACTAATCAATCTCACAAATTTGACACTTTTGCTTGACTAAAAATTGTTTATATGCTTTGGATTGTGATATTTTTTAATATAAAAATGAATTTAAAATAATATGACTAACTCTTTTAATTTATTTATAAGCTTTTTATTTGATTTATTTTTCATTATTATACTGTTTGTGTTTTTTTTTTCTTTGTTAATTTAACTCTTTCGTTTTTTCATTTTAAGCTTTTGCTCTGGATATTAATTAATGACTAAGTTAGGTTCTGCTTTAGCAAAGAGTACTCATCTCTAAAATTTGATACTTCATCTTAATTAAAAACCGTAAATTTTTTTGAAGTTTTTTTTATCATAAAAATTAATTTAGAACAATAAAACTCTTTTAATTTACTATTTATTAGCTTTTTATTTATTTTATTTTTCTTTTTTATTGTGAATGCGTTTTTCTTTCTTTTTTTTAATTTAACACAATTTTTTCATTTTCATCTTTTTGCTCCCACTCCAACTAAAAGAATTGTTTTCTATACTGATGGTACCTCATTTTATCATTTTATTGAGCTATATGGCTAAGAAACACTTTTAGTTTATCACTATGTGGGTTTTGAGATCAAAGAAGAAAAGTGTTTTGAAGAATGCCTGAACAAAAATGATAACCTATTTAGAAATATTCAAGGTTAATTTGAATAAATAAAAAAATCCTATTTTTTATATTATTTTCTTGGATTAATTAATATAAAATAAAAAAATATCATAAAAAGGATTTAAAAAAGGTGGTTTTTGGCTGTAAAGAAAATGAATTAACTTTTTTTCATTAAAAGTGAATTTGTGTAATTTATGTTTTGTTCTAAATAAATAGATTTTAATCTAAGAAAATTTTTTTCAGATTTTAAAGACTGATTATAATTAAATTTAAATTAACAATTTAACTTTATTTTGATTATAGTTTCTACTTAATTGAAATAATTATTTCTAAAATAAAACAATTAAAAGCAAAAAAATACTCTGATTATATTTTTGAGTATTTTATATTAATAATTTCCAATTAAATTCATTTTCAGTTTAAAAAATATTTAGATTTTTAAAAACAATTATTTATTAATTTCATATATTTATATTAAATTATTAAATAATGAGCTCTAACATTGAATATTTTTTAAACATAAAAATAAACTTTAATCTAAATTAAATTATCAATAGAGATTAAATATCTGAAATAGGAATATTTAATTTTTTATGTATTATTTACTAATCATAGTTATATTTTATTTAATCATTACTGACAGATTAACAAGTATTTTACCTAAAAAAAATTCATTTAAATTTTAAATTTTGGTAATCTAGATTTAGATAAACCAAACAAATATTTACTTATTAATAAAGAATTGTTTAGAAATCTAAATGGTTTATTAAATTTATTAATAAAAGTTACGATAAAAATATTAAACATTTAATTTATTTTTAAAAATAACATAGTCTATCATTAAATTAAAATAATGACGAGATAAATTTTTATATTGAAATGATCATATTAATTACGGAAATTCTAAATTATTGAAAAAAAAAACAACCTTTTTTGTCTAATTTGAAAACTACTTTTTAATTCATAAAAAACTTGTTGTCATTAATTAATTTATGTTCCTCAAATATTTTAAATTTATTTTTTAAAATGTTATCATTATTTATACCTTTTTCATCAATTAGTTACAATAATGGTTTCTTTTTTTTGTTTCAAGAATTAAATTATCAATTATCTTTTTAAATTGTGATAATTGAACAAATTTTAATTAATTACTTGTTGTGATATATAATGCTTTAAAAATAAAAAATTACTAACCAATATTTTTAAATATAAAAATTTGTGTTTTTAAGTAAGATTTTGTGTAAAATAACAAAAACAATCCAGCCAAAAAGTACCTCATTTAAATTGCACCAGTGCATAAAGTGATTTGAGATTATATACTCCTAAGAATTAATAAATTTCTAATTTTTGGAGTTAGCTAGTTATAATTTGGTGTCTTAAAAATATGGTTTTTTATATATTTATGATAAATGCAGTTAATAACTAAAGCTAAAAAAATTAAAAAAAACTAATTATTACTATGGATCATAAATATTTCTATCAACTATTTAAAAGAAAACCTAGTTAGTTTAGTATTTTATTATTTCAAAATTATTGATTTTTAATTATGAAGGAAATTTTGCAAAAAATAATTTAATGAAGTTAATGAATAGTTTTTATTACCACAAAGCTGGCTATAATCACATAATTAACTATTATTAGATTTATCAATATATTTTATAATAATATACTCTAAAATAGGGTATTAAGACAGAAACAAAAATATTTTAAAGCTAAATTAAAATGATTATATTATAGTATCTCAAATAATTTTAATAAAGGTGGATAAGGAAAGTTAAAAATGTAGCTTGAGTATTTATGAAATATTGAAATTATTTGAGTAATTACCTAAACACATTACTTGTTTTAATTATTACATGCAATATCTAATTAATCAATTTTAAATATTCTTTTGCTTTATCTTAATCCCAATTAATAATTATCCTGAATTTTTCCACGTTAAGTAAGGGAGTAAAAGAAAATTTTATTGTACTTTATTTTTAAATCCATTATCAAAATTACTCCTAATTATTGAACAAGGAAAGCTGATTCTGAAATGAGATAAAATTTATTATAATACTAAGAAACAAAGACTACATAAAAAAATATTGATAACTTTGTATACTTTATCTAAGGATAATAATTAAAGCATAGAAATAAGATCTATTTCATTGCAAGGAATAAGGAAATATTTATAATTTACCAAAAACTATTTCAGAAACGCTTTTACATCTTCTGTTTTAATTATAAAAAATGTCATAAAAAATTAATGGTAAAGAAGGTAAAATTTTAAAAAATTAAGAGCTGGAAAGCTGTTAAAATTTTTTTTTAGTGCCAGCCACTCAATAAGATGGATTTTTTAAAATTATGGCACATTGAATTCACCATAATATCAATTTACGGCTAGTTGAAATATTATTTATAATAATTTACGTATTTTTATTTTTATACAGATTACGTAATTTATCAACAATTATTTATTATTTATTAATATTAAATAAACGCCACTCAGTTTATTAAACTAATATTTAGAGTAGAAAGATGAGAATATTTTGTAGAAAAATGATTAAAATAAATTTCAAAGAAATTGAATCATTTAGGAGTTGAAAAGAAAAAATAGTATTTAAGGATTCAAATTTATTTGATAGCTCTACTCAGTTTAAGATAAATTAGAGTACGTTCAAGATAGTAAAATTTAAAGTGTATTTTGGAGAAAATCAAAAAGTTAAGTATACTTGATTGCAAATTAATAGTTAGTTTTTTTGAAATTTTGATGACTCCAGTTAGAAAATAAAAATGTATTTTTGTTAATAAATTATTAATGAATAAGTTAATAAAAGTTTTTCCCTTTTCTCAGTTTCTAGATTAAAAATAATCAAATTTTCTTATCTAATTTTTTCTGATTTAGCCAGCCTAAATAATCAAAGATTTTTTAGATCATATATTAATTAGTGTGAAATCAGCAAAGAGACATACATAGCTGTTGATGATTTAACTAGACTAAAATCTATAAGTAAAATAGCAAAAAAAAAATTGTTATTTCATCAAACTGAAAATTTTTCATACTAAATCACAAATAAATAATGCTAACTTAAATCACTTCATTATTTAAAAATATCCACAATAGCAGCGTAATAGAATTACTTAAAATGATGCGAACTAGTTTTTTTAGTTATAGAATTACTAATAATTAAATTATTTGGATAAAAATAACCAAAAGATGTATTTAATTTATTTCTTTTTGAATGTATTTCAAATCTTTCTTTATTACTTTGTTTGATTATTTATCAGTGAGTGAGTGAGTGTATCTGTTTGGTTGGTTGATTTTATTGATTCTTTAATTGAATTAATATTTTCTACTTTTTTAAATTAAAAGTGCCAATCAATTTCTTGAATGTATTTATTTTTTTTCAGGTAATAAATGACATGGGATTACATATAAACTGCTAAATATGATAGGAACAACATTTAATTAAAAATACTAATTTTTAGATGTGTAATTTGTCTAAATTGATTTTTATTAGCTCTTTTCTATAAGATAAATAATTTATTAAGTATTATTTTTCTTTCTACAAGATAATGTAATAAATAATGCTTGAATAGATAAAGACTGATATAAGATTACTTCAATTTTTTGTTTTTTCATGCATTACATTAGATTTATTGATATATATTTTCTATTCAATTTATGAGCAGATCAATTAGTAATTAATCATTCTTGTATTTTAAGGGTAGGAAGGAAGGAATAAATCAGATATTAAATTAAAACGAAAAAAAATTGTTATTAAAAGCTAATCATTGCAATTCAAAAACTAAGATAATAATTAAGCAAAAAAAAAAATTTAATTAAATAACTTTGAAAAACAAACAAACCATCATATTATTTTTTCAAAAATTTATTGATATTAAAATGGGCTGCGTACAATCTGCTAAACCAATGAACAGAAAGAGTTTATAAATTGAATAAAATATGAATGATTGCTCCATTCAAGTCGCTAAGAAAAGATACAACCCTGATTTAATGAAAAATGGTTGCTAAGCTGCTGAATTAAATGATTTCTCTCTTTGTGCTACTGATAAGAAAAGAGGAAATTATGACGACATTGATGATATGAATGAATTCGATAACTCATTTGATGATGAAAAGAATACAAATTCATCTAAATCTGAAGAACAATAAGATACAAAATAAGTTATTCCTGCTTAAATGCAAATTAACTGGTAATTATAAAATAATATTGGTGAAAGCTCTCTCCTTCAAAGAAGATTCATCAACAATAAATTAAAAATTAATTCTAATTGTGAAATCGCTTGCTAATGAGCAAAAAGACAAAAAAAACTCTCTTCTAAAAAATTATCCACAAATCTAGCTACACTATACAAATAGATAGACAGATAAGAGGAAATTTTGAAAACGAAATTATTAATTAAGAAAATTAGATTCATAACAAAACTATAAAAATTAAAACAATCATCAAAATAAATTATTGTTATACTATTCAAACAAATAAACAAACAAAAAACATCTCTAATCTTCTCATTCTCAACTCTCTAAAATGGCCATTTATTTTCAGCGTTCTAAACTATGCTGAATTTTGGTTATCTTATATTCTAATCTTTATTAACAACTGTAAATGATTAACACTAATACTTAAAATATTTTTTATAAAACTTAACTTATTTTTGTAAATCTATCTATCTATAATCTCTCTATCTTGTTACTCAATTTATTTTTTTATAATCATCAAAATAATTACTGATTCAGAAACTATTTATTTTCGCTTACACTCAAATAAATACTAATTATTTCTTACTTTATGTACAATTTTGAGATAATATGCATAGAAGTTAACTAGCATTTGCTAAAAGTAAGGTTGCTCAGATTTACATTCTCTTTTGTAATTTCAAATGATTTATAGACTTACTATATTCCCTTTTTCATTACTCTTATCAATCCAAATATTCATCAGTAATCCAATAAATTTTTATTGATTTCAGATTTTATTTAGAAATATCCTCCACTACTTAAATTTCTTTCTAAAAGAAATCAAGATTAAGTTTCTAATTAATTTTATTCAAGAAAGTTACTCGAACTTAAATATATATTTTTCTTGATAAAGCCTACATAATTTTACACTATTTTAAAATAGGTTTATCTTATGCAAATTAAAAGAAATAAACCATTTTTAAGTAAAACGAGTTGAAGCTTTTCGCAATCATCCAAACTCACAAAATATCACTAAATCTCATTTTTAACTCTCAATTGTACAACTCGTAGACAAAAAAAAGTTAATTTATGGTAAAACAACAATTTTTTAAAAAGAAAAAACTGAAATAAGCGTTGAATTACTTCAAAAATTTTAGTGAAGTCTTACTGACTTGTATTCTTACTATTGAGCAAATTTTAATTAAAAATAATAAGAAAATTTATTTGTCTATCAAAGCTATTGAAAGATTTTTTATTTAGATAAGTAATGCTAATAGATTTTGATGGCTTGGCTTGTTTGATATCTAAATCAATATTAAAGAAAAATAAGCTGCTTTTATCCAATATTTCTAATATTTTATTCAGTAAAAATATTAAATAAAAATTTAGTTATTAATTTTTTTTTTAAATGAAAAAATTTAAATATATTATTTTTTTTCATACAAAATATCGATTCATTATCCTAATCATATAGTTTTAATCAGATTTTTCATTGGGTTAATAAATTAAATTAAAAATCTAACACTTTTTACATCGGTTATCACTGCTCTTTGTAATATATTTATCATTAAAATATTTGAGGCCAGCCTGTTTAAAATATCTTTAAAAATCCAAATTATTCAATCATTTTACTGAGAAATATGCATCTTTATTATTTTAAGGTAAATTTTTTAATTTATTAATTACTTTGAAACGAATTTACTTTGATATCTTGTTAATTTTACTATCCCCCAAACCTGAGAATCTTTTGTAGTATTTTTACATGAATTACGTATTAAAACAGCTTGAATTGTTGTTATAAAGGATTTTCTCCACTACCTGAAAACATTTAAACAAAAACTCTATTTTTTTTCTCTCAAAAAAAAGCAAAATATTAAAAATATACAAAAATCTAAATTCTATGTTAAAATATATCAAGTATTTAGATTTTAGCGACCAAAACTAAATAAATTTAGGAATTATGTATAAGTGAAATAGTAAATTATGATAAATAGAATAAATACCATAAAAAATTGTGAAGATGAATTCTGAGGTTAATTCAAATATAAATTTTTTTACAATAAAATCTAAAATTATTAGATCATCTAATTGATCTTTAATTCAAAAAAATTTTAGCTTAAGAAATGATAATATGACATAGACTTTATAAATAGAAATTAATCAAATTTATTTTTTACTAAAGAAATAAATAGCTTACATTAAATAATAAATATACAAACTTTTGATGAAAAATCTCAAGCTTTTTTTTGTATTTACATTTTCTAAATTTTTTAAGCTTAAAGGCCTAAAATATTATTTTGTTTTTTCTTTAAAAAATACCAACTAAATCTTTAGATAATATTTATTTTTACTTAGTTTTTATGAATGATTTTTTGTTTTAATATAAATGAATGAAATCAAAATCAATTTAACATAATAAATTTAGAAGTAAGTATGAAAAATATAATATATTGTTAAAACTAGGTAAGAACCCTGACTGGCTATTTACTATTCTCAATTACTCAGTATTTCCCTTTCATGTCATTATTAAATTATTTAAAGCAATCTGAGTAGTACCAACTAAAAAATAACCAATTAAATTTATTCATATTCTTAATACTTTACTCAATTTTAATAATTTTTTTACATCAGTGCTACTTCTTTATTTTTAATTACATAGAACTATTTATTTAAAGACATTTAATAACTATAAATCAATTATCATGAAGTTCTAGATACATTTCCCATTTCGCACTGATTTTTAAACAATAAAGATATCTATTTAATTAAGACAATATGTATGGTAAAATGCTTACATTATTTTCTATATTTGTATTTTTATAAAGTTTCAAATAAAAGAATTTCAAATTAATTTACTCCAAATATTTATAGAATATTTTCAAAATTATAAAATTGATTAATTAAATTTTTTACTTTTTTTATTTACTTAACTAGAAGATTATGTAATAATTTATTGAAAAAACTCTTAATATGTCAATATAAATTGCTTGAATGACATATTTATAAATTTAGCTCTAATTCATAAATGATATGATAATACTGATTTATTATAACTAATATTAATCACTTTCTTGAACAGTAGAAAATATATCAAATATTAATTAAAATTTGATTGATATTCATGATTATTTAGATATTGTAAAAAAAACTCTGTACTTTCTATTGCTATTTACAATTTATATTTCTCAATAATTACATTCAAAAAAAAAATAAAACCTAATAAAACATATTAAATAAATATAAATAGATGCATAAATATAAGTTTTATTTTTTCAAGTAGTTAATCAAGGTTGTTTATACAAAGCATAATAAGTTTAAAATTTAAAGTAGAAAATTAAATAAAAATTGAAATTTTTTTTTTAAAGGAATTATCTAATAATAGAAAAATAAACGATTAAAAATATAATATGTGTATTTGTAGATACCTATAAAAAATATTTTTAAAAGGTATTCATTTAGCTAGCAATTATTTAATTATTGTATCAGTTAAATAAAACTTTTACTAAATTCTTCTTTATTTATATCATGGATTCAGTCTAAATTGTATCTAAGCTTTAAATAAACTCATTTTACTATTATATTGAATCATTGGTTTGTTCATTATAAACTTTTACAATATTTTAAAATCTATTTGCTAAAAATTAAAATAATTTAATAAATAAAATTAAAAAATTTTTTTGTAAAAATTGATATTTATATTATAATCTATTACCTAATACCTTTAATAAAAAACTTAATACTAATCAAATTAAATGACTTGAATAATATTATTAAGTTAAATAAATAAATAATTTTATTTAAGCTAGAATCAGGGTTTAAAATCTAAAATATTCTCTTGCAAAAAAGATTGATTTTAAAATAAAATTTAATTAAAATGGTCTTAAATGCTTTATTCAAAGTAAAAAAATGATAAAGCTTGAAGAAAAAATAATCTCCGTCTTTTTTGTAGTTTTTTTCCAAAAATTAATCCTTAATTTATAAATTATATTTTTATTAATCACTCAACTTGATTGAATAAATAAGTTGAATAAGCATAAAGTATTTTAAAGTATTCATTAATACATGAGAAAATATTTTATTAAAAATTAAGTGATTGAATCCAATAAAAAAGATAGATATAGTTTTTTATGATATTAAATCAATAAATTAATTTATCCTAAATTTATTTTAACTACTTTTTAATAACAATAGAGCAAGATAATTATTTAATAGTAAACTAGTAATCCTGATACTATTATTTACAAATTTTAAGAAATCTGACAATTTATTTAGAAATTATTTTATTTATTCATTTTTATTTTATAAATTTATGAAAAAGTAATTCTAAATTTCTTTCTGTTTTTTAAAAATATTTTTTGTTTTTGCTACAGATTGGTTTAAGATTCATCAGATAATTTGAAAATTTTCTAAAATAATAGTAAAAACTCCCCCTCTTCTTAACCAAAGTTTTTATTTATTTTATTTTTGTGACTGAATAATACCATTAATAAAACGTAAATGTATTAATTAAATAATTATATAATGATGAAAAAATAGAAGACTTCATTAATTTTTTTTAATGCTTCCAATAAATAAGAAAGCTTAATGGAATTATGGAAAAAAATTATATATGAAAGTGAGTAAAACTTCACTTTAAATTATTTTATTAATTTAACCAAAGAATTACTGTAATAAAATATTTACCTATAGAAAAAAATTAAATTTTATTCAGAATTATTAAGAATCAGCGAGGTAGTTTTTATTAAGCTTTTAAATTTTGTTTTATCATTAATAAACAGAAATCAACTATTAATATTTTTTTCTTTTTACTTATTGAAAAATCTAAAAAATTTAGGTAGTGTTATAATTCAAATTATATTAGAAAAATTATTAAAAATAAAACAATAATAGATAAAATGTCATATGCTTATTTACTCAAATATATTGTTATTGGCGATACTGTAATTTTTTAAGAATTAGCTTTTATTTCAGATTCTAAATAAAGTTCAAATAGCATACCTTTATCTTTTTTGCATAATTCAGATAAAAGCTAATATTTAGTAAGCAAATATGAAATATATTTTATATGATAAAGGGTGTAGGAAAATCTAGTCTCATTATGCAGTTTACATAAGAAGTATTTAGAGATAAACATGATATAACAGTAGGAGTAGAATTTGGAGCCAAAGTTATAAAAATAAATGGATAAAGTGTAAAATTATAAATTTGGGATACAGCAGGATAAGAAGATTTCAGAAGCATAGTACGTTCTTATTATAGATCTACTGCAGGGGCTCTTGTAGTATATGATATAACTAGGTATATTAATTAAAGAATACTTGCAATACTTTCAATTATGATAAACCTATTCATTCATTTTGATATAATGCTTTTTAAATTATTCATAGGAGAGATACATTTAAGCATATAACTAGATGGGTAGAAGAAGCGACTAACAATGGGAATAGCACCTTAACCTTTATGCTTATTGGAAATAAATCTGACTTGGAAAGCTAGTAAATTTAATTTGTATTTAAGTAAGTTATATAACATCGTATTTTATTCATTTTAGGAGAGAAGTTAGTTATGAAGAAGGTTTATAGCTAGCTAAAGAACATAATATGCTATTTATAGAGACTTCAGCAAAGACCAAGCATAACGTAGAACAGGTATTACTATATTAATTATAAGCAAAGTTAATGTTTATCTTAATAAAAGACATTTTGCTAGACAGCAGTAACTATCTTAGATAAAGTAAAAAATGGAGAAATAGAAGCAACTGCAAATGGCTCTTCAGGTGTTAAATTAGGAGAAGTATAAAAGTAGGATAATATTATTTTAGATAGTAACAGCGCCAAGAATAATAATAATGGTAACAAAAAAAAGAAAAACTGTTGCTGATTTGCTTTGAAGTTTTAAATTATTTAAAATTTAATGCATTTTAGGCTAAAATATTATAAAAATATTAATATTTATAAACTGTAGATTTACATATTACTTTTATTAAATGGTTTCTTTAATTAATTAAGATAAAATAAAATAAATATAAATCAAACTCACTCATTTCATCTAAAAAAGCTTTAATAAAATAAAAATAATATGCAATTTATATTTAAAATAAAACATATTACTCCCAATTTTATTGGCATATCAAAAAATATTTAAACTTCTTTTTTAAGAAAGTTGTAAGTAAAAGTTAATAAAAATAAAATAAAATACTTTCAATAAATAAGTCAAAAAAATTCTAAAAAATTAATATCTAGAAAGGATTTATTGGATAATTTACTTAAGATTAGTAGAAAATAAATATGTAATGATTAAAAAGTAACAACGAAATATAATTAAAAAGAAAATTTTCAAATTAACAAAAAGAATAAATCAATCAATCAATTACTCAACTAATTTTTTACTATTTAATTAATTATTAACACATTTTATAATTTTCAAATTGAATATTGAATAAAAATCAAGGAGAAATATTACTTTTATAAATTTCGTAGATATAAAAAAGAATATTCCTTTTATCTGTATTAAGAATAAACTAAATCAATTAACAAAAAATGGAATGAGTAAATAAATAATTTAAGTTAATTTTAGTTTTATCAAAATATTTATTTCAAATTTATTTCTTTTACTTTATCTTGCTTAAATTTTAATTGGTACTATAAAGTAAGAAATGAATAATCAAAATCTTTTATGAAATTATCTTTTTATATTCAATAAATAGTCTCTCAAACTTGCTTTCAGAACTATTTATTTTAAATTGGATTTATTAAAAATTTTCTAACTTTTTTCATATACCATTTATTTTTTTAGTATTTTTAGTTACTCGATGTATAGTCAAAAGTTGTTTTTTATGATTCTTTTATTGATAGTCCTTCTCTTACATTTTTAATGCAAATTTATAGATGTTCAGTTTTTATTGAGAGTTATTTTTTAAAAAAAGGAAGAATATTACGAATTATCAAAAGAAGAGTTATAGTAAATTTCTTAAGTATATTTCATGTAGTTACGATTATCAATGAAAAATAAAGCCTTTTAGTGTTGATTGATTTAGAGTGTTTACCCTTAATTTAATAATTTTGATACATCAATTTAATCAATCAATTATTTGTTAATTAGACTTCAAGCAAATTATATCAAAAATATTGGAGATTATTCAAAGGAGAGTTTTTGATATTAATTAATTAATTAATTAATAATATTCATTTAATTTAAAGAACTAAAGAATAATTAAATATTAGTAAAAACATAATAAATAGATAGCAAGCATTTATTTATAATACTTATTCCTACTCTAAAATATAAACAATTTCTGTACATAGCAGAATTATATCTTCAATACTATAAAAGTAGTAATATAACCAACCAATCATAGGTTTCTACACTGGGCTATTATCGCTCTTAATTAATCTAAAATAATTATATTTAGTTTGTAATAGTACAAAGTAGAAAAATTTAGATAGATCAGTTAATTATCAATTTAAGATAGAATATTAAATATGCAATAGATTATTCGATTATCTAATTAGAAAGGATAAACATAAAAGTAATAAAGTCCATAGTCTAATTAAATGTCACAGACTTAAAGTTAGAACAGTGAATACTCTTAAAAGACAAAAAATAAACAAATGTCTTCTGCCCATTTGATTAGCATTTCTTGCTCTAGTAAATTATTAAAATATTATCTGTGTATATATAAATAAAAATAATGAGTATAATCTATCTCAGGAATAGCTTTATAAATCAAAGTAGTTCTGACAAATGGATATCTTAACAGAGAAAATATGATTAATTGTCTTTTAAACTCTAAATATTCTTTTGTTTTAATAAAAATAGGTTAAATATTTAGGAATTATAGGGTTAATAATACTCTTTATTTAAATCAAACAATCTAGAATTAAATTCAACAAATGAGCATTTCAAATTAGTTCAACTTTGGACTGAAGGACATCCTCGATGATAAAGATTCAATTAAATAAAATAATAAATAATCATGTGTAAATCGATTTTAAATAAAAGAACCCATAGATAAATTTTCTTAGTTTTTACAGAAATCTCATTATAATAAAGTCATCCCTTAAAGTTACAGTGGAAATAGCTTAAGTAATGAAAATAACAGTAATTATAATAGAAATAACAGCGGTGGAGGAGGCACTCATAATTAAAACAACTCCAGTAATGGAGCCTCATAAAATCCATCAGAATAATATAGTGATTAAGTGAGCGAAAAGGCAACTCGATATTCGATAATGAGTGGATGCTCTGCGAGTGAAGAAACTGCTTCTATATAATCTATAGCTGATGATTAAACTCTAAAATATATTTAAGATCTAAAAAGATCTTTAAAAAGTAAATTTTAACCATTTTATCTTTTAAGAATTAATATAATTCGATTGCTTTTTAGTTGTATTTTTAAGATAGACAATTAATTATTTTCTTTAAAGAGACAAAAATATTTCGGCTTATAAAGCTTATCATTTTCAATATTCTCATTTCTAATGATTTTGTAATACTAATTAGATTGTATAGTTAAGAAAAAACCTAATGTAACATTTAACGATATTGCAGGAAACGAATATGCTAAAAAATAAATATAATAATCTTTCAAATTACCACTCCTTTATCCTAATTTGTTTAGTCAATAAGGCTAACCTAGTCCTTGGCGTAAAATACTTCTTTATGGTCCTCCTGGAGTGGGAAAAACAATGCTTGCTCAGGCAATTTGCAACGAATTTTATAGCTTATTCACAATTTTGCAGGTTTCTCTCGTTGACATTACATCTAAGTTTGTAGGAGAGAGTGAAAAGTAAAAAAATAAATTGATATAAATTTACTAATTAGTTTTTGTATTAGGTTATTGAGAATGCTGATGGATTTGGCAAGAGAACACAGTCCTTCTATTATAATTTTGGATGAAATGGACTCAATAGGAAGAAAAAGAAATGATGACGAAAACGAAACAGAAAGGAGAATAAAAACTGAATTTTTAAAATAATTAGATGGTAAAATTCTTAATTAAAAATTGTAAAGTGGAGTAAAAAAAATAAAATAAAATTAATAAATTAGATATATAAAATGATAAAGAAAAGAATGTCAATATAGTAGCCATAACAAATATGCCTTGGGAGTTAGATATAGCAGTGCTCAGAAGATTTGAAAAAAGAGTACTAGTTCCCATGCCAAATTAAAAATTTAGAGAAGAAATACTTACATTGATATTAGGAGATAAAGTATTAACCAAAGAACAAAGAAAAGAAATTGCTGAACTAACATTAGGGTAATATTTAAATAATGATCTAATATTTTTAATTTTTAATTATACTTTTATTTATATTAGATATAGTGGAGCAGATATATCCACTGTGATAAATGATGCATTCATGAGACCACTGAAAGATTTAAGAAATGCTAAATATTTTAAAGTTATTAAAAAGTAAGTCAATAAATACATAAAGATAAATAAATATATTCCTTTTGTTAATTTTTACTTTTTATTTCAAGATTACCTGATGGACTCACTGACAGTCTTGAAGAAGTTAGATCATAAGACGAAGAGCAAAGATTTTACATGCCTATATAAGAGGGAGGTGAAGATACAAAAGACCCAGAAGCTTTCCAAGAATAAATAAAATAAAAAAATATAATAAAAGTGAATAGCTTAAGTGATATTCCAGCCTAATAAATTATCTTAAGAGAAGTTACATATGTAAGCTATCAATTAATTACTTTAAAAAAGTTAATTTTATAAATATTTCAAATAATAACTAGAAAGATTTCAAAGCAAGCGTCAAGAACTGCAAACCGACAGTACCATCGAATTGGCAATAATTGTATAAAAAATTTTTATTAAAATATGGGCATAGTGAGTAATAGGAAGATTTAGAATCTTTCGATACATAATTATATGACCAGTTGTCTAATCTTTACGCTTAAACTCGCTTATATGCCGCTGCTGCATGAAACGATTCATGCAGATGGAGACATATAATACTACATGCATTTTTTTAACTTTATTTATTTCTTTTTTATTTTTAAACATTTTTAAAGCACTTAAAATTATTTATTTATTTTCATTTTATTTTATTAGCTTTCATTTTTTTTTAAATGGTTTATAATTCTATTTAATCATTTTCATTTCTTTTCTTATTATTTTAAATCTTTTTTTTATTCATTCCAACTTTTAATTTATTTTTAATTAGTTTTTAGACATTCTTTCAATTCTTTTTAATATTTTTTGAAGAATTATATTTAATTTTAATACTCTTTTTAATTTATTTATTTATGCATCTTATTTAATTTAATTACTTAAATATTTTGATATCCTTTGAAAAATACTTTTAGGTTTGAAAACCAAAACATTTAGCAAATATAAAAAATAATTAATTAAGAAGTAATATCATATATAAATGTATTTATTATGAATACATTTTATTAATTGTTTTACTATTCATTAATTTTAATTTTTTTTCATTATTTTTAGAGATTTTTCCAAATTCTTTCTTTTTAATGCTTTTTGAATAAATTTTTAAATTTAAATAAAATTATTTGAAATATTTTAATTTCTTTTAAAGATATTTTGAGCATTTTTATATAAAATAAAAAGCAAGTTTATTTATTATGAATGAATATACATTTTTATTTTTAGTGTTTTTTAAGTTTTTCTTTCAAGAATTTTTCATTATTTTTAGGCACTTTTTCTATTTCTTTTTAATTTTATTAAAACATTAAAATTTTATTTAAACTATTTTAAAATTTTTAAAAATCTTGTTAAAAAATTATTTTGATTTTTTTGAATAATAATTTTAGTTTTGAAAAAAATAAAATACGATGTTAATTTAAATATTAAATCACATTTATAATTATAAATAATTTAATTTTAATTAATATGTGCTTTGTTTAATCAATAATCAATCCAGTTTAATCTTAGTTCCTTCTGGATAAATAATAGAGGTGAAATTGAGATTTCCAAAAATTTAATGCCATCTTGCTGTGAAAGTATCGTAGAGCTTAGCACGAGACTAACATTTGATTATTATACATACCCATTCTAAAGCAGAGTATTCCTTCTTTTTCATATTATGCAAATTTTCTAAGTATGTTACTTCATTTGAAATATAGTACAAATGAGAAATTAACAATATCATGGTGAAAAAGTGGAATAATATGCCACCTAAAAGAAGAATAAAAATTTCAACAAAGCTTGATGATAATTTATCCCATTATAATAAAAAGAAGTCTATAACATCTGGAATAATACATAAAAGAACTATCATAGTCATGACATAAGATAGAAATACATAGCTAATAAAGTAGAGGTAGTTATAATCACCTACACACTATCCTATAAAAAAGCAATGATGATCTAATCTATAAACACACTTATTGCACATTGAGCAGTGATGATCATGTTTTTCTTTAACGATATTGCATTTTAAGCATATCTTTGATTTTATTTTGTCTATTTCATTGCCTTTATTATGTTAATGTTAATCACAATTTTAGTGTTTGCATCCTTCGCTGTGTTCAGTCTAGTTAACTTCTCCAATAATTGTTTATGTCTATTACTATTTTTTATTTGCTTTAGTCTTTTCATTTTTATTATTTTTCTCTGCTGTTTTTATATGATTACTACTATCTATCTATGAGTCTGATTCAGTATTTGATACCTAGATTTATTTTTATTTTTATCTTCTTCTGCATAAACAAGATGATTTTTTAGCTTTTTTTGCCAATTCCATTTATTTCTTTTCATCCTTTTCTTTTTAAGCCTTCTCTTTCTTTTCGGCTTCAATTTTTTCTTTCTTTTTTCTCTCATCTTCATGCTATTCCTTTTTTAAATAATTCTTGCTTGTGATTTGAGTGCCACAATCTGTTACTGAAGCTAAGTAAAGAGACCTAAATGTAAGTAAATATCCCATTAATATTATGCATGTTATTGGAAAATCAAAATATGTATTCAATCTCTTTGGTATAATGTCAACTAAAACACATTTCATAGAAAGTATGTAAAGTAGGACTTCTATCGAGATAATGAATTTTCCCATAATCCAATATAAATGAACTTGAAAGGGATTTTTTTTCTTGAACCATCTTTCTTCTTAATTCATTTTTTATATATTTTATTAATTTATTTAATGCTTTTTTTTTTTGTATTTTATTTAACACTAAAATAATAAAATATATTGTTTTAAATATCATAAATTGTGCTTTTTTATTTGAAAGATTGAAATATTTAAAATTTTACTCATTTTGTGTAAATGAATACCAGAAAATATATCCATTAAATCTATCACAAAAATTATTCATTTTTTTTAGTTGAGAAATCATTACTAAATAAACTAAATTTGAAATAAAAATCTATAAAAATTAGAATTTTTTGTAATAAATGCAAGTACTTTATATCTTTTTTTGAGATAAAAAATAAAAAAATTAAAATGTTTTAATCAAGTAATTTAAATAGAGATGAAATCTGAAAGGTATTTTATTAAGTACAAATAAACTGAGAGAAGAAGCAACGAAATAAAAAATGAATTTAAAAACTAAAAGACTTTTGAAAAAGAAGGATATATAGTTAAATAGATATTTCGATGTAGTTTTTGTTAATTATAAAAAATCTAAACAATTATTAAATTAAGTTAGGGTGTTAAATATTAGTAAAGAGATGATTTAGATTTCTAGAAATTTGATTAAGGGATTAGTCAATAACAGAAAAAAATAGTTTATAAGCAGTTTATAGTAGAATTAAAATATATTTGCATTCCAGTTCAAGCAACATAACGCTTCAATCTGTTACAAACCAATTTATAGCTTTTTTTGGAATAAATCGAATAAAGAAGCTGAAAATTTAGATAAAAACAATACTAAAAACACTGCTGCTGCTGCATCTGCTAAGCAAGAAAAGAAAGAAGACGATTATTTTAACCCTCAATCATGGGACAGTTTAGGATTTTTAATGGAATAGTATAAGGAAGCTAGTAAAAATAAAAAGCCCCTTCTTCCACCTTAGGATCCGAAATATAGGGGCAAGTTAACAGTAGTTTTAGAAATGGATGAAATCCTCTTCTACACATTTGTTCCTGATGAGCACGAAGCTTACATCAACGCCCCATTAAAGTAACTAGTTATTTATTACTCAATTAAATCGAAAATACTTCACATAGAAACTATAAGCTGACTAGCAATTCAAATAATACTTTCAAAGATAATATCATTTTATTTTAGTTGTATTTACTTTCAGCAAAGAACAAACATACAAACAAAAGAAATTTTAAAATAAAGTAATCTTTAAAAAAAATTTTAATTTCTGGAGATATATTTGTAAATAAATTTCTATCGAAATCAAAAGAAAGAAAGTCATATCTTTATATTTGACTTAATAGTTTGTTTGCTAGTGAGCATTTTTTAAATCGATTTATAAAAAGTTAAATTAATTTAATTAAATTTTATAAAATGCAATCCTTCATTCATTAATTTATTGATTTAAAAAACACAAATAAATATATAATATTTTATAAATCATTACTTAATTTGAATGTAAAGCAAGCAAGCAAACAAACAAACAAAAGTTACAATTTTTTTAATTATAAACAGAGATCATGATTACTACTTTGAATTACCTGAATATGACACATACTTGAGTGTGTATAAAAGACCTCACTTAGAAGAATTTTTAAAATATTTAAGAGAAAACACCGAACCTATATTATTTACAAAAGGAGTCAAATCATATGCAGAAAAAGTTCTTGTAAATCATTAACATCAATTTGGAATTACATTATAAATCCTGAAATCATATTTTAAATTTCAATCAGGGAAATTTGAAATAATGATTATATTTTATATATACAAGCATATGCATGCCCTCAATAAGCAAATATTATAAAATATATTTATTTGCAAATACAATAATTTAAGATTAAGAATTTAACAAATATTTTGAATTATTTTAATTAATTTTATCTTAATTAAATAATTAGAAATTAATAGATCCCGAAAATACATTCGCTCATATCTTGACTAATGAAGATTGTGATAAAATTGTTTACCCTCCTGAAGATATGGATGAATATGTTAAAGATTTAGATCGTCTCAACAGAGATATGAAGAAAGTAGTATATATTGACAGTTAACCTATTAGTTTTTGGTCTGCTCCAGATAACGGTAATTCTATTTAAATTAACAGAAATTCACATTAAACTATCTTTTCAAAAAAGCCTTACCTGCCTCTTCATATTATGCTGAATTACATGATGATGACAATTAATTAAAGGAAATAATAGATGAGTTGAAATTTTTATCTACTTAGGATGATGTAAGAACAATCTTATCAGAAGAATTTAAAGTGAGAGAAACTTTGAAGCAATCAAGATTCTTGTGAAAACAAAACAATGCTAAATCATTATTTATAAGAACCTCTTTACAAATTTATCAACTGCATTGTTCTATCAAAATTTAATATCCAAAAATGTAGTGTTACATTACAGTCTGTAATCAATCATAAGGATAATTTAATTAGATAACCATTTATTTTACAAATAAAAACTTACTTACTTACTTAAAAGATATTCAGATATATAATGTAAAAATTCAATTTAATTTTAATTTTCATCTGTTGCCTTTTAAGTGTATTGATTCTGCTTTTATGTGTTTAGTATGCGTATTATTCCTCTGTTTATTTTACATTTTTTCGATCAAAACAAACCCTTTTTGTATTTTTACTTGCTCTTCTTCTTTTTAATGCTTTCCTACAAAAATCGATGAATATGTAGAATAATCAATAAATTAATTGTTTTTTATTATCAAAAAGTTCTATTTTAATTAATATAAACAGATAAAATTACATTAAGATAAATTATCCATTGATTATTTTTGGTATTTATACCAATATAATCTGAGTTAGCTCAGAAATCTCTAATTATTATTATAAAATACAAAGTAGAAAATTTAGATCAAAAATTAATTTCTTTATAGATAACAAATCAATAAGCAAAAATGGGTGGTTTGAACAAAGAAACTCTAAGTGATATTGGACTTAGTGATGGGGAAGATTTAGATGATGATATAGAAATAGATGATGAAGTTGTAGATAGTGATCAAGAAGAATAAGAAGATGCTGAAGAAAGCAACGATGAATAAGATTAAAATGACGAAGATAATAGTTAAGACCAGTAGAATTAATCTGATGACCAAGAAGAAGAAGATGATAACGACGATAATAAAAAAGAAGAAGAAGAAGATTAAAAGGAATAAGAATTTAAAAAGTTGAAACTAGCTTTGAAAAATAAGAATTTATCAGAAAAAGAAAAATAAAAAATGATTTAAAAAGTTGAAGAATTCAATAAGAAATAACAATAGAAAGGTATTGCGTTTTTAATTTTTTTAAATGAAATTTTAAGGATAAACTACTTAAAATAGGTGTATGCTACTTATCCAGAATCCCTCCATACATGAAAGCTACATATATTAGAAAATTGCTTGAACCTTATGGAATAGAAAGAGTTTACCTCGCTGCAGAAGGTATATATATTTGTTAAATTTATATGTGTTAAGTTATAGTGATACTTTTGTTTATTTGCTTTGCTCAAAATTCTAAATTTATAATTAGATGATAGAAAAAGAAAAATGAGAATCAAAAATGGAGGTAATAAAAGAAGATGTTATACAGAGGGTTGGGTTGAATTTAAAGACAAAAGAATTGCAAAAAGAGTTGCTTTATCTTTAAATTGTACTAAGATGGGTATATAATATATATTATTGATAACTTCTTTTAAATTGTTTCTTTCAATAAAGTATAAAAAACTAGGAATTTTTATGGTGAAGATTTATGGAATATAAAATATTTACCAAAATTCAAATGGGAAAACTTAACTGAAAGATTAAACTATCAAAACAGAGTTAGAAAAGAAAAGTTATAGCAAGAACTACAAATATCTAAGAAAGAATAAGATTTTTATAGATAGCAACTTGATTAAAGTAAAAAAGTATAAGCTGTAGAAAAGAGAAAATTAGATAAAAATTAAACCAAAGTTTAAAATATTGCTAGAAGAACATTTATACAAAGGGCTCCTACTAAAAAAGTTCATAATGCCCAAAGTGAATAATCAGATGAAGAATGAATATAAAAACAATATTATGCTATTAAAATTTCAATATTAAAAAATTTATCTATTAAAATTTAGTAATTTATTGTGTTTATATAAAATCTAATCAAAATGTTTTAAATTAAATTAAAATATTATTATGTCTTTTAATCTTTAAATTTAATGAAAAATAAATTAATTATTTTAATTCAATACCAATCAATATTTTTTAGTTCAAAAATTTTAATTTAATTAAAATGATTTAAAATTTCTATGAGATGTTTATTATTTTTAATTTAACTATTTAAAAATAATAAATTTTCTTTATTAGAGCTAAATTCTAAAAGCAAATAATTTAGATAAACTTAAACAAACATATTTAAATTTTACTATTTTTTTATTTTGTATTCTTAATAATTGATTGTAGATTTATTTAAAAAAATTCTTTTACATTATAGGTCTTAAAAAATTTATAGAATAATCTTAAATATTTATAATTTTTAATAACTTTTATTGGTATTTAATACATAATTATTATAGCAAAATATGTTTGTCTTGAGATTCATCATTATTTTTTAATAAATTAGGAATATGATTTAATATTATTAATGTCATTTGTTTATTTAATATATTTATTTATATATAGATCGTTTAATTAATTATTTAAAAAAATAGTTTTAAAAAATAAGTAAACAGGCAATAAAAATCGGACATTTAATTGTTTATTTTAAATAAAAATATTTAATTTTAAATTATAAATTTTTTGTTAAAGTTTTCAAGCAAAAACGACTTGAGCCTTGCCTGGAACACAAGATTGAAGAGCTTGTGCGTAAGTCTTGTCCTTAAGACTTTCAGCTTGATCTACAGAAATGAACTATTTTAATTAAAAGTAATAATTTAATTTATGCTACTCATTATTGATTTAATTACATTAACATCTTCGATTTTGAGTTCCTTTTGGATCAAGTGCTTATTGTCTTATAAGAGTTAAATTTCGTTGAAAGGAAGAGTAGATTCAAGAACTTCTTTTCCTGCTTATTCGAATTCCTTGGTAACAAAAGATGCAAATTGCAATGATTTACTTAAGAGATTCTTATCAGTAATCTTCTCCTTAAGGATGACCTTCCAAGCATCCTTGATCTTGTTTCCTTCGAGTTGTTCATTCAAGATATTTAAGACCTTTTAATGAATAAATATAAAATATTTAACTCTACTTTTTGAAAATATTTTTAAAAATATGTTACATATTGTTACCAATCAGGATACTTAGGAGCATAAATAACAGTAACCTTTGTGAAAGTGACATCCTTGGCACCCTTCTTAGTTTGAGTAGATTTCTTATAAGTAACACGGAGATTTCTCAAGAAAGATTATAAGCAATTGTAGGCACGGATAGTGATGGCATCAATACTGGCAGCGTTAACTTCAGGTAAAGTTGCTTGGGAAAGAGTAGCAGGATATTATGCACTGTTGTTAACAAGAGGAAGGAAGTAAATAACCCAAGCCATTTCACAGAAGTGAGGAATGATGGGATACATAATCAAAAGTTGATATTAAATCCAGGTAAGGATAAGGTCCTTACGAGGTCCAAAAGTACCACAATTGATAAGATATTCTTCTTTGATTGTACCGAATTCGTGGAAGCCGAATTTAGCAACATCTCTGAAACGCATATCTTCATAAGATTTTATACAGTTGACATAGAGATTCTTAATTTAATTTTCGAAGACCTTATCGAAGAAAGTAATATTTTCATTGGGGCTTTCAGTTCTACTATTTTGATGGTTAGCAATGTATTCCTTTAACCACATTTCCAAAGTAGAAATTTTAAGAATTGAGTTATCAGCAACTTGCTTTTCGAAGTTAGCATCATCTTGGGTGTCACCGGCTTCAGATAAAGCAAAACGGCAAGCATCAGCACCGTACATTGAGACGATATCCTTCAATGTAAAGAAGTTACCCTTTTACTTGGACATTTTTTCACCATCAACAAGCATATATCTATTATTATGATTAAGCAAATGTTCATCAATTAATTTATGAAAATAGAGGAAATAAAAAAATTAAAGCAAAATAATTATTTACCCATTAACAAAGAATGAACGAGGCCACATGTTAGGTTCATCTTTCCAAATGGCAGCATGGTTGAAAATACACATGGTCAAGTGGTTCTTAACCAAATCCTTAGCAGATCCTCTCAAATCAAGAGGATACCAATATCTAAAGGATTCTCTAAGTTGTTTAATCTTTTCTTCTTCAACTTTAATCTTATCAGAATAAGGAGCATTCAAGAATACGTAGTCCCAGAATTCTCTGTTCATCTAATCAGGGTTAATTCCTAGAGGACCTGCTTGAGAACCAACAACGTTTCCTTTTGAATAAAAATAATGAATTTAGTTTTAAAAATAATAAATTTAATGAAAAAAATGAAAAAAATAAATAAATAAATACCTTGTAACAAGTGAACAACAGTGTAATAAGCCATGTAGATGGTGGAATCAGAAAGAGATTCAACGAGATAGTTCTTATCAAAAGGAAGGTAACTACCAAGACCAAAAGAACGAGAACAACCCCATTGTTACAACCATTCAACAGTAGCAATGAAGCTCTTGTGAACGATATCGTTGTAACAATTGAATACATTTTTAACATGATCTCTAACTGGTTTCTTCCATTCTTCTTCATCGTAAGCAAGATACCATTAGTCCATGAGGGCAACAATACATTCATCACCAGATCTGGAAATGACCTTTCCTTCAGGTTCCCAGTACTTAGCGGCTTCACCAGAGGCTAACATATCATTCTTTACCAAATTCTTAGCGTCTTAAACCTTAACACCTGCGTACTTACCAACTTTCATAACACCATCATAGAAACCCTTCAAGTAACACTCATCCTTAGCATTTTTAAGATTTTCTTTATCATTTTGAGAGGCTACTTTATGCTTTTCACAAGCAACAATAGCAGCAAGATCTCCCAATTCAGGAATGTTAATGATAGGAACAGGTTCAAATGGCAATACGTGTTCTTCTTTGATTCCATACTTTTCTCTAAGAGGAGCCTTGTTCTTCAAATCTCTAAGAGCAGCATAGTCATCAGGAGAGTCAGAAGGAACTGAAGTAACAACACCAGTACCCTTTTCCATAGAAATAGTAAGCATAGGGAGAGCATAAACCTTTTCGTAGGTGGAAAGAGGAGCCTTCAAAGGAATGCCCAACAAATCAGTACCCTTAATATCCATAATTTTAACATATTTACCATATTCTTTAGTCAAATCTTAGTAAGCCATATTCTTAGCAGCTCTTTCAGCAACAATAAAGACCTATTAAATACATTTCATTATTTAAATCACTTAAAAATAAGGATAAATTATCATAAATATGATTATAAATTTTGGCTAAATAATTAACCAAAGATTGATAGATAAGTAAAAAAACAATATTAATAAAATATATACTTCATCATTAGTGACTTCAAAAGCACCATAAACACCATCAGGAAGAATGTAACAGTTAGTTTAACCATACATAGTTTCAGGTCTCAAAGTAGCAGCAGCCAAGTAAACGTTTCTGCCTTCAAGAGCCTTCAAAGCTCCGTGGAATTCGAGAACCTATTATGAAAAAAAAAAATATTTTATTGAGTTTTGCTAAAGGGGTATTCTATAAGTGGACGAATTATGTTGTGGTAATTAATTGATAAAATGTATTGAATAGGTTTTAATGTTTATATTGATATAATAAGATATCTTTTTAAAAAAAGAGATTTATTTTAGATTAAAAAATTTTAGATAAGATTCTATTTTTTTACCTTCAACTTAATAAGAGTGTATTCTTATGGACCAATACCTTCAGATTCTTAAGCTCTGTCGTGATCAGCACAAATTTGATTATCTGCGACGGAGAAAATGGAAGGTCTCTTACCATAACGAATATAGTTTCTTTCTTTCAAAAGAGTGAACTACCATTGAATGAATGAGTCATAGTAAGGATTAACATCAGTAGTAATAAAGGATCTTCTGTGATCAACAGCAACACCAAAAGACTTCAAATCTTAAGTGGCAAAAGGATGGAAATAACCACACCAGAATTTACCTTCTTAGAATTTAGGAATGTCCTGTTTTAAAAATTGAATTAGTTAATAATTAATTAAATTTCATTTTAATGTATTTAGTGAAATTCAGCCTAATCAGTCAATAATAATGTATCTGCTTGTTAGTGCTTTTCTTCTGATTTATTGAAATATTTTAGCGAAGGATTTATTTATTTTGCTTTTTTCATGGGAAGATAGCTATTCAACAATGCTTAGTTAAGATCTATCTTTGAAAGCATAAATTTGCTAGTTTTTTGCTTATTTTTATATTAGGAAAATTAAAAAATTACTTCATCAGGGATACCCATCTTCTTGAGGATATTCCATTGTCTTTGCTCCTTCTTTTCTTCGGGGAAAACTGGAGGAAGACCATATTCTTCTATTTCTCTTCTAAGCTTGGTGGCAGCAGCAGAAATAGGCTAACCGGTGCAATGGAAACCGAAGGGGAAAACGACATTAAATCCATTAAGACGCTTATAACGAGCAATGAAATCAACTTTAGTCATGGTATAGCTGTGTCCCAAATGCAATCTACCATTCAAATAAGGATAAGGGAAAGTAACCAAGTACTTCTTTTATCCAGGATTAGGGTTAGATTCATAAGTCTTTTCATCTTCCCATTTCTTTTAGGCTTACTTTTCAAGTTCGACTAAACGATCTCTTCTTGCGAAGTTTTATTTAGGTTTATCTTCCATTTATTAATTTAGTGTACTAAAACTTTATCTAATTTTTTGCAAAAATATCTTAAATTATGAACTGTTTAATTTTTATAGTTTGAAATATAATTTTCCAAATATACACATAATTTTTAAATAAATTAAAAATATAATTAGTTAATTGTACGAACGATTATTTATACCTAAGGCTTAGCTATTTGCAATTGCGCGAGATAATTATATTTTTTTTAAGGTCTCTATTTATTAATAATTTTTATGTCTAATATCTATCTAATTTTATTCAAAAAAAGGTTAACATCTATCTATTTAATTATCTTCTCTCAAGGAATCTATACTAAAAACGCTATTGTGCCTACTTAAAAATTGCCTAATTCTATTAAAAAAGTAATCATTTTTTCATTAAATGTTGAACACTATTAATTAAATATGCTTTTACGCACTATTTAATTTATATTCAATTCAAATAAAATAACTACATTTCGTTCTTAAAAGCAGAGCATTCATAAATCTGCTAAGTTATCTTTTAAGCGCATAACTTTATCATTTTACTTCTACAAAAATACTTTATAGTTTCTTTTTTTTATAATTAAATTATCGAGAATTTTCTTGTTGCAGAATCTTATCTTTTTTTTTCTTGCTTAGTAAAACAAAGTAATTTATAAAAGTGATCCAATCACATATTACTCATTGCTTAACCAATTATTTAAATATTTTATTTCCAAAGACAGCCATATGTAAACAGCTTTAAATGTATCATAAATTTAAAATTTAATAATACTTATCGTCAGATTATAAAATGTTGGCTAAAATCTTTATTTATATCAGTAAGACATTCTATTTGAAATATTTCTTTAATTAAATTTGGTAATTTCTGATTTAATAATAGCTAATTCTTCTCATAGTATTAATTGGTTAAATAAAAACTAATCCAACTTAGAACATTTTCAAATAAATTTTACCAAAAACTAATCTAAGTTTGATTTAGATCAAAAAAAAATATAACCTTTTTCTGAATATTTTGTGTTTGAATAATTGTTATCTCAAAAATTAATCTGATAAAATAACTTATTGGTAAAAGCTAAACTTAATAATCTTAAAAATTTTTGTAATTTTATAAAAACACTTATTGTTTGTTTGTTATTCTGATAATTTCCTATTAATTAATCTAAGTAAACTATACTTTATATTAAATAATCTATATCAATATAAACATTAAGAATAATTCTAATTTAAACAATTGTTATCTTAAATTAATGACCATATGAAATTCTTTTTTAATTTCAATTTAGTATGCACTTTAACTAGAATATATAAATTTTTACCCTGTTTAATTCTCACTTTATTTCCTAAAAGTTTATTAATGAATTACCATTATTTTCATACAGCAAATTAAAGAGTAAATATAAATCAGTATTAACTAATAAGAGTTTATATAAAATATTGACTAATTGAGTGTAATTTTTTTTTTGAAAAAAAAATTTTGTTTTGTATTAAATAAATACAAATCTTTTAGTTTTTAAAAACTTAAATTTATTTAATTCAATAATAGGTAAGTTTGGTGATTGAACTAAACATTTTAATAGTTTTAATTTTGTACAATTTATATATAATAAACACACACTAAGTAAGTGAAAATTTAATATTTTAAAATAGAACATTAAGAACTATTTTATAATGGTGAAAAACTAAATTAAGAAGATCAAACAAACTATTATCTACTTATTTAAAAATGAATGTATGTATCATTTTTTAACAGCAGTAAAGAAAACACAGTTATATTCTATTTTCATCATGGTTTCGTTAGGATCAGTAGCATAATGAGTTTTTATTTAAGGATGAATTGTTAATTCAAATCCAACCTCCTTAATTACATGCTAAACCTCATCCCATGAAAGTTCTATGCTTGGCTCAGTAAAGCTTTCTGCATAGTGATAAAGTAAAGGTCCTAAATTAATCCAAACACCACCGGGTTTTAAACATTTATGAATAGTTTTTATATATTCTACTATGTCATTTGCTGTATCTATAAAGAAGATTGTACAAACTCCATGCCATTCCTCTGGTTGCTTTTTATAAATTTCTACAAATTCGCCTGCTGCCATTGAGAAATCATCGTTCATTTCAGGGTTAAGACAGTCTGAAGGGTTGACATCTGGAATTTTATACTCTCTGAAAGGGTCATTTTCTTAAAATGTATTGCAAAAAGAATGAATAAAGGGAGAAATAGTGTATTCTTTTGCATGATTCATCATATTTAGTATAAAGTTGCTTGCAAACAGCATATGATAAGAAAATTCATTTCCTTATGCGCCGTATCCTAGGCATGCGAAATCAAAAACTACTCTTCCCAAACCACAACCAGGGAAAAGAGCTCTAACACGTTTACCGTCTGCACCTATATGGTTAGGATAGTGCTTTTTAAATTCTTCTAAAACAGGCTTATAGCATAAATCACGTTCTATTTTACCCTCTTCACTCCAATCACGAATCATTTATTTAAGAGTGCTTCTCAGTTTGGAGATATCTCTAAATTAAACATATTCTTAAGGGATATACTCTACTTTTGTTACAGGATCCTTAACAAATGCAACATCATGATAACTTTCTACTATTCTATCTAAAAATTGAGCATTCAATTCAATTGCTTACTTAAGTTTTTCCAATCTTTAATTAAAATCATATTTGAGATATGATTTATTAGCTCCAATATTATGGTAACCTCTCTCCATACGAGCTACTTCTTTCAAAGAATCTGTACGATAGTTAAAATAAGAGCATACAACTTATCTAAAGTGCTTAAATTCCTCTTCATCTTGCAAGAATTGGTTGTGCTCAGGGCGATAAGCGTCTGTAGGTTCTTAAAATTCTGGGAAATTCATACTATTATTTTATTATGGCATATGAAGCTATTCATGGCTTATTTATGGACTTGGTAGAGATCCATGACTGCATTATGCTCCGTGCTAGTGCTTATCCTAATTTTCTTACTCCATCTTTTTTTATTGTGCTTTTTCCTATAATTTTTTTTGCAATAATTCTAATAAAGCTAATTTTTCTTCTTCTGTCTTTGCTTGTGAAAAAAACTAAGAGGCTGCTGGATTCAAAGAAGACTAAGAATTTGATACTTGATTTTATTATCCTTTGTTATTTAATTTGTTATTCTTGTTTTTACCTCCTTTTTTCATTTATAACCAATCTGTATTTTTGATAAAATTTGCCTTACTAAATATTTTAAAAAGATATTCTAATCCTAAGTAATAAACTTTTTCTATTTTTAAAATCAATTAATTTTAATTAATTGCATCTCTGTGAATTTTGTATCAATTTTAAAATTCTTCTTTATTTCCTATTCAATAAAAAATCCAATATTTATTAGTAGAAGTAAAATTCAATATTTATCTCAACTAAATAAAAAAATTATTTTATTTTTTTCATTATGAATTCAACATCTTTCTCTAAACTGGATAGAATCTGGTTCATTCTTTTTTTTGTATTTCTTAATATACAAATAAAAGTTCACAAATATTTTTGATATATCCTTTTTAAATTTTGGAAATATATTTTTTTAAACAAACTTTAAAAGTTATTAAAATACTTGTTGTGTGTAGAAAAATTACAAAAATAGAGAAAAAGTATTTACAATATTCCAATAATAAATAAAAGTAAATAAAATTTTTAAGAAAAAAATTTTAGAAATTATTTTTTTAATTTTGGCTGTCATTAGAATTATTTTTATTTTTTTCATAATTCATTTAAAATATTTTAACAAAAAAAAAAACTTAAGAATTAAAATTTCTTTTGATTTAATAAATAATTTAATATTATTTATATTTATTTTAAAAGCATCAAATTACTAGATTAACAGTACTTAAAACTATGGAAAGCGATAACTGTGCTTATCACCCAGCAAAATAAATAGAATTAATATGTTTAGAAGAGAGTTGCCCTGAAAAAGGATGTATGTTTTGTGCATTTTGTTTCTTAGTTGATGGAGTTCATCACAATCATAAATTTGTAGAAAGTGAAAAAATTCAATAATTTGTAGAAGAAAATGGGGAAAGATTTTTACAGAAAGTAATTCAAAAAGCTGACTAAATGTGTTATGAGCTGACTACAGAAATATGGAACTTTAAAAATTTTTTTGTGGACTATGCTAAAAAGTGTATTTAAGAGCTAACAGACCTTTTATAAAGCTCTGACTAAGAGCATCTAATAAATAATATCAGCCTAATATAAGATATTTAAACAATTGTAGAAGAAAATGAAAACCATCGCATATTTTAAATGATAAAATCATCTTAATAGCGAATAACGTTGCACTTAAAAAATTGCATAATACCTTTAGATTATAGTTATGAGAAGGTTTATTAATTTGAAAAAAATAAGATAAAAGACTTGATAGATAAATATACTTAATTTTAATTGACTGATTCTGTAAAGACTACATTATAGTAAATAGGTAAATAATAAATTATTTAATATAAAATGAAAATTAAATATAAAGATTGATATATATAAATGTATTTAGAACCTTTTTTATATGACCAGCCTCATTTGGAGAACTTTAAGTATCCTTAATTAGTTGAAGAGTAATATAAAAAAACTAAGGACATATCTTTCAAGTAATATGATTTAGAAACAAAACGCTCTAATGGAAGAGGTATGATTATTAGAGAAGATGGGAGTTATTTTGAGGGGTATATTTTTATTTTCTTTGGAGTGTTAAAAAATTTATCATTTTTGTTGTAAATAAATAGATATTTTTTAGATGGTAAAATAGAGGGAAAAGGTAGAAATATATGGCCAGAAGGAGATTGGTATGAAGGTGGATTTAAAAAAGGTAAAAAACATGGATTTGGGACACAGAGGTTGAGTGATAAACTTTATTTTGGAGAATATGTAGAAGATTATAGAGAGGGTTATGGGACAATTATATTTGATAATGGAGATACTTATAGAGGATGTATGTATTAAGATAATATGTGTGGCTATGGAGAACTTATTACTGCAAATGGAAAGATGGTTAGAGGGTATTTTGTTGACAACGAATTTAAAGGATAGACTTATAATGATGTAATTAAATAAGATTTTTAAAATCTAAAAATCTAATGACTATTTATACTTTAAAATAAATATTTAAAAACTCAAAAATATCAAACAAACATGTTTAGAAAAATATTTTGTTATTTGCTTTGAATTAGTGATTTATTTAGTTTAGATATTTCTTATTAAAACCATGCAATAATGCTTTGCTAACTTTATTTTATAAGAAATATAAAATTATATTTAGCTACAATCTGTAAGTCATATTTATCAAGATTATAATAAAACCTATAAATGTTGTTAAAATTCTTTTTAATTTATACATATCTTTAAAATAAATGATTTTTTCAAATGTATTTTTAAAGATACATATTAATAAGCATAAAAATATAAGGTTTATATTTCTTATGTAAATAAATAATTTATGTTATACACAAACTTTAAAAGAAAATCATTTGAAAATACTTTTTTAAATTATAACTTTTCTTTAAAGCTTTAAAAATCTTACATAAATTAATGAATTAATTTGAAAAAATATTAATAATTTTGAAATTAAGATAAAAGGTTGAAAAAATAAATTTTAACATTAATTTAAATTAAAATATTATATTGAATTATCATATCAATTCAATAAAATGCAAGCTTTAAAAAATCATTTTATATTTTTATAATATAAAAATGATTGTAAATTTAATGTTAAATTAAACAAGCTAATTGTTAAATAGCTTTAAAAAAGAGTTTAATGAATGAATAAAATTATATTAAAATTAAAATTTTTAGAATTAATTTAGAATTTTTTTGTTAGGTTTTGTTTTCTAAATCCTTTAATTAAATTTTTTGGCTTTATTTTCTTTTTATTTAATTTTATATTTGTCAAATAAATTTTTTTTTTTACTAATAAAATATAATTATAGAAAATTCATAAATAGATTAATTTAAGTTGGAAATAAATTTTTTATTTTAAAATAAATTACAGCAGCAGAAGGGTACATTTTTATTTATATTCTATTAGAAAAATTTTATTTTTGAATTTTAAATTTTATTTGATTTAATTTAGAATAAAATTTTATAATTATTCATATATTTGTTTTGAAATACCATAAAATCACGAATAAATTCTATTAAATAAATACTGAATTATACTTATTTTTCCTTCTTTGATTTTTAGTATTTTCAAATAGTTTTTTATAGATTGATTATGAAGAAGCAGCTAAAATTTTAGGATAACTCATTTTAATATTTTTTGTAAATGATTTCAAATAAATACACAAAATCTCTATTATAAACAGAATTAATTAACTAAGTATACAAAGGAACTTCAATGTTTCAAAATACCTAAATACATTTTTGATTTATTTTCCATTTTACGGAGACGAGATGCTTATTCCTATTTTTTTTCTTCATATATTGACTTTTATTCACTTAAAAATTCTGTGATTTTATCAAGATCTTGTTTATGAGTTTTTATAGCTTTTTCACCTTGCTCTCTTTCCTACTTATGGGTTGTTTTGTTAAGTAGTATTTCAGTACGGATATTGTTATTTTCGATCTCAATTTACTTAATAAGATCTGACAATTGTTGCTCCTCTTCACACACTTTTTGCTAACGTTAAGCAATAAGTTCATTCAAAAGTTATATTTCTTTTTCCAATGACTCATGCTCAGATAGCTATTTTAAATAAAGATCATTGTAGGATTGCAATTAGGTTTGAGTTTTATAAAACTCTTAATAAAGAGGAGCTATATCTTTTTAAACTTAATCTAATTCCATTTTTAATATTTCTTCGATCTGCTTCATTTCATCTCTTTCTTATTTCTTATTTAATACTATATTATACCCACTTTCTAATAGCTCATCAAAAGTGTTAGCCAATCCCTCGTCGAGATAAAGATAAGCTCTTTTTTTTATAATATTTGTTATGTTCACTCTAGGGGCACTTTAATTAGCTCTTTTAAACAAACTGGCTCCATAAGTTTAGGACACACCTGTTGCGCAAGACGTTTTAGAAAAGAAAGAGAATCTCCTTGACCCAGAAGAGCAAAAAGAATTATCTTATCTATTTCCTTGTGTGTTTTACATATTTTAACTGCTTTTTAAGTTATTTTAATCTGGAATATTATTGTTTTTTGTATCACTTTTCACAAAATCTTTATTCGAATCAGGCTGTTCCATTTATTAATTGCTTAAAATTATATCTTGATTTACTTTTTATGATGATTACCCTTCGCTTTTTTAAGAGTTAATTTTATTGATTTAAGTAGGAGCAGTATTATAATTCTATTAGCTAAGAAATTCTGTACTCACAATAGGAAAAGAAGAGGGTGAATTGACTTTAGATGAAAGCATTGAAGATGAATTTTAACAATGGGTGTTAGAAGCCTATGTTTCAACTGAAGCAGCTTTATTATTATAGGGACTACTTATCTAATTACAAAGAATAGGTGGAGAAGAAGGCTGAAATAGAGGACTACTGGTTTGATTCAAACTTATTTGCTTTTATGATAGTCTTAGTGAATTTTAAGTAGAAATAGCTGGCTATTAACTATGACTGAATTGAGATATTAAAGGAGGAGTTTATTGATAAGATACATCTTGTGATAGTGGCTCCTTTAACATGCTTTGTTGAAGCGAAGAAGGATAAGTTGAAAGCTATCCTGGAGAATTTATGTAATTATTTTTAGCAGAAGAACTCATTTTTTTTTGACTATCTTAACCAGAGTTACTCCATAAATCAGTTTGCTTGGATAAATTCTTTGTGTTAGGTGTATTTATTATTTTTTTCTAGCTCATTGAATTAGGTTCTTGTTTGCTTGATTGATTGTAAAATTACTACTAAATTATTCTGACTTTTGATTTTTAATATTCTTTATCTATTTTAGTCTTTTTTAATTATTTCTTTAATTAAATGTGCAAATTTCAACTAATTATTACTATTGATAACTGACCACAAATAATATAGCTTGATATTCACTATAACTAGATTTAGTTCCTTACTTACTGACTGACAATTCATATTTGATTTCTTTTTAGATATTGGTGCATTTAATAAATAAATATCTTTATAAACAATAACTTTTACTAAATGATGATATTTCAACTGGTTGTATTTACTAGGATAGATTGAATTCATAGTAAATATCTAAAGTAAATTAAAATCCACAAAAATTGATATATTTAAAAATACTGTGAAATTTGTCTTCCTCTAGCAGTATCAAAAAAACCAATAAAAAACAGCTTTGCCTGTTCTATTAAAATGAAAATAAATGAACAATTTCAAAAGATTTATTCTTTTATATTAATTATTAATTACATTTTATTAATTCAAATATAGACAAGTTCTACTGCACTAAAAAAATTATTAGATAAAAGTATAAAAATGTTCAATTGCATTCAAATGAATCATTTTAAAATATAAGTTTAAATCTAATTAAAAATTTTAAGAATTTGATGAAAAATAAAAATTTTATATTTGATAAAATATAACTAATTTACAAGCAAATAAAATTTTAAAATGTTTAAATTAATATATAATATATTCATTTAGTAACTCAAAACGTATAATAATTCAAAATCTAAATATTTTTAAGTCCTAACTCGAGAAATAATTTTCTGAAAATAGCTATATAAATTGTTTGCTTATTTAAGAAAATTAAGGTATTTAAATATTTTCTTCCAATTTAAAATCTAAATAAAATCTTATACTTAATTAAAATGAACATTATAATTTGAGAAACGAAACTTAAAATATTTTATTGAAAGTAATTTAGGTATAAAAATATTTTTAAAAAGTATTTATAATTGCATGAATATATGCTATTAAAAACAGATTTTAATACAAGTTATTTTAATTTTTTATATATAAGTTTATGAATGAAAGATGATGATTTTACTATCATTAATTTTAAGGATTTTATTATTGCTAATAATACTATTATTACTATTAGCTTTACATGTTTTATTATTAATTAGGATTTACTATATGAGGACCGCCAGGAACTGTTTACATTTATCTTTAATATTAGACATTTGGATGATTACCTTAGCCTTATATTTGAGGATTACCGCTAGGAGCATAAGGTTAATTTGGATGGCTAGCCTAATTTTATTGATGAACTCTTTACTATCTCTCTTTTATTTGTATTTCCATTTCTTTTTACTTATTTTCATACGAATATCTAAGATTTTACTTTCTTTCTAAAAGATCTTTCTCAGAGAGCTTAAATTCATCGTTTGTTTAATAAATATCATCGTTTAAAATAACTAGATTAAGTAATATTAAATAAAATATTTTAACAAAGCCATATTCTAAAGCTAATATTAATTAATTACCATGCTTTTTAATATCGTTGCTTAAATTTAACAATTACTAAGATACCTTCAAAAACTCTAATACATCTTTTCTTAAAATGTTTTGCTTAGATTATTCTTCATATGGATTATCAGAAATCTATCATAAATTTATATTTAAAACTTATTAAAATATTAAATTGTCAAATATTCTACTTTAATTTAGCAATAACTATTATTAATATTAAATTAATTACTTTCAACTATTCTGCAATGCTTACAAAAGTTTCAGTATATTATTTCATTAAATCATCTTTCTTAGTTTTAAATTCAATATATTTGCTTTCAGGGTTCATTTTTCTTTTTATTATGAAGTCTATCTATTTAGCTAAACTAAAAAAGTTTATTTTTTTACTAAAAAAATATTTGTGTTGTGTATCTTAATTTTAAAAAACAATTTGGAATAATGTAATAAATAAATAATTAATATCTGTAGTTAAGTTTAATTGATCCAACTATTGCTACTCAAAATTGGCACATAAATTTTAAATATTATAGTATTTCATTTAACCTTTCTTTTCAATATATTTATTTATGTTTTCAAAAAATAATTTTAAATTTTTTATTTGAAATTAATTAAAATTAGTTTTAAGAAAATTACAAAGAATAAAAATATTTTTCAAAATATATTTTTTTTGTAAAATCTTTTTTTTTTATTTTTTTTATTATATTAAAATCCATTTAGATCTCCATCAAAAGGTTCATCATCAATATGGTCATCATTTTCGTCTTAAGGTTTAGATTGGTCATTTTCTTCTTCATCTTCTTCTTCAATTTCTATATTAATTGCTCCTTTTTTGATAGTTTTTCTCTTTTTATCTTAAATGTTTTTATATACATTATTTATGCCTTCCACAATGTTTTCAACTCTCTTCTCATTTTGCAATCTGCTTTCTAGCTCTCCTGTTTCATTTTATTTTAAGTCTCTGATTGCATTTTTCAGTCTTGTACTGTTTATAATAGCAAATTTAGAAGCTTATTTATAGTAGTCAGTTATTTTCTTTTGAGGATCAGGCTTTCTATTTAAATATTCCTCCAGGGGTTTAAGTGAGTAATTTGTTATTTCATCATTCCACCCAAATATATTTTAGCAATAAGCTCTCAATAATCCTAAGCTAGGTTTACCCCACTAGAATGCCTCATCAGATTTGTCAACATTTGGATTTAAATAGGCGTTTATAACTTTTTAGGAAGGAAATTCTTCTGGTATTTCCCAGTGTTTTTTGTAGTTTTTATGTAGTTCTTTATAATTTTTTTCTTTCAAACTTATGTTTTTGTAGTGAATAGAAGGATCTTCTAATAAGACGTCTGCCTTACTTGCCCAAACTTTAAATCTCTTTAGTGCATCAATATTTTCAAAAGCTGTACAAATTTCCATGGCATTAACTATACCAACACCTTTTATACCTAGTGTATAATCACTACCTAAAAAGAGTGCCATGTATATTAGCTTATCTCTATTAACTCCCATCTCCTTTTCAATACTTTCACCATTTATGTATCTTTATATTTTTTATTTATTAAAAATTTCTTAATATTGCTTTAAATTTTTACCTTACATAATCAGCCTCTTTACCAAATAATCCTCTATAAATATTTTTTCCTCCAAAGAGAAAGACATCACTATCATCAGTAATAATTCCATCAACTAATTTAATTTACTCTAAAAATGCACATTGAGCTTCTGCTTCAGATGGTGCCTAATTACAAATAAGTTTATTTATTTTTAGAATGAAATAAAAACTTGCTTACCTCAACCCATGGTACTCCAAATAGTAGAAGCAGTTACCTGACTTACTAAAATTTATCTTGTATTGTCTCTGAATCTAATTCACCTAAATTGAGAAATCTTTAATACTCCTCTTCCAGCTACTCATCTGTCAGATCTATTTCTTCATCTACATGCTTATTTTACTCTTCTTCCCATTTTTCAACTTAAGCTAACAATTTTTTTATTTCTTCAGGGTCTTCATCATCTTCGTCTTCGTCATTACTTTAATTTTCCTCTTCAGTCTTTTAAAATATACTTTGATTCTTTTAAATAAATTTTTTCTTTTCTTGCTCATTCATTTATTTCATAGCTTCTTCCATTCTTAGTTTTTCTATAAGTTTTTCTAAATCTTCTCTCTCTTTCTTTTTTTTGGCATGGGTTATATCGAGTTCATCATCCATTGTCGTATTACTCTTTTTTTACTAATTGTCAAACATAAATTTGACTTGATCTATTTCTTCTTCTGTGTTTGAATTATTAACTTTAAATTATTCTAATGAATTAGTTTCATCTTTTCTAGCACTATCCACTTTTTTGTTACTATTTTACATATCTAGCAGATGTGATTATTTAACTTCTGATTAACTTTAAAAATTATCTTCTTTTCCTTACAGCTTTTCTTATGTCTGGTGTTATTCTTAATTCTTTTATTTAGCTTCAAGTCTCTGAGATTATTCCAAAGTTTTTTATTACAAAATTTCAAAACCACTCTTTTAGTCATTTTTTACTATTTCTGATATTCTTTTTTGAGTATCTGCTAGGCTGCTTCTTTAACTTTCCTCAACTTTTTTATCTTATAGCTCAATTGCATTCAATATATTAATTGATTACTCTTCATTAACTGAAATTTAGCTAGAAGATTAAATCATTGCTTAATCAAGCTCACCTATATTGTCATCACTCAAACTTGCATTCCTTAACTTTATATTAAAATTTTCTTCATGTTCTTATTCTTTATTTTCTTCCTAACTAACTTAACTTTAGCTATCTCCAAAAGACAAATCTGAGCTATCCTCATTTTTTTTCGATTATTTTTATTTTTTATTTGAGTTTGCACATAAGTCTGCAAAATTAATACTTTGTTCATTAAAAAAGTTATCATCGTCTTCTTAAAATTCAATTTTGCTTAATACATTTTATAATTATTCTGAGGTCTCTTAAGTATCATCTTATTCCTGCTCCTTCATTTATCTTTGCCAAGAAATAGTACTTGACTCTCTTGCTTTTAAGAGGTCGTTGAGTCTTGACTGTATTTCTTGTTTCCTTTCTAATTTTGTTTTTCTTGCTGGTTTTGCAATTAAACCTATTTTATTTGCTGCTACTGAGGAATTTTATTCTCCTCCTTCCTATGTATCAAAAGCTTTTTATACAAACAAGAACATTTTATCATGTTCAGATTTAGACTAACCAGTAATTATTTTGTTTTTAGGATCATTTAAAAAACTTTTCTTTTGATTTTCATTCATTGTAGAAGCTGCTTCGTTAATCATAAAATTCTACTGCTAATTTAGTAAATTTTTGCGACCTTCATCACGCACTTAGCTAACTTCTTTTTTACTTGTAACATATTCAACATAACTTTTTGATTAGAGTATAGAAAATTCTTCCATGTCAGTTATCTTAGATAAATCTCTATTTCTAATTTCCTAAAGTCGTTGATTTAACTACTAAACAATACCAACTTTTGATGCTATATCATAAATGTAAAATTCCTGCTCATTAGATATAATTCCATCAAAAAGATTAGGATACTTCTTTTTTTAAATGAGTATTTATTTAAATTCTGCATCAACAATAGACATTTAAAATTCATTTAAATTTTTTTCAAAATCATTCATTTCATCACTATTTAACGAATCTAAATCATCGAAATCAACTTCATCATCTTAATCTTTAGCTTAACTTGCATTTTAATTACCTAAACTTTTTCCTGCTTTCAACTTTCCCTCCAATTACTTGATTACATATTTTTCAGCCAATTTTTTAAGGTTTACTTATCTTTTCTCTCTTTGTTATTGACGAAGATAAAGTGTATGTCTTTTTAACTCTGGAGCTTTTCCATCAAAAACAAATACAGGTTTTATTCCTAAACTCAAAAGCCTGCATAAACGCTTAAATATTCCAACTAAATGAATATTTTTAAACTCGCTATTCATTCTTCTACTTGCAAATCCGTAAAGCATTCTAATAACCCAAATACTAACATCTATTGCTAATCTCTGACCTTCTAAAGCTTCTACTTTTAATTTTCTGCCTGCTGGAGAGAGCAAAGTCCACAGCCCTTAAACACCCATTTCAACTAAATATAAAAAAGTGAATGTTATTTGCTTTTTTATAATAAAGATTAGAAAATGTGCTTTTTTTAATAAAGAATTTTTTTATTTAATATATCAGATGAAATTTATGGTTTTTATCTGCAGAAAAGTTAATAATTTTTGATAGACTGTTTGCTTTTGATTTTAATATCTTTTAGCGGATACTTTTTATCAATTAGATTTTTTACTGTCTTTAAGATTTTTCAAAAATTATTTGATAGTAATTTATTTATTTCTGTCTTATTTAAAAATAATTTTGAAATAAACTTTAATAAAATGAATAAATGTATTAATAAAATGTTGGATTTGGTTTGTTGGAGTTTGACAAATTTGATGAGAAATGATTTTAATTTAAAAAAACCCAACCAATCAATTTCAATTGAATTAAAATTTGTTTAAAAGAAATAAGAGGGAAAAAGAAAAGTATTTGATTTCTTTAATAATTCGCTACCTAGCTATGAATGAATATTGATTGATTAATAGAAGGATAGAACAAGAAGAAGATATTAAGATATCTTGTTTGTAAATTTGACTAATTTTTAAATAAATTAATTAAAAGACATAAAAAGTATAAAATTTAAGTAATTGAAAATTGTAGGTAGAAAATGGTCAGTATTAGAAAAGCAACATTTGAAGATTTAATTGGTATGCAAAATTGTAATTTGTGGTGTCTTCCAGAAAATTACACCTCAAAGTATTACCTCTATCATTATGTTAGCTGGCCTTAAATTTTGTACGTAGCTGAAGATTAAAAGGGTAAGATTGTTGGTTATGTCATGGCAAAAATTGAAGACGAAGAAGATGTTGTTCACGGTCATATTACTTCTTTATCTGTTTTGAGATCTCATAGAAAGTTAGGTATTGCAAATTAACTTATGTCTGCTACTCATCGCGATATGCAAGCCTTATATGATGCTAAATATGTTTCTCTCCACGTCAGAGTCTCTAATCGTGCTGCTTTGGGTCTTTATAAAGGAAAACTTAATTATGAAATATACGAAGTTGAAAAGGGTTATTATGCCGATGGTGAAGATGCATACAGTATGAATAAATATTTCTCAGATGAAGCTAGACCCAAGGTGCTTCCATATGAATAAAGCGAAGAAGAAAAAGCCTAAATCGCTTAAACTAAGCCCAAAAAAGAATAGAAAGATGGAGATGATGAGGAAGATGATGAAGAGGAAAGCAAGAATAACAACGGTGTTAAAAACTATGCTGAAAAAACAACCAAAAAGTGAAAAAAGCAGTTTAAATAAATATAGATAAAACTTTAAAAAGTAGAGAACTATTGAAAATACTTAAATAATAATATTTAAAGCAATTCCAAGAATAAAGCACAAGCAATTAAGTACTAACATATAGTAAATATGTGAAGTAGATAAATTGAGACTTAATAATTAATATAAATAAATAAGTATGCTAAGAAATAATGTTTAAGTAGTATATATATTTTTTATTAAGATTATATATAAAATTAATTTTAATTATATTTAATTGTTTGTTTTCCCTTATATGATATTAGAAAATTCGTTCTTTTTTTAAGCTGTAATGGATAAAAAAGCTTCATTTAGTAAAAATTGATTTAGTTAAAATGAATGAGTAAGATTTTATGCTAGCTTACAATTTTATAAAGCTATTTTTTATTTATTTTAGATAGTTTCTCAGTAATTCTACTTTATATTTTCAATTGAACGCATTCTTAAGGAATTTATAAAAAAATGCTAAAGATACAGCAAGATAAAAGTACATATCTTTGTAAACTTAAGGCATCACAGTCTCATATCTGCCTTCCTAAAAATAATTTTCTATCCAATTGGTTACTTGATAATCTATCTTTACATTTCCATCCTCTTCATCAATTTAACTAATAAAGGTTTATTTATCAGTCTTGTACATCATTTTTTCAAAATCTTGCTTTAAATTTAAATGCTGTAAATCCTAATCTACAGAGTATTGTAAAATTATAAACTCATCTTTAAATTAAATGCTAGAAACTTTTTTAGTAGGGAGTGGTTTTTCCTTGTTAAATAATTACTAAAAATATCCTTTGTTTTTTTATTAACATATATTATATTCTCTATGTATAAGGTCATTAATTTCATCAAATAGTATTTCTTTCTCTTTTAAATCCATCCAAGTTTACACCTTACTCCTAAAACACAAATCTTAATTCCTTAATCGTCCTTTAAACTTTTAAAATAATGTCTATTGCCTTGTGCTGTTGTATGATTTAGTAAGAAACTTTTCATCAAATTTTTTAAATAACTTAAAATTTTTAAAAGAATCTGATGAATAATTTGCGCTCATTTACAACTTAATTACGATCTTCCTAATAGAAATCTTTCTTTAAAAGTATTTAATTAATATGTTATTACAATATTAATATTTATTAATTAATTAAAACTCAAAATAGCCTTAAACAAAAATCAATTACTTCTAGAAACTTAAAAAATAAGCTAAAAGCAATAAGTTATTCTACTATTTTTTTTCAAAAATAAATAAATAAATTTATCTTTCTTAAAAGTAATAAAAGAATAAATTAATAAAATATTATTGATTTAAAAAAACAAACTTTGTATGAAAAAGAATTTATATTTTTCATCAATTTTTAAACACAATAAATATAAAATACATTTAGATCTGTTTATCTTATTAAAGTTTTAGATATAGTAAATGAGCATTATCTAATAAATTCCTTTAACCTAATTTATAATATGATTTATTTTTAAGAGATATGGAAATATTTTTTTCTACATAAAAAAATTATTCTTTTAATTTATTCTTAAATTAAATTAATCTAAATAATCTTTTGTATTTTTAAGAAATTTATTTATATTTATCAAATTATAGCTATTCTCGAATAATTAGTTTGTAAGTAGGAAATAATAAATATTTTTTATAAGATAAAAGATAGTTTAAAAGGAAAAAAAAACTGAAAATTCGGATTAAAAAGTTTTTTGCTCTCAAATGTACTAATTTTTGTTTTCATATCTAAAATTATTTCTTAATTAATTTGAATTAAGTAATAAAAACATTCTCTAATTTTCAATTTCTAATTAATTCATCTTTAAACAAAGATATTGATATCTTATAATATTTTGTTTAAATATTTAATGTTATCTTTAAAGTCTTTTCATCAAATGTTTGTTGAAAATCTTATTTTAAATTTTAAATGCACTAAAATATGAATTTAATTTGATAACTGAAAATAGTTTATTAAATATTTTTAAATTGATATTCGCTCCTTCAAAATTAAATTTATAAAATTTTAGTTTAATATTAAATAAGCACAAAAGTAAGGTAAAAAATTTTTAATTAGAATAGAGTTAGAGATAAGAATTAAATCAATTTGAAAGCTCACGATGATTTATTTTTATAATATAATAATTAAAATACTAGGTTAGGTATTATAAAAAATTATAAATATAAATTATAAGCTAAAGCAAAACATATTTAGGCTATTGTATAATATTATATATTATAATTTAGATTATGAATTGTTTATGAATATTTTTCAATTTAATTTTGAAGCATTGTTTTGAAATAAATAATTTATTTTTGAATTTATTATTTATAAATCAAAACTCTCCAGCCAATTAAATTTATTTTTTAGAATGAGCTAAACAAACTTTTTTAAGTTTAAATTTTATTTAAAAAAAAAACAATTTACATTCTAATGGATTAGCTTTGCTTGTTGAATAAATAATAATACAAAGAAACTTAAACTATTTATTAGAGAAAAAAGTTTAATTCTTCTATATTTGTTAAATTATTATAATCATCTTAATATAAAAATCTAAAAAGGGAAAAAAATAAATTCTATAATGTAATACTAAAATTAAAAGTTATTATTTAAACAAAAAATACTCAAAGAAAAAGACAAAATGATAAGAGTTTTCAGATTTATAAAATAAAACTTTAGCTTTTAATAAAATAAAGCTTTATGGAGAGCTAAAAGCAGACTATGTGCTGATAGATATGATTTTTCTTCTAACTAATTTTTGAATAAGAGATTTTATTCAAAACATACAGATAACTAGAATAACAATGGATAAAAGATTATTATGACAAGTGATTTTGTTTTTGAGAAAATATTTTCTAATCATGAAAGAATGAAATCTTTTTTGGAAAGTGTTTTAGTTGGAAAAAATAAAATTTTACATGAAGAAATTAATGAGGTTATTTACCTAAATAATAACCTTTTATAAAATTCTTTAACTTAGGAGTACATACCAAAAAAATCCATGTTTGATCTTCAAATAAAAACCTCATAGGGAACGTTTATTGTTGAAATCTATAAAAGATCTTTTTAGCCTTTTTTAAAAAGAATATAGTATTATAGTGCTTAATCACTTTCATAATAATAAAATTAAACACATACTAGCTTAAAACCGATAATATCTATTGCAATTGTAGATGATATATTATTCGAAGATGATGTTCCCTGTATAAGTTTCCACAAGACTATAGAATAAAAAACACAAAAAGTGTTTCTTAATTATTCTACATATGTTTTTATAGAATTGGGAAAATATGACAACAAAAAATATGACTAATCTTGTGTACATGGAGTGAACGAGAAAGAGTGGCTAGATCTTTTGAAAAAAAGTGATATACATCGCTAATATAAAACTAAGGAAGTTTTGAATGCTGCATAATATGCTTAATTTATTTAAGAAAAATTATTTGACGAGTACGTAAAACACAAATTGTATGAAGACTAATTTATAGAAGAAATCAAAAATGCAAAAGTAGAAGGCATATAATAAGGCCAAGAAGAAACAATAAAATTAAGCAAACATTATAGCATAAAAGCAGGAAAAGAAGAGGTAGTCAAATAAATGTTAAAAGATGGCTTGTCTTTATAAAAAATCATTACTTATACTGGATTATCAAAAGAAGAAATAGATGAAATTAAATGATTTTTTTTGAAATAATCATTTAATTATATTTAAAAATTTCATGAATTATATAAAAATTTATTTTGTTTAAATATTTTATCTATATATTTTGTATTAGATGATATTAACTTAGAAAAGAAAAGTAAATAGTAAAGATTATTTGAATTAAAATTAATTTGAATTGATTCAACTCTTTATAAATTTAAAATAATTTAAGCTATTTAATATGAATTTTTATAGCCTTTTGAAAAATCATATTAATTAATAAAAACAGAGTTGTTTTAATATAAATAATAAGGAAAATAAGATAAAGTAAATTAATAAATTATGAATTTGTTGATTTATTTTTCTTTTAAACCTTAAGTAAATGGACTGAGTTCAACTTTTCAAACCAGAAAGAAAATGGTTAGCATATTTCTATTTTTATAGATATTTTATTTTTACAAAATATTTATGTAATTTATTGTTTCTTTTTAAGAATATCAGTTTGGTTTTTAGCATAGTTTGATCATAGTCAATAATAATAAATTTATGAATTTGTTGGATGGAGCTGGTTTAAATGGATATTTTAAACTAATTTCTTTTAATTTAAATGCATTTCAAATGATTTTGTGTAAATCAATTAATCAGTCAATCAATAAAAAATTTATCAATTAATTAAATCGACAAAGTAGAACGTGATAAGTTTGCAGATAGAAGTTTTAAAATATAAAAAGTAATAAAATTTTTAGGGATAGAAATGATTAAGATAGCAGGTATATTCACTTTAATAATGATAAGTTACTAAATAGTTTAAGTTATATCCATAGATTAGCAAAATTAGAACTTTAATGTAAGCACCCCTTACACTAAGCTAGATTATTCAGATATTCAATAAATGTTTATTCAATATTCTAAGCTTTATCCTGATTATATTAGGCTAAAATATATTAATGATGAATCTTCGATTGATTTTTCTTAAACTAAATGTGGAAGATATCTATAGCAAAAAGATTGTCTTTATTTCTATGCAGAAATTACAAATTTTAAAAACAATTAAAATAATTACACAAATATTCCACAGGTACTTTTGACTGGTGGTCTCTAGGGAAACAACACTTTGGGTTCAAATATAGTTACATACTTAGCTGAATATCTACTAAAAAATACTAATAGTACAAAAATCATCCAACTACTTTCAGAGAGGCTTATCATTCTTTACCCAATCCCAAATCCTTAAGGTTTTCAATAATATAGCTCTTAAGAGACACAATAAAACGGTAGAAGAATTAATGTTGAATTTGACTTTCCTTATTTTGTAGGCTAGTAAGGAGAAAAAACTTTAGATTGTTTACAAAGTGTATCTGCTAAGGCGTTGACTTACTTATTCTAAACCTACCTATTTACCTTAGGAGCTAGTTTTAACCTAGGAGAAACTCCGTCTATTCAATATCCTTTACCTGCTGCAATAAATTAGTAGAGTAAAGAAATTATTTAATCTATTTAATAATCAATTACTGAAAGTTTACAAAAGAATTCTCCAGCTAATTCTTTTCTAAGTATTTCTAATTACAACATATAATCATTAAATAGCTAAAATTAATAAGCTAAAAGTTATTATGAATGGGCTAATATAATGGCATACAACCAAAACCTTAATCCTTCTTTAAATTAGCTTCCAATTTGTAAAGAAGTGCAGCTATCCTAGTAATCTGTAATGTTTACTTTAAAATCCTTAATATTTTTTTTATTTTTGTATTTATTATAAAAAAGATAACTATGCAATCAAATTAATGTCTCCTGTTCAAAATAGTTTGCAACAGATAAGAACCAACCGAGTAAACTTATGGTGATAAAGAATCTAGCAGTAATCCTTATTCAACTAATATTGGTCATATTTCAAGGAATATATAACTAGCACAATAATTGATAGAAATGGCTGCTCCATTTATAGTATCATAAGTTAGCATTAATAATAACAATAATGTTTATCTTTAGTGGTTTGTAGATGGATGCTTTAATGTGAGCAATACATAGTTATTTTATAGGGTCTAAGACAAGCTAATAGTTTAACAAAAAGTAGATAAATACACTAATATAGATGAAATAAGCTAAGATTTTATTCTAGCTAAATCTTTTATCAATTAACCTGGCTACTTAATTGGTGGCCAAAATTAATATTAACATTCTTGGAATTTCTAGAATGAAACAGTTATTGATATTATAATCACAGCATCATGCGATTAATAATGGTCGGAATCAGGAGACTAGTAAAATAATTCAGCATTTATTCAGCTACGCACAAATCCAAACTATTCTACTTCGAATTAAAATTTTAACATTTCTTCAAAATAAACAATATTCAAAAGAATTCCATAAGTTCAGAGCATCTAAAATAAAATGTCTTTGTGTAAAATTTATAAATAAATTCCTTTATCAAATCATTCTAATTCATTATTAAATAGAGTAATAATAGTAGGCTTTAAAAAATTAATAGCACCAAGAGACTTTCTAATTCTGGATGGGAATCTTAGCAGGCCTAGGAGGCTTATTGATAATCCTAATAATAGTAGGAATATACATAAAATGCAAAGACAAATACACTGACTCTGTCGATTTAAAGCTAATTTAAGTAAAAAATGAAACTTTAGAACTTCAATCAAATGTAACATAACACAATCACAATTTAAGTGAAGTCAATCAGTTGAATTTTACAAAACCTTTAGATATTGATATGAGTAGAAATGATAATGATTTCATGAATTTTTCATCTATTAAGTGAAATTTAATATATAATAAGTTGAACTATTTGGCTATTTTATTCTTTAAAAAATAATAAAATAAAATTTACTACTATAAATAAATATTAATAAAATAATACTTTGTATTTTTAAATATTGTTAAAGTTGATCTTTAACATTCATAAATAAAATTTTATTGTTTTTTCTTACAAAATATACTTAAGTAAGTAAGGAAGTAAATAAATAAATATGTAATTTATATATTTAAGAAATATTTAATTTTTATTATTTTTGTTCAGTTCAGATTAGTTCATTTCAGTTCAAATCTATTTTTAGAGGATTAGTAACATCGATATTATTTAAAATAATTATCAGATGTGTTGTAATAGCTAATGAAAACATTAGATTTCTTATAGTTTTAATTAATGGAACTTATTTTGCAATATTTACTATTTCATTATATAAATGAGTGGCTAAATGGAGAATTATTATAAAAATAATCTTTTTTATTTAGAGTTAGCTTGTGGCAATCCACGCAGAATAGATGCTATTTAAAAAAAACACAGAAAAAAATGGAAAATCATATATTAAACGGTCTAATTCTTCATTTAATGAGAGCTATTTCAGATTATTTCTTGTATTTTGAACTTGCTAAGTCTGCTTTTACCTTTAAAATAATTTTAAGAACAAAACAGCTAGTAAACAGCTTGAATGCAAATAGACAATATAAAAAATTTGATCTAACTTGAATTTCATAATTTCTACTTCTGATTTATTTTAAAAATTAAGATGATCTTCTTATACATTTCTTCTATTAATGAATGCTCTTAACAAAAAATTTATTAGCAAAATACTTCCAAAGCCATAGAAGATTATATTAACTGCTACAATAAATCCATTCACTTTTATCTTTTCCTACTTTTAATCTGGTAAATCTGACAAAGTATCATCATTATATGCTTTTTTTACGCTTTTAGTTTATTAGAAGTTCATTTAAATAAAAGTTGGTAGAATTATAAAGCTAAAACTTACTTATTTTTTACAAAATAAAATTAAATTACACAATTAAAAAAGTCAAAAAAAAAATAAAAAGATTTAAATATTTCTGAAGTATTTTTAATAAAAATAATTGTCTATAATTTAAATTAATGCTTAATATCTGCTTTTTACTCATTAATTTTACAAGCTTATCTCCTGTTTTTAAAATTATAAATATTTGTTTGCCTATCAATTTGAAGGATATAAAATGATTTTAATCAATGACAAAAAAATAATAAATTCAAAAATATACATATAAACTTACTATTCAAAAATAACTCTTTTTTTTTAGTCAATAGTTTAATATTATGTTAATATGATTTAATTTTATAATCGTTCACATTATTATTTGATAATAATGGTTTATTATCTCTTTCCAATCAATCTTAGTGTCTCGAATTACCAAATCTATTATCAGTAGTTCTCTATTTGATAAAGAATGCAACTGCAATCAAAACTGAAATTGAACCAACAACTATAAATGCTATAGAAAGAAATTGATTTTTTCCACCAAAAGGTCCGCTGGTTGATAAAATAATGTTTTTGTGTCCTTTGAAATTGCTAACATCATATATATTATTTACCATAATATAATAGTCTCCCTTAGGTAGATTTTATCTAACTATACCCCACAATTTACGGAAATTAGGAAGACCACTTGTACGCATCCAAACAATAAAATGTTCATCTTCAACGTTAATCCAATACCTTTCCTTATGTGCACTATCCATTTTGAATTTATTTCCTTTGTCATCAGGCCATGCAATACCTGATTCATCTATATTAATGGGTGATGAATCTGCATGAAATAATGCAAATGTATCAGTGAAAAAGCTTCTAGCAATCAACCCACAAGGATAAGCAATTTCATTAGGATTAAGAGCTGCTTATTTATTATTAAATTAAAATTGTTATTCTGGAAGAAGATCTGAATTATGAACAATAGGACTACAGAATGTATTTGCATCTGAGCTAGATATAGTTGATCCTGAAAGTTAAGAAGATGATTTTGATTTAATGTATCTACGATGGTTTTGATAGAAATTGTCAAGTCCATAAAAAAAATACACTGTATCAGTGAAATCTTCATTTAAGGTAAAAGGAATTTTGCACTATGTCTAACCTTTGCATAGATCTTCATAGTTATCTATTTACTTTTCTTTTATTTTTGCATTGAAAATATTTATCACAATACCAAATATGATAAATATTATTCCAACAAAAAAAAACAGATATTTAGTTCCTTAAACTGTTGGCTGAGGATGCCACTTTTTTAAGAACAATATTTTCCAGCACTTATTCTTGCTTGACTCAGAACTACTTTCGTTATTCATTCACACTTAACTTATAATTTCCTTTTAAAACCAATATTTTTTTTACTTATTATAATAGCTTTTAAAAGTCCTTAACTTATTTATTTATTTAATTAATTAATTATTTGTTATTTTTATCAGTGAACAAGCAATTAATTTATTTCCTCTAATTTTTTTCAAATGAATTAAAAACTAAATTTTATTCACAATGAATAATTCGTTTTTATTGAAAAATAAATTCTTATTGTTTCATTCATATATTGATATATTTATTTGCCATAATTTCTCATCTATTTCTAATAAAAGCTAAAATTTAAACAAAATTAAAATAAAGAGTTAGTTAGTTGTTTATATATTAATAAACACCAAATCTGAGATTAAATGTTTTTTATTTTTTCACCATCTCTTTCATAATAATTGATTTATTATAAGATAAAAATATATGAACTCAGTTTCCTTATCAAAATTTTTTATTTTTTGATCACCTATTGATAAGATTAGCTATACCTTACCTTTGTTTTTGCTTACTAAAATTCTAATTAAAAACTCACTTAAGTCATTTGCAAAAGAAAGTCTATAACCATTTTAATACAAATAAATTTGTCAGATTATAATGTACTCATCTTAAGCTTAAAGCTCTAAAAAAGAAAAAAATTGATAATTAAATAAAATTTTGTCTATAATTCTAAAAAAATTTTTTTCTAATCAAAATTATTAAAATATTTTTTTTTAGCCATTCATAAAAAAATTAATTAATTTTTATACTAAATTCTTAAAATCTATATCAAATTTAAAATAATAAAATTTAGAGAGAGCATATTTGAAATTTATCTAAGAAATTAAAAATTATTTGAATCATATTTTTATTAATATTTAAAATATTCTATTAAAATGAAAATTTATCTAAATTCTAATTAAATAAAAAAATATTTAATATTAAAATTTATTAATATAAAAATTAATTTTATTACATTAACAAATTGGAACTGATTCTTTATAAATATTAATTATTAATTATTTAAGTAAAAGTCCCTTCTGTTTAAAATTATAGTTGAGCAAAACATAATCTTTAAAATTTAAATATTTTTATTATTGTTTAATTGATGATTCTTTTTTTATTTTTAGAATTTAAAAAAATAAACAAGACTTTTAAGTAAATAAATAACTCAATTCGTTTTTTATCTAAGAAAAACAGCATTTTTATCTTTTCATATAATCTTTGCTTAATTTATCCTATTAATATTGCTAAGTTTAGTTTAAGAAATTAACTATGTATTATTCAGATCAATAAACATGTTTAAATTTTAATAAAATTAATTAGTTAGTAAATTGAATATCTTATTGAAAGGTTTAATTGTGAATTTGGTTTCAGTTTTTTATTTATTTCTATAATTAATGCTAAAAAATAAATATAAAAGTTAGGTTTTATTTTAGATAAATTAAAATCAATCTTAAAATATTTTAATTAACATATTAATTTTAGAATTCAACTTTAACATAAAAGAAATGAATTTAAATTTATTTATTAAAAATGCCAATAAAATTAATTTCAATTTTATTAAATAACTGAAATTATCAAAAATTTAAAAAATACATGTTAAAAAATTTATCCAAAAAAATAAAAAAAAGAAATAACATTTTATTAAAAGTTTTTATACAGTTTTTAGTGAATTTGAGTCCATCTTTCAATATCAATCCATTAAAAAATTATAAGAAATTAAGATATTAAATTAATAAATGTTCATGCTTGGCTAGATAGATAGTCAAAAAAATAAACAAATAAATGGGTTAAAATTTACTTGCTCTGAAATAAAGAAATCAGTGTTAATTAAATTATTATTAAATATATGAAAAAAAATAAATATATTCGATAAGTAATTAATTGATTGTGTTAGATCTTTGAATTCAAAATATTAATTTGAACAGTTTATGCTAAAAAAAGCAAGCATGTATTAATCAAGTTTTATATGGTTAATAGCCTCTGATACAGTCTTAATCAAACTCAACTTTTAAAAAGCAAAAAAATTGCAAATTATAAAATTATAAATTTTTTGATAAGTATAATTTCATAATTAAAAACCAATTAATAAATAGATTGAAAAAATTTTTTTTTTCAATTTTTATAAATACATCTGAAAGGAAATAAATAACACAAGGCCTACTTACTGCCTTCTCTGCTTTAAAATTCTACTTAAACTTTTCATTTCAAACAAATTTTTATTGCTAACTTTAGATGGATATTATAAGCTCTGATAATAACTAATATTTTTGCGAGACTTGTTAGATGTACATTTAAACTTCTTTACAGCCAATACATTCGACTTTTTGTCAAGGAGTTTCTCCATAGGATATTAATTTGTACAGTGATAGCTAAGTATACGAACTGAGCAGAATGATGTAAGAATACAACTTATTTGATTACTATTTATCTTTGGACTTTAAAACCAACTCTACCAACTAGAGATATATTTTCGAAGACTATTTTCCTGATGATACCGATTAAATTGATACTTAATCTTAAACTCCTCCTAGCCTTCCAAATCAAACTTAGCAATAATTTTCCAATAATTAAAGTTAGTTTTCATAATAGAATAATAGCTAGCAATAATTTTAGTAGCCATAGATTAAGGTAACAGGAGGAAATTTTTAAGGAAATCAAAACCAGGCTTAAACTTAAAGATAGTTATAGACTAATTAAGAATCAAACACTTCTAGATAAAATACATATTAAGCATAATATAACAGAAATAATTCAAGTCAACTATAAAGTTAGCAAGTCAATGCTCCCTAAAGATTATGTTAAGCAATACAAGGTTAATATAAAACTCCTGTAGTTAGTTAAAATAGTTGCTAGAAGTAAGGCAATTAGACTAATTATTTGAGTGGAAATCCTTGTAATTTAACTAAACAACAAACATAAAATTAGAACTACGAAGATAATTTTGATGACACGTACTAATGTCATTAATGCTATGACTATGTTAAAATTTCCGATTACTCAACTCATTAAGCAGAATGCAGAAATTAATATATAAAGTGCAAATATTGCAATTCTTTCTATCCATTTAGCTTGATAAATTAGCATGTTTTGTTTTGTCAGAAATAAAATAATCAAATGCAATAATAATAATCATCTTCGATTAGATCTCAGAAAAAATTAAATAATTAAAACACTTAGACAAAAAATAACGGTTATGATACTGATGATTTTGAAGACAATAGAGACATTGATGAGCATAATAGTGCTGACTACAATAACAGTGTTTATGAAAATTTAAGCCTGTATGGAACTTCATAATTTAACATGGAGGAAAGGAGTTTAGCTAACAGGCAAAGGTAATATTAATAATCAAGTTCTAATCTTTAAACTCAGCAATCAACACTCTCTAACTTTAACAATTAGAGCAACATAGCAACAGAAAATAACTAAAATTAAAATTAAAATCCAAATGATTGGACATAACTATCACCTGATTATTTTAACAGAGCTTTAAATGTTATATTCCCATCCTTTTTGGGAGACTAAGATGATTTTAGGAGATAATAAAATGAATAATTCCGTAATAACTTAATTACTCGCTTAATCAATATCTCGAGATTTGGAATAAACGGTGATAACTGCAGAGGTTTAACATCTAATCAGAAGAATAAATTTATAAAAGTCAACTACAAACAAAAGCAGTAATCTGAGTATAAAACATGTTCAATCTGTATGTGTGACTACGAAGAAGATGAAGAGATTAATATCTTAGATTGTATGCACAGGTATCATGTAGAATGTATTTCTAAGTGGTTTTAATCAAGAACAACTTGCCCAGTTTGCAAAAGAGATATGAGTGACTATTTGCTTTGAAATGTTTTAATCTAATTATTCATATACTATATAAAATTTTAATTATTAACTAAAAAATAAGTAAACAAACAAACAAAGAGACAAAAAAAAAAGAAAGAAAGAAAGAAACAAATAATACTTTATTATGATTAATTCTCGAAATAATTATTAACCAATATTAAATTAATTTATTTTTATTCAAGCTTTAATTCTAGAATATATTTTATTATTTATATGTAAACTTACTAAACCATACATACATACATACATACATACATACATACATACATACATACATACATACATACATACATACATACGATACGATGCATATTACTTTTATTTTATCATTTTTTTTTATAATTATCTCTTAATATCATTTTTTTATTAGCATAAAAAGTATTCAATTTATTTAAAACTATGAAAGATGTGTTTAAATTAAAAAATTTGTTTTTTAAAATCGTTAAATATTATCAATTTATATTAGTTAACTTTAAACTATATTTTCATAAAAAATAATTTGCTATCTTCTGTTATAATAGATGTGTGCTTCATCCTCATTTTTAAAATAAATGATTTACAATAAATATACTACAAAATTATTTTAGAAGAAACTTTTAAAAATATTTATTTTAAATAATTTAAAAAAAGTAGAATAAATAAATGATCAGATCAATTAATTTCATTTTTCTCATATTATATTTAACCAAATTGTTAATAACCTTCAAATGTAAATATGCAAAAGTCTTTTTCTGGAGATTTCTTAAAAGATATCTGAATTAAATATCTTGCTTGTTAGCATAATTTTAAAATAAATTATTATTAAATTACCTTAAATTAATATTGATTCTAATATTACTTGTGATTTGATAAAAATTAATTAAAATATATATTAAAATTTTCAATTTACAATGATTATTAGTAGAGCAAACAAAACTGTAAACTAACTTATATTTAAATAAGCAAGGTCTCTCAGCTTTGAAAAGACAAAGCACTTTAAAATAGGAGAAATACCTGAGAGCTTAAAATATGACAGACCATATAGTAATTCAATATTTTTGTCATTATTTAACTCAAAGTAGCTAATACTTTTTACCAAAATTAATTAATCATAATCAATTGAGTTTGCTTTTATTCTTATTTAAATTTTTATATTTAGAGGAAACTATTTTGGACAATGGTATTAAAGTGTGTAGTGAAATATGGCCATCTCCTTTATGCACGTAAATAATATTAAATGAACATTTTTAAAATTAGTTTATAGAAATGAAATGTTGTTATTAAAAATTTTTTACAATTTATTATCTAAAAATAGAGTTGCTGCTTTTATTAAATGTGGTAGCAGAAGTGAGTCAGAAGAGACTTCAGGTACTGCTCACTTTTTGGAACATCTTCATTTCAAAGTAAAAATAAATTATGAGGTGCTATGGAATTTAAAACAGCTTTTTTAAAAAAAAGGGAACTAAAAAGAGAAGTAGATAATCATTAGAATTAGAAATTGAAAATCATGGTGGCTAATTAAATGCATACACTTCTAGAGAAAACACTTGTTACACTATGAATTTATTTAAGAATAAGCTTCCTTGGGGAGTTGAACTTCTTTCTGACATATTGACTTAATCTGAATATTCAATTTTTGCTCTTAATAATGAAAGAAATACAATCCACACAGAATTGATTGAGACCTAAAAGCAATCAATGGAAACAACTATTGAAATATCTCATAGAGGCGTAAATATAATTTTAAATTGATATTAATATTTAAAAGACTAATAAACAAAATAGGCATACAAAGGACATTAAATGGGTCTTCCTATTTTAGGTAAGAAATTAAATGGACAAAGTAAATAATAGTAATAATATTTAAAATATTAATAGGCAAGATTAGCAATATTATGAAAATTACAAGAGATATGATTGTTGATTATCATCAAACAAATTATTATGGAGAAAATTTAATTGTTATAGGCTGTGGTGATCACAAGCATGAAGATTTAGTTGATTTAGTAGCAAATCATTTTAATAAAGTTCCCAGAAAATCTCCAAATCCTATTTAAAATTTAAATAATTTTTCTAAGCCACAATTCTGTAATGAATTCAACTTAGTTTAATCTGATATACATCCTGATCATTTGAATATTTCTTTCTTACAAGAAGCTCCATCATGGACTGATCCTGATTATTTTGCTTTCTTGCTCATTTAAAGAATTATTGGAGATAAGCCAGAGTCTCCTCTTGACCTTGAAATCACTAACTGTAACTTATTTTATTTTAAATATAAAACTTTTTTATGATTCCCTAACTTATATACAAAGATTCAGAGTTGAACAGCTTTTAAAAGGAGCTTAATATATTCCCCAATATCTAAGTTCAAAAAGGAGTGTATACTCCCTATGCAGATACTGCTTTATATGGCAATTACTATTTTGGAAATAAAAATTGCTTGAAAGAAGCTTATCATTTCTAATAAAATTGTTGGGATGCTTTATTAGAGAATTTAAATGACATTTAAATAGAAAGAGCAAAAAAGAAATTGTACATAGAATTATTCAACCACGAAACTGGAAATGATATCTCCTAAGCTATAGGAAATCATATATTATATTTAAATAGAAGAATATTTAGATCTGAAATAGCATATAGAATTGCTAATTTATCAAAATAAGACATAGCTAAAACACTTCAAAAGTGGTGCATATAAAAGGTAAAAAAAAATTTCTAATTTATATTTATTTTTTATAAATAAAATATTTTTAAATTTACAGCCATATTCCATCACTGTTTGGGGAGATACATAAGATTTAGAAAAATAAATTTAAAGTTGAAAAAAATAAATAATCCTTACAATTAAAATAATTTAGAAAAAATGTATTATTAAATCACATAAATTAATTAGTAAAATCTTTCTTACTTTTAATAATATTTAATGCAAAATTTTATATCTATTTTTTATATTAAGTTGTAAACATTTTTAATCAATCATATTTCACTAACATATTTTATTAAATTAAGTATTTTCAAGTTTTGTTAATATTTTTACTAATAAAAAAGACACAAAAAATTATAATAGCATTCCTATTAAATATATTCATAATATTAATAAGATTTTGACTAAAATGTTAAAAAATTGATAACTTTTAGATTAAAGATAATAGATAACATTCCTTTTAAAAACATTAATAAGTTTTCTATTAAAAATATAGATCAAATTCCTATTAAATGAATATATTTCTTTTTAAAAATTGATAAATTTCTACTAAAAATATTGAAAACATTCCATTAAAAATATTTATAAAATTCCTATATAAACATGAATAGAATATCTACTAAAAATAGTTGTAACTAACATTTATATTCAAATTTTTTATCATATCTCTTTTAAAAACATTAATAAAATTTCTACTAAAAACTTTTAAAACATTTCAAATTTTTTTGTTAATTTCTTATTATGCTTTTTTGATTAGTATAAATTTAAATTTTTGCTGAAGAATTTCTGAATATAATAGATTATCAACTATATGGATGTGATAAAGCTATTTTTGAGTCGCAAAGTGAGAAAAATAAGAAGATTTTTTAAATTTTATTTAAAAATTTACCTTTTTCAGAAATATTGAAAGTTTAATTTTAATTTAAAATATTAAACATAATTTTGGAAAATTTGGATAAAATAATAAATAATTTGAAATGATATTATGTAAGTTGAGGAATCAATTATGAAAATTAATTATACTATAAAATAGTTTCATAAATACTAAAGAACAAATGTTATATCTTCGCTCATTTGAGGGTGTTGTTTTTTTAATTATTTAACACGACTCTATAAATATTTGCTTGCTTCAAGTACATTATTTCCTTCAAATGGACTTATTACCTACCAAATTTCTTCAGTGTTTATCAAATCAAAAAGACTTTATGTTCCTATTAATAAATAGCTATCATTTATATCAATATCATAATGTCTGATATAAGGCTCACTTATTACCCCAATCTATTATGCTATCAGATCTCCTATCGATCTTGTAATATGAATGGCAGGATAATCTCTTCCTCTTACAAATATTTTTTCTGAAAAATCTTACGATCTCTTAACTTCTCCATGTTCTCTATAAATTCTGTTTCTCTCTTAAATATTATTCGGAGTGTGATCTTCAGTCAGCTAAACAGCCAAAATTTTATCTTTTTTATTCAAATTTACATTTTTTTTAAAGACGAAAGCTTTAGTATCACCAACATGACTTATTAGTAAATTATTTTTTCTCTTCACAATAAAAGTGCAACTAATTCCACTAATAAATTAATTTGCTACCTGTTACATTTTATTTAAGTTAATTAATTTTGAACTAAAATAATTTAATAATAATTTACTATCCCTTCTTATTAAATTATTTTATTGATATCTTTCGATAAATTTCTATAAATTTGTCTTAGAGCAAGTTCAGGATTTACAAACGAATTGAGAGAGTTCAAAAATTTGGTAAGAAGTAACTTATAAGCAATATTACTTATTTAATACCCAAAAGGACCATGCCCATCAAAAACACCAAAAATAGATGTTAATCGATCTCTATAATAAATATAATCACTTTATATTTAGATGTCTTCTTCTTTGTTACCCTTTCTAGAGCAAACAGAAACACCAAATTTACTTAATTTATCCAGATCTTTAACATACTTTTTTCTATTGATAAAGAGTTAAGAATCTTCCATGTCACTAACAGCATTCCTTAATTAATTATTTTATTAAAACTCTTAATCGTACATCGTGCCACCTACAACTCTAAATTTTTTAGGAGCAAAAGCGCTTATATTAGGAATTATTCTTTCCTATTATTCAGAATCAGAATCAGCAGATTAATATGATTAATCGTTCTTTTAAATATCTGAATGTTTAATTTTCTATTTTAAATATTTTTGAAAATAAGCTGCTTGTTAAACCTCACCAATAACCATTTCAAATTTAAAATTTTTTTATCCGTAATATTGAAATGTATGCATTTATTACAAAACACTCCTGACATAAACTCTTTTTACCTTTGGCTATAAATCATTCGATAAATAAGTAATATTTTTTTTAGATTTAAATGTAGTTTTTAATTCATTAGAGGTTTAATCTTCATTTTCATGGGATCTTTTTCATATTTTTTTAAAAGATAAATAAATAAATGGAATTATATATCTTTCAGTTTATTTTTAAAATTAATTATTTTAATTTTAACAAAAATTATTTCTTTTTTTTTACAAAAATATCTTTCTTAAAATCCCTTTTCATCCAATTAATAAGAATTATAATTTTCTATTTCAATATTAGCTTTCTAACCAATTAAAATATTTTTTTTTTCATTTTAATTTAAATATAAAAATAAATATTATTATGAATGAATGGTATTATTTTATAAATATTAATTTAAATTTTTATTTTTGATTAAATTATTATTTAAAAAGGTCAAATTTAAAATTTTTTGAAATTAATTTGTTAATTTTCTTTGAGACAAATCTTCAAAATATTTTAAATAATTGCTTTAATTAATTTATGAATATAAATATATTTTAATGTTAAAAAAATTTTAATTTTTTTTGTTAAAATCTTGAATTAATTTGAATTATGGATATTGAATTTGACTTTTCTTTGAAATTAAAAAACAATCTTTCTCTAAAAACTCTAAAAATAAAAAACAACTTATTAAGAAATTAATGATTTCTGTCTTATCAAATTTAAAAGCTGTTAAAATAGTAAATAAATTACTTTAAATTGTTGTTAAAGTCTATGTATCCAATATCATATGTCGTCAACAAAGAATCATTTAATTCTTCTACTTCCTAAAGTTCATAGTTTTATTCTATGTTTAAACCTTCATCTTTTGTTAGACGCTTCTTTTAACTATTTTGCATATCTATAAAGTTGTTATAAACATTTTCATTTTCTTAATCATTACCATCATCTAAATATTCTTCTTCTTCTTATTCCTCCTCTTCCACCTCCTCTTAATACTCACCACTATTTTAATATTAATTTATTTTCATATTTTTTAACTCAGTACTGTCTTCTTCTATTTCTTTTTCTTGTAAGGAATTTTAGGATTGGATGTTTCTGTAACTGTTAATAATTTAACTTGTAGGTCTTATAATAATTCTTTTAGATTGCAGCATATCTTATTCTTGCTAACTATCATCATTTTAGAATGCCTTAAAATCCTTTTCATTCTACTGGGAAATATCTTAAAGAGAAGCTATTTCTTAATTCAATCTATCTCTTTTTAGATGGGCATGCTTTTTAAATGTACTTTCTGATGCATGACTTGTAATAGGGTTATCCAAATCTTATCTAGTTTTTAGTGTTTAAGAAGTAACTTCATTTGATTTTTATAGAATCTTTGATGTTGCTAGTGTGTTTCTCTCATCAACAATATTTTAGTTTTATGAATCTAAGCTGCCAAGTTATTAATATTATTTGTTACCTTTAAGTTGTTGTTAACTATGATTACTTTCTTACAAAAATTTTTCACTTGCTGGGGAAGAGGAAATTTTAGAAATGGAAGCATGAATCCATGTTTCTTATTTCTAATTAATCTATTGATTAAGGCTTGTGGTATCTTAATCTTATTCTGTTTCAAAATTTTCCTTTTAGCTGTTTTAAATTTTGAAAATATTCTATTCCAGAAGGTCTTTTACTGTTTTTTAAGAGAATTTTTTTAATTTGTCTCTGCTAAAAGAAGCATGGTTTCCATTTCCATTTCCTTTTTATATTTGTATTTTTTTTAAGCTAAGAGGAGTATTCATACAAGAAGTTTTCTATTGAGGGCTATTAGATGACACTTTTTTGCTTTTGGGACTACTTTTGCTATAAGCGCTTGACTAATAGCTGCTAGTATCATTATCATCGTTTTCGTTAGCTTTTTAAAGATTTTTCATAGACTAAAGAAGTAATTTCTTTTAGTGCCTTGAATAATCTTCAGTGAAATTGTTAACAGTTTAAATTTTTCTTGATGATTTAAACAAGCTACTTCCATTTATTTATAGATTATTAAAATAATTCATTTATCTAACCTTTTATTTTGGTGCTTGTATTGAGTTTTATATGCTTTTTTTATCTCCTTCATAACTCTATTCTGATACAGCTGCTCTAAAATCAATCTATTTTTCTTCTTCTTCTTCCTCTTCTTATAATTTATTTCGATACTGTCTCTATTTAGGGATTTATAATTATTATCTCAAATTTATCTATTAAGTTTATTTTCTTTGCTAAAGGCCTGTTTCATTATTTTTATTTACGAATATTTATAGAGAATTATTTATTCTATATTCCTCCTTTTTAGATAGCTGTATTTATTAACTAATACTAAATCTTTTCAAATTGGGTTTCTAGTTTTTAAAGTCTTAATTATACATTTCATTTTATGATACAGATTTTTAATCGCTTTCACTCTATTATATTTTAACATTATGTCAATCAAATTAAAAGCAAACTACTCTTGAAAAAGATCAATTATGCAAGATAAATTTTACCTGACTATTATTGCTTTAGAACTCTTCATCTATTAATAATAAACATCATTTTTGATATTCATCGTATGAAAATATTTTATTATACCTATTTTTCTCTTAAAGTTTTAGACAGCATTGTAATTTTTCTAATTTTATGCTTATGGAATTGAATTATTTTAGCTTTTATTATCATTTTTGACTTTATTCTTACCATTTCCGCTCCCCATTTACAGGAATATAATTTTAGATTCTCTTTTTCACAATTAGCTGTAACAAAAATGAGAAATTAATTGTCTTTATTTCTACTTATAACTTGATTAAATGTTTATTATCTTTCTGATATTAATATTGTTTGTATTTCTGAAAAAATAAAGATAAAAAGATAAATAGATAGATAATCAATTATTTAATTATTTAGTATTTGTTTGGCTAATATTGAATTTATTCTACAAAGTTATATATATTTGCAACAAACTTTACTCTTGATTTTTATTGATTATCAATTCCATTATAGTTTTAACACGATTTTACTATAGTTTAAAATTAAATATTAATTCTACTCAACGAAATAAAACGAGCTGAAATATAAAATATTGATTTATAAAGAAGAGAATTAACTGGATTGTTGAATAATTATTAAAAGGTAGATTGTATATTTAATTAACTAATTGATGTGGAAGATTATCCTAATGAAAAGATAAAGATAGATAGATAGATACATAAGATTAAAAATATAGATACAATATTACTTGCTTATTAAAAAAAATAATTTTTAGCTGAATGTAGTTAATTTGGTAATTAAAAACACTCAATTAATTAATTAATTATAAATTAATTTATTTGCTATTTTAAGAATTACCTTTCTACACTTTTCATTAAGAAAATAATCGCTAATTTTACGCTTTTCAGGTTTGAATAATTACTAAAATTAATATTTGAGATATAAAAGGTGTTATTTAATTGTAGATTAGAAGCAGCTTATTTATTTAACTCAATTACCACCACCCATCTATTTACCAGCTCTCATGATCTATTTTTTATAAAATTTTTTATTAAATCATGTTAAAAATTTATTTAATTTAATATATTTACTTCGTCAACAAGAAGGAGTTATTGGGCAAGAGTAGGAGCCATATGTAAGAATTGCTTCTTGGCAATATAGTTATCATAAATAGCAGAAGCAACAGGAGAAATAGTACCCTTTTCGTTGCAGTTGATACCAACAGGAACTTACTTGGCTTTATATTCATCGATAACTTCAAGGATTGTATCTTAAACATCATAACCGCAGTTTTCAGCTAAAATCTTGGGGATGATGAGTAAAGATTCAGCAAAGGCTTCAACACCTAATTTAGCCTTACCCTTAACGGAATCCTTGAACTTTTGTAAATGGCAGTAAGCACCAATTTCAAAAGCACCAGCACCAGGGATAACGCACTTGTCATCAAAAACGTTTTTAACAGCTCTTAAACCATCTCTGATAGCTTCCTATAATTTAATAAAAATAATAATTTAAAAACATGTATTAAAATAATTTATATGATTAATTACCTTAATTTGAGCAATAGTGTGCTCGTTAGGTCCCTTGATAAGAATGGTGCATGACTTGGGATTCTTGACACCTTCAATGAAAGTGTACTTTTCTTCACCCAAAGTGTGTTCATAAACTTCATCAGCCCAACCAAGATCAGCTTCAGATAAATCTTCAACGGAGTTAACACCGTTACCACCACAAGCAAGAATGATTCTTTCCATGTTTCTTCTCTTTGTTCTTCTCAAAGCGATGATATTTTCCTTAGCAAACATATCAAGGCAAATGGGGTCAATACCCTTTTAGTTGAGAACAACAAAGGACTTAGAGGGGTCTTCGCAAACCTTTCTCTTGAGGTCAATAATCTTTTGGCATCTTTCATCAGTGAATTTACGTTCAGAAAGCATCAACTTTTCTCTGTCAGCAGCGTTGGAATAGAAGAAACCAGAGTGGACTTCAGTCTTTTCGTATTCTAAAGAAACGTTGCAATTAAGAATGTAACAGTTCTTAAGTTTCTTGGGCATATCAGCATGACGAGCACCATGATCTAAAACTAAACCCTTAACTAATCTAGTATCAGTAGAGAGCTTGTGAACCATGTGCATAATTTCAACCATATGTAAATCAATAGGTTTATCTTATTGCTTGATGCAAAGAACGGAGTCAACGACTATTTCAACCAATCTACATTATTAAAAAATAAAATTAGTTTCTGAAATAAAATTATTATTCTTAATATATGCTTAATTTTCATTCTTTTTGGTTTCTAGCTTGATTCTTTTTAAAAAAAAATATAAAATAAAATTTGGCATACTAGTTAGCAATATCAGGGTGGAGCTTAGTGTTCAAAGAAGTTCTAGCGACAGAAAGAAGGAAAGCCTTGTCGATTTATGATTCAGTGAGGTTTTACTTGAATTCGTCTAAGAACTTAAGAGATTCGTGCTTGGCAGCTTCGTAACCATCAGTAATAGTTCTGGGGTGGATACCATCTTGAATTAATCTTTGAGCTTATTTCATCATTTCACCAATGAAGAGGACGTTAGAGGTGGTACCATCACCGACAATATCATCTTGAGCAGTGGCAGAACGAGCAATCATGGCAGCAGTGGGGTGTTGAATTTACTAATTTAAATTAAAATATGAATTATTAAATAAATTTTTTTTAAATTAAAGACACAAATGCAATTTTTCATATAAAGATTCAAAGCCATGTTTTATTTAATGACAAATTAATGCTTATAATTATAAATTGATTGAACTTGATTAATATTTAAATTCTACTTTTTTGTTGTTTATTTAAATGAATAATAATATTAAGTCAATTAAACCAATAAAATATTACCATTTCATGTAATAAGACTGAACCGTCCTTGGTAAGCTTGATTTAACCAGCACCACCAACAAGCCTAAATATTATTAAAATTGCGATTAGAATAATTCATAGTTTAAAATAATAAAAGTGTAGCTCTATCAAAGTTAATAAAAGTCTTAATATTTTTATATCAACCACTTAATGTTTCTCAAAAAACTTAAGTAAAAAGTTAATTCCTTTGCTAAATATTAAGGCGGAAAAATGATTTTAAATAGGGCTCAAAATGAGATGATCTATATGTTATTTAGTAGAGATTATGAGTTAAATTCAAAATAAATTACATCTTGAGAGTACCCTTAGGACCAAGGTTAGATCTCATGACTTCTTGTAAGCCGACAGCGGCATGGATATTCATGGCAAGAGCCTAGAACTTCTTTAAGACTTCAGCCTTAGAATTGACATATTGAACGTTAGACATTTTGCTTTATAAATTTGGCTATTATGACTAATATGAAGATAGATATATATGATTTTGATTTTTTATTTATTTTTTTGTTAATAAAAATTTTTATTTGTTTAATTAGACTTTGTTTTGATTTTTGCGGATATATAATATATATTTTTTTTCAAATTTTTTATATTTAAAAAAATGTGTATCTTTTTTCCTTTTATTAAAAAATTAAAAATATTCAATATTTCTAAAATTTATATTTATTTTAATAGTCAATATAGCTAGCAACCATCCTAACTATCTATCATTATATGCCTTAATCATTCAAGATATAATGCACTTATCACTATTTGATTGTCTTTTCAAATTAAGAAAAGCTCATTAAAATATAATGGGATTTCCTTCACTAGCAACCTTGTAATTTATTAAATTATTAATAAATTAATTGATATATTTTTTAAATTGTATATTTTGTAAAATTAATTATATAATTTTTTTGATTTTGCTTTTTTTTAATAATTAATTAATTTTGCATAAAGCTTAATAAATAAATCAATAACAAAATAAATAAGTAAAAGTACTATCATATTGATTTTTGACAATAATTTATTTAGCAGTTGAGAGGAAAACCATTTAATTTTATTCAGTCTAAATACTAATTAGATTTGATATTTAAATTATAAAATATTATTTTATTTTTTAACTATTTCTTCAAAAATATTTACAAACAAACAAAAAAAAACACACTTTTCACTCATTTATCTTAAAACATATTGAATTAAATGAAACATCAAGAAATTTATAGTAGCTTTATTTATTTTGAGATTTATATTTTAATTTTATTAATTTAAAAGGAATTATAATTTTTATTATTATTATTTTTTTTACTAAATGAAAAAGTATTCTTTATTTTATTCATTTATTCATTGATTTTATAATTTATTTGCATTTTTTAATTATTATTTTTACTAATTATTTTTTGAATGATTAAATTTCATACATTCATTCATTCAAACCCACTAAATATTTTTCTAGTCAGTTTCATAAAGGTAAATGTAACTTTCAACTTTGTATTTTAAAACTTCTATATTGATAGGCTTGTTAAGTACGTCGTCCATACCACTTTCAATACATTGGTTGTAAGATTATTGAGCTACATATGCAGTTAAAGCTATTATGGGAATAGATGGTAATTTCTTTTGGTTCATCAAATTTCTTAACTCCTTAGCACAATCCCATCCATTCATTATAGGCATATTACAATCTAAAATTATAGCCTTAAAGACTGTACAATTTGGACTTTCGCACTGATACTTCTATTTCTGATTGTAAAATTAAATAAATATAGCTATGGCGTCTTTTCCATTGAATGCTTTCTCTATTTTATAATCTAACTTTTAAAATAGTAGCATCAACACTTGAATGTTAAAAACTTCATCATCTACACATAAAATTCTCCTGCATTAGCATTTCATGAATATTTATTAGTGTTGAGCTATTGGTCTTTCTATGATTTCACTCATTTATTATGGCTCATCTTAAGGATTAGATCTTTCATCCTTTTCTATCAACTAAAGTGATCCTTTTCTTAGCCAACTTGAGTTCTTCATTTACTTTCTTATTGTATTTTAATTTGTGGAAGTTTCTCTTTAGAAATTTGCTGTTTCTATGTCGTTAAAATTACTTTGTTGTATTTCGAGTTGGACATTATTTCCATTTTAAAAAGTAGTATCTGTAACTTATTTCATTTTTTAAATGTTAAAAAATATATTTTAGTTGAATGATGAATTATTTCCTTGAGGTGAGTTGGTTAAATTATTTTTTTTACTGTAGATTGTGCTATTAATTTGGTTATTTTAGATGTTGTGAGGTATTTGCCATGAAGTTTCACTGAACTATTCGCTTAATTGCATTTGATTATAAAAAATATTGTTCATGTGTTCCAATGATTTTATATTGTTTCCATTTAATTAATTATTGACAATCATAGAATTATCATTTTATTATGTATTTTTTTGTGTTTTTTCATTTTAATTTTAGTAATAGCTACTGCGATTTGTATTTTAGGCAGATACTCCATTGAATTCAGAGAGCTTTTTTTGTAAAAAATTCTCATATAAATTTACATTATCTTTTTGGTCTTATTTTTAAACTTTGCTATTTTCCTTTGAAGAAGATTTGCTAAAACAATTATTTAAATTTTTAAAATCCTTATCTGAGCTAGAGAATTCTTCTTTCACAGATGTTATCTTAGATTCTGTCTAAAACTAAAACTTAACATTATTTTATTTACTAGGAGTAGCTCTTTTCGAGCCTGGTGCAAGAATAATAGTTTTAATTAAGCTGAGTTAGTCTTTTTTTTAATCATTAGCTATCACGATATCAAGGTTTTATGGAGTATTAATAGCATCAAAAAATTTTGGAGGTTTATTTGCTGAGTCCACTCTTATGCTTAAATTATTATACCGCGGTGTTTAAATTTAGTCGCAATCCAGCAAAGATTTTTCTTAATTTATTATTTATGCAGAAGTCGATTAGTTGTCAACTTGTTTTTCTGATAAATTTTATGAAATATTTAGTTTTTGAGGGATTAAATTTAAATCCTTTTTAAGCTTTTGTTACTGTTCAATTAAATTTAAATCATTTTCTATAATGCTATCAAAAATGCTAAGCTTGTTAAATTGCTTTGTTGGGGTTGAAAACATTTACTGATTTGAGTGGATTAAAGCATTAAAATTATATTAATTTATTTTATTTTCAAAACAATCGCTGTGTGATATAGTTGATTCGTTTTATAAATAGGATTTATTCATTTCTTAATTATCATGGTCTTAAAATTTAAAAGATTTTTCTTTTTAAATCTGAACATTATTATTATGATTAATAAGTATTGCTTGTGATTGAGTTATGAAAAACCTTTTTTGTTGAGAGTAAGAAGAATTTTAATTATTGTACAAATTTAATCCTGACATAACCATATTTTCTTCTGGATTATGAGAAGGTGTTTAAACTTATATCAGATTGAGATTTGTATTTTTTGTTTGCTAAAATAATAAATTTCCTTCGGTTTCATTTTATTATTACTTATTTATTTCTGACACGGTTAAGTTATTATTAACATATTTATCATTTTACTCATTCATATCGTAACTGTGTAATTCGTTTTCTTAAAACATTGCCAATTCTTATGTATCAACTTATTCTTGCTACTGAGGCTGTATACTTTTTTTGAAAAAAGAAGATTGTATCTTAGCTCCTCCTATTGGAGCTTTTAAATCTTCTATCTTAGAAATGCTAGCAGAATTACCTCTCTTTAGATCCTTACCATGTCTAGGCTACAGACTATGAGAAGAAAACTGCAGAGTTTTAGAAAAAGTCTATTTATATAAACAAATAATCAATCAATTAATATATTTTTAATACAACTTTTTAAAAAATTTACCTTTTCTATAGTTTTGTGAGCATAAGTATATTTTTTAATATCTTTACGAGCAAATATTTTAGTTCCTGCCTTAGCAATATCTATCCTGCTATTATTATGAGAAGTCATGCTATAACTTGTTTGGAGGTTTAATATGTTCTCTATGCAGAAACTAAAAGTGCATCCTCCACCGAAAGTTTTTTTTAGTTCTAAATCTTAATTAGATTCAGAAGCCAGAATACTCACAATAATTTGCGAAATTGTTAAGCCAAATCCTAATTAATTAAAAATAATTTTCTTATTTATTATAAATTAAAATAAATTTGGTTTGTAATAAAAAAATTAGTTGTTCACAAGTACCTGTGTGCTAAGTCTCTGTAATAGGAATGCCAGTTGTTCCGAATTAAGATAGCTTTTATTTGATTTATTCAAACTGCATGACGTTCATACCTTCTCCTGTATCAATTACATGTATGCATAAGTTATTCTGCAGTGTGGGTATTATTTTTACAGTAACACCACCTTTTAGTGTAAATCTTAGGGAGTTGTTAATTAGATTTACAAGAACTTGCATTAATCTGTCATAATCAGTGCAAATTTCCCAATTTTAAATCTATATTTTAAGAAAAATAACACTTAATTAAATTATGAATAAAAATCTATTTGCTCAAACAATTTTTTAAATTTCAAAACAAATAAAAATAAGCAAAATTTGTTTTCAAAATTGATTAGACCTTCTTTTTAACTAACCACCTAACTAAATAACTAACAATTTAAATTAAAATTTTTGTTATTATGAATATTTGAGGCATAATTCAAATGATAATTTAAATTAAGAATAGATAAATTAATTCAACTAGTACCTTACTGTCTAAACTAAAATCTAAAAATATTCCTTTAGATGAGAAGCTTAACTCGTAAAGATCCTTAATATCGCATATTAGCTTGGATATGTTAAATTTAACAAAATTTAATTGAAGGTCTTTCTTAGCTAGGATTTAAGAAAAATCGAGAATGTCACTTATAAAATAATACTACAATTTAAGTGCTTAATAAGCAGGCAGTAAATAGATATTTTTTGCTGTTTCACTAATTGTCTCATCAAGTAAACCGCTCTGTAAGAAACCCATACTGGAATTCAAGGGGGTTCTTAGCTCATGAGAAAAAGAGCTGATTAGTCTATTTTTATAATCGTCTCTATCAGCTAAATTTGTAACGTTTTCAAATTTTGTATTATCTTCCAAAATAACCATGAACTCGTCTCCATCGTTGCGATAGAGCACCTTTCCTTTTATTGAAATGCCTTCCTTATTCTCAACATTTTAAATTTTTGTATATATTTCTATAGTACTATTTTCAATATCTCTCAGAGTATTATGACTTTAATCAAAATTAGTTAAGATAGATTCTAAAGTTGTAGTCTTCTCATTCTCTTGCTTTTGTATATTCTAATTTGAAGTATGTGTGTTGATATTGCTGATTGTTTAATTTATTGGCAAAGGCTGGGTTAGTGGTGATTTTTGAGAGTTTTGATCATCAGCAATATTTTTTCCTGTAAACTAAAATATTGAGAGATTTCCAGTACTATTTTTAGTCTCTCCACCATAAAAATTATTGATATTATTGCTACTCCTTTTTTAGGATTTTTTTTCTGCATTAGAAATACTCTCTCTGACTTGCTTTTTTGCACTACTGCTAAAGCGAGTAATTCTCTTCTTTTCGTTTGACATGTGATTAACAATGTGGGAGAGAATTTTAAACTCTATTTCACGTAAAATCATATTTAGTATTTCATTTTCATTGAATTTTCTAAAATTCCTTAGAAAAAATTAGCGAATAAACTCATTTGCAAACTTAACTTATTTGAGATTTTTGTTAATTAGAATAATTCCAGAAGGTATTTCATTCAAATATTATTACCACTTTTCTTCAGATTCCTTTAAGTATTAAATATCCCCTTTAAACTAATCCCTTTTATTTGTATTCCAAAAACTATTAATTGACGAAACATTTATTTTTCTTATTTTCCTATTTTATTAATACATTTCAATTCCGTTTCTCTTTGTAAGGAATCTGTGAATTTACTGGCTCTGTTAGCCCAGCAAGCCATCTTTAGATAAATTATTATATGTTTTGACGTAGTTTGAATGATTTTAATGCAGTTAGTTTTTCAGAATACTGTGATCATTTTATAAAGTACCATCTAAATTTGTGTTGTAAGTTGTGTAATATTAATGTAAGCCACTGCTTTGCAATTTATTTTACTTTCCAGGTGATAATTATTATTGCTAATAATTATCAGTAGAATAATAACATTTCAACGATGAGCAAGAACACATCAAAAATTAATTTTAATTTTAGTAAATTATCAATATATATTGTAAAACATCTACAATAATGAACTGAAAAGCGCATATTCCGAGAGCTATATATCCCTAGTATGATGTCTTTTACATTGAAATAATCAAAATTGTTATATGTAAGCAGATCTTTAGCAGTAAATTCATTAATGTAGTGATTTTCTAATTTATTTTACAATTAAGCAAAAGCAAAAAGTATAAATCATACATTTCTGTATATGAATTATTTGTTTATCCATCGTAAACTTTTTCAGCAGGAAGCGTTTACTAAATGAATAGAATATTCTAATTAGCTGAAGGCTTAGAAAATATATAGCATGCTATTAGGATAATAAATACTTAATTGAATACTTTTTACACCTTATAATAGTTTGGTGATTTAGTTTTCCTATATATATAAATTGAATAGCTAAAAAGGAAAAAAGGAATCATTAGCATCAATATATTAAAAGTGCTCCATATAACGCTATATGGTTCCTTTTCAGATTGCAAAATGGAGTTTTATTATTGCTTCCCTTCATTTTAAGAAGAAGACGGATTTTAATTATTTAATGATTAACTTGCTATTCCATCAAAATTTAATTACTTAGCTAAAAAGACAAAAACCACCTGAACAGACACCAATAAATAAAATGCAATATCGTTTCTCAGTTACTCATAATCAACAATATACGGATAGTCTTCTATCACCTCATTATCAGAATAAACTTGGTGAGAACTCTATTAATTCTACTCTTCTAAGTCACAATTCATCTTTTTAAATTTTGTGACTCACTTTAACAGCTGTATTTCTTATTATAATAATACCTATTTATATTAATTACCAATTTTCTTAAACTAATTATATATTATTAATTATTATCATCCATAAAGTGTTAAGCCTTAAGAATTTTTTTTTTTTTACTATTTGATCATATTCTTAGACTGAAAATATATCCTTAAGGATATATACGCCTATACATAAATAAAGAAATAAGCCAATTTAATTGACTGTATACTTTCTGTCGCAAGTATGATCATAAATCTTATAAATATTTGATAAATTTAATTTCAGATTAATATTCTTTCACATTATTACTTTAAATATTATACTAACTTAACGATCAACGAGTAGCAAGAATCAGTATTTCCATTATTGATGTTTTTAAATTGACTGATATTCCTAGTTATTAATTTATTTATATACTGATTCTTTTATATTATTTTAGCAGCCACTTAATTTAAGCATAATAATACAGCTAAATTTTTAATCATAAAATTTAGAAAATATAATTAATTAATTAATAACCTATTACTTGAATTGAGTTAGTTAGCCAAATAAAAAACAAACAATATCTAACTTATATTACAATTTTTAATAAAACATTCAATGGTTACTGTTAAAAATTAATTAATTTTTTTATTACATTTTTGGTACAAATAAGAAAATTTAAGAATCAATTTAAATGAAAATAAAAAAATGGGTGAATAAATAATAATTTTAAATAATCAAAAATTTTTTGTTTCAAAAGATCAAAAGAGTTTACATTTATAAAAATCCAAAAATTAAAAAAAAATTTTAATCGCTCTATTTTTTTTTAATCATTAACAATTGATAATTTAAAAATCAAAATGTTTTAATTATTATTATTATTATTTATTTTAATACAACCACATTTAACTAAGCCAACCTCATTTTTATCTCAAAATAATAAAATGAAATCAAAAAAGCATTTTAAAAAATTCTATTTAAATAAGCTAGTTTCATAGAAAACATCTGTGTAATTCCTAGAAATTTGCACAAGTAAGCTGATTTAAAAAATAAGGCAAATTTAAACAATAGTTTTAATTTAATATAAAAAAATTGTAAATTCAAACAGTTTGAGCAAAAATAGTCTGATATATTTTGTTTCAAGTAATTATATTGAAATTTATTTATTTATAATAAACAAACAAATAATAGTTTATCTTTTACTGATTTATTTTTTCTTTAATTTATAAAAACAAATAAAATTTAGTATATTATAGAAAATTTATTATAAAAAATGGATATAAAAATTTTTTTTATGTGTTAGATTTAAATTAGCATCTACAATGACACTTGAATATATATAAATATATTTCTTCTTCTTTTAAATAGAATTTAGCAGTTATAAAATTAACTAAATTATAAATAGATAAAAATTATTTATTTGATATGATAGTAACATTATACTAAAGTATTTTAAAGCAACACTTTTAAATTTAAAAAACATTTAATTTTATATATAAGGCTTTATAAAATACTATATCTCAAGTATATCATATACAGTAAATATCCAAAGGTAAATTATAACACTTTATTACAAATATTACAAATAATCCATAATTTTATAAGCTAATTTTAACGTATTTTATGTAAATCATCTTCATCAAATTAAATAATATCAAATCATTATGAATCAATCAATTTTCTCCTTCAAGAAAAGCATTTAACAAAAATTTTAATAAACTTAACATTCATAATAGAAAATAAAAGACTATAAAACAAAAGATACCCTCCTATATATCTTATTGAAGATTAATATTTAATTCAAGAAAGAATATTAAAAAGATGTTTCAATTCTTGTATTTTTGCTAATTTTTATATCTAAATTTCTTTGATTTACATATTAGCCAATTTCAAAGCTATTTATTGAAAGTTAAATATCTTATTTTTCAGACGTTAAGTAATGCTTTAACCTTTTTACCATATTCATAAATTTAAATAGCTGATAATAGGTAAACTTATTTTCTTAAAAATTCTATATTCGATTAGTAATATATAATTTATTAAACTAAATATCTTAACATCAAAAATACTAATTTTAATATTTTTTCCTTTGGATAATTAAAAATTAATTTATTAATGAAGCTGATAAATCCTATTACTATTACTTTTTTAAATAAATAGATTAATATTACCAAAAAAGATTAAAAGTAATTAATTTGAATTTATAAAACATAAATAAGTGTATTTTAATAGTCTTTATCATATTATTATTCAATAAAAAAAATGTATGATTATCTTTATCTTATTTAGTACTTCATAAGATTATTCATAATTTCCTTTTCCTCTTTATTTTTTATTAAGCACAGTTACTGTAAAGTTTTTAATATCTTAGACAGTATTCACATTTTGCTTAAGTTTATTTAAGTAGCAAATTTCTAATTAAGATTTATCCTTGTTAAAAAAATAACTAAATCTTAAACTTCAGTAAAAAATTTTATGACAAAAACTCTTATTTCAATTAAAGATTATTTTAATAGATAGGATTGGTTATTTAAGGATTTGTATCTTTAGATCTATATTAAATTTAGAGATAGTTTGACGCTTATTTACTATTTTTAATTTAAAAACTATTTTTGTTCTAGTTTTATTTATTAACGTTACTCAAAATTTTTTTGAAATATCCTTAAAAAAAAATTTATTTGGAAATAAAAAAATTTTCACACATAAAAAATAAAAGAATAAAAATAAAGGTAAATTAGAGTATTTATGAGGAATTAAATTAATTTTATATTTTTTAGCTTAAAACTCTAACCTTAATTAAAAAGCTACATCATTAATATTTATAAAAATATTTTATTAATCACTAGAGATTGTAATATAAAATATCTAATTTTTCATTTTAAAATATTCATAATGAAATTAGAATACATTTGAAATTAATCAGTTGAAATTTTGTAGAGACAGACATGGTACAATCACAAATTTATTTGAAATAATTGAATTGATGTTAGGATATTTTTGAATAAAATCAATTAATTGGTCATTCATGTTTTTTATAATTTTTATAAATACATAACAATATTTTCTAATAAAAAAATCAAATATTTGTTTTGAATATAATTTTGGAATTATAATTATGAAAAATAATAAACAAATACATACATACATAAATATTTTTTTTATAAATAAATTAGTAAGTATTTAAATTTTCTATATTTCCATAATCTATCTATAACAAGCAACTTTAATTATAAATTTATTGAATACATTTAAATAGAAAGAAAGTCTTTTACAATATTATATTTCAAATACAGCTGACCTCTCCTCAACAAAATTATTTATTTTTTGCTTTTTGAATTCTGAAATGCAGAATCATGAATAATCATCATAAATTGACATGTAATTTTACATTTTTTCATTCGTAATTTAATTTTTATTAATGTAGAATTAATTTATCCTAAAAACAGAAATACTTAAAACAAAAATTTTAGTGTATAAGATGATAAAAGTTTAAAAATAGAGGAGTTAAGTAACAACTAAGTTTAATAACCTATTCCTCAGTTTATAGAATCAAATATTTAACTATAGCAAAGCCCAGATAATAACTTTGCTAAAGAGTTATTAATGCATATGGAGAATAGTGAAAATTAGATAGTTTTGAGTTATAGTCCTTAAAATTTCAGTTCCTCTATCAATAAAGTTGATAACAATTACAAAGATAATCAAGTAGAAGAAGATAAATTATTTTAAAACACAAACTAGCTATTAGCTCATCCTTAGACACCTAAATAATAAAATATTCAAAATATTTAATTATAATCTCGCTCTAAATCTTTATTTTTCCAGTAAAGAAATAAAATAGATTCTAATATTTTGGAAAAAAAAAATTCATTAATTTCAGAAAGTAGCAAGAATAGTGTTGGCCAAAAAGAAGATGAATCAGCCAATAATAATAACCTTCAAAATATTTAAGCAGATAATAGTGATAACTTTTGTAGCGAAGCTGATATAAAGACTGAATAAAGAAGGGAAACTATACCAGAATCTTTTAATTAACTAAAATAGTACGATAGTATTTTTTCTACTTAGAAATCTATCAAACAAGACTTAATGTAGAGAAAATATTCTAATACTAAAGAAAGCAAAATATATGGATTTTCTTCTTCTGCCATTAATAATTATGGAGAAACACCTTTAAACAAAGCAAATTAGTCATCTTTCAATATAAAAAGTGAAAAATTAATCCAAGAAAGCTAAAAAAGATATGACCATTAAAAAAAAAGCTTCTAATTTACAAACTTTATTAAGCACGAAGAATCAGATGGTGAAAACTCTAGTATTATTTAAACAAACACAAATAAACAAAGTAACAAAGTTGTGCCTTTGAATTTTAGCATTGTTGAAAGTTAAAATTTAGGAAGTGATGTAAACCAGTATGAAAACAAAATATCTTTGACAAGTAATTTGATAAAGCCTAAAAAAATAGGTTGGAACTTAGCTGTCTAGTTAAAAAATGTGAATAGATTTATTAGCAAAATTAGGGATTAGACTTCTGATTTGAACTATGTAAAATTGAAAACTCATCATTTAAATTATATAAATGATCCCTCTTTCTAGCACGAAGAAGGTTCTGGATAATATTTTCAAATGAAATACGACCATATTTAGAAAAGATTTTTATCAGCAATTCCTATTTTTGAGCCTGATAACTCTTTACTAATTACATTTAAGGTTTGTGTCATAGTTGCCTTGATTATTTAAATTTTTATTGTTCCTATTTAAATTGGCTTTTAAGTTAACTTATATGATGAAAACAGAACTGCAGAAATATGTTTAAGAATAATTCCAATAATACTTTTTTTAATTGATTTCTTGTGTAGAATGAATACTGGGTTTTATCAAAATGGTAATTTTATTGAGAAAAGGAGGGATGTAATTATGTATTTCAAATTCATTTTGATTTTAGATCTTATTAACATCATAGTTATAACCTTTAATATTGTCTTATCTGTTCCATTTTTATTGATAATCTTTATTTCCAGAGTATTTCTGGTTAATTTAAAAATTTCGGATATATCAGATCATTTCTCGCTTATGGAGAGGTATCCATCAGCTTATAATATAACTAAATTATCTTTTATCTTACTGCTAGTTGCCCATGTATGTGGTTGCGGATTTCACTTTATTAGTACAATCAATATGGGAGAATATACAAAAAATAATTGGATAGAATTTTATCACTTTAGTAATTATGATATTAAGAATAGGTATATTCTTTCTATTTACTATTCCACCATTACAATGATTACAGTAGGTTACGGAGATATTACACCACAAAATCAAATAGAAAGAATTTATGTTATTTGTATTGTAATTATATCTGGTACGGTATTTGCTTATGCTGTTAACATGATAGGTGCAATCTTCTAAGAAAAAGAAAAAAAAATTGCTGATTACAAGTAAATTCTTTTCAATAGTTAACTTAAAGCCATCTTTGATTTTACATATTATTGTATACTTAATCAAGGGAAATACATATCTTGGATGATTAAATGATATTTATATATTTTCAATTATCTTTTTATTAATTTTAAAAATTTATTTATTATAAAGATAAATGAAATTTGACATTTCTAATTACATGATTAACAGAAGCATCTCCAAAAAGACTTAGCTAAAGGTTTATAATTACCTAGAATATATTTTTAAGAAAGAAAGTGAATCACCAGAAAAAGGATAAAAAATTTTAAATCTCATTTCTGAAGATCTTAAAAATTCTGTTTATAAGGAATTCTATCAAATGATTTTGACTAATTCTAAATTATTCAGTCATAAATTCTCAAAGGAATTTATATAAAAAGTTTCACTAAGAATGGAGGAAAAAATGTATGCACCTGGAGAACTTATATATTAGCAAGGAGCCTCTGAAAATCCTATTTTATACTATATTTTAAAAGGAAAAGTTGATCTATATGCGTAAAAGGGAGATTCTAAGTACTTTCTAGGCAGCCTAAAAGTAAGGAAAATAAATATATCTTTTTTTATTAATATAAGTTATTTTAATTATATCTAGACTGGAGATAGTATGGGTCATCATAACTTTTATGCTTGCTTGCCTTTGGATTACTCATGTACCACATCTGAAGTCACTCATCTAGTTTATATAACCCAAGAAAATTTTATTTAATGCTTAAAAGAATTTCCTTTAGATCAGGTAAAATTTTTTATAAAAGTGTTTGGTTAATTATTTATTTAACTTAAAAAATATTAGGAAGTATTTACAATGAATAAAGATGATATTATCTTTGGATAACAGCGATATATGAATCCATGCTTTTCTTGTGGCAAATTTATACACAGTGTTATTGATTGTCCATTGATACACTATCAAAAAAACAAATAGTTTTTTATCAGCAGACATTTACACTCTGTTTAAGAAAAAGAGAGGAAGAGTCATTAAAGATAGCATTTAGTAAAAAGAAACTCACTTAAGATTATTAAAAGAGTAAGAAATGCTTTAAAAGTTACGAGGACAGCTATGGAATATAGCTACTTTTAGAATACGAAAATTCAAGGTTCATAAATTACTTTAAATGATTTAGAGACAGATAAGCAATTTTATTTAAGAATGACAAAATTTAAATTTAATTAAGACAATAACTTAGTCATGGACTCTTAAATTAGTGAAGGAGAGGAAGAAGAATTTGATTTAGAAGATTATGAAATCGAGTAAGAAGAGCAAAATTCACAAATTTCATAAGCTAAAGAAATCTAAGAACTTAAAGAAGAGGATGACTATACATAAAGATCATTAAATAACATTACGATAAAAAAATTTAAGAATAATCAAAGGTTATAGCGTTTTGGAAGCTGTTCATCTTTTAAAATGGGTGAAAATGATTAAGAAAAAGCTTAACAAAATATGCCGTTATACAAAAGAACTTTGACAAATCAAAATAAACTCAAATAAATAAAAAAATAAGATTCAAACTAAAGCTGCTCAGTAGATGGAGAAAAATTTGATGAGCTTAATTGCTCTTTGCTTCTTAAAAAAATTTCATCAAACGAATTAAACCAATAACCAGAAAAAATAGATGTGATTCAAAAGAAATAGAGCTCCAAAAAAATTGAAAGTTTACCATAAACAACTCAATTTTAAAAAGAAATTTTCATGTAATAATAAGATTTTTAGAATAGTTAAAAAAACCAAGATTTAAACAAGTACTAAAACTTTAAGCTTAACCTTTAACCTATTTAATTATTTGGAAATCATATTACAGGAACTATTAATAAGTAAAATTTAGATGACTCTTTATCTCCATTTTAAGTAATCTTGGATGATAGAAATAAGATTAAAATTACACAAGAAATCAATAGCAATCTAGTTGATCACCTTAATAATTCTCAGCCAAAAACATCTAGATAAGGATCGATTGATTCATTAAAATAGAAGAAGAGTTCCCTCAATAAGGAACAATAAAAACCTTAAAATATTATAAATATCTAACCAAATATGATTAACGGTTTACCTAATAATTTGAACAGTATGAATAACTTAAATTATGTATAAATAGGTACTCCTTTATTACAAAGCAATTAAACATTAACAGGCTTACCAAATATTACTAAGAATAACAAGTAACTGAATAATATTTGTTACTAACTACAATAATTCTAACAAAAAAAAGAAAACTTAAATACTTAAACTCTTAAACCATAGATTTTACCTTAGAATTTTAGTAATAATAATTTAAAAATTGGTGAAATACAAAACATAAAATTTAACACTGTTTAATAAGTTTAAAATGTAAATAATTTGTAACAAAATACTATGCCAATTAATTAGCCATATTACTAGGCGTATTAAGAAAATGCCTAAAATCAAAATGCTTAAAATTAAGATAGTCTTTCTCCAAGCTAAATTAATAACTTTAATCTTAATTTGTTGAATCCACAATTGCTTAACCACCAAAATTTCAATTAAATAGCAGCTTTAAATCAGCATAATAATTACTTTGTGTAACAACTAATAAAAAGAATAGAAGAGTTCTCAATACCTAATTTTGAAGCTATGAAGGAATACACAATATATTTTGTTTAATACAATTATACTTAAGTTTTAAAAAAAATACAAAAAAAATAAATCCCTATTAAAAAGAAAAAAAATCATTTAAATTAATCAAAGCTTAAAGGAAAAAAGAAAAATGGTTCCAAATCTTTTAACATATTGCCTCATTGAAAAGCTAAATAAATTAATAAATAAATGAATTTAGCTATTTTTAAAATATGCATTTAGTTTATTTAAAAGCAATAATAAATAATCAATCCACTTAATATGAAATAATAATCAAAAAAAAAAAAATAATTTTTCCATCAGAATTTGCTTAGAATAAACATTTTGAATTAATTAATTAATTTATAAATATGGATATAAATAAATAAAAATGTAAATAAATGGTTTAATTTATTAAACTTAAAAAATAATATTAATTTTTTCGATTTTAATTTGATTCTATTTGTGTTGATATTTTAATTAAAAAATATTAATATGATAATTAAATAAAAAATAAATAATTAATAATTTTATTTAATTAATTCGATACACACACACACACACACAGTACTCTATTTTATTATAAATACAAAAAATTCATCTTAATTTGAATAAAGTATTTTTATTATAAATTGAATATGTTTAATTTTAATTTTAAATAAAATCTAAGTTTGTAATTCAAATATTTTGCTTTTATAATTAAATTAAATTATTTCCCAATACTAAATTATTGAAAGCCTTAAACTGTTCATATTTTACATTTTTATTTTAAAGACTTACTTTTAATTTTTTATGTTTTAAATATTTTGCTTCAAAGGAATTTTTTATTCTATTTTAATTAAAGAGAATTTTTTTTGATCAGAAATGATTTTCTTTTATTTTTTTAATAAATAGATGATATATATATATACTCACTGATTATTATTAAGAATTATAGCAAATAAATCTCACATTTCATTTTGATATGATTTAAGCTAGTCTTTTTAATAAATGTTTTGCTGTTTATAGGGATAGATTTAGTAGTTTTTGTAGTTATAAATAGTGTATTTTCCAAATGCACTACAGAAACTAACTTTTAAGGTCTTTAAGTTTTAAATAATTTAGCTCAAGTTATGTTCTGGATAGTAATATGTGAATTCTTTAATTTGGTCTTAAAGTACATCTTTTTATATAAATTCTTCATATTTCTATTTTTCTGTTTTTTTATCATTGTTTTGATTGCTAACGAGATCATTTCCAGTATAAAATTTAGCTAGCTTTTATGAGAATTGTTAATCTAATTGTCTTTGTATAACTATATTTTTTTAGAATTGCTTATGATTTATTGGAGATGTGGGCTAATTTAAAACTCCAGAGGTATGGATTCCACTATTCAGAGTTTTAAAATCTTTTGTAATAGTTGAATTAATATTTTTTATAAGCTGTAAATTTGGCTATTGGTTAGGTTGTGCACCTTCATTTTATTGGATTATATAATTCATCATCATATCATCAATATTCTTTCTTCTCTTTAAAAACTATTAAGGTTATATCCCATTTAATATGACTTAATTATCTTGGTAGTGTAGGGATTACTATGAAAATTAATTTTATAATCCACCTATTGGTGGAGGAACTTAGTTATTACCATTAAATTAATTTAAATAATTTTAGTAGAAAGTAGAAAAGTTTTATTACTTTGAATGGGATTGAGATAGACTTGATTAAGGTTAAGTAATGGAAGTATTTTTTCTAGGAATTGGAGAGTTGCTGATTTTATGAGAAATTCCTTCTATTGGAGGTATATTTTTGTTTGGGCTTTTTTCTTATAGCAGACTTATTAAGAGTTTTATGTTTTTATTAATTTAAGAATTGTCATCGCTGATATTATTAGTAGTGCTACTTCTTTAATTTTATAAATATTATTACTAAAACTACGATTAATTTAAATGACTCTATCTCTTAAAAGGATTTTTTGTACTTCTTCTTCTTGAATTTCCTCTGATTATGTTAATTCCTACAGATTATTTAGAAAGAGTAGAGCTTTCTTCAGTTATTTCATTTGTATTGTAGAAAGGAATTTCAGAACTTTTATCAAAATGTATTTTTTATGCTTTTTATTAGAAGGGATAAGCCTAGCTATCAAAATATGCTGTATTATTTTGTATGTGACTGTTATTGTTACTGAATGTAAATGCACTGTTAAGCTAGTAATTTCCACTCTACTAAACTTAAGCCATATTTTGATTTTAATTATTTTGATAACTAGTTCTTCCTGTATTATTGTAATCATTTTCACCATTTTATTTTGATCTATGAGACAATGACGTGTTAAGACGATTATTGTCAGAACTTTCTTTTCTTTGCTATATTTTTGGCACTTCAAGAGTATTGGTGTTTGTTACAGGATAATACTCAATTATATTTATTGAATTATTGTTTCCATTTTGTACTTGTAAATTTGTGTTGCTGTTCATTTTTATGCTGAGAGCTCTTTATCCGTTCCTAGGTTGAACAGATGAAGGTGCTTGAGGAGGCTTTTAATTTGATTTAGTCGTATTTGTAATTGATACATTTCTCGCTCTATCTCCCTTTTCAGGAGTTAAATTCTATTAAGCCCCATAAAAATTATAATTTTCCTATCCTCCACTACCACCTACAACAGAAAATGATGGTATTGTTTAGACATTTTTTTATACAGTTGACTCTGCCCGTTTAAATTGAATAGAATAATTGTTATTTGTTCTTTCATCTCCAACTTGATCAGATACTTTATTAGATTCATCTTAGTTATCAAGATTGTGCTATTTATTATCCTTCTATTTTTCTTCATCTACTCTTTAAGGGTTTTCTATTGTTTCTGTCATTTTAAATAATCCTTTTATTTATAAAGGATTTGTATTTTATGAACTCTAAGAGCTATGCAAGGTTTGTTAGCTGGGTTAAAATGTATGCATAGTACTTGCTGGAATTGCTTGGTTTTAATTCTAATTAAAAACAGATTTTTTCTCTCTGCCTAATACAACAAAAGACTGAGAAAGAAATGAAGAAGAGTGGGATGAGTGAGAAGAAGGTGATTTATTTGAAGAAGATGAAGATGAATAGGCCTCATTTCGGCTTCTTCTACTAATAAGTTCGCCTTCTTTGTGGTGGTTTATAGTTCTGTCTGGATGAAAACCAGATTTAGCATTTTTACTTCTATTTAAAAATAAATTGTTACTGCTATATTTTTGATTGCTTACTGAGCTATAATTGTTGTAAGGGTTATTATTCACTCTTTGGGTATAAGTTGTATGATAAGACTAACGATTTGTTTGATTGATAAGGCTTTCATCTTATCCTTCTGAGGCCATAAGCATTTAATTCTCTTCACTATCCCATGTAAGAAGCATCATTTCTTCTCTTTATCTGCTAATAAAAGCATCTCGAAGCTGTTAAATTTGGTTTTAATTTGAGACAGCATTCATCTTTCTCTATTTTCCTCTTTCTATATGTTCTCTCATTTATTATTGGGAATAAATATGCCTCAAAATTATTTATTCTTTATCTGCAGTGAAATGTAGAGAAGGGCATTGATTAATCGTGTGATAAGTTGATTAACATATAAAGCAACTCTAATTAAACTTACTTGAAAGTTTATTAAATTGAATTTCATCTCTAAAAAAGCAAAACTTCTCATAATCTTTTGGAAAAAATCTGAGCACATCTAAAATATCAGATCTACTTAGTGTTCTAAGAATGCTCATTTCAGTAGCTTTTGCAGAAACGGTTTTTATCTAATCGATGTAAATAGATGGCTCTCCTAAAGATTTGCCTTCATTTAATATTGCAAGAGTAGTAAAATTGTAATCACCCTTAACACTTTCAACAAAAAGTTCAATAGATCCTCTCTAAATGAAGTAGAAAAGAGGATCATCATCTAATTATCCTTCTTCAAAAATCATTTCATTTTTAGAGACTCTCACCTATTTCACTCTAAGAGCTAATTTTTACAGACACTCTTCTGAGAAATTAGAAAATGTACTCTTACACTACCTCATGATATTCATGTTTTCTTCAGTAATAAGCTTCTCCCTTAAATGAGTCGAAAGCTCATCTAAAATGTATTTCTCTTATTCGAGACTGATTATATTTTTTGATTTAAGTTTGTATTAAAGAAACATCCTTATTGTTACTTTCAAATCTCTGCCTATATTTTTATCATTTAAATATCTATTGACCAAAGACATTTACTCTTTAATATAATGACCATCTTTTTATATTTCTTTTATTATCCCTCCTATCGTATTTAAGCTATATCCAAAGATAACACTACTTAGCAGCATATATATAATAGCCATAAGAATTTCTGTATTATTTTAGGGAGTGATATCTCCATATCCAACAGTAATCATAGTTGTAATAGAATAGTAAATTGAATATAAATACCTATTAATTTTTCAAATAGAATAAATTAGGATTTCTTCATCAATCAAAATAAATAATTTTTTTTACTTGTCTTACCACTAAGAATCTTAAATACCGATTTTCTTCATCCAATTTTTACTTGAATCGTCATTATTTAGCTCAGCTGCTTTCCAAAAAGCGCATCCAAATATCTTTTTTATATAATTAAAGTATTTATTTTTTTTATTTAAAAAACCATAACATATCTTTAAAATAAATAATTCAAAGCAATAAAAGCAATTTAGAGAACTGCCAAATAAATAAAATTATATTTACATGTCCAACAAAAAGAATGGTACCTAGCAAACTTAGCAATTAAACTAAGTAATACAATTTGGTATTATTTCTTATTGAAAGTAAAATATCAGTGAAATTATTGACTATTTTAATAACTTTTAAGACTTTGAAAAGGAAAATAAAACAGCATATAATAGAAAAAATGTACTAAGATTCCATATCATAATAGGTTTTTAAGATACTAATGATATATAGAATATCTATTATCATTTATCTTTTTATATATGTTAACGAAACATCTTTTCTGTTTTCATTAACTATTCCCTAGTCATAAATTCCTGTATTAAAGGTGATTAGCATATCAACAATAAAGAAAAAAAAAATAAAAAAAATTATAACTCCCCAGCTATCTTCTCTTTATATCAATGTTCCCATATTTTGACCAGTCACAATTTATATTGGAATATAAATGAATATCAAAATTATAATCAATATGTGTATGAAATCCCAAATTAATTTAAATTTGCTCTATGGATGAAACAGAGGAATATTTACTTTGTGATATATTTAGTAAAAGGATTAAGTAGAAAACATCTAAAACTTAAGCATAGCCCTAGATAATCTAAATGAAGAGTGTCTGGTTTTGAGTCTGCTAACGTTTTGACGATTAACAAAAACTAAATCATTGATTACATCCAAAACTTTTTTTTAAATGAGAGAAGGAGTTCTCAATTTAGATCTGACTTTCAGTATCCTAATGAAATCTTTGACTCTGTTCATAATTTTGGTTTATTTATCAGCTCTTGCTATCTCCAAGTGCTTCTACCTCGCTTTTTAAAGAGCATGAATAACATTCAGGGCAATCGACTTACTTTTTTCGCGTTTATTATTACTCTCATCATCATAATCTTATTGATTAGATTAGCTATCTAAATTACTTTTATAATTCATCAATTGGAGGTTTGAAAAATCATCTCTTCTTTAGCTTACACTGTTTCCAGCAATTTCACTTTTAAATTTAGGTAATTCGCTCTCACCTGAAATTTTTGAAGCCACATTTTTTATATTGGAAAAATAATTTATAGAACTATTCTTTAAAGCTGGAGATTTGCTTTAACCACTGATGATGCTACCAGCTGCATTTAATGCTTTTTTTTAATCAAACTAAATCTAGTCAACGTTCTTTTCTTTATTAACAAGTTCCTCTTTAACTTCTTTTTAAGCTTTATTCTCGGCATCTTGGTCATCATAATCTCCTCCTCCTTCTTCATCATCATCTTCTTAATCCATTTCAACTAGATCTTCATTAGTTAGTTGGATACGAGATATATTTTTTTACCTTCTTTTTCTGTTTGAATTACACAACTCTTTCATTTCGTAATCAGTAACCAAGTTCATAGTAGTTTATGATATCTCTGAGGTATGCTGATTGGTAGCATTATGGTGATTAGCATAAGATTTGCTTATTTCATCATCATTAAGTTCATTAATACTTTTATTATTGTTGTTTGTAAAATTATTTTCTGTATAGTCTATCTAGTCATCTGAATGAGAACCTAGATGCTCTGTTTGGAATATGCTTAATTAAAATTTAGAATTTTATGATCCTTACACATTCCCTTTATTATATGTTGTAAATTAATCTCTTAAATTTTTATTAGCTGTATTATCTTCATAACCAATTTTGTAAGTCGGATGAGGTACAACATACAGATTATCTTAATCATCTTATAATTTTATGAAATCAGAAACTAATTCGTCATTAATTCCATATTTAGCTGGAGGCGATTAACTTATTTGAGACTCATTTTTAAATATTGCAGTTTAATTTGGAAGAAGATGCTAAAATGAAAAAGTTGATAGACTACTTGCTTATCTATGATGATGATTGTTGTTATTGTTGTTAGTAAAGCTTATACTTTAATTATGAGCACTATTCTATAAGAATAAGTTAGGAGGTTAAACCTTCTAATTTGGTTGGATCTAGCTGAAATAAGGTTAAATTTTAAGTTATTATTGCTTGGTTTCAATATTCACAGACTAGAATTTTTCTTAGCTATCTTCTTTAATAGATATATTTTCATGGATATTAGACTGAGACTTTACACGTAAATTCGGAGTATCTTGTTAAGATAATTTATCATCTTCTTGCGTTATCATAAAGGATTATGATTTTTAATTTAATATTCTTTAGCTGCTAGCATTAATCTTTTTAGATTTTTACTATTATAGCCCCAAAGACCCTTACTTAAAAAGATATTGTTACTTACTCTACTTTTCAGGTGAATGAGATAGCGTTTCGCTAAGAGTGAATTTATCAGAAACTACAGTTCCCGAATATGAAATGATTTCGCTTAGTTAGCTATTATCTTCAGTTGGGCCAGGATGGGGCTATACTATTTTCAATTGAACTCTATTTACCTCATTAATGTCTTCCATTATTGACTAAAAACACTATTAAATATTTAAAGACTATATTATTAACTTAATATAAAATTTAGTTTTTCTTAAGTTATTCAATTAATATTACTTTATGATTATTAGCCAATAAGTATTAACTAAAGTAAAATAAAGTGTGAATACAATAAGAATATATCTAATATACTTATTTTCAAGTTTTTTAAATATATTATTGTAATCCTGATTTATTTGTAATCTCATTCATTGGCTTAGGCAATAGAATTTATCAATCCCCATAAATTTTATAAAAATTTACTTAATTTTGTTGTGAATCTATTTAAAATTGTGAAAAAATCAATTTTTAAGTATCTACTGATTTATATTTCAGATTTTTGTAGACATCAAAGCAAAACCTTTGAATAAATATTTATTTATTTATTTTTAAGCATTTTTCTAAATTTTTAATAAACATATAATTACATATACGAACCACTAAGAAACCAAAAAACTTAATGCATTGATTTTTGAAATACAAGTTTTGTTTAAATTACCAAAAATGTGAGTTTAAAGCATTTTTAAAATTGTTGGAATGAAGTGTAACCTAAAATGAATATATTTATGATTTTAACTGTATTTTGAAAAAAAGTGAGATCTTTATATTCCAATTATTCAATATTTTAAAAATAATTTATCAATAAAAATAACTCTATTTATCGAGAATTTTTATACAAAGCAATAATTTAAATATTTAAAAAAGTATATAATTGATTAAATTATCATTCTTAAATTATTTTAACAAAGTTAAAAAATTTATTTAATTCTAATTTTTAAAATTATTGAATGAGATATAATAACTATCTATAAAACTATTTAATTTTTAATTTTTAATAAAAATATAAAATTAAAAAGATTTATAAATTTAATCCGTCAAAAAAAAATTTTTTTGACGATTTTGACGGAAAAAACCCCCAAATTTAAAACCCTGATTATAAATAATAAACAAATAAATTTTATAATATAACTATACTAATAATTTTATAGTTTTGTTAATTTTACAATATTATAAAGTGGCAAAATAGTAAGCAAGCTAGAAAGAGTGAGATTTCTTTTATTTTTAATTGATATAGTCATTAAACTTTCTATATAAAATTAGTTTTATTACCTTAAATCTTATAAACTTTAAATATAACTAGTGAGAAAGTAGTTTGTTTATTTTTGTAGACAAGGAGCAATTTTATTTATTCAAAATTATTATTTTGTGTTGGTTAGTTAGTTACATTAAATCTTTTAAAATTTTAATAATTTTTTGGTATTTTCATTAAAAAGTGTAGATGTATTTTATATAATTTATTATTTTAAATAATCAAATTTTTGTAAATCAATTTCTTCTAAGATTTTATTTTTATATTCTTAAGATGTCATTAAAATTGAAATTCAAAGTATAAATGAGGACTCTTAGTTCAAATAATAATCATTCATACTTTTAGATTTATCGTTTTCTAATTATATAGAGCAAGTAGTGTCATTTTATGTTACATTTTATTAGAGTTTTTGGTTTTAATAATTTTGTGTGTCTTACTTAACTGTTTGATCTTATGAACAAGAATATTCTTAATTTTATTAATTGGAGTTTTTATCTGTTTAATACAAGTTAATGCTTTTATTCATGCTTAAACGTTGAGAAAGAATGCCTGATATTTAATCAGAGCTTTCGTATTCGTCGTTGTTTATGCTGTTTTCTGTTTCGTCCTTACTAATCATTTAACAAATTGGACTTAGAAATGACATTTCGAATATACTTTCTTTTCTTCTTCTCGTTAAATTGACATTTGGAGTGATATCTTCTATTTTTTAAGAAATTATTTCATCTAATTTTTAGTCATTTCCTTTGTTGTTGTTGCTGAAGAATTCCGAAATAGAATCTGTTTTGGTTTTAAAAATAATTATAAATTATTTAAATATATTTTTATTTAAAAATAAAATAAATTTACTTGATTCATCTGTAAGCTTTCTGCACTCTTTTTTATCATTTACATAGAAGGATGTTTCAGTATCTCTTACTTCGAAATCTCTAAAGAGAGTTTGGGAATCACTTTTTGGTTTTGTCATCAGCCAAAACTACTCACTGCAATTAGGTTATTCTTCTATATTTTTTTCTTAAAGTTCATATGAGCTTATCTGTGCTTAGCTATCTATATTTTCTACATTACTCGGTAAAGATTAAATTGAATCCTGTTCCAATTTTTAGAGGTCTGAGGAACTGTCGCTTTTAGAATTCGATTTTGAATTGCTCATCTCTGTTTCACTTTATGAGTCGTTCTCTTCCTCATTAATTTTTTGGATGCTTGAAGTTTACTCAGGTAAATTAGAAGAATTTTTTTCTTGTTTTTTAGAAGATTTGAAGATCTTATTTTTTATTTAAATAGAACTTATTTTAAATGCGTTTCTATTATGAATTAAAGATTTAATAACAGAATCACTTGAGTTATTGTCAGTTTTTGTTTTATCTTCAAAATAATTTTCTTTTAAAGAATTGCTTTGTTTTAAAGTTTAGGATTTTCCTTATCTTTTTGATGGAGAAACATTTGAAAAATCTGACAAAGCCATAGCTGATAAACTTGATTAATTTTATTCAGTTTGAGTATTATTTTCAATAGAGCAGCTAGACTGGATTTTAATTGTGGTAAATTTTTCTTTATTTGTTTAATCTGTATTATTAAATAGAGAATTAAAATCTTCTATCTTATTTTATTCTTCGTTAGCTGCTTTAAAGATTTAATTACTTGATTTTTCATCACTATAATCAGAGCATAAATTGGGTTAAGATTTAACTCTCTTTCTCTTGTGAAATATCCTAGGACTAAGTAAAAATGAGTTGCTATTATTCTCATCGTATGAAAATTTTTTTTTTTTCATATCTAAATTTTCTTGCAACCTCGCTCCTAACGAAGATATCTTCGTCTAATTATTTTCAGACTTTTTTTTAAACATTATTTAATCAGCTTATTAACTTTATATAATTTCATCAGGTTTTTTTGCTTCCTAGCTGTATAATTTATTTTTTTATATCTAAGCTTAGTCATAACTAATTCCACTTTTGTTTGAGCTTCCCAGAGTTATTATTCTTTTCCTATTTTTTTCCCATGAGTCATCTAAGTGATCAAGGATATCACTTTCTTTTCTTTGAAAGGAACCTTAAATATTTTCATTCTCATTTTAATATTTGGATTTAATATCTGCTTCCCTTTTGTCTAAAGAGCTGTTGTATTGGTTTATATTTTATTAAATTATGTTGGTTGAGCTCTTTCTTTCTACACTTATTGAAAGCTTTTTTCTAGACTAGCACAAAGAAAACTCATCCTTTTCTTTATCATCTGAATAATCATCATCTATCAGCTTTTTTCTTTGCATTTAAGTGAATTGAGAATTAGCAATTTCATTGTTTTTCAAGTATGTCGGTTCGCTCTTCTAAGTAGCATCATTACTGCTCTAAATTACATTTCAAAAAATTAATAAATCAAACGAAATTATAATTTTATGTTTCGTCATAAATAACTTTTGAAAACAAATTATTATATCAAATTTACTGTAGAAAATTTCTTATTTGAGGGATTGAGCACAAAGAGACTCATATCTTTACCACTATTCTTTCTAAATCTTTCAGAGAGTTTTTTCGAGTTATTTGACTGTTTAATAAATTTTCCCTCCATAAAGCTGCTCTCCTAAATCATATCTTTCTGTTTATCATACTCTCCAAGCTTCACTTTTTGTAAATCGAGATTCTTTTTAAGAAACGTTCTGCAAAAATCTTCCCACTTTTCTATATAATATCAATATATTATCATGATTTATTTATCACTCCTTTGGTATTTAGAATAAATAAATTATTTGTTTAAATTACCTCTTTACAGGCTTTACATAGCTTCAAGCATTTAATTAACTTCAGGCATTTCTTGCCTCAGTCTCTCAAGACTCTCAGCAATTTTTATGATAAATGCCATATTTGGTTTTTTTATTTAAACTTTTTTAACGCTTAGCATTACTGTATCGTCTGATTATGCTTTGCGGATCTTTTTGTAAACTTCAACATGGGTAATTAACTAATAAAATATTAAGTCTATCAATATATTTTTTAGAAAATTTTAATTTTATAAATTACATGCTTCAGCAAGATGTAGTTATTACTTTCGACATATTAGCTAGATGCCTGAGAAGATATTACAAAGTTAACTAAGTAGTTTATCATAGAGTAAATTTTATCATGAAGTAAATTATTCCAATCATACACAAAAAGGTAAGACTATATTTAATATTATTGATTAAAAAATGAGAAATTTCCTAAGATAAGCAATAGTTAAATAAGAAATAAATAAAGAATGAATCATAAATAACATAGATAGATTAACTAGTCTATAATATGTGTGATAAAAAGTGGAAATTTGAATGAAAAATATTTACAAATATTAGGGAAGGATAGTCTTGCATAATAATCTCATTAACTATTTCAGGATCATTGAGCTTGACCATTTCAAAAATCAAATCTATTATACTTAATTTATCATTCCCAAACATTTGAATTCTTTATTCAAATTGCGTCATTAGAGTCTTTTCTTTGTCTATGAATTCTAATTTATTTTCTTTGATTCTTCTAAGATTTTATACGATAATTTGCAACCATCTTTTTTCAAATGTTTCTAGTTTATAAAAAATAAATTTAAGTTAATCTTTTATTTTTTCACTATTTTCCATTTTCCATCAATTAATCAATCAAATGAAAAATCTCTAAAAATATGTTTACATTGGAATGATTTAGGAGAATTGAGTTTCTATTCTGAATCTGCTGAAGCTTACTAAATTAATTATAAAGCTGACACAAATAGCTGTGCTATTTCGCAAGTTGCTAATGTTGATTTTGAAGTTAAAAGGATGTTTAGATATGTTTGAACCCTCGTATTAGCAAAAATTATATTTGAGAATTTTATAAAAGTCTATGAGTGGATATGAGAATTACATTTTTTTAAACAATTTTTAATTATCCTACAGAGACTCTTTAAATCAAACTCATCAATTCTAACACTAATTAAGTCTAGCAACTCGTTTATAATTTTTATGATTTAGTCTTCTTGTCTCTTCAGATAATCAATAGGTATATTTTCACTGGGTTCATATAGTTAGAAGCATAATTTTTCTATTACATCAGAAATATCGTAATCTCCAATATATTTATACACATAGCTGAGTAACTGTTCATTTTAGTGCTTTTCTAGCACTAATGATTAAACCTTTTAATTATAAAAAGAAAATGATATAATTAGAAATTTTAAATGCTAAAAATACTGCATTTGGGCTGTAAGCTCAAGGTGCAATTGATATTTTTAAAAAATTCAAATTAAAAGTATTTCTACTTTAATTTTACTACAAATTTTATTTTAGTTTTTTTATGATAAAAATAAAAAGTTTACAGTTTCAGGTTTAAAAGCAAGAAGCGCAGAGAATATTTGATTAAAATGGTATTAAACCCAAGCATCTTCTATGCCTTACACTTTTAGGATATCTAAAAAGTCTATAAACACATTGTCAGCGCTGTAGAATTAATCATTTTTTTAGAATGGCGTTAAATCTTCACTGTCTTGGCAAAATATTGAAGTTTTTAAAGGAGAATTATAAGCTTGGAATTTTTCCTATTTCGTTTCTTCTATTTAAATATTTTCTAATTTTGTTTCAGACCCAAATTATTCTGTTCCCAACTTCAAATCTGTGTACAAGAAGAATTCACTATTTTTAAAATTTTTTTCCCCTAAAAAGGCATTAAGTAAGTGGCCATTATCTTCCATTCTAAACAGCTAGCAAATAACCTACAATTATCTTTGATAAAAAAAGTCTTAGTTTCAGATTTAGAAAAGGTATCTATTTCATAAAAGGGAGTGTTTCTTTATTAGCTAATTTGTCTCTTTGTTTGTTTTTTTGTTTGTTTTTTTGTATGTATGTAAGTAAGTATTTATATATATGTATGTAAGGTTGATTTTTTTTATTTGTTTATTGGTTTTGCAGGTAATTATGAATAATTTAATAGATAAAATGAATACAAAAATTTAGCTATCAAACCAAATATTATTAAATTTTCAGTGTAAACATTTGCTAGATAAATCAAACCATTCTCCCTTGTTTCTCAACACATTAAATTAATTAATTTGATAAAATTTAATAAATCATTAAGCTTTTTGTTTGTGCTCAATTTATTTTTTCCCTTTCTCTAATCATATTTTCATTCTCCTTATAAAATTATTTTCATTGAGGAATTTTAAATTGATTTTTATTTACCTAAAAATATCTGCGTCCTCATCTTGTTCTGATGGTTTGATTGACAAAATTTCTACTATCTATCTGAGGACATCAGGATTTTATAATCTTTACATTTAATAAAAGATCATTAATAATATGAAAATGTAAATAAACTTTTCTATGACAAGACCAATTGATATCACATTATAAAATGTACTATAATAATGTATTTGCATACAATTTGATTTATCTTTGATAAAATATATGTAGAAGTGGCAATGAGTTTATCATTGTCATTTGGAATTGTTTATTAATTAACTCCTGAATAATGAAACATTCATTCATAATAAATGCCTTGCTCAAAAGTTGTTTTTGAACAAGTACAAAACAAATGATTAGTGTTTTAAAATAAATAAGCAGTTCCATTTCTAAATATTTAGTAATGTATATTTGCTAAGTTCCCTTTTAATAAATAGAAGGCAGGTAGTTATAGTAGTAAGCATTAAAAATAAATACAATAAGCTTATAGTTTATTGTTTTAATTTATTAGAAAAAGACTAATTTCTGTAATTGCTTTATGATTTACTTACAAATTATTTTAATCATGCAGATTGATTAAAAGAAACCTGCCTTAATGAATTTATTTAATAATTTATGAATTGTATAACCATTTTAAGAGTTCTATGAATACTCTAACTAAATTTAGAAAAATATGTTATCGTAAGCAAGCAAGAGCATGAACCATGATTTAAAAATAAACTAATAATTGGTCTTGGAATAGCTTTATGAGACTATAAATTTATATTTATATATATATGGCTAATAATTTACATCTAAAGAGTTTCTTAATCTTTTTCCTTAACTTTTTTTAGTATATCACTTTATAAAAGCAATTCCTTGATATTTATTTCTTATTTTTCCAAGGGATGGAAATGAATCCGCTGAGGGATATCAAGATTAATTTCATTTGAGGTCATCAACCCCTAATGCGCACTTACTCTTTTTTCTTTATCTTCGTGTCCTAGTTTCGTATTTATGATTAATTTCAAGATAGCCAAGCAAGCCTTGGAAGAATTTCCTTGCTAACTGAATTTATATCTATATAATATATTTTGATTCTATATATTATATGATTTTGTTTGTTTCTTTTACTCTTTTTTTTATTTCTTTGTTTCTTGTTTTTGTTTTTAATTTATTACTAAATCTTTATATTTCTAAAAACCACTTAGAAAACCTAATTTTTGTTATTATAATATAATTGATTCGATTACACAAAAATATTCAAAATCATATTTTATCTTTCATGGTCATATTCATAAATCTTCATTCAAAAAAATTAAGATTATTTAACTAACATATGTTAACACTAAATTACTTATCACTCCAATAATTATACTTCTCAAGAAGCAATCTATATATATGTATATAAATAATACCCACACATCTATATTCACTTATTTTAATCCAATTTTTAGTAAAAATTAATTCCAAATTAAATATAAAATTATATTAATTCTTTTTAATACCATAGTATTAGCACTGACTTATATTTATTGCTATTAAAATAAAAAATAGCTATTTATATTCATTCTATTAGAAATTATTATTCAAATCTGTAATCGCAAATACAAAACAATCAACCACTAATAAAAAATTTACTATTTTAAGTACTACCTAATAATATTCTATTCTAGAAGAGTGATAGATAAATACTTGAAGAATATATTATGATAAATTATGGTATCAACAAAATAACTATAAAAATAATCAAAAAGTTAAAAATTCATTCGAGAAAATTAAAATATTGTTTGAAAATCTATATCATTTTTTTTAAAATCTGAACTGTTTTACTTAAAAAATTTTTTTAAAAAAATTAATTTAATGTGTAGCAAAATATTTTTTTAGTTAAAATTTTTATTGTAAAATATTATTGATTTTTCTCTTCAATTTTTTTTTTTTAATTATATTTATTGCTAAATTAAAATATTGTTTCATCCATCTTGCCTGATTTAATCTACAAAATTATATTTTGATTTTTATATTTGTTAGATATTACTAACATCAAAAATTAATCAATCAATGAAAAAATTCTTATTAAGGATTATAAATTATATTTTGGTTAAAGGTTTAAATGAATCAATCCAATTAATAAATCAATCAATCAATCAAACACATACATACAAACAAACAAAAAAGATATATAGATTTTTAGTGATTGAATATTAGGATAATATAACATTAATTATAATTTCTTTATACAAAAATTAATAACTCTATAAATTCTAAATATATAAGTTTAAATAGAGTGTAATAGCAAGCAAATTTACAGCATTTAAAAAGTAATTTTGAATTAGGATCTATCAAAGTTTGCATTATAAGAGAGTTAAAAATATTTTTACTTCTTCTAAAATTATGAGTAAGCTTATGGATAAATTAAAAAGGATGGAGCCCTTTTAAGCTCAAAAAAAACAAAATATACTAAAGAAATAAATAAAGGATCCCTAAATCGAAAACTCCACCTATCAAGATATTGATGAGAAATTTAATTCTCTTTGCAATTTTCAGTCACAGTAGCTGATTAATTTTGAATTGAAAATCCCTCCACCATAGTTAGATGAAGAGTAACTAAAGGCATACAGTAGAAATAAAATTTAAAGAAGCTCAACTAAAAGATAGTCTACAATTGTATAAGCAAGTAAACTTTAAAGTACTCGCTCAAGTTAAATTATTTAAGGGGGAAAATTAAATATTTAAAGTCCTAAAATGAGTGTTACTAATTCCGTATTTGCATCTCAAGTGCTTACAAGTCCATAAATAGACTCAGATCACTTTTTGTAGTTAAAAGGGCATCAAAAATAGTAAAATAAGCAAAATATCAATTCGTAAACTCAGTTATCTTAGCTAAAGACATCTGCTTCATTGAATTCAGCTAAGAGACTTTCTCCTCTAAAAGTTAGCACCATGAATCTGAACAAAGATAAATCTTAACAAGATGATATTCATTCACCTGAAAAGAGACTTCACTAAATGAGAAAAAATTAAGGGAATATAAGATTTACAAAGAAGAAAAGTACTTATGTCTTTAATGAGCATGCAACACAAAATAAATAAAATGATAAAGAAAGTGATATAGATGAGAGAGTTAGCCAAAGCCCTGAATGGCTCTTAATTTAGTAGAAACTTAAAAATGCTATCAAAAATAAAAAGCACTAATAAGAAGATGACTACATTAATCCTGTCGTTTAATTATTTGGAAACGTAACTCACTAATGATTTTATTAACAATATTTTAAATCAAAAAAGAGAATTAATTATTTTATAGCAACTCCTAAAAATTAAAAAATAATTAATAATATAAAAAGAAAGTCTATTTTATTTTAGAAAAATTTAATGAAATTTTATGTAGAACTAAAAAATTAATTTTAATTAATTTTATTAATAGAACTTTATAGCAATGGTTTTATAAGCTTTAATCATCAAGAAAATAGATGATCTCTATGGCATGAAAATAAATACAGATTCCAATATACCTATCAGTGAGAACCTTTTAAAGCAATTTGGAATCTCAAGTACAATGCTGAACTCGCTTAATAGGTAAGTTTTTTTAATGAAACTTGCAATATAATAACTTAAATTTTTTTAGTGCTAATGAAAAGAGATAGTATATTGCAGATACCATGACAGCAAGAATTAGCCTTATGATTAAAGAATGGGATGAGAAATAGGGCTTTAGATAATAAAAACTACAACAAGATGAAAAAATAACTGATAAAGAAGAGCAGAGGAAAAATGAAAGCTAAGGAGATATGTTTGATTGGCTGAAAATAGGTAAACAATTTTCTTTAAGAAAATTAATGTTGATTTAAAAAATATTTAATAATTTAAAAGAGACAAACCATGACTAACTCAAGAAAAAACTAAGAATGGCTATTGTCGAAAAGCTCACAGATGTAATTTAATAAAAATAAAATGAATAATTAATTCAGTAAAAATATTACATTTTTATAAAAAAGTTTGAAAATTAAGAGGAGCTAAAGAAATTAAGATAATAAAAAGAATAATAGTAAAATTAAAATTAATATACTGGAAGTAAAAAATTAGAAATTAACCTGAAAAATGTTCCTTATGTTTCAACAAAAGTTCTTTTACTCAGAATGGATGAGTAAGATAACAAGTATCTTATAGAAGGAATGACAAAGGAGTAATTAGATTAATACTAAGAGATTGCTCATGTAGATTATATGGAAGAAAACAAAAAAAATTCATAAAAGTAAAGAAATGAGAGAGAATAGTAAGAAAATAGTGAAATTTAGAATACAGATGCTGAAAATGACGAACTACCTGAATGGTCAGATGAACTAGAAAAAGAGTTTTTGAATAACAAAAAGTTAGCTAAAATTATATACAGTGAAGACATTTCAGTTTCTAATTGGAATTAACAAGGATATCTACCACTAGTTTAGGAGTATACATATATTTATAATTTATATTTTAAATTCTTATTCATTTTCAGCTTTGACTTAATAAATTATTAGAGTTTATTAAAAATCTTAATTACTCACCCTTAAACATGAAATTATTTTCATTTTTCATTTTAATAAATCATTTTTTGATAATCAAAAATTTATAAATGAGGAAATGAAGTTTTGAAAGCTAATAAATTATTCATTTAATGATTTTTTTTTTTATTATTAATAGATATAATTTGTCAAATAAAAAAAAAATGGAGAGAGAATAATTAATTACTAATTATCAAAATGGAATTTGGCTTACAGAAAAAGAACTAAAGTTTATTGCAGACACTAGCTCATTGCTTAACAAATGTATAGACTAGAACTATGTTTAAAAAATAGTTAATCACATCAGTAAAGATGATGTATCTCGTTTAGAATTAAGTTTGGCTGAAAATATTATAACAAATTACTAAAACATGCAAAATTTAATTAGAGAATAGAGACTCAAATTTTTGAAGTAACGATAAGCTAAATTACTTGAAAAAAGAGAATAAAACAGATAGAAATAATTAATGAAAGAACAAAGAGAAAAGGAGCTTAAAATTCAAAGGAGATATGTAAAGATGTTTAAAACAATTGGAGATAGATTACTTTCAAATAAGGTTTAATACACTTTTGATGTGCTACAAAAAAATTTCTTTTGCAGAATTTTTTTCGAAAATATGAAAAGTGTTTTAAACAAATACCGTAAACGTAAAGAGATTCTTGCATTTTAAACAGAAGAAGGAATTAAGAAAATGAAATTGCAAGATTAATTAGCAAATCAAAAAGATTTTGTAAAAAGATTAGCTAAAGCTGAAAATATCAAAAAAGTATGTGGTAAATAGCATGAGCTTCATCCACCTTCAAAAATTGCTTACTTTGCTCCTTCTGATGGTAAATTAAAAAGTAGAAAAAAAAATATTTTATGAAATTAATTTATACAATAAAGATCCAATCGATTCTAAAAGAGAAGAGCTTATGAATTTTATGAGTGATAGATTTAAGCTTTCAACAAGATCTAAACAGGAAGTAAGAATAAAAGAAAACTTTTCTAAGTATTACTCAGGTGGTCCCCAAAAATCAGAGCTTGAAGAACAACCTAATGTTAATGGAAAAGATTATGTAATTTTTTAATTCACTCAAACAAAATTTTTGCTTAATTTTACTAATTTTTTCTTTTAAATATTTTCATAAATTTTATCATAAATAAATAAACAAATTATAAAGTTGCAAAAGATTTAACTGACTAAAAAATAATTTGCTGGTATTATCAGAGTTTAAAGACTTTTTAGACAATTCAGAATGAGAAAAATTATATAAAATATGAAAGAGTAAGAGTATTCTATTAAGCTATCTTAATATAAAGAAAAGTTAAGAAGCTACTTATCAGGAAGAAAATTCCTTAAAATAACCTAAACAAAGCTTGGAAGAGAAATCATACCTTAAAAGGGGGTTATAGAAAATATTCGAGTTGATGAAAGCTAAGCATTTTCTGAGTAGATTTATAGTAGCGATGATGAAAATGGAAATTACAAAGATAAAGCAAAATAAGATTACAAAACTACAAAATCACCAAATAAATAACAAAAGGGATCATTGAATTTAGCTTTGTAGACTCCAAAAAGTAACTAATAAAATGAAAACATAAAAGATTTCTATAATTTGCATAGTACTTATGGTGATACTCTATCTACTGATAGACATCGTCTCCAATCAAAAACCGTGGAGGATGAGAATAACAGCAAGAACTAAATTAGTCATATAAAATTCTTAACTAATGAAAAAAATTTAACTCTAAGCAATTTGGATGAGACAGATCACTATAGCAACGAATCACCAAAAACAAAAACATCAAAATAGAATTTAGAATATTAAAATTAGCCAAGTATAAAGCAAGAAAATAAAGTTTTAGAAGAGGGTATTCGTTTATCTGTTACAAGATGCAGTAACACAGATGTAGGTACTGCAACTCACAAAAAAAATAATCCTTCGTTAGTAAGCTTTTTGAGTCATAAGCAGGTATCATACAATCCAACTCTCCTTCTAAAACAGTAAAAGCTTCTTTAAGCAGCATAGTCAAACTAATTTTTACAAATAAGAAATTCTGGATATCTGATTAATTAAAGCGATGTAAATTGCAAAGATAAAAAATAGAATACAGCATTAATTTATGCAATCTAACACTAAAACATCACGTTTATTAGATGGCTTCTCAGTAAAGGTGCTGATGTTAACATATTATGCGCCTAAGGTAACACCCCAGTCCACTAAGCCTTTAAAACAAATAATCATGAAGTAATTATTTAGAAATTTAACCAAACAAAATAATTATTTTTATCAATTATAAATAGATTCTACATGATATTTTGTGTATGAAGCCAGACCTCAACAAAATAAATCAAGAGGGTTTAACACCTCTGGCATATGCCTCGTAAGACACCATAAAAAAATTTGATTTAAAAGACTGTATTGTTTTTAAAAATGATCCAATAAATATTTAAGAAGATGTAAATATAACAACTTAAAACAATAACTAAATGTTTATAAGAGAGAAAAAACCATTGAAAGCATTAGGAAAATTAAAATTAAATAACTTTTTCCCAATAAAATCCCCTACTATATAATAAGTAAACTACACTTCAATGTGATCCTAAAAATAAATAATGTTTAATCTGTATGTATGTATATAACTGTAAAAATATATAAATATCTATTAAAATAAACAAAAAGGATAAACATTTTTATTAACAAATATTTTTAAACGTGGCGATAATTTATTTATTTATTTAATGATTTACTTAATTATTTTTTGGCATTTTATTGATTTTTATTGTCATTTATTGATTGATTGATTATTAATTAGTTTTTATATGAGCAATTAATTATAGTTATTAACTTATTTACATATTCAATTTCATTTCAAACAGCTGCATACTTCTTTTTTACTATATTTTCGAATTCAGCTTTACTTACTTTTCCTTTTTCTTCTTTACTAGCATATTCAATCATTTCTTTAAGTTCATTTTCGCTATATCTTTCGTTAATTTTTCTACATATTCTATAGAAATCTTCGTAAGTCACAAATCCGTCTCTGTCTTCATCAAAAACGTTGAATAAATCATCTAGAGTTTTGTCCTCTTCGAAGGTTGCTGTAAAACCAAAAATTTTTAAGAATTCTGAAAAATCTATTTCGCAATCATCATCATTATCAGCGTCAGCTATAATATCCATAATTGTTTAAGCTTCTGCTTCCATGTTGAGTTTTTTTATAGCATCTTACATTTCTTTGGGGGAGATTTTTCCAGAACGATCAGAATCAAAGACATCAAAAATCTCTTTAATTTTTTTGATCTATTCTTCATCTAAATTATCTGTAATATAGTCTCTTGGATTAAATTGTTATGACATTTTCTGTTGTTGCTAATTTAATTTAGTTAATTTTTTTGAATTTGTTTGAATTTTTAATAATTATTTATTATTTTCACAATCTTAAATACAAATTAATTAACAATTAAATTCGTTAAAATTCTTTTTAAGAATATACATAAAAATTTATAATCACTATCAACAAAAAATATCTGCTTTGACATTATAATCGCCGTTCATTTCGCATTCTACTTTAAATTTCTAAATATTTTAGATTAAAAATTAAAAATCCTTAAAATAAAACAATTTATTGATAAAACAAACAAATTTTCACTTTTTAATTAAATTGATAAATAAAATAAAATTATTTTTATCTTCTTCTGTAAGCTATCTTTCTGCCATGAATGTATTTAAATCGAATTAGAAATTTAATATTCTATTAATTTTCTCTTAAGCTTTCTCCCATAATATAGCAGCTTCTTCTGTTTTGCCACTATGAGAAGGAGAACCTAAAAATTTTAAAGGCAAGACATAACAATTTTTGAAAGCAGGTAATAATACTTTTAATGAGGCTTCTGCTATATATTAAACTCTTTTAACATGAAAATCAGATGTAATTACAATTAATTCAATATTAATTTTATTCTTTGCTAATAAAGAGGAAACTGATTTTTCAAATCTATTCCACAATTCGTAAAAAGAAAAAAGAAAATTTTCAACAGTATTCATTGAATATTTTTCAACTAAAATTCGGTCTTTTTATATTTTATGCTTTTCAATCAAGTAATTTTCCATATATTAAGACTCTATATCTACCTTTCCTCTTCCGCTGACTACTATGATTGAGTGATTTTCAGTTTTAACATTTTGCTCAAATTATGATTGTTTAATATTTTCTACCAAGTAATCTAAACGCTACTTTAATTCTCCCTACATTTCAATATTTCCTAGGGCATCTTTATGCAGTGCATATCCAAGGCATAAAAATACTTTAATCAGCTGGCATTATTAAGTCTAATCCTCTTCCATTTTAATCATAAATAAATAGATATTTTAATTTAATTATTAAATGTAAAAAATTTGTATAGTAAAAGGGAATTTAATATGCAAAGAGAGATATTTTATATTAAAGAATAATTCAAATTATGTCGATTTCGGCTTTAATCAAACATTACCAATGTTAAATAGTTTTAAAAATGAAAAATTTAGAATTTATTAGTAAATATTTTAACTAAACATTTAAGCAAAAAAAAAAAAAATATTTTAGTTTAAATAATTATAAGTTTTTATTTTAAATTTATAATAATAAGACTATCTATCTATTTTTGTAATAAATATTTAACTATAAATAATAAATTGTAAACTTCTATAATTCGAAGATTTATTTTTTAAAGCTACAACTTTTGCATGAAGATACTGATAGTTAATGGATATTCTTCTACTCCCAAAGGATCCTAACTCTTCACAAATTTTTAATTTATTATATACAAGGTATGTCCTTAAATTAAGAGTGTATCAAATTTATAAAATATTTTGTATAAGCTCTTTAAAGAACATAAAGTGAAAATAGATGATGAACAAGAGTTTTACATACGTGACAGAAATAATCTTGAGGACTTCATATATGAATTGAACTCACCATTTTTGAAGAAAGAAAGTGCCACATAATTTGATTTATTGGACATGATATTTCTTGTTGGAGATGCTAACCTACGTCCTTGGTCACCTACAGCAGAATAAGTAATTTTAATAATAAATATTTGCTTAATTCTACTTAGACACAATAACTAATGAAAAGATGCTTATATTACTAAGGATGTGCATGAAATCCTAAAAAGTTTTATTTGCTTGTTCATTTGGATTTTAGGGCTTGATTTACCTAAGCGCTTCCAATTTTGATAGAGTAAAAATAGACATATAAATACTTTTTAACTTTTTGGATTTAAGAATTTTTTAATTTAAACGTAAAGCCTTATAATGTAATAAACGGCTATTTGAATGGTAGCCAAATTTCGGACTTGCTTAAATCAAATATTAATCCATCTAACTTGACTGTACATGATATATTCATAGATAATGTCACTGGTGATATTCTTGTTTATAATTTTGAAAGCTCAAATTGGATACCGAAAGGAAACACAGGTTTGCACTATAATAAAGCAGCACAAGAATTCTCTACAATAGGAAAGTATATTCTAAAAGCTCCGAATTACTAACCAAAAAGTAATGAGGAATAGCTTATCTATCTGAATTCAAGTACAGAAACAATATGTAGGGTTAAAAAAAGATACATATCTCATTGGGCATTCAAAGGAATAGATGCAAATTTTAAAGTGCCTGCAAAAAATTAATGGGATGCTCATCCTTTCACAAGTGTGAACCCAGAGAAGCAATTTCAAGTAAAAAAATTATATAAAAATATTATCATCCATTCATTAAATTTATTTCAACACTTTATGTAAAAAAAAGGTTTTAGCTGAAAGCTAAAGAGGGCCATTAATTATTGAAAGCAAATAAATGTTTGCCATTTAGTTTTCTTTGAATGAAAAATACCCTGAAACAATAAAATTAGTAGAAAATTATTTACTGCATTTTATAGAATTGTACTAATCTTAAAAGATCATTTATAAAACTATTTAAAAATGTGTAGAATTTTCAAGCTAAGAAGAAAATGCTTATTATAAGTCAAGAAAAAAAGAAAAGAAGTTAATAATGTAAAGAGAAATTAAATATTCATAGATTTCAAATAAAGTAAACAATTTTAAAACCTCGCTTGATATCGAAAATGAGATAAACTAATTCAAGCATGTAGGTTTAAGTGCAAATCATTAACATAATTAATACATTAAAATAGAGAATAATGCCATCATAAGTTAAAATTATATTTCTCCTTAAACTGGTAAACATAAAAGTAAAAGTGTAGATAGCTCATTATTTAAAAAGAAATAAGGATTTCCCATGCAGAAAGATGAGATTAAGGGAGAAGAAAACCAAGTAAAAAAGGTGCCTATTTTATTTAGAACGTAAATTTAATTATTTTATTTTTGCAAAAATAATTCTTTTAACAATTTAAAATAAAATGGTTTTAAGCATTTATTGTAAATAGAATCAATTAAATATTAATTTAAGTTAAATTTTTAAAATAAATTTAATAACTAACATAAAATGAAGAGTTAGAAGTAAATTAAATTTGATAAATGTAGTTAGTTTACTTATCTCAAAATGAAAGAAATAAATTAACATTTTCAATTTTATAAAGTTACAAAAAAGTAGATAGAGATATGAACAAATAATTCTAAATTATGTCAATGCATAGAAAATAATCTCTTTCTTAGTCAAATCAAAATGAAGTTCCTAATATTTAGTTAAACAATACAGAAGAAAGCTAAAAATAAATCAAAGACTCTTCTGAATGTTAGGATACTATAAATTCGTTTACCTAGTATGATGTGAGGAAATTTCTTCATCCTTCTCTTTCATAAGATTCACTTTGTGATAAGTTTACTTGTGTAAAAATAATTAAACCTAGGCTTTATACATTTAAAAACTTAATAAATAGGCTACACCATCAAATTCTTAAGACAGTTCCAAAATATTTGTTAAATACAACAATTAAAGCCTATAAACAAATTAAGAGAAAACATTTTTAAGAAGTTTTTATAGAAAAAAGATAAATAGCACCTATTCTTAAGTAAATTTTATATATTTTTATATTTTAAAACATAAAATAATAATTTAGGCATCAGGAGTATTTTCAAAAATATCAGAACCTTATGTCACTCAATAAGAAATAGAGAGATCTTATTAGAAAGTAAATAGATAACTTTTTATCTAAAATATATTAATTTACTCTATATTAAAAAAGGAACAAGATAAAAAAATAATAGGATCTAAGAGATTTTTTACTTATTTAAGTAGATAAACAAGCCAGAATTAATCATAATAATCATCATATATGTAGCAGTCAAATTAAACTTTTTACAATAAAGTTGGCGGAGGTTCTTAAAAAATTTAACAATTTAATGTAAAAAACATGCTTCATTAAAAATGGATATCAATAGGAAAGGACTATCAATTTTGAATAAATTTACAAAAGAAAAATTAATTTTACATTTTAGAATGAAAATACATTTTAGATATAAAATCTTAAATTTAATTATAAAATCGAAGAAAATACATTTTTGTAAATTTAATTTTATGATTTCATATATTTACAATATTCAGTCAATAAATGGTAAATATTTAATTGTAAAAAGTTATATTTATTATTAATTAAAATTTAATAAAAATTTGGAAAGTAGAATAAAATTTAAAGTGAAAACAAATAATTAGATAAATAAATAAATGTATAGCATTAATCTTAAATAAATTTCTTTATTTTTATTTATTAACTTACCTTTATTTTATGTGTGAATTTTGTTGAAGAACAAGTTTATAAATTGTTTGTATATTTTTTTCTCATTTAAAGATAAGGAAGTAAAATATTGAGTCAAAGATTGTTTTTTAATTAAAACAATAGCTTTAATTATTATTTTAAGGAAATTTGTTTGGTAGGGAATATGAAGAGAGAGAGGCATAGAGCACATTTTATTATTGAATGAGATAAAAAACAAATATTTTACATAAAATTTACTTTAGCAATAATTGATTTTAAAAAAATATTTTTGCTTTAACTTTTTCATTGCTATTTATATATTTATAGAAAGAACCTTTCTTGGTATATAAATAGATATACCAGAAAAAGTTCTTCATATTTTAGTAAGTATATATTAAATATCTTTTTCTCAGTAGGTAGCTCCTTCATCAGGTTGCTTAAGCTTTTTATTAGCACTGCTGTTCATTTCGTTTTTAAGAGCAACCAAAACATTTTCGAGAGTATATTTAGAAACCCAGTTCTTCAAGATGGGGAACTTGTTGATATCAATCTTTTTTAATATATTTATGTTAATAGGTTACGAAAAATGCATTTTAGTTAAATTATTCATTCATACCTTTCCATTATTTTGGTCTACGCAAGGAAGGTTGATTCTGCTTACAAATTTAACTTCAGGAGCAACGTTGGGATAGTTAGGTCCACAAATAATCTTGAGGGAGTAAATTCTTCCATCAAAAGCAGTCTAAAATTTATTAAAAAATAAGTCTAAGATTATAAGTTCACGATTGATGCTACTAAATTACATTGTAAGGTCCTAGAATAGTACCATTCCAATTGGTAAGGGTCATATCTTCAGCTATAATATGAAATTAATAATTAGACTTAAATACATATAAAAAGTATATATATTTTAATATTGTATTCTTTTAAAAAGACTGCTTTATTTTCTTTTTAAATACTTCATTTACTAATCAAATATCACTAATCCTAATAATTTCATTGCTTTTATTGCTTCAAATTTTAGTTTTAAAATTTCCATTTGAATTTTTAATCTAATTTCGCAATTTTTAGATATCATAATGATTTTCCTAAAATTTAAATAAATTTATTACGATTATCAAGACCATAAGAAACAGTTCCATCACCAATACCCTTTTCACCATGTTCAAGTTCTTCATGGAGTCTGAATCTTCTAGGAACAGCTAAGTATTAATTAAATGGAAGATTTAGATACAAATTTGGGTAATTCAATAAATTAAAGAAGGAAATTTAGAAAATAAGTTACCGTTAGCAGCGTCAACTATTTGATAATGGTTTTTTAGATTAATTGATGAGGCATAAATTATAATTCAAGATATTTTTAAAAAATAAATGTGATTAATATCTTTAAAAAAGCTATTATAAAACAAGAATTTACCCATTTTTACTATTTGCTTTTTTATGTGCTAATATTATTTATTATCTTTTTTCTTTTGATAAATATTCTTTTAAATTATCTTTAATATTTAAGAAGCATCTATATATGATTTTTATATATAATAACAATCAAAAATAAATTGAAAAGAAAGAAGGAAAGATAGGAATTAATTAATTAATTAATTTATTAATTGATTCATTCATTCATTAAATAATAATTAGATAGATAGATAACCCATCCTATAAAAAAAGATAATATTTATTAAAAATATAAAAATTTTATTTATTTATTTATTTTAAAGAAATCAAATAATTAATTAATTAGTTAATTAAAAATATCAAATCTATTTATATTTTCATTCACTTATCAAACTTTTTATTCTCTCACTCACACATTCATTCATTTATTCATTCTTTCCTTTATTAAATTAATCCATGTGATTAAATCATTAAAATTTGAATTGACTTGCTAATATGGTAAATACTGACTCTTGCATGTACTCATGCTTTTACAAATAAATATTTCTCACTATACAAACAAAGATCTATTTTTTTTTTAATCAAAACATTGTACACCTTAAACTTTTAAATTATCATTAATTTTTTTAAATAAAAAATAAAAAAACGCGACATATAAAAGTAAAAGTTAGTTTATGCTAATTAATTTTTGAATTAAATTGCTCTGCTTAATTACTTTATTAATTTTTATAATAACCCCTTTTTATTATATTTATGTTTTAAATATTAATTAATTAAAATAAGTCTTTTAGTTTTAAAATTAAGAATAAAACTATAAAAATGATTATTAAAGATTAAAAAATAAATTTAATCAATAAACAACACATAAAGCGTAAAACTAAGGAGGGAGGAGGATACAATTTTAAAATATATGAACTTATATTATTTATTTTGTATATTTTTTAATAACAATATTAAACTTGATGGATTTGCTTAACAAATAACTTTCAAATCTTCCTATCAAGAATATATTCTCTTATAAATCCAGCAATACTTTTTATTTTTGTCATTTCATCAACAGGAATGAAAGATAGCAAGCACTTTGTGGACCATATCTAAATTTTTTTATTATTTAAAATTATATAAATTATTAAAAAAAATAATTTACTTCTTTATTTAATTAAGCTAGGAATGGAGTCCAGCAGAGGAAAGCTGCAACTAATAGCAATATAATAAAGAGAACGAAAAGTAATATTCTCTGTACATTATAGTTATCAAATAGCAAATTCATTTCACTTAAAAATACACTCTATAAATATCTCAAAGTTTCTCTAATGTAAATGATTTCATACCCAACTATTTATTTGAAAATATTTTAATTTAAAATATTTCTAACTAATAATAATAATAAATTACGTAATTCATATGATTCTGGAAGCCTTAACAAGTTAATTAAGTTATTTTTCCTTCTATCAGTAGAATTATCATATTTTCCAGCAACAAAATTTGCAAATTAAGACCAAGCAAAATCTTAGGTTGGATTTGCTTGAATCCAATCATATCTATCCTTAAAGTATCTTATTAATTAGAAGTATCTAATGATTACTGTAATCATACCCTATATTGAAATAGTATAAAATTTTATTAAATCTTATCATATTTGTTTAATTATATTACTTGTTGTACAACACCACTACCAAATGCATTGCAAGTAGCTAAACTATCTGCTTAACGATTACTAACAATTGTACAAGCATTCTAGAACATAACATTTTCGAAGGCAGTCAAATAATCTGCAGAGTTATCATGATAATTAGTGTTACGTGCGTGTTCCTTTATAAAAATAAAAATTTTATGAGTTATTTAGATATCTAATAAATATTGATTGATTAATTTTTAAGAATCCAAGCTTAGCAAAATATTATTGTGAAAATATTTCTAAATTTTAATAAAGCAATTTCATAATTCAAAAAATTTTTCCAAAAGCTTAAAAAAGAAAATTAAAAATTTTTTATCCTTTTTACTAATGTTAAAAAAATAAATTAATTACTTCGTGAATAGTTGAGTCTACTGTGTAAACTGTGTTAATCATATCTACAATGTTTTAAACACTATTTTTATTCAAAGCTGGCCAGATGTCTGTTAAAAACATTTGTCTCTCTGCGTTAAGTGTCAATGAATAGTAACTCTCAGCTATTGTTGTAAAGTTAAATTCTGTAAGTAAACCTGACATAACACTAGTTTGTGATCTTCCTACAAAGAAATTAATAAAGAAATAAGCTTCTACACCTATTGTAATGATTAGCATCTTTAGTAAAAAGCCAACATTTCCTCTATCTGCATTTTTGAATTTCTTTCTCTTTTTGCCAAATAATGAGCTTCTTGCTTCAGACCCTTCATCTCTATCATCAATGAAGAACTCAACTTCACTATGAACATCATCTATGATAAAATAGATTAAACATAAATAACAAAGCTAATTAATAAGCATTTATTTATTTACCTTCATCACCTGAACCCAACTATGCAAGGAAATTCTCACACTTTGAATAAAGGTATTTAGCGGTCTTTTCAGGTATATCTAAGAAGACTGTAAGAATTAATTACTTAGCATAAATAGTCTTTCCAAGTAAAACACTCAATACAAGAGAAAAGAAAACCATAACTGATACAGAAGTAATTAAGAATATCTGAGAGTTGCTTTCCAAAGTATCAATTTTATTCACAACATCTACATTTTAAGCATTATAATCTTTTAATAAAACTACAGTGTAATCATTAAGACCATTGTACACAACAAAGAATGCATCAGTATCAACACTAATATTATCCACTATATTCTAAAAGGTTTTTTGCTATAAGTTATGGGACTTAGAAATCATTTATTAAGAGGCAGCATTCAGATCAAATGTCTGATTAGAGCTACTTATGGTAAATAACATTTAAGTACTTAGACTATCTCCTCTTGATTACAATTTTATATTTAAATCTTCTAATTCTGTGATAGCCAAGGAAAGTTTATTTAATAAATATGTTCTATCTGAAGTCCATGAGGCAGGAGTGTTAGAATCAGCTGAATATTGTGGTATACGAATTACTGGAGCACCTGTAGCTATATCTTTACCATTTCCTAACAAACTGATTTCACGAGTAAGTGTTATGATTTGTTAGATATCACCTATACGATTGGAAGATAAAACTATATTTTATAATCCATTTCTTTCATCATTTATACTTACACGTTTCATTGCAAAATCGATACTTGCACTATTTTATTTATTTCATAAATTAATTAATTATTAATTAATTGATTATAAATAATATTTATTTATTTTAGAAATAGATTAATTATAAAATAAATAAATAAATAAATAAATAAATAAGAAAGTACATCATTATCATGACTAAAATGACAAAGACTGAAAAGTATTTCAGAGAAACAACAGCAGCTGACTCTGATTATTTATCTAACTCTTCATTTAATTCTTTTGCTGAATTTAATCCGCTTGTTTCGTAGTCTGAGCCATCTTCATCAGCATTTAACTTTTAGTGTTTCTTCTTTTCTCCCCTTGCTTATGATTCGTCCTCATCTTTTTCTTCCTCTTCTTCCTCAGAATCGTCTTCCTTGAATTTATCAATATCATGCAAATCGTTGTTAACCAATCTCATTGTACGAATACTTTATATTATAAAAATTGTTCATTAAATTACTCATTTTTTTATATAAATTTAAATACCCATCAGCATAATTCTTTTGTTGTACTTCTATTTGCTAAAGATCAATATTGTTACTTTTTTGTTCACTTTAAACTTTATTACTCTTCATAACAATAACATTTGCATTGTTGACTGTAGATTGATTTAAGTCATCTCTAAGCTTACTGTCGTTAATACCCAAATCACTTTAGTCATGAACGTATGTTTAATTGATTCCCATTTCGGAATATGTAGCACCCTCATAGAATTCTCCATTATATATAATTTCTTAGTCATCTTATATGCATAATTTGAATTGGAAAACTCCCATAGTAATATTGCTACCACCTTAAGGTCTTAAATCGTTACCAAGTAAAGATTCATTAGGATTTTTTTTAATCTAGCTACCTCCAGCTGCTATAGCTTGTTAAGCTTTTTGTCTTGTAGTGCTTTTTTGGACTTTATCTTGAAGTTATTCGATTTTAAGAATTTTTCCAACTAATTCTTCACCTTTACATTTGAAACGAACTTCAGTCATTTGAATGTTCACTTTGGTAACTTTATCACTCTTACGAAAAATGACAGTATCTTCATTAATCTTGGGGAAGATATATTCAGTCTACTTTCCTTACTTACTCATATACTCATCTCTTCTCTCATCAAGATCTTCGAACTAAATAATTTTTTTATTAATTTTACTATAAACTTCTTTTAATTAAAATTTAATATTTTTACTAATTTATTTATGTTAATTTATTCTAAACTTATAGTTTTCATGTCTATACCCAGGATATTGATGCAAGCTTTTCATAAATAAAATAAATAAATATAATCAAATTTGATTTATGAATAAATAATTTACATGCTGAAATATCTTTGATAATTCCTTTTTCATTGATATGGACAAAAGCCAAATTTTTAATCATTTTTTCTTTCTTAAAAACACCAAAAAACTCATTTCCATCCTTTAATGCATGATAGACAGGTTTAATATTCAAGTTTATTGCAAATATATACTATGATTTATTCTTTCCATAAATGTGAAGGTTTTTATCTTTACCTTATTGAGCTTTATCCCCATTTTCAAGATAATGTTTCAATATGTCATCATGGTTCTTAGAATATAGGTAAGGCTAGAGCATATTTACATTTCTATTGATAAGTTCTGTCTTGGAATAACCAAAAAGGCATGCGACAGTTAAATTACAAGCCATAATTTAACCTAATTTTTCCTTTAAAAAAATGAAGTTAAATTAAAAAAAATTAAAATATTGTAAATAAATATATTTACTTCTTCCATAGTCATAAAAATGATACCATCTTCTTGGCCATCTATGTTTACTTCTGAAGAGTAATTGAAGTGGAATTCCTTTCTATTATTGAAATTGGTTTCCATTTTAGAGGCTTTTTCAAGAAGCTCTACTCCACCTTGCTTATCATTAAAAATATCAATCAAATACTTAGAGTATATTCTAAACACTTTAGGTATCTATTCTCCCTTTCCTCTACTAATTTTTTTCCACATATCATCTACCAGCAGCTTTAGCGGGAATAATTTTGAACCAATATCATAAAGTTTTATAAGATCTGGTTTATCATCAGAAAATTAACTCCAAAATTCCATCAATAAAGTAACAGTTTGTTCCATAGCGGCTCTGAAATGATTTATTTTTCCTTCAAGATTCCTTTATTCTCCATAATCTTCTCCTTCCTAATTGCTTATTTCTGAAATTTCTCTTTCTATTGAGCGTCTTTATATATATAAATATTATAAATATAATGTAAATCTTTAAATTCTGAATGTTCTCTAAAATGGAATGAAAAGAATTCTACCTTATAAAGTATAAAACGAATCTTTCGTCTAAGGAACATTTGAAGTTTTCAGCATCTAAGACTTCATTTAGGGCATGCTGCTTTGACTTAATAACTTTCATCAAGAAAACAGAGTAATAAATTCTAATAGGAATATTAGTAGGGAATTTGGAAATACCAGTTTCGAACAATTTGCTTATCATTTCATGACAAAACTAGTAGCGCTTATCTTATTTAGAACCATTATTATTATTAGGTCCTTTTTATTCATTTTTTTTCGCTTTTTTCCAAACGCTATTCGTAAATTTGACTCTTTTAAGTGGGCAGTTAGCAACCAAACAAGTCTTATTATGGAATTCTATGTAACCGTTTAATAATTAACCAGATTTTGTTTTTTTCATATCATTCTGAATTAATTTTTGGACATAAATTGCATGATCTATGACTTCCTAAGCATCTTAAAATTTATTCACATTTACATTTACTGATGCTTCACTCTTTATTTATTAATAAATATTAAAATTTTAATGATACCCTAAATTTATTATCAAAATTAGTAACCTTATTTTTATCAGTAGGACTCCAAAATACAATAAACCACAAAAGTGGTAAGCCAATAGCCCAAGCATACACTATACCATGGAAGATAATGTTTTCTGTTAACTAATTATGAAAAATAAAGTAAATACACAATAAATATTAATTGATTGTTTACCTATGCCATAGTAAGCATAATTGCAGTCCATACATTAACAGCAGAAAGGAAAGACCAAACCTTTGCTATAATAGGCTCATTGAAAGGGGAATTCATGTGGAGCATATAGAAAGTAAATATTGAACCAGCTAAGTATATGAAAATTAAAACACCCCTATAGCTGCTATCACTCAAGAAGTTATAGCAAATGACTAGAACTGTTTAGTAAATAAACAGAGACAATATACCACGGTTATTTCTTCTTGAGTTGACTTTATTGTCATTATGAATGCCATCAAAATAGAGTAAAGATAAGAAGTAATTCATCATAAGGATCAGCACAGCACAGAAAATACCTGCTGAGAAATAGAAGATATGCATACCCTATTTGATAACAATATTGAATAAATCTTATTTGGTTTTAAATGTTGCTATTGATTGATTATCAGACAAAACAATCCTTTAAAGAACTTATTTTAAATTAATTAAGGTCATTAAAAAAGTATTACCACCCAACACTAGTTATCTGGAAATAGTGAAATAACTTAGATGGACACACCCGTAACAGAATTGGTACCACTAACACAATTCATAACAATAAAGAAAGAGTCTAAAAACGGAACGAAGAGAACTGTTATAACTAAATTTATTATTAAACGCAAAGAGCTAACCACAATGCCAGATATAGGTCTCTATCTCTTCAAAGTAACAAAAGAGTACAAAAATCCCAAATAAAAGATGAGTATCGCAATTATGCCAATATAGAAGACTATAAGAAAAGCAGTGTATGAACCATTTCTATAAATGTGAAGGATACCAGGATATCCAAATGCTGATGCAATATCTTTAGCTACACTCGTATCCCAAACAGAGTTTATCTAATATTTAAATAATTTTATTTAATCGTTGAAACTAGATTTAAAAAGTGATTAAAAACTATTTAAAAAGCGAATTCGAATTTTTTAGTATGTAATAAATAATATTTAATGCCAAAATGAATTTAATTTAATTACCACTGGATGGAAAGCATAATAATATATCTAAAAATATTGCAACAGTATAATAAGGGCGTAAATTATTTTAGACATTTCATCGTCTTTCAAAATAACATAAAGAAATTCGAAGAACAAACTTCTCATGTTACCTGCGAATTTATTTATAGAACTAAATTCCTTCCCAAGAAGGTTTACTGACTCAGCATTATCTCCCATCTAAATTTAAAATATGAAAACAATTTTAAAAAGTATTCTGTTTGCTTTATCTAAATAAAAAAGACACAAGAATGAAAGATAAATAGGATGATAAATGGTAAAGTAATCTTATTATCTTGTGCCACAAAAGTAGAAAGTGAAACAATTAATTTTGATATTGAAATTGGTAATTACCTGATAATTTAGAAAAACGTTTCAAATGAAAAATGTGCTAAAGAATATTTGCTGCTTTATGCTATTTTAAAACTATTTTTTCTGCGAGAGCTTACTAACAAAGAACCTTTATGTTTAACTCTTTCTATGCTTATTTGCTTTTATTTTATATTAATTGTATTCTTATTCTTCAAATTATTATCATTAAATTAATAATCAGGTTTTTATTTGAATTTTCAACTCAAAAATAATAAGTTAACAAATTAGTTAAATGTAATTGCAAAATTTTGTTAGTTTTTAAAAACTCAATTAATAACTTAATTATTTTTTATTTTTAATGTTCATTGATGTTCTTCATTTCTACTAGTTCTTTTATTTATTTATTTCTTTCATCCTTTATTTATTTATTATTAATTTAATTGCACTTATTTCAAATTTTTTAATAAAATCGTCTATAAATGGCATACATACATACATTTTTCTTCATCTCCTTTTAATAAATTTGGTTAGTAGCCAACTTCTATTTGCCTATAAAAAACTTTTAGTGAATTTCTCCTTTCTTAGTTTTTTTAATTACACAATTATTAATTTAAAACAACTAGTTCTATTGTTCGATTGTTTTTACACAATGTACCAATTACTCTCTGTATATTTTCAAGTTTTACATTGTATTTTTTTCAAATAAAATATTTAGTAGCTTGATTCAAATTTCTAATTATTAAATGAATATGAAGATAAGCTAAAACATAAATTATAAATTTTCTATAATTAGAAAGAAAAAAATTTTTTATTTTTAAAATTAAAACATAAAATAAATGATAATATTTATAAAGGAAATTTTTTGTTTCACAGATAAGCTTGAATTTAAGAAAGCTTACCAAAATTTTGTTTTAAATTCAAATAATTTTAAAAGATTTTAAAAATTAAAACTTTAGATAAAAATGCACTCATCATAAACTTAATTTATTAATATCCATATAATTCTAAAATGTTTTATAATTATTAACTATTTAAATGATTTCATAAAAATTTAATTATTTATTCATAATTTTAGATAAAATTGCTCAAACCATAAACTAACTTATTTAATATCTAAACGAATAAAAAATTAAATTTATATATATAATTTAGCTAGAATAAGAAGATGTTCAGTACAAAAATTAAAAATAAATAATAAATGAAACAATAAAAAATTTGGTGGAAATTAAAAAAAATATATGTATTATTATTAATTTAATTTATATTATTAATAATATCTAATTATAAAATTTTGTTTTGGTCAAAAAAAAAGTTTAGATTTAATTACAGTTTTATGGATTTATTTCAAAACCCAGTTACCTAACGAATTAAATATTTATCAGTAATAATTGAATTTTTATGAATATACACTTAAAAACCCTATTTTTAATCATTTAAAATGTAATTATTATTTTGTAAAATTAAAGTAGAAATAAATTAGCAATAAATAAATACTTGAAAATAAAAAATTTCAGTAAATTTTTTAATAAATTTAAACAAGTAAATTCAATATTTTTATTTGAAAAAAACAAAATAACTTATTATTTAAAAAATATTTTAAAATTGTATTTTTTAATTGAATTATTTGTTAAGTTAATTATTTATTTATTTATTTACATGATTTCAAATTTATTAATTAATTAGTAGACTATATTTATTTACATATTTAAATTATTATTAAAATATAATGTCTTATTTTGTTAGTATTTTATTTTGTTGGTTAGTTAGTTTGTTCGTTAATTGGTTTCTGAAATAAATAAATAAAAAATAATTTTTTAATTAATTAATCTATTAAGTTATCATCATTAAGATATATCTGACATATCCATACTAATAGGACTTCTGTCACCTTCTAAAAATATATTATCAAACATCCTTTTAAATTCATATTTGATTTTATCTTATTCAGTAACGCTAGGGTTACTATATTCTTTGGAATACACTTTTAATTTTATTTGTTTTTAACTACTTTATTATTGCTCTTAATCTTTATTAGAGATTTATGCTTTTTCAATCGCATCGCTGAATCCTCTGTGGTAATCTACGGTCTCCATGCCTAAAGGTAAGTCGTAATCTATTTTATTTTTCTTAGATTTAGGGGTGAAGCCAAACAACTTTCTAGCTTTTTATTAAACTTCTTCTTGGTCTTAATTTTGATTGAGTAAAATTTGATTCTTTTTTTCTAATTCAGTAAAGAAGTTATATTCATCTTTATTATTTAAGTCTGCTTCATCTTGCATGGTAAATTGCAAGTCATAACCAAGGTTTATCATGTTTGGCGTTAACTGATTTTTATCTTCATTCTTTTTGTTACTACCTTCTTCGTTGTGAGATATTTAATTTTGATTATTAAATATCCTCTTAGGTAATTACTAAGATCCATTAATTATATTAGAAATAGTTATTTTTTATAATTAGCTTGAATCAGCATTTCCTCTGTTTTCTTAGTTTGAAATGTTATCAATATTCTACAAAGTATCTGATTCGTCAACTTATTTTATTGAAAGCTTCTTGCTCTTTTTTATTGAGTTAAGCTTCTTAATTTTCTCTAAGCAAACATGGCAATCATCATAAGTTGTTTCAATGATTTATTGTATTTTATTCTCAATAATGGATATCTGGCTCTATTTTACCAAAAAAAATAATTAATTAGTTAAATATTATAAACAATAATGAATGATAATTACATTTAGAAAAGAAGGCAAGCTATGTAGCTCTTGGATATCAAAGTTAGGTTTTATGATATCAATTGGGATGTCAATAGAGTTATCTAAAGCAGATTACTCCTTATTAGAATTTCCTAGATCCTATTGCTTTTCTTTATTTTCAATTTCGTCATAACACTAATAATCATCCATTTCAAAAAACTCACCTCCTTGCTAGTACTTTTTTTTATGTTCGTTCACTATTTTGTCAATATAGAGCATAAGTTAAAAATTAGGGACACGTGAATTATATATCTAATTGATTTAAATTTCTATATCATCACTTTGATCATCTCTATTTTCTGAATCTTCTTCTAAAATATGTTTATCGTCTTCGTTTATGATATCCTTAATTAAAATATTTGGAACTTCAGTGCTTGTAACTTAATATTTTTCGCCTCCATCACATTAATTTGACTATGAATCAAATCCAGCTTTATCGTTTTGTTCATTTAAAGATACAGAGTTTTAATCTTAATGTGTTGGTGATTTGGCATCATTATTTTATGAAAATTTTGATTTAGGAATGCTTTAGTTTTTTTATTTATCTTAATAGCTATGATTTTTAGGAGATGAAACATACCTTTAAGAAGTAACAAATTTTGGGGATGAATTGCTTTTAGATTTTAAATCGTTATTAGAAGGTGAATTGCTTCTAAATTCGCTAGAGCACTTCTTAATATCAATTTAAGGATCTTAATTGCTATGCATTGAAGATCTCTAAGAAACAACTTCTTTAAAGGTAAAAAATTTACCGGATTGTCTGTCCTCCTATGAATTTGAGCTATTCGGAGTACTCACCATAATCTCTTTAAACTGTTATGAATCATAACCATTTTATGCATTTTATTAATCTCTAGGTTGAGATAAATACCTTATACTGTTTTTATTTAAAGACCTAAAATTATTTCCTGCTGATTATCTATTAGAATTATTTATAGATGCAGCTTTTTGCATTACAGTTTAGACTAGAATTTAAATTTTTTTATTTAAAATTTTTTTCATGACCTTATTTTAAGCTATTTTTTTAAAACGAGAAGATGATAACTGATTTACATAAGGTATCTTTACTCCAACTTTTTCTGCTATTTAGACTTGCTTCTTTGTCTGCAACATTTCTAGTTTATTATTAGAAGTAGTTTAATATCTAAAAGCTCTTCTTATTTTTTTTTCCTCTTCTTTAATTAGCTTTAAGTGATGAACAGAGTCATTTCTAATATTTGCTACTTTTTTGTTTTAAATTTTATGATCCAACTCTTTTTCTTCTGAGCTATTCATAAGATCATCAACAATATCTTGACTTTAAATGCTTTCATCCTTGTTTGAGTTTTCTATAATTTCATCTGGTCTGCTTAATGGACTCATATCAATCAAGTTATGAACATCGTATTATTCTTAATTTTCTTCTTTCTAAATAGCTATTTTATTTTAATTTTAATTTATATTATTCTTATTTTCCTCATCGCTGTCGCTATCTACAAACAGTGATATATTATTAGAAGATTCAAATAAAATCAAATCTTAGTTCTCTTCTGTTTATTTGTTTTCATTTAGATGCTCTTCATTTGTCTCTTAAATAGCATACATTTAATTTTATTTTGATTAGTTTTCTATACTTTTTTAATAATTTGCCTCTATTGAATCAGTTAATATTTCATCAAACTTTATATTAGATAAAAAATCTTTTTGATTATTTTCTGATTCTAAATTGATTTTATTTTAATAAAGATTAGAATTTATGGATTCTTTTTATTTAGCATCTTTAAGCTATACAAATTATTAATTACTTGTCTAATTTTGCTAAAATTTGCTGAAATCTATCTAGTTTTATTATTAATTAGAAACTCCCTCAAACTATTTTAGGATATTTATATCTTTTCTCATTAAAAATTCTTTTTGCATTGCTTCATTCAACTGATTTTTAGATTCTAATTAATCTATTGCTTTCAAATCTTAATCAAAATTATCATCAGAATCTAGTCCTATTATGCATGAATGATATTATTCTGTTTTTTGACTCCTTTAATCCTCGAAAGCTCTCTAAATTTGGTCTAGATTTATTTCATTTATCTAAAAATGCTTATTCTCTCCTAAACGAATTTTTTCTGAGTTCTAATCATCATCACTAAACAATAGCTTTTAATTATTTATAGTATCTCTTGTTTAAGTTTGTTGATTAGAGCTAAATGGTGTACTTATCAGCTTATCATTTTCTTTGCTATTTGGACTCAATGCATTAAAGTTAGGATCTCTGAAATGAATATTAAATTAATAAGGTTAATTAGCATTATCTTTTTATTCATGTATTTAAACTTAATACTAATAATCATTTGGATCATTTATATAGCCATTTTCTGAAAATTCATCTATTTAATTGAATTAGAAATTAAATGATGGCTTATTTTTACTTTTAGGTTGATTTTCTTCTCTTACGTTTAGAGATTAATATTTAAAATGTTTTTCTTTTCTTTTATCATTTTATTCTAGAGATTTAACTCTTCCATGTCTAACTTATTATGTAACAATGTTAGGTTTTATATTTTATTTTATTTTTTTTTAAGAATCTTAAACTAATACTTAATCATTTATTAAATTTATAGGCTGACTAAATATTCTTTTATGTTTTTTTTAATCCTAATAATTCAAATCATCTTAATCGTTTTATAAATATAACCTAAAATCACTTTTAGCTCCTCTTTTATGGTCTTGTTAATTAAATATTTACTAAATTCTTATATTTCGCTGATCTTCTTTTTATTACATTTAATTCAATAGACTTTCTTTCTTATCCTACTGGATATTTTATTTGCTTGAAGTCTTATCTTGATTTTAATTATCGTTATATTCTTCTACTTAATTAATTATTTATTGATTTTCTCCTTTGCTTTCGCTGCTAGAATTTGAAAAATCAAGCTCTTTAGATTCATTTATTGTATCTATCCTATTATTGTAATTTTATTCATTTTAAATCCCTGAATCATCACTTTCTTAATCTTCATTTCCAATTTCATCTTCTATAACCTCACTAATAGGCTCATCCTTGCTCTTCCTTTATTTAAACATATTTTTTAATTTTGAGAACTTTGAAAGATTTTAGGTATTATTTGAGCTGAATTTTGATTTGTTTTTCATATAAAAGTTTATCTTCTTCAAGTAAGAGTATTTTTCCTTTATTTTAAATAATAAAAATAAATTGATTAGTAAAATTAATTTTTTATTTATTTATTTACAATTTTAAAGTATTTAAATCTGTAGTAGGCAAATTTTTTTAACCATTAATTACTCTCTTTATATTTTGAGCAGGTTTCTAAAAACTTAGCTTTGCTTATATATAAGACATTAATTATTTTTTTTCCACCAGCTACAAAATTGAATGAGCTATTTTTTTCAAGAAGACAAAATTCACCAAAAAAACTGCCAGGATCTAGTTTACGAAAGTATTACTTTTCTACAATTTTCTCTTTTTTTTTATTTTTACTATTTAACTGTTTTAAATTTGAGCTGCTAATCTAATTATTGACTTTTTTACCTGTTCCTAAATATACTTTTCCGCTTACAATTAAATATAACCCTCTTGGTAGGCTCCTATATTTGATAATTTCTGCTCCTGGCAAAAACCTTTTTACAAAATAATTTTGATTTATCAATAAAAAATTAATTTAATTTACGATAAAGGATGCATGTACTAAAATAAATCCTAAATCATCTAAAGTTCATTAATATTTCTAAAAAAGGCTCCAAAGAAGGTAGCAATGTCAGTAAATATCAGGTTAAATATTTTTCGTTTTTGCTCTTTTGGCAAATATTAAAAATATTCTTGCTAATTAAAAAAACTAGAAAAGTTATTTTCAGTGTTAAAATGGTTGATATCCCTCAAATTTTTAAGAAGTATAAAAAATAGAGGAGCTTCTCTGTTTTTCTCTCTCTAAAATAGCCACTGATCAAATTCACTTCTCATTTCATTTTTCTTTTAAGTTCCTACCAAAAGTGAAATTTACACAGCAGAAATTAAACCACCTGAAATATAACCAAATAGAGCAATACCAAAAAACTCACAAAACATTGTATAAAATTCTTCCATAACTGTTTTAGATGCTAAATCACCATATCCAACTGTAGCAATAGTAGTAGTGACAAAGTAGTAGCCAGTAATATAAATATCTTTATTAACCTCTCCATATTATGGTTTTTTAGGATTTTAGAGATAATAAGTATTAACCCATCCCAATTATTTAAATTCCTAGGGCAGATCATCTGTTTCTCCTAATTGATGAAGCTAACCTACTTCTATCCACCAGCAAGTCATGACATGAACACAAATTAATATAAGTGATGAAACTCTAATTTTAAAATAACAAATATTTAAAAAATTTAATATAAAGCCATATAATTACTTAAAGAGATAGTATAATAAGACTGCAAATTTATGAGAAGATCCACCTTTGAAAATAAAATATACTGTCTTGTTTAAGAGAAGTAAATACCTATCCCAGTATCTAGCTAAACGAAATATTTTTATATAATTTAGATCTTAAACAAAAAAATAATATGGAATTAAGCTAATAATGTCAAATGCAAAGTAAGTCCTGATTAATTAATTATTAAAAAAATATAGATTAGTTAATTAATTAATTAAAACTATTTAAATATCATAAAATAAATTCAAGTTTATTAATAAATCTTAAACACTAAATTTTTAAAATAAATGGGCTAATAAATTAAATTAAATTAAATTAGAAATAAAACATTATTATGATAGTTATAATTGAATTTTATTTTATCTAAAAAACTCCATAAATTATTTAATAAAAATACCTTAAATAGTTTTTAGTAAGGAAATATCTATCTTTTATAACCTCTCCACCTTAATTGATTCCAGTGATGCATGAAAAAAACATGTCAAATAAAAATACCAAATCAAATAGCAAGTCTATGACATGAAAGGGTCTATTACTTAAACCAAAAGCTATCCTTACGGGAAATACCAAAGGATAATAGAGTTAAATCAATCCTATAAAAAGATCCCAAAAAAGTTTAAAGTACCCATATGGATCAATAAATAAAGTAGGATCTAATTATTTAAAATAATTAATTTTAATCAGTATTTTCTAACAAAATCTAATTTAATTTCAATTACCTGAGGAGTACATTTTTTGAGTCTGTGAACCTTTAAAATTTTGTTTTCTCTTTTTGTTAAGCCCCAATTCTACTCTTTTTCATTTACATTATTGGAAAAAATATAAATAAATAGATAAACAAACAAATAAATAAACATTCAATCAAAAATATAATTTATATTGAAATTAAAATTTTATAGCTTTTTTACTTGCCACTGAATTTAATTGGGTAGAATATATCTCTTCTAACTATCGACCATAATTTTTATCCATTATTCGCATAATTTTTGAATGATGCCTAAGTTGATAAAATATTTTTTGAACTCTTTTATTCAAATTATCTCTTAAATTATGGAGAATCATCTTCTTTTAGCTTAGCTTTCTGCACTGTTCCAATTTATACAGCTTTTTGTAGATAATTGTCTATTTTTAATTTGAAATTTTTACTTGTATTTGCATAGAATATAATTTGTATTTACCATTATTCTCTTCAATTTTTTAGTTTATATTTTAATCATTTTATTGTTGGTAAAAAATTTTAATGTTATCTGTTGATTTTTATTCTTTTCTTTAAGTAAATTGTTGAGGACTAATTAAAGAGTTTTCATTATCTTCTATAATTTCAATTTATTCATTGTGAATGTTATTGTCATCAAATTGCTAACTTCTTTTACCAAAAAAGCTATTACTTTTTAAAACCTGTTTCTATTAACCTTCTTTGTTGCTAAACAATATGTTTTCAGTATCATTTTATTATTTTTAATTCTATTTCCCAAATTACTAAAAGTCTCTATTATTTATTTAATTATCATCATTCATCAATAATCCATTTTAAGTCTATAATATATCTTTCATCATAAATTCGCGTTAAGAATTTATATACGTATCTGTTTATTGATTTTCTTGTGTTAAAATCGTATGGTAATCAACCTTATCGCTTTGCCTAATTGCAGTATTCTAATTTGAATCATCCTTTAATTTTACAACTTAAGATTTTAAATTTTTAGATGTAAATATGCTCATAATTTTAATACAAATTAAATACTAATATTCATCTAAATTACTAATATAGTTATTATTAAAATTTACTTGAAACACTATAGATATAGTTAAAAAAGCAAGCAAAACGATATAACTAGTTATTGATTTAGATTGATTTAATATATTAATTAATCAAAAATTTAATAGTTATTTTTTAACCTAAATTTTTTAGTAATTTGCTAGTAAATATTTTTGAAAATTTATCATTCCAACCAAAAAAAAGAAGATTATTGTTAAAATATTCTATTTTTAATTTCTATATTAAACAAAACATATGAAATTTACATTTTTGTTAATTCAAATTTTCGTTTACAATTTTTCTAAAATAATCTATTATTTTTATGCAGCACAATTATAAATATGATGCGAGATAGTTAAATTTTTTAAAATTAAAAAATTTTATAGAACCAAAAAGTCTTTATTTGACACTTTAAAAAAAGAAAATTTTCAAATACATTAGCCTACTGATCTCATTTGATATTTACTATTTTGAAAAATTATTCACACTAAAAAGATAAAAATTTAAATATTTAATCCAATTTTTTGACATTTTATAATTTTAAGCTAATTAAAAATTATTAAATACAATTTTAAAAACTTGAAATTTCATCATTATTGTCTTTTTACTAACTGAAACAAAATTCTATTAAAAATTAATTAATTTAGTTAAAAAAACACTTTTAAAACCTAAAAATATTAATTCATTTTACTTTGTAAATTTAAATAATCATATAAAATAATTTGTATTTTTAATTTTATCTAAAATACCAAAAATTAATGAAAAATTAATTTAAATTTAATTAATTTTTTTTGTTGATAAAATCAGTTAAAAAATTTAATTAGTTAATTAACAAATAGTTGAAAATCTGCATTGAAAAATATACTTAAACTTCAAATAACTAAATTGCAACTAAAGAAAAGATAAAAGTTATCAGAATAAAGTGTATAATATTATGCCTAACTTTATGCTAGTTTTTTTGTTCTATCAAAAATGTTTTTATTAAATATGAAAATCTTTATAGTTTAAATCAAAAACAAATAAACTTTATTTGACAGCAAATCATATGTAAAAGTAATAAATAATATACCTTTAACATCTATATAAACTATTTCTCTATTTGCCTAAATTAAAAAATGGTATTAGTTAGACTGTTAGCTGTTTTACTTATTTAACGAGTGTAAATAATAAAATTTAAAATATTATAATCAGATGTGATGTGATGCGTGATATTAACAAGAAAGAGATATTAATATAAAATGAAGTAAATGCATTTGAATATTAAACAATACTTTTTAATTACCAATGATATTTTACTAATAATCTTTTAAACTTTTTCTAATATGAAAAATATAATTTGCCGCATATACATTTTTAATTATTTTGTATCTAGGAAACAACTTGCTAATATCTCAACTATTTATTTAACTTTCATTATTAATTCTATTTTTATTCTTATCTGGATTTTTTCCCTCTGTATACAGATTAGATTTTAAGGGCAACATTTTCATATTCTTCGACAGGACCATCTAATACTACCTATTCTGGTTAGCTCTATTAAACTTCCTATTCTTACTATTATTATTCAGTTTCTACTTGCTATTCATATTATACTTCTCCTGCTTCTTCTTATTCGTATCCACCTTCTTGTTATTCGTATTCTCCTCCTTCTTATTATTCATATTCTTCACCTTCTTACTAGACATATTCACCTTCTTCACCTCCTTCATATTATTAACCCTAATAGTATTCACCTTCTTCTTAACCTTCACCTTCATCAGCATAGTTTTATTATTATTCTTCCTAACCTTCTCCATCTTCTTCCTATCCTTCATAGGCCTCTTCTTAGTGAGTTGGTTTTAATGCTTTGTGAAGTGCAGAATTATATAGATCACCGACAAACTCTTTAGAGATTTTCTTCTCTTCTGGGTGAGACTAATCACTCTTTTTAGATTTATGAGAAAGCTTTGATGTATCATTAGGCTTATCGCTTGTTATAGAATTTTAAGTTTAAGGTCTTCCTGCATTGTTTCCTGAAGGTTATCTTTAAGGATGGTGAGAAGCAGCTTCCTGAGTTTATTATCCTTGATGTTGTTGAGAATTAGAATGTTAATGTGCAGGAGATTTATGACCAGATTATTAACTTTAAACTTAAACTCTTTAGTTGGAAGCTTAGACTACTCTTTTTGCTTGTTCTGCATAATCTTAATTAGGAGTAGGGTTATATTTCTTTGAATTATCTTAATCATACTTATCCCTTTAGATATTATACTTACTTTCATAATAATATTCCTTTCCTTAAGCTTTGTGCTCAAAATAATTAGCAGCGTATTCTATTATGTCCTCTGGTTAAGCACGCAATACCTCACGAGTAAATTCATGTAGTATATCATAAAATCCTTCAGGGACTTGGTACTTTTGCAAATATTTGCTCGCCATTTCTTTCTTTCTTTATTGATTAATTTATTTATTTTGTTTGTTTGTAACTAATTTTAATTTTTATAACTATTTTATTGTTTTATTATTAATTTACTAACAAATAAATATATAACTAATTACTATTTTACTAACTATCTAAATGGATTGATAGATAAATAGAAAGCGAGTTAATAAAAAAGCTATCTATTTATCTTTATCTCAAGATTTCATTATTACATTTTCAATATAAATTTTCCCCTTTATTAATCTAAAATTTAATTTCTTTCTTTATAATATTTATTTTTTAAATGCAAATATTTGATTCATATAAACTAGCTAACCAATCTTATCTAATTTTTGAAGCAAAATTTCAAAATTTTTAAATCCTTAACCAGAAATAAATCTAAAATATTTATAAATTCAACATTTTAAAACTATTCTTGAAAAAAATTTTAAATAAATAGTGTGAAAACCAGTTAAATAAAATGATTAAAAATGTAATGGTTTTTGGTTTCTTCCTTTTTTTAAGTATTAAGTTTATAAATTTGCTCTAATTTAAATTTTTTCATTTTTTTATTTTAAATTAGCTATAAATACTTCATATTTTAAAAAATAATAAAATTAACATTTAACAGATATTTTTAATAATGTAATTATGCCAATAAAATTAATTATTAAATTTGATACACTTTAAAAATAATTTTGTTTATGACTTCTAATTTAAAGTTTGATTTTCTTTAAAACAAGATTAATTAATAAATGTGAAAGATTATTAATAATAACTAAATTGTCGATTAATTTTAAATTTATATTATTTATAAATAAAATTATATAATATTGTATCAAATTATTTTGAAAGTAACCTAAATGTATTTAAAATAAGTGTTTTTATTAATTGGTTGAAATTAAATATTATATTAACAATTCATACATTCTATTAATCTATTTATCTATCTCATTTTTAAATAAAATTAAAAATTGAAAAGAATTTGCTTAATGGGAATTATTTAATTAAAAGATTAAATAAAAAGATTTTTTTTTGGTAAACTAAGCAAATTACAGCAAAAAAGTATTTGAAAGAAAAGTAAAAAAGTTTAAATAAATCATTAAGTATGATTAATTTCATTGAATCAAAAATAGGAAGTAAATGGTAACTTTTAAATATTAGAGTTTAGCTAGCTGAAATACCTGAGAAGTATTTTTTAGAAATAGATAAATCAATTTATTTTAATTAAATTATAATTTTAATAGAAAAGATATTATAGTATTAAGCTGTGTTTTTTTTTTATTGTTTGATTTTTCAGATGAGAAATAATTAGATTTTAAGGAAAAAAAAAAAGTAAGGACTTTTTAGATCGCCATAGCAGTTTAAATAATCTTTTTGTTAATAATTTTCCTTCCAGTTATTTCATTCAAACAAAATAGTTGAATTGTTTGAGAAGGATTTTATTTAAAAACACTAACTTTAATACCTGAAAATATATCACTCAAATTTTGTTTACTTTTAAATAATTGAGTATTTCAATACAAAAAAGCAATTAATAATTCGGAGAATAAATAACTAACACCTAAAAACAAATAGAAAACTTTTTAAAAGTAAAAATGAGAATATTACAATTAAAATACCATTTAATATTACTATTATTAGCGGTGTAAATCTAACATATCAACTGTAGTTTATCAGTGCTAAATTTTATAGAGGCAGCTTGCCATTTAAATTAATAGATAGAATCTTTTTAAAAGAGTCTCATTTAATAGCGATAAAATTTCTTAGATAATTATGAGAAGATAGTTGCTCCTACTTTAGTTAGAAATAAATATGTAGAACCATAAATTCCTAATTTATATTTGAGTTCTAATTAGGAAAGCAAATAATAGAAAGTTGAATTGACAAATTTAGATATTAAAGACTCAAGCCTGTGCTAAGATAGTTAATGCATTAATAGTAATAATAAAAGTAGAAGAATTCTTCAAACATCAAATAATGATGGCTAAGTTGGAAACTAATAATAACCAGATAATTAAGATGATGATATAAAATAAAAGAAACTAATTTATGACGATTAAGATGATTAATATCTTAAAACATTTGTGCAATATGAGAATGATCCTTTTATATTTCATATTTACATGAAAGAGTAAGTATAGCTAGAATACAACCTAGGATCGACAGACGTTAATGACAGCTTTGATACTGAATATTAGGTGCCTATGAAACTCATATACTACTCTAAGTTAAGCAATTAAACATATAAGATTATAAGATAGCCTGAACATTGCCCTTCAAGCTCTCAAAAAATAATATAAAAACGATATTTTTATTATTGTGATCAAAGGAGAGTCTTTATATAGTAATATGTCCTCTACAAAAAATAGAATGTGGATTGCTACAAAATTGAAGTTTATATAGAAGCTTGCCATTGCCCATACGATAAATATGGTACTTTTTGTTCAGATCAAGTACCAATAACTTGTAATGTTCATAGAAAAATTGATCAAGTAGATACCTAAAAAAATTAAAATGGTTCGAAGCAAAATGAAAATACTCTTGGAGTCTTTTATGATAAAGTAGGAACTTTAGAGAGTTAAGGATTTAGCATTAACATTAAATGCAACAATTAGAGAGGTTTTGTAGACATTATAAACAAAGTAATTTTTTATTTTTTTTAAAAGATTTTGTTGTAAATAATTATAATAATTTAAATAGAGATTTCAAACTATAAATGGTCTGTGCACTTATTCAGATATGATAGCAAAAAATGAATGTATTATTAAATAATTCAATTATACCTATTTTGATAGTGATAGTAACTAACTTAAAATAACTGATGACATCAAGTTACATTTTATTTTAGAAGTATCCAACCTCAAAAAAATCAGTTAACCATTGATTTTAAATTATACATTTCCTACAATTAATTCTGATATGCTTCTTGGAAAGCAAAGTTTTAACATTCCTCTTTACTTAAAAGATATTTAAAATACTTTTCCCTAGTTTTAAAGCTCAGATTTCCTCTAATTTGGAAAATTATGGTACTCAATGAAAATAATAGGAGAGTTTTAACAATCTAATTTTACAGATAGTGAGATCAATTTAGGATATTGGAATGGAGTTTTAGTTGATGAGAGCTATGTGGAACCAAAGTTAAATTATTTTTAGCTTTTAACCATAAATTAATGGGATTTATTAGACTATGTATTTGTACTATTAACATTCTTTTTGCTTTTGGTAGTTTGCCTTATCCTTATTTACCTCTTTACAAATGTTAAAAAATTGTTTACTAACTTTGCTTCATACTTATATCAACTAAAACAAAAGTCATTTTAAAAAAATCAAATGTCCTAGGTAATTAATGACCAAAATAATGACTATGAACACTTTAATGACGTTTGAAATAAACTGTAAATAAAATTTAATCAAAAAAACAAATGTAATTCTATTTTGAATTTAATAAAAATCCTACTACATCATATTTATATACAACAATTACTAATAAATACTACAAGCTATAAAGATCATTTAAGCAAATAATAAATATAATTATTTAATTTTTTTAAGCTGTAAAATTGTTTGTAAGTTTATTTTCCTTTCAAATTTAATTAAAATTAAAAAAATTTATCTATCTTTAATGAATTTATGTTTATCTTTTGAATTATAAATAATAGTATAAATCATAAATGGATTTTTAAATGTTGTTAAACTAAATCCTTTATTATGCTTTTATTTTAATGTTGAGTTTTTTCCCACCCAACAGCAAGCTCATGAGTGAATATGCTTCTAATATATTCATTTGCGATAAAACTAAGAAAATTCTCTGTTTCTTTCAAATAGGTAAAATAAAATGAAAAAATATAAATAAATAAATCTTGCTTATATATGTATATATAAAGCAGAGCTGAGTTTATTTAGGACTCATTCTACTTTTTTTTAAAGTAAAGGTGAAGTTCTAAAGACAATATCTGATAATTTTGATAAGTAAAGTTTATCTAAAAATATTTAATCAAAAATTTTGTTTAAATAAATTTAAAAGCAGAAAAAGTAAATTTAAAGCTTACTTTACATCTAAGCAAAAATAATTTAGATGTCAAACTAAATTTGAATTTTAAATTAGTTATTTTAGTGGCCAGTATTAAACAGGAAACAAAATTTAAATTATAAACAAATCTTATTTTACTAGATATTGATAGATTTTTATAAAGAAGAGAAGTTGAATAATGTTTTTAAACTACATACTTAGTGATTAATAACTCTTCTGACATTCTATACAGAAAAAATAGACTTGGCAAATTATTAAACTATTGCAATTTTAGAAAATAAAATAATAGATCTTCCTTTTTATTCCACAATTTATTATTAACCTTTTTTGAGAGTTAGGTGGATTTTAGATTAATAGTAAAATAAATAAATCAAAAACTTTAAAAAGAGAAATTAAAAATAAAAATAACAAAAGAAACGAATATTTCTTATAATAAAAAGAATTTTTCTTAGTTAATAGTGGATTATTTTATTGTATAAACATATTATTTAATCACTTAAAGCTGAAATGCTTGATAATCACTAAGTTTTAAAATGATGAAAGATGTATGGTTGCAAAAATTTGTATCAATTATTAGAAAAATTCACTTTTAGCTAGTTAGTCAAAAAGGAGGTTAAAAAAGTGAGAAACTGAGAGGAGAAATAATTGGATTTTGTGGATAAGTAAAAATTAATTAAATTAAATTAAATTTCAAGTTAATAATATCATATTTATTTTATTACGAACACCAATCTTATTTATTTCTATCTATTAAAAAATCTGAAATAAATAATAAATTAATAAAAAAAATTTATTTTTCATTTTAGATTAAAATTAGATAATTAATTTATTAATTAATTACCCAACAAATTATAAAAGAAAAATATAAATAGTTTTTTAATTTGTCTATTAATTGTTATTTTTTTATATTAACCAAAACAAACACTAACCAATTAGAATAGATTGTTAGCTTGAAAGTTTTTATTTTATGAATAACAAACCTATCATTGAAAATGTTAAAGAATGTGCCAACTCAATAATATAGGAAGGTAAGGGGGAAATAATTTTATAAATTAATTTTTTTATTCCTCATAAAATTATTTAAATTCTTTGTATACTTAATTTTGTTAACAAATAGCAGTGGGTTATTCAGAATACTAAATTTATATGCTTTACTTTAATTTATTTACTTGCTAATCAACTTGTTATGCTATACTATTATTAAGTATGATAGTCTAAGTATATTTTGATTAATTGAAAAAATTATTAGATTTTTTCTCCTAATAATTTTTTCTCCTCTTCATTATGACAAATGTATTTGAATATTAATAGTAAAATTGCTAACAAATATTTTAATTAAGTTTTGGTTATTCAGGTTAAATTAAAAAAAATAAAGAATTAGTGATATGAAAATCAATTAAAAAATGAAGCTCATTTAGCAAGCTATTAAAAAATTAATAAAGCAAATATGCTCTATTTTTTGCTTTGTAAAAATTCTTAATTTGAAGATGATTAAATAAATAAAGTCATTTATGGTCAACCAATAAATATAAATAGAAAAATGCAAATGTCTATGAAGGATTAATACTATAAACCCATTTAGCTTTATTAAATAATACTAACAAATAAACTTAGTGAAATAGTCTGTCTTAGCCCTATGCATAAAAATGAGATTTTTTATGATTGTTTGATTGATTGCTTAAATCAATGAATGAATGTAGTGTTTGTTTTTTGTTTGTAAATTAATATTTTATGAAAATCAAAAAATTAGAGTGAGAAAGAGAGGAGAGGGAAAAAATTTAATAAAAAAAAATAAAACAAGTAAACCTAAATTAACAAGGAAATACACAAATACTTAAAAGATAATCATACAAAATTGAATATATAAAGTAGAAATATAGAGTGAGAATAGGAATATAGCATCGAGAGAAATCTTGACAAGGATTGAATAACTAAATGACTAGCTGCTACCTATGCAAAAATAGCAAGAGCAAGGAGTATACAGTGCGCGGCTTCTTCGATAAGTCTAAACTCTAGGGACAGTATAAAGAAATTCCGTAAATTCATTTTTACTTTTTCTTGATTATTTTTTCTTTTTCTTTTCTGTTTTAAGCTTTAGCTTTAATTGATTCTTCTTTTTTTCTTGTTTTGATGCTAGCAGCATTGCTAAAGAACGAGAAAGCGAAAAAAAAGAGGAAGGTTATAATAGCATAAATTTTAAATAGGAAGAATTGTAATAATATATTAGAGGTTAAATATTTTAGTTTTTGTATAAACCATTTAATTGCTGTTATTATGCATGCGTGTTTGTTTTTTAAAGTTAAATCGGTAAACAGAAAAGAAAAAAATTTCACTTTATAAAAATTATTTTATACAATTTTCAATTATTATTTGTTAACATTTATTTTTTTTTCAACAAAATTTTTGTAGTGAGGAAGTCGATGTGCATATTTCATGCTCACTTTTATTCAAAGATACCCGTCTTTTATAGGTAAATGGAAATTGGGAAGTGAGAGGTTTAGAAGAAATTCTTAAACATCAAGTTTTCTCTTGTTAAAATTGTAAATAATCCTTTGATTGGAGATCTAGACCATTCATCATTAATTGTCATTATAACGAGTGTTTGGAGATGGGTTGTATCTAAAAGAAGAATAGATGTTCGAAACATCATTGTGCGTTTCCTTTAGATTTAAGATGCATATATGAAATGCAAGTATACGACATCTTTTTAGAAAGTGAAGAAATTCCATGCAAACTAAAGTTTTTATGTTTTAAGCACACGCAAAAAAGAGTAGGAGGAGGTTTTAATATTCTCTAAATACAAGAACAAATAATGCAAAAAGTTTTTTAAAATTCTTAAAATCCATAGCCATAAAGTTAGTTTAATTATCAGGTTAAATAGCCAATTCATCAGCCTAATCACCTTAAAAGCGGTGAGCATTTGTTAGGCTAAAAGTACGATTAGAATGCATACAATTAAAATCAAGGATAACATTATAATTAGTAAAAATAGCAAGCAATTTAAGCATATGGGAATAGTAATGTGAATCAAAATAAGCAATAGTTCAATTAGGGAGAAATGTAGGGATATCAACCTTAAATTATATAGCAATTTCCAGCTGCTCCTCAAACCTAAAACCCTTAATAGTATGTTAAGAATAGCTCAAATTAGCAAAAATTAGTTTAGACATCATAACCGATTAGCAATCCTTAAGTATTTTAAAAATAAAAAAAATCAGTTTAAGTAAACGATTTTTAAAATGAATAGTTTTCCTAGCATCAGTAGTAGAAATTGAATTAGGAGTATTCAAATAATTAGCAATAGACATACTAATAGTACGATCTTTAAGGGCGCCCTGTTTAAATACCACCTCCTTCTCCTCGTATGACTTATTAAGGGGGTAATTAAATTCCAAACAATAATTAAGCATATGATTAAAATTCAGTAATCCCACCTACTCAACAAACCACTGTGGGGGAAGTAGCACAGTACAATTCTTAGAACTCAGCAATACCTCCAGTTTAGGATCCTTATTATTAGCATTCAGCAGGAGATTAGTAAAAAGTTACATCGGTAGTTCCTTAAACTTAGCCAGTTGGTCAATATCCTAAAAATTAATAAGCTTATAGATAATGGGATTCTAATTCTTAATAATATTAGTAATAATCAGCGACATACAACCCTTAAAATCCAAAGGTTCAGTATTCTAGTTAGCCTAATAATCCAACAATTCAACCAATTTAATAGTAAAATCAAGGTATTTACAAATAAACATCAAATGTAAATTAATAAGGGTTTAATGAAGATCCCATGCAACCTGTTAACTAATTTAATTAACCAAAATAATTTTAAGGAGTCTAACCAATAAATTAAGATTATAATAATGGTTAGAATGCTTATAATTTGCATCAAAATCAATCAACTCAAAGAGGATTTACCAGCAATTATCAAAGTGCTCAGTTTGCAGATGTTGGTGGATATAATAATATGTATAATAACGACAATTATGGTAATTAAAATAGCTACGAAAGATAGGATAATTTACAGTAAAATAATTAGCAAGTTGGTACTGCTATTGATCCTGTTCAAACTCATGATAATACATACAGTTTCACAAGCAATAACCCACCTGCTAGATTAAATAAATAAACTACTTAGGAATATTAGGCGAATACATAAAACAGCAATACACCAGCATAAACATTTATTACGAATTCAACTGGAAGAAAAATTATGCATCCTAATGTTGATACCAATCCAAATGGCATAAGTGTTGATATTACTGATCAAATAAAATTAAAACAACTCTAATAGCAGAGCAGAAAAGCCTAAGATTAATAGCAAGCAGTGCAAAGTTAATAAGGTTATGCAGATAACTTGACTGATAATTCACAGTATCAAAAAACAAAGTATGATTTAACTTTTAGCATTTTCATTAACTTTGCTTGTTATTAGAATTAGATAAATATTTTTTATTTATTCTTTATTGAATTTATTTATTTTAAAAAATAAAAGTTCTACTATATAATCTACCCCTGGATTAGCCCCACTTCAAGCTTAAGCTCCTCCTACTAACGGTGATTTTAGAAACTTAAATCAATAATAAAATGCTTAGCCAGCAACTTCTAATAAATTCAATTAGAAGTAACAGCATTATTATTAAAATTAAAACTACCCAAACAGTAATTAATACTAGTAAGGAATGGCCTAAAATTAGCAGGTTCCATATTAAAATAATTAGGGATTCAGTAATTAAAATTACTAAAATTAATAGTTTTAAAGTGTACCTAATTAGAATTTCAACAATTAAGGAATGAACCAATAGATTCCTAATTAGAACGTTTAACAAAATTACGTAAATAATAATAAGAATAATTAATAAAATAATAACTTCTCTTATGGAGTTTAAGGAAATGGATCTTTTGCACCTATTTAAGAAAAGCCTCGAGTTAACTTACCACCTCAAAGAGAAAGGTCTTAGTAGAGTGCACAGAGTTTTCCCTAAAACGATCAAGGAAATTTTAGTGTACCTATGTACAGAAGGCCTTCATAATAGCAATAATTTATTCCTTAAAATTAGTAGCCTTCACTAATTCCTCATACTTTATCTAATTAACAATAGCTAATAAATGATAACGCACTACCACAATTCAATTAGAGTGGATAGTAAAATGGAACTTTGCAAGCTTAAGAAAACGATAATTAAATGAATATTGAAGAACCAAATATTCAACCTAAATTTATTGTTTAGGAACCTGTGGCAGCAGTGGTTGCAGCACCTGAAACAAAAAAAAGAGGTGGAAAAAGAGGTAAAAAAGATACTGAACCTTAAAACGAAGTAGCAAAGACAAATGACATTCCTTTAAAGCATACTAAATCAGCCTAAAAGAAAATGGATAAAAAGAAAGGTAAAAAGTAAACTGCTATGGAATAGGAAGAAGAGGAAGTAGTAGGTCAAAGTAATCAATAAACTCATACCTAATAAATGAAAGATGAATCTTCAACTTTATAGCAGAATTAGAATTAAATATAAGAAAATAACTCTCAAAATATTCAAAACAACAATAATCCCTAGTAGTAATTTGGATCAGAAAATAACATAGCTAACAAAATGGAAAGCTAAGAGAGTCTAGACTTCAAGAGCTAAACTTCTTTAGGAATCTAAGTTTAAAGATAAAATCTGCAAATTTAGAAGGATTAAAAATTCAATTAAGCTTAGTATCAATAGCATGTTTAAAATATTTAGTAAAATCCATCTAAGGCCAATCAATTTTAACCACCACCATAGTAACTTACACATCCTTAGCCTTCATAAAATATTATTCATCCCCCACCTTTGAGTAAGCAATCTTCTATGCAATCACTACCTCCTGTTTTAGAAAATCCATAAAACCCTATTTTCGAACATCAATAATAAATTTAAAACAATTAGCTTCCTAGACATCCTTCTGGCAGTGTTTAACCTAGCAATATTGCTGCTTAGTAAATGAACAGGCCATAAAACGTCTAACCTTTCAAGTAGTAAATAAGACCTCATTAAGCTCTTAAAAAGAAATCAGGCCCCTTGATTAATGACTCTTACAAACCATTTTTTGTAGAATTAGTAGAAGTGCAACATTAAATTTAATAATATTAATACCATGAAAGAATGGTTTATCAATAGCAATAATAATAAATGATGATGAGACAGCATTAGATTGTTCAAGGCTAAATTTTGTAGAATCAAAATTTTATGAATAAGTAAATTAAATTATCATAAAATCCAGGCTCTTAAAACTATGGCTAAATGGCACCTCAACCTCAATTAAGCAGTTAAAATTCGGGGAAATTTGGTTAATAGAATGTACCCTTTTTAAATCAAAACCCTTCATAAGCTTAGTAACCTTAAATATAGGTTATCCCCCCTACACATCCTACACATCAATAGTAGCAGCCTCCATACCAAAAAGTAAGCTAGAACGTCTAATAAAATCTAGTAAATGGTACTAATAACCAACAAATTGTTTAGGGACAATTAAATTAAAATTAGAAAGTTAATTCCCAAAATCCAGCTCATCATCTTCATCAACAATAATATCCTTAAGGAAATCTTGTTTAACCGGCCAGTTAAGATTTTAAGAATGATATCGGGAGTTATCATCCTTAAAATTAAAATCAAGGTAATAAAGAAATAAATTCTTGAAATTCGATTAATTTATTTATTAAATTAAATGGAAAATCCTTCATTAACTTAATTAATTAATTACTCTCATTTATTAAGCTTCTAAAATTATTCTTATTACAATTCAAAATTTACATTCTCCACCTACTTTCTCAAATAAGCTCTCATTCCATTTAAAATCTCTCCCTCCCTCCCTCCATCCTACATCTTACTTACTTAAATAATTTAATAAAATAAAACTTTTGCTAGTAAACAATAAAAAAATAAATAATTGTTAGCTATTTATTCATTGCAAACACTTAAAAGTCACTTAATAGGGATTAAACCAAGCTACCCAAAGCAGACGATGCTATATTTAAATTAAAAAATTGAATCAAATAGAAAAAATGAAATAAATACTGAAAGGAGCAATCAATTATTTAAAAGCAATTTATTTCAAACAAGTGTGTAAGTTTAATGAGAAAGCGAAATTTTGGAGACTAAGGATTCATAATATATTAATCTATTTAAAAAATTTTTTTTCAATAATTTAAATCACTCCACCAACCAATAAAAAATAAATAAAGAAATATAAATAAAAGAGAAAAATTCAAACATAGAAAGATAAAATTTTATAATTTTGTGATAATTTTTAATTCACTAAACAAAACCTAATAAAAAAAAGGTAATAAAATAATTACAAAAATAAACAATAGAATATGAAGGTAGAGAGAAATAACTATTAATTAATTAAATAAAGCACAATCTCTCAAATAAAAACTAATTAATATGTTCATAGCAATAATCCACCAAAACACAAAAAATAAAAAAAACCTTTTATTATTTATATACCTCACAAATAGATAAATAAATTATAAACTCAATTAATTAATTAAATAAATAAATAAATAAATCATCTGGAGTGAACAAGTATAAGATAGAAAAGAGATTACTATAATTAATTCAATAATCTATATTTTGAAAATAAATTTGTTGTAAATTTCAGATATGTTTGCTTATTTCGTTGACTCTTCCTTAAATTTTATATTGAAGACAATGATGAAAACACATTCATTTTTTCCCAAATTTATAAATACTTCATATCTATTTTTTTTAACATTTATTATTTAGTCATCTCTTTTCTTTTATACAATAATTATCTGTTATTTTAATCACTTGTTTTAATTCCTTTTTATTTTTGATTTTTATTTTAACCAATTTGAAATATTTTTGTTTTATCACGATAAAGATTTTGTTTATTTTTCGTAGGAAAACATGGGAGTATTTTAAAATTAAAAAAACCAAAATACATAAACACTCTATATATAAATTTTCATATTATTAGTAAGAAATTAATTAATTATATTTAATAATTTTTCTTTATTTTATTATATAGGTGATATTTCTAAGGTTCCAACAGAATAAAAAGACTATCGTTAATAATTCAGTAATTAAAATTTTGCTTTAGAAAATTTACATGAAGCTCCACTTAAATAAAACTAACCTATATAATAAAACTCTTATCAACATCACCCATTTCCACAACCTCATTAAAAAAATAATGAACTCACAAATTATAATAATAATTATATATAAAATCCAGCACAAAATACCAACCTTCCTTATCCTAATTAGTTCTAATAAGGCGGAGGTGGATAATTATAATCCAATTTATATAGAGATTAAAAAAATTAAGATTTCAATAATAGTAATAAAAAATACTCTAATAATTAGATAAACACAGGCACCGTAGTTACAAACAATCTAAATCATTCTTTCAACCCTACATAAAATAATTAATATTATTCTTAATAATCAAACTAATTTTCTTAGCAATAATACAATTTGGAAAAACAGAACAGTATCTAATCATTATAATAATAAAGAAGTATCTCATCTTAATAGTAATCTTATAATTAATAAATTTCCTCATAATAAAATTTGGCTGTTCCTTCAAATAGTCATCCAAGTATCGACTAGTTCGATTCAAATAATATGATAAAATCCAATAATATAAGCAATCTATATCATAATTAAGGAGCTCCATTTAGGAATCCTTCAGGAGCAAATTTAGCGTTGAATGCTACTGTTCAACAGACTTCTTAAACTCAAATTTCAGCTTAATAAAATCATGGAGTATAAAATAGACATTCTTCAATATAATCTTCTGAATAATTGTTTTAAGGTCCTAGCAATACAAATCTAAATTTATAAACTCTTACTAGCTTAAAAACGTTAAAACAAATTGATGAAAATGTAGAAAATATTAGAGAAGAGGATCTTTTTCGTGAAGAAATGACTGAATCAGAAGAAAGCTTTTGGGATTACTGTTCACCTGAAAATTATTAGCATTTGTTACCTCAACATTAATCTAGTCAAAATAACTAGTAGTCGTCTTCAAGAAATAAATCTAAGCTAGGAGGTATATTTAATAATTAAGGTGCAGCTCAAACTCAGTAAAAGTAGACTAAAAAGGGATAAGCAGCTAATCTAAGTAGCTAAAACTTACAAAAAGAAAAAGATCCTTATTTTGGTATTGATCCAGCTAAACTAATTGTTAAAAATTTTCCTTAAGGTGAAGATGAAGAATCTGTTTTTCAATGGTGGGATTAAATAGATGAAGTTTATTTTCCAAATAAAATAAAAGAAGGTTTTTTTAATATGCTTGAAATTGAAAAATCTAAAAATATTTCTGAAATGCTTTAAAGCCTCGACATTGTAGAAGTAGATGAAAACGGGTTAACAAAACATATTCCTCCTATTAAATTAATCTAGTAGATATAAAGCGGAGTAACAGAGAATTCCTCATTATATTATTTAATAGCTAAGGATTATTATGACGAAGAGCCTGTTCCATTTAAACATCCAAATTACTTTAGTGTTTTATTTTACAATTAGTTAAATAGCAACGACTATACAGGAAGTGATAATTAAGATAATTCATCTCTTCTTTTAAAAAGACTCTAGTAGCCTAATAATGGAATATTAGCAGTGTTTAAATTAAAAATGTATGATAAAAAAAGACCTTTGACTTGTGAAGATAAAAATATATTTGATAAATTAGTATCTAAAATAGAAATAGTACCTTAAAATAGTAAACCAAAAATTGAAGATATTTTTTAGAAATTAGATTATTCACTCTAAATATAAAATTCGACTGAAAAGTAAGAACATAATAAAAATAAAAAATATAGTAAATAAAATAAAGATAAACAGGATTTAAGCAAATATGAACCTGAATTATGTAAACAATTTATAGGAAATAATTAAATTATTCCAATACAATAATTAAAGCAAACCACTCCAGCTTAAAATTCAAATGATTTTTTATTTGATAAAAATAAAATAACAATCAAGCTAAAAAAATTGATAAGCCTCAATTCCTCTGCAGTTTACAGCTCATTTTAAGCAACTAATTTTCTTAATAAATTTTTGAAAAACTAAAAATCAAAGTAAGAGAAATTAAAAGATGAAAATTCTGAATAGGATGATTCAGATAGCGAGACAACCAAGGAATATCTTTAAGCATAAAACAATAACTTATCTCCTATTGAATGCAACATATTTGCTTTGGAGTATGAATTGACTAAGCTTTAAACCCATCAGTAATTAAATCAACTTAAAGAAAATGTTTTTAAAAATTCTAAGTAAGAAGGCAATTACTTGGAGTTAAGAGAATTATCAGTAAAAATAAATGATAATCTAAAGTGGTTAACAATAAGAAAGAACCTGATATTGGGATTCAGTGACAGGCAAAGATATGACTCTGAAAATTATTTTAAATATGAGGCAGAAGAAAAAACAGGTATAAATCTTTCTAGAAGTGAAGTTCTCTAAGAGAAAGAAATGTTAGAAAAAATGTCTTCAACAGAGAAAGAGAATTTGAATTAATAGCAGCTACTTGCCCGTTAATTGTAATCATTATAAAGAGCAAAGAGGAAAAATTAGAAACAAGAAGAAGAAGAGGATGAAGAAGATGATGACTAAGGAGAAGAAAAGTCATAATTTAACAAAGATAAAAAATAAAGAAGCAAATAGAATGATGATAATGAAGACGAAGAAGAAGATGATTATAATGATGAAGATGAAGATGGTGATGAAGAGGAAAGCAATCCCATTGAGCATGAAAATAAGAAAAAGGAAGAGTTAAAAAGAAACTCGAGAAGAAGTAATCGCATTAAGAGGATACTGGAAGATGAAAATGCAACCATTTTATCAAATGAGAATTCAATTGATGGTCTAGAAACAGTTTAAGAAAGTGATAGACTCGAGTCTCCTTCAGTTAATAGAAATAAAGATATTGATGATATTGAAAGCGATTAAAGAAAAGTAGACTAAAAAAATAAGATTTCTGCTTCTAGCAATAACAAAAAGAAGAAAAAATAAAAACAAAAGAATAAAAGTAAATTTTTGGAAATCGATTGTAGCGTTTGCTTTCATCATGTTAATAATGAGAATAACACTGTTGTTTACTGCTCGTAATGCAGTGGTAGTTTTCATAAGCACTGCTATGGCATAGATTTTATACCAGAAGAGAAATTTTTGTGCAGAAAATGTGAAATTAAAAATTAATAAATTATGAAAAAGAAAAATACAAACAGTTGTTAAAAATAACCTCTAAAAGAAGAGGTTTCCAAGCAATTTCATTGTAAACTATGTACTGAGACTCTCTTACCAGTTATATCTATCTTTGATGACTCTTATTTCTATCATCCTACTTGCCTCTTCTTGTTTAATTATGCAATCTATAAAGATTAAAGATTGTAATTAAGAGACACTGTGACTCATACATCAATATCTGATGATGTTAAGAAATAAAATCATATAGCTTGTGAGTTTTGTCATTCTAAAAAAGGTTTAAAGGTCAAATGTTGTCACTTTGGTAAACCACGCAAGTCTTTTGAAAAAATTCACACACTTTAAAAATAAAAATTGTATAAAAAAAGAAACTGTTAATAGAGCTAAGTTATTGATAGCAAGTAAGAATTTTAAGATTTAGAAAAAGAGAGTGAAAATGGTAACCTGATGTTAGCAGAAGTGAAAGAACTAACTGAGATTAGCTCAGAAAAGAAATAAAATGAAATAAAAGAGGAAGATCTTGAAAAAAGCTGCTAAATAAAGGAAGAAAATGATATAATTAAATAAGAAGAAAGCTAAGATGAAGAAGTAGAGTATTCTATTAGCGGAGAATATGAAGAGGATGAGCTACTTGATGAAGAAGATGAAGATTATGAAGACTTAGGATGCAATTACTATATTCACCCCCTTTGTGCCTTTCTTAACGGATTTGAGGTATGGCTCGATAGTAGGGAGGAAGATACTGAATGTGAAAAAACAATAGTTGATAGTGACTTTTAGAATTTGTAGCACCTAGGCTTGAAAATTTTCTTCAAGTGCAAAGAACATGCAGATAGAAAGAATAGAAACTATGATGAATAAGTTTATTATAGAAGGTACCAAATAAATTATCGTAACATATGCTAATATACTACGTTTTAAGAGTATCAATAATCAATAACCAAATAGAGAACTTAGGAGGAAGAATAGTGGAATGAAATAGCTAATTTAGCAAAAGAATACATGGAAAATTATAAGTATTATACTAAAATAAAATTAAATAGGAAAGAGATAGAAATAAGTTACTAACAATAAGAACAATTTTACCAATAAAATCCCAATCTCAAAGAATAACTTCATCAACTTGAAATAGAAGAAATGGAAGAAGAAGCTGCAGAGTAGAAAGAATAAGAACATTTAATGCTAGTCAACTAACAAAATCTATAAAATCACCATAGCTTGTAGAATGTTGAGGACTTTTATGAAGATGAAAATATTGCCAATACAAACAACATGATTGAAGAAGGCAATTCTTTGGATGATATTGATAATAGAAATGTATTAGAGGAAGAACTGGATGATGAATATGATGATGAGGAAGAGAACTCTTAATATAAGAGAAGATCGAGAAGGAATCTATCAAGAAATTAATAGCAACATAATTAATTAAGTGGTAAAAAGAGCAATTAGGATATTCAAGATGATTACTAAGACTAGATTGAAAATGAATATTCATAAGATGATACAAAGAAAGAAGTAAATAGAAGAAGGGTTTTGAATTAGAAGAAAGGTTAGTAAAAAGCAAGTCTTATTTCTTAATCTTCGCTTAGTGGAGGAACTGGAGAGACAAGCAAAAATAGACGTAGCAGTAGGAGATTAGTGAATAATAACTAGAAGGGAAAAAGCTAGTATTCCAGCTTCTTAAATGCAGATGAAGAAGAAGAAAATTAAGATTCCTCATATAACTAAGGTTACTCAAGCTTCGAAAATACACTAAACAAAATAAATTTAAAAGAATTTAGCAACAGTTAGCCAATTACTTAAGATAAACATACAAATCAACAACAATCATCCTTACAAGCACTAACTTAAATTATTTCTGAGAAAAAACAAAGCACAAATATTGAATAAGAAGAAGAGTTTAAAGGCATATCTAAGAAAGATTAAAAATAAAGCTAACCAAAGTAAAAAGGAAAGAAAGGTTTAACAAGTAAATATAATGATGATGATGAAGAAGATCATGAGGATGAAGAATTTGGTATAGAAAATGAGTCATAGGATGAATTTGATGACGATGATTTTGATGAAGAAGATGCTGATGACTAAAAGTATGCCTAAAAGAGAGGAATAGGAAAATTTGGAAGAAATAAAAGGACCAAGCCAAGAAGGAATTAATAGAAATACAATTAAAATGAACAGTCTTCCTCTTCTTTAGAAAACATGTAACAAATTTCAAACTCAAGAGGTGCATCTCCTCCTAATAAATAAAATGGAGCTTTAACAAATAATCAAGAAATTTAAAAGGTCCTTAGTACTGCTAGGAGTCTTGCTAAAAATGGCAAAATAGGGAAAGGCACAAGCATTTTTGCGGCTCAGAATAAAAAGAAAAAAGTATAAAAAAAAATAGGATCAAGGAATTCACTATTATCAGTAGAAAACGATGAAGAGGAAGAATAGATAAATGAAATTGAAATAAATAAAGAAATTTAATAGTAAGATTAGTGTAACCCTGAAGTAAATACTGAGATAATTCAAGAAAATAATTGTTAGGTTAATCAAGAGGATGAATTAACACGTAACTAAGAATAGCAATTTATAGTAGAGTAATAGTAAAAATTACAAGTACAGACAGAAACTGATCATGTTTAAAATAAACCGTAAGTAGATGAAAAAGAAGAATAGCAAATTACAAATGAAAACACCCAAAATTCAAATTACCTTGATGTCAAAATTAATACATAACATTTAAAAAGATCAAAAAGCCCATCAGATAAAAACACTTAAGAGTAGGTTCAAAAGCAAGATTTAGAAGGCGACAATCTTAAATTGTTAGCCTAAAATTCAGACAATTAGCAATAAGCTAATCAAACCAAATACAATTTACGCTAACAAAAATCCAAAAATTACAAGCATAATTTAATTAAGGAGGATAATGATTTTGTATATGCCTAAGTTGTGAATAATTCTTAATTTATAAAGTAGCAGCAAAATGCTTTTTCTTAATTTGTTAACGAGTAAGGTTAAAATGAGGAAGATACAAGCAGTAATTTGCCTCAAAATAATTTGCAAAATAAAAAAAAATAAACTTCATAGACTAACATCCCACAAGAAGGAACTCCAAAGCAAAAAAATAAAAAAAATTCAAAGTAGCCTCCAAGTTCTCAATAGAATACAAATTAAACAAAAAAAGGATTAGACCCTAGTGAATAGGAATAGAATGATGAGTCTTTTTCTAGTTGTGTTAATAACAACTAATAAGCAAATAATTAGAATGAATAAATAGAAATCACTAACCAATTTTCTCTGAATAGTCAACACTCTTACGAAGAAACTCACTCAAACGAATAAAAACTAACAGTCAAAGGAAAAATAAATAAGAAAAAGCAAACTAAGGCTTAGACTTCTTCATAAAATTCAAGGTAAAATAGGAAAGCTAATAATCGAAACAAAGGATAAGCACATGAATAAGAACACGTCTAAACAACAAAAGTTAACGATACTGCTACTCCACTCTTAGACCACCATAATAATCAAAAATATGTCTAAAGTTAAAAGAATTTTTAAATAAACAATCCTAATGAAAGCTAAGAGCTGCTTGATTTTGATTAGTTTGAATAAAAAGACTAGATACTAAATCCTAATAACCTTAAATACAACTGAGTAATTTTCTAAAATATATTCAATTAATTAACAAAAAAAATGATATAATTTACCTACCTATCTACCTTAATTATCAAATTGAAAGACAATAAATAAACACAATCAATCAATAACTTCATTTCAAAATATGAAAGATATATAAATTTATTATCCAAGTAAATCTTTCAACAATCAATCAAACAAAAATCATATATTATTTAAATTTTATAATTATTTCTCTTGATACCTTGCCATACCATACCAAATTAAACATAATAAACTTCAATTTATTCTATCTAAACTTATAAATCAATTATTCTGTTCATTAAAGATATTAACCACTATATAAAAATTATAATGAACTAATTAAAACTTACTATTTATCTTTAACAAAGATAATAAGAAAGTTTGTTTGTTCATAAAACAAGCTAATAGTTATTAATTAAGATTAACTATCTCATGATACTTATTAGCTTTTAGAGCAAGATTCTTAGCTGAAATCTATCATAGTTAACATTTAAAAGAGTTTCTTTTCTTAGTCTGCAACACTATACAACTGAAAAAGAAATAATTGTTAATAAAAAATATTATATATAATTAAATATAATAAATAAATAAATATTCATAATGATATTACTAAATTCTGCAATAAATAGCTATGTTTAATATGCCTTACAAAAGATAGATGTTGTTCTAATGTATTTCAAATTGTATCAATTTTATATACTTTTATTTTTATTATTAATAGTTTTAATTTCAGTATATTATTTTGGTTGTATCTATTTTATCTTTTATACAATATTATAATTAATACTCTTATTTCTTAGTTGTCTAATTTTGATAACTTATTTTATTCTCATTAATCTATTATTATTAAAATATAATAATGAATTAATTTTATTTTTAACTAATTTATTAATAAAACAAACAAAAAATTTTGTTAATTTAATTAGTAATTTAAAATTTAAATAGGACTTTAAAAAAAATTTCATTGAGAAAATTTATCTCAAACTTAAATTTCATTATTACAAATATATATTATCTAATACTAAATTAAAAATTTGTTAATTTTACATAAATATTCTTTTTATTTTTAATTATGAAGCAATTAATTTTTCAGTATGAAAATATTTTATTTTTTAATAAAACCATTTTTTTTTACAATAATTTTATTTATTTATTGAATGATTAATTAATTGATGATTGATTAATTTATTAACGAATTAAGTGTAATCTCTAATTTATTATTATTAGTTTTCGAAAAATTAAAATAATTAGATTAGTTTTTAAAATTTTTGTTGATATAATTGTAATTAATTTCAAAATTTAGAATTAAAATTTTAAGTAAAAAGTAATAATTTGATATCATTAGTTGTTTTATTTAATTTATTGTTCAGTATTTTTTATTTTATTTAATGATATATTGTTTGGAGGGACTTATTATTTTTAGCTTTCTGCTTCATTAGATTCATCATCATCGTCATCTAATACTATAAGTTTATTTACTACCTTGATATCTTTGAATTGCTTATCACTTAACTCTTCAGGTTGCTATTATTTTTATGTCTCATCTTTGATATTTTCTAAAACATTAGCAGTAATTGTGGCAAATTCTGATTAGCCATACAGAATTTCTTCATCTTTGTAATGATTAAAGTTGATTTTAAGGTTTTTTTACTAAAATCTTTACTCGTCTTGAGTTCTATTAAAACTTGAGTTTTATACATTTTCTGAGAATTGCTTATTTTTAGATTTTTCACTGTTTTATGTGCAGTCTATGTTCAATGATTCACGTCTATTTGTCTCTTAGAAGAATCGAGGTTATGAATTAAGAATATTACGGGTAGCTAGAGGAATCTAATTTGCTCTTGAAGATACATCTTACTCAGTTTATCTCAAATTGGAAGGATCTTCTCCTTCAACTTTACTTCTCTGTGATTTCAAGCCCATTGGTTTTTTAATTACTGAGTTTCTATTGGATAGTACATATATTTGCTATTTATTTTTTTTATAGTTTACCATACTGGTTCCATTTTCATCATCATCGTCATTATCAACATTTCCATTTCCATAATTGTCTATCAAATCTGCCTCGTTTATAAACATATTCCTTCGTTAACCAATGAAACTATTTTAGTTGTACCTATCGTAGATAATTTACAAATCCTCACCTTTATCTTAATTTAAATTATAACTGATGTTATTTATAGATTATCTTCTTCCTAATGCAGGTTTTTCAAGATATTCATTTTAGACATATTGTTTATCTAACTAATTCATCTTTTAGTGGTTGTAGTGCATTAATTTATTTTGATACTCTTATTCAGCAAACATTTTACGAGTCGTGGATACCATCTAAAAGGAATTCTCTGGAGAAAGCACACCATTTTATTATCCTTAATCATTAACAAATGATTATTTCTTTTGAACACTATTATTGAGGCTTAATAGTATGTCGTGTTGTTAGTTGTTTTGTATTTATGATAAATTAGGTGAAATAAAAGAAAATATTTCATGTCCTTAATCTATAAATGCATTTTAACTCAAACAGTTTCCCGAAAGTAATTAATTATTGTTTTTTTAACTGATATTTACATTGCTTTTGTTTTCATTATTCACATTTCTGAAGCTATTTTGATCAAGCTTTATAGATTTCCTTAATTCATTTTCTTAATTTTCTTTTTGATGTGAAGACTAACTGTTATTGTTATTTTATTTCTTATTGCTGCTAATGTTATGAGAGCTATGATTATTTAGAGAAAAACCCATAATTTATTGCAAAGGCTTATTTATAGCTGAAAGAACATTTTCTATAATTGAAGATTTTTTCTACATTTTATTTGGTGAACTAAATGTGTGAACACTATGATTACTGTTATTGTTGTTGTTATTATTATTATTATTATTATTACTATGATTATGATTATTATTTTAGACTTAATTGAAATCTAATTGCTATGCATTTTCTGAATTTTGATTATTATTGTGAGATTATTATCCTCCAATATTGATTGAGTTTGGCTCTGGACTATTTTCTTAAAAATAGTGTTATCGGCGCCCAGGGGAGAGAGTAGCTGGATTTTACCACTCGTCTATTGCATTATTATTTTCTACCTCTTCCAATTAAACATTACCATCAGATTTAATCTATTTACTGAAGTTGCTGCTTTCTTTTTCTTTTTAAAATGGTTACTACATTCTTTTTACATAAGAATTGCTTTAACCCTATTGCAAAAATCTTATGATCCCTTTTCTATTACAAGAATTTCTACAGTAAGGACATGTAGAGTGCTTTTAGAACCAACCCTCTAAGCATTCAGAATGAAATAAATGATAGCAAGGAGTTATCCTACACTCACTTGTTTGTTCAAATCCTTCTAGGCAGACAGTACACTCCTCTCCTTCTTGCTTTAGAGTGGGATATAAACGCATTAAATCTTAATAAATTTATTTTGGCATAAAACGATTTATTGTTTCTTTTGTAATTGGAACAATTTTTTTAATCGGTTTTAGTCTATCTACTGGAATGTCCTGTATAGGAGCTATTGGAGCCTAGAATTATATAATCTAATTAGGTTATCCTTAAATATTTTAGTTATGATATGCATCATTACCTCGTATTACTAGCTGATTAATAGGTAAATTAAGCTACTCTAGGATTTCATTTTAGTTTGAATTTGCACCTTAATTACTTTAGCTATTTGAAACAGGACCTGAAATTGCTTAATTAGGACTTATTTAACCAATTTACAAATTATTATTTAAAATTTGATTTAAGAAATCTTGTTCTTGTCTTTTTTTTTACTTTACACAAAAATATGTTATTGGAGTAACACAAAAAATAATAACACATCCAAATACTATGAAGAGGATCATAGTAGTTTAGTTTAAGCCAGAGATATCTGAGCTACTAGAATTTACTTATTTAAGTCTAAATACAAATTTAGCTGTTTGCGAAGGGCTATAATTATAGAAACCAACTGTTATAACTTGATCATAATCCTTTCTACGATAAGGAAATTATTATTAAATTTATTAAAGTGTGTTTGCATCAAACATTTTTTGAATTTTTTCAGTTAAGGGAGGATATTAATCGACTTGTTAAATGTTTGATGACTGTATATCGTAGCTATCGTACAAAATATTTGGAACCCATAGTTAACTAACAGAGCCATAAACAATAGACATTTTTAAATTACTATAAGGTGATGTAATAGCAAAAGTAAATTGATTGCTTTATTAATCACTTAAATTGAAAGATCCCATTCCCCAAGTAAAAGGAGGAATATTCATATTAATATCTACATCAATAGGATTTATAGGAGAAAAAAAGTAGCATGATTCTCCTAAAAATTAATTCGCACAATTACAATAATTTTGAAAATTAATCTATTACTATTAGTTACATTTATTCATACTATTCCTTTAAGAATTGCAGCCCTCTGGGCAATAACTATCATTTTTTCCATAAGAATATATATCAATATTAATGGTATAAAGAGATGTTTTATCAGATTTTATGTCATAAAAACCGAAGTTCCACAAGCCAATTTAACTATTAACTACATTTGATATTTCTGTAACTTAAAACTTGCGAAAAGTAGCCAATCCTTCGATATCTAAATGAATATTCTACTGCATATACAATGAATAGTTTTACTAAAAGAGGACACTATAATATTCTGGAACTTGAACATTAGGTTCCGCTGCTAGAAAAACAAATTAGCTTTAGCTAATAGTATTGGCTGTTTATGGTTAAAAGGTAACTTCAATTATTAACTACAAACCTAGTGCTTGCTTATCTATTCCTATCTATATTTACTAAAACTATTAAAAATTCTATATAGTCTTTTTCTAAATTAAATTAATTGAACATTGAACATTGTTAATGAACAAAAAAACTAAAAATTAATGAATAAGCAAAAGCTTCTTTTCTCTTTGCAAAGGCCTTATTTTATATTAGCTCTTCATGCAATTTAACTTCAACTCTAAAGCAGCTTTGATTTATCTTGCAGATATTTCAGTGATATTTTCTAAGCTTGTTGAAATAAGTGCCAACAACTAAATTTGAAAAAACAATTAATTTTGTTTGAAATCTATTTATTAGATTAAAGCTACAAATTACTATTAACTGAAGCACTTTTGCATTATTTTTATATAATCTCTTGTATTTCAAATCAATATTTTAATTATTCCAATATGCATAGATACATATTAACCTGAAATATTAACCATAAATTGAACATTCTTAGATAATCAAGAATACTTTGAATATATTTGAAATATAATATAATTTCTATACTGAAATAATTTTAATCAAATTTTGTTGCGATTTAAAATTTACCAAATTACTCAAAAAACCAATAATTTTTTAATAAAAAAAAATCTGAAATCCCATAAAAGGTTATAGAAAAATTCAAATGAAAAATTAAAGAATATATTTTAGTAAGTAAGTAGTAAAAAAGTGACTTTTACCTTTTTATTTTTAAGTAATGTCTACATTTGCCATTAAAAATATGATTAAAACGTAAGAGTAAAAATAGTGAAAAGGTTTTCAAATAATTTAAAGTGCTTATTTAAATTGCAAATAAATTATAAATAGAATAATGATTGTAAATGAGATATGTAAGTATATTTATATAATTATTAAGTAAAAATAGATATGTATAATAAAAAACAATATCGAAGAAGTAAATTTTATAATAAAGATATTCGTTTAATATATATGTATATAATATTTTATAGTTTCTAATAAAACAGCAGGATTTGAACAATTAAACAATTAAGTAGATTATGCTTGTTTGATAATAAAGATGATTTATTTTATTTTATGGTGTTATCACATAATATTATAATGAAAAAGGTTTAAACGCTTTACTTACTTACTAACTAACTTACTAACTTACTTACTTACTTGCTAATAACATGTAAATTGATGAATGTATGTATGTATTTATTTTAAGAGTAATTCATTTTTTTAGTTGAATTTATGATATATTGTATTAAGCGTGTCTTATTTTTTTATAATTATATATTGTTCTTAAATAGAGAAAGTAAACCTGTTATCAATATTATTATTTTAATGAAAAAAAGAAAAACTTTTTAATTTTCTGCTTATCTAAAAGAAAGGAAGTGAATGGAAGCAGGTAATTTTGTATGTATTTATGAATTTTGGTTGATAGCTATGTAAGTATGTATGTATTTAAGTAGAAGGAGGTAGATAGGTAGGTAGGTAACCACGATTACATTACACCAATCTAACTCACAGTGGTAATTAAAATTATTATCTGTCATTTATTTCAGTGTTCCTCTTCCATTTTTTCATTTTCTTGAAATACATGCTCTTCTTCCTCATGCTCTTCAACAATACTTTCTTTATGTCTTCTACCACCTATTTTATTTATTTAAATATTTTTAGAATTAATTCCCTTCTTTTATATTTGTTTTATTCCAAGTTTTTAAATATTAATTGAATGTATAATGATCTAATAAAAATATTTTATTTCAAATTCAAAAATTTTTTTTTGATGAGTAACAAACTCAATTTATTTTGAGCTGTTAATATCTTTTCCTGATAAATTAATTTTTATTTTATTGGTAAATCAATCATTTAACTTTAGTTTAAATCATCTTTTAGAAAATTCTTTTTTAAAAATAAAAATTTTATTACCTGGTGTGAATTCGCTTACTTATTTTTATAAGGTGTTGGCATGGAATTTAGATTTATCTGAATCTTTTTAACCAGAAACTTAGTTGGGTTCAACACCTTATCTATCTAGAGAACCTATAGTATAGTACATCTTATTTGAATCTGCTCTTTGGCGAACCTAATTTTAACCAGCAAACATAGGATCTCTTGTGACGAATGAGTTTAGATTATCATCAGTAGATCCTGAGGCAGTGTCTTTAGAGAGATAAGGAATTCTTAGAGGCTTGGTAAACATAGATGTTTGCTTTTCTCTGATAGCTGGAAGATCTTCTTTGTTCATTCCAAAAAGATCGTCTGTTGAAGGAGCTTTCTTTAACTTTTGTTATGTGAAATAATGATGCTAGAGTGCTTCAGCAGCTGTAATACGCTTCTAAGGATCCTTTTCAAGCATACGTCTAAGTAAATCTTTTGCTGGGTCTGAAAGATTTTCATATTCCTTCTTTTCAAGGTCGATTTCGCAGAGTTTGTTTTTTTTCAATACTTCATTGAATTTTTTACCAGGGAATACAGCTTCACCAGTTAATCTATAGATGGATTAAATAAAAAACAATATTAATTTAGCTAAAAAAATAAGTTAAAATATGAAAAATAATTTTAAATAATTATTTTTTTTTAAATTTATTTTAAGAATATTATTGCAACAGAGATCTGTTTGCATGCGGGAAATTTTGAAGACTGATTAAATCTTACAGATTTAAGCTTCTCTGAATATTCTTAATTTTGGATCAGTAATAGTGATGAAAATAGTAAAGAATTAATAATTCAGGCAGCTTTTCAATTATCATTAATTTTTAAATTTCTATATCATTAATTAATTTGTTCATATTTGCTTCAAGCTTGTATTTATAACTTGCTTTTCTAAAAATTAGCGAGTGAATATTTTACTCCATTATAAACGGCAAATTTTTTTATTTCAGCAAGATTGTCACAAAAAATTACTAGCTTGTTAGCATTTATAGTAAATTTATTTATTAAATAATTTTTGAATTTTTTGATTTTTGTAAAAATTAATATCATGAGAAAGTATTTCACTCGCTCACTTAGATTCATTATTTAAATATTTAAACACGATTAATTGGCATTAATTTAATTGAAATAATTAAATTTTTTGTAAATCTGCATTTTCAAAATTTATTAGCGAAAAATAAAAAGTCTTTTTGATTTCTCTTAAGTTGTTTAAAAGTAGAAGTAATAAATTTTAAATTTTCTTACAAAATATGGAAAATAACACCAACTGAGAACATATCACAGACAGTTGAATAAGGTTGAGCTTTATCTACTAGATTGGCTATTTCAGGAGCAACAAAACCAGGGGTACCACATTTAGGGAATATATAAGGGTTTTCATCAGCATAAGTACCAAGACCGAAATCTACAATTTTTAAAATCTTTTAATTTCCGACTTTACCAAAGAGAAGGTTTTCTGGCTTAATATCTCTATGCATAATATTTTTGGAAGCACAATAAGCAATACCATCTATAAGCATACTCATAATGTCTCTAACTTCTTCGTCTTTATAAGGATTCTATGCATGTTTCTTAATTTCTTCATAAAGAGATGTTCCTTCCACGATTTCCATTACAAAATAGAATGTGTGTTCACCTTCAAAAACTTCATACAGCTTTATAACATTTGGGTGGTCTCTCAAATTGCGCATTATTTTTAATTCATTGTGAAGTGAGAGCTATTTTTAGAAAATTAAAAAGAAATGTTAATTTAATTATTGAGTATTTTTTAAAGCAAACATAGTAAAATGAACTGTATGATATTTTCTTTTTATTAGCTCGTTTAATCATGGAAAGAATATTTAACAAAATTTAAAATTCATTTTTATTTTAGAGATCAATCGATATGTTTTATTTTCTTCTTTTTCTAATTTTTCAAAATTCTTTTAAAACGCATTTAAAAATTATTTTGCTACTCTATTGATTGATCAAATAAAATTCCTAACTAAATTTTTTATTGGCTTTGTGTTTTTATGAGTTGAGTGAACGAACGAACGAACGAAAGGGCATATACTTGTTCTAATTCATAACGCTCATGCACACATTGACTGTAACAAAAAGAAAGATATTATTTAGTTGTGAGCTTTATATTTTTTATGAATCAATTAAAATTTATATAAACTTACTGCACCCTTTTCAAGTCCAATAAGTTTTTATTTCTCAAAGCATTTGACTGCATACTTTTAACCAGTTACTCTATGGCGAATTGAATAAACCTATTTGTTTTTTAAAATTATTTAATATGTTAAATCAAATTCTGCAAAAATAACTAAAGGCTCTATATAAATGGAGCTTCTCCCTTAAATTGCTTGTATGTTAAGCTTGGTTTAATAAATCTATCCAATCATTTTTTTGAAAACTATTAATTGCATATGGTATCAAAATTATGATGTGAAAGAGATTTGAACTGAGGATCAAAAAATAAAATGACAACAAATGAAATTCAATCATAAATAAAATGGTTTGGTTGTGATGCATGTCGAATATTAGCTTTTTTTAGATTTAGTAATCGAAAATTGCATCCAAAATCCTTTGAATTTAGGGAGATAAAAGAAAATTTATTATATATTAAAGAGCTAATTACTCTCGCGTAGTTTCCTTTTCCTACTTAAGCAAGGACCTCGTATTCATCTTGGAATCTGGCTTGGAATAACCTCTAACTGAAAATTTCCTTCAACTTAAGCAAAACTATTTCTTCAGCTTAATATTCGTAGACGTCCTTGCCATCCAAAAGATGGAAACCAGTAAGGCGATATGGTGTTTTAGTCCTATTGTAGTCCCAAACTATTCTATTGTTAGGTTTTAATTCAATTACTTTATCAGGGATCTTTTTATAAGGCTCCTAATATTTTTAAAAAAGTGATACTTCAGCTTGCTGGAGTTGTTCTTAAATGGAATAAAGAGGAAGAGGAGTTGTTGAAATTAAAGTAAATTTACATTGCAAACGAGGAAAAACTCATTGAGCATGTACGCGTACTTAATCTTATTTTAGAGTACCCTTTTTTATTTTATTAGTCTACACTCAAATTAGCATTAAGAATAATCTAAACCACCATTGATCATATACTTGGTGATGTCTATATAGCTGGGAAATATCAATGCGCCATCTATTTCTACACATGTGTACCCTATCTTGTTAGCATTCTTTGTCTACTAATAGGCTAGCTGTTGATTTTGGTTATTTGGCTACATTACTTAAACAGGTTGAGATGATTATCTGCTACTTATATAATTGTATTTTTATAATAATTATTATTATTGTTATTTGTTTTCTTTTTTTTTTATTTATAAAATTGATAGCAATATTGCTTAAAAGAATATTTATTTGTATATATGTATGATTGATTATTTGTTTTTTGTTTATTTGCTTGCTTATTAATTTTTGCTTGCCAGATTGATTATTAACTAATTAATTAATTTTTTTATTTTTTATTAAAAGAGAAATGCATATTTAAAAATTTTTATTTCTTATTGATATATAATTCAGTCAGTCTCAATTAAAAAAACAGATGAAAAGCATTGATTGCTTATGAACAAAAAGGAGGAGCTAACTATCTAATTAATATTTTTTTCTCTCTCCTTTTGATCACTTTCTTCAAATTGATTATTGAAAAAGCATATTTTGTAGGCATTTGGGAAACTATAAGAAACCAAAAATTATTTGATTAAAAGGCAAGTATTATGCAATTTTGAATAAAAAAACTAATTTAATTGATTGATTGACTGCTATCTATTTATATGCTAATCATACATAACAACTAACTTTTTCTTAGACTCTAATGTAAAAAATAAAGAATCACCTATTTGTTTGTTTATTTATTGATCACTTTCCGATTGCTTTAAATCGATTTATTAATTGAAATCAAAAATAAAAAGTGAGTAATAGTAACAAACTAAAAAAGAAAAATTTTGTATTTAATTTATTTCAATTCTAGGTTGGTTGTTAATTTATGGTTTTCTAACATTAATTAACCCATAATGAATTATTCTACTCAATTTTTAACGTATAAACTCAATTATAAGTTAAATAAAAATTAAGAGTAATTTAAAGTAAAATAAAAAGCTTGTACGATTGCTTAAATAAAATTTATTAAAATCAACAAAAAATATCAGCAAAAAGATAAAATTAAGAGTTATAGGTTTTCTTTGTTTAGCAAGGTGAAGAATTAATTACATTTTTATAAATTTCAAATTGATTGCTTATTTGCGTTTTTTGTTATTTTTAGAGTTATTTAATTATTTATTTTCTCAATACTCAAAATAGTCAATATTAACCATCTAATTAAATCATTCAGTAAATTAATGGGATTTTTAAAATTATATTCTTTATTTAAAAATTGTTATTAATTATTATCATATTACATTTTAAGAGTGTTATATTTTCTTTTAAAACATTAAAAGTAACATTAAAACTTAAATGTTTATGTTCAATCTGTTTAAAGCAATTTAATTCATGCTTAATTTTATTCTAAAAAAAAAAATATTGAAAAAGCTTTTATTAATTAGAACGAAAAGATTAACATTTGCTTGTAAGGTAGTTAGATTATTGGAAACAAAATATGTTGTAATAAATAATAAAAAAGTTAAACCTGCCTTTTTGGTTTTATATCTAATTTCTACTTTTATATTTTTTGGGATTTATTTATGAAATGAATAAGTAGAACTAAATATTTTAAAACTCTTTGCCAAAATAATTTATAATTTATTTTATTATTAATTGCTATTTTGCTGAAAAGTTATCCAAAATTGCATGCCTACTTAAATGCTATTAGCATCTAAAAAAACAGGTTTAAAATATTTCAAGTAAATAAAATTGAAAGGATTTTAATGAATCTGTTAATAAAATATATAAATATGCTTTATTCTGTTATTTAATTTAAGTTTTTAAAAAATTTTTAATTTTAAGCTATCAATTTTTATTTCGACTATGATTTAGCGAAATAACTTTAGAACTTTGTTGAGAGTAAAAATAAATGTGAAAATTTTACATGACTTTTTTTGATTATGTTATCTTAAATTAAGCCTACTAAGGATCAGGGAAGGCTTTCATTGGAGTAGTTATCTGCTATTAGTACATTTCAGTTGGAGCTTACTTATAAGGTTGAGTGCTCCCACCTTAATAAGTATTTCTTCTCCATGCTTGTGGTTGCTACTAATTTCCTTATTATTGAGATTAGTAGGACTATTAAGCTGAATTCTACTACAACAATTAAAGTTGATTCTTTGGAGATATTTTGCTAGGAGAGATGTAGCCAGTTATCATACTGTTAGCCATGTTAGGATTAGGGACTTGTCCAACCTAATATTGTTAAGAAGAAGTGACTTGGGTATTTGCCCTTTGATAAGGTTAGGGGTAATAATTGTGAGTAGAATTTCCACGTAGAGATAAATTCTTTTAATTATTAATCTGATTCCCAAAAGGTACTGCTTAATTTTGATAATTTGAGCCTTGAGGCTAGGGAGAGGAGCTTTTTTGTTTCATCTATTTCATAAAAGGTTGCTCTTACTGTTATACATAGGCTCCTTGATCTTAAAGCTAACCTAAAACTGAGTTTTGCTAGTGCTGTAATGATTGAGTGAAAGGTATATTATTCACTTGTTAATGCTAGGCTTAGTGTCTCATGTCCCCAATATAATAGTTCTACTTTTTTTTCTAATCGAAAGATTTTAGAGAGGCTGCTTCCCTTTTTTAAAGTAAATTAGAGTAAAACATTTTCTAATGAATTAATCTATATTGTAAATAAAATTTTTAAAGTTTCTTAAAGCAAAATCAATCCATACCTTAATATAGTGATTATTTAATCTGTTGCTTGCTTGCTAGTTTTTTGTTTGTTAGTTTTGTTTATTCAGTTTCTGAATTCTTTTAATTTGTTATTTATGATTTTTTTTTCATAACAACTTTTTCTCAAACCTAATTCCCCATTTAAAGCTTAATGCAAACTAAACAAAACAAAAAACTAAATTAATGTGAATAGAATAAAATCTAATAAACAACTACATTATTAATTATAACATTGTATTTATATTCAATCCAATTTACTTCTACTAATTTATTTCTATTTTTACTATTTTTTTTTAAAGCAATTCTATTTTGTTATAGGCTTTTTTTTGCATTTTTAAAAAGAAAAAAAGATCGTTAGTCAACTTAACTTCTTCCTCTTCTTATTACACTTTTTACAATTATAAAAGGTTGTGTTATTTTAAAAATTTAACTAATCTTAATCACACTAAATATTATTAACCACCTATATTAACTAGCATGTATTTATTTCTATTAAGAATTTCATCGAAAACTATTTTCCTTTTAATATCTCATAAGCCAAGATTTATATTTATTTTTTGAAAGTATCAACTTTAAAAAAAAAATTACAATTTGCTCAAAAAAATTTATTAAATAAATACTTTTCAATCAAATTTTAATTTGATTTTTTCACTAAATTTTTTATGCACACCTTCATAATTAATTTTTAATCATAATTTAAAAATCTTTTTTGAAAAAAAAATTAATAGTTTCTACTCTCAAAATATTTTTAAAATTAATTAAAGTTTATAATTGTTATGGAGGAATCAAACTAAAGTGCAAGCTAGGAGGGTAACTAAGAAGCATAAAATGAATAAACAAAAGACTGCGAAATTGACATGGATTAATTTACTTTGAGTAAAGTTAATGTCGCACACCTTAAATAAAAAGTGATAATCAGATCCACAATTTATATGTTAGATAACTTATTTGCCCTAACAGATGACTTCGGAAATATAAGCATTTATGATGCAACGAGTTATGAAATTAGTGAATTTTAAAATTAATACATTACTTAAAGAGTTCCAAGCTATTCATTGAGATTTTATCAAAATTATGGATTAAATAAACAAGATAATCAACCAGTTCATGTGATGTGCTAATGTCTATTTAATAATATGATCATATTTTGGAATATAACTCATTATATGAAAACCAAGTAGTTAATTGCTTATAAAATTTTGTTTACGCCATTTAGTTACATTTACGACTCAGTAATACTACCTGATTACAGCCTAATAGCAGTCACACATTAAAACTAAAAAATGTTAGCTTTCTACTATCATAACAATAATCCAGAATGTTAAATAAGAAAAAAAGTAAGCAAAGTAATCCTAAATAAATTGTTCGATTAGTAACTTTTTACTTTATAATATGACAGAAAAAGGAAAATTATTTATGTAGGTCTTATAAATGCTTAGATTTAATTTTATGATATGAGACAAAGAAAAGTAATACAAGTAATCAATCCTCATGTAAACAATAGATATAGTTTTGATTCAATCCTTATCCCAAGATAAAGTTCTATATAATTTATTTCAGAAGAGTTTATCAATACAAAAATGGTAGACTAAGAGTATGATTTTGAATACCTTATTGTTTCTACAGATTCTGGTTTAATGTGTATTAATTTAGATTAATTATCCATTTGTACTCATTTATCTGGACATACAAACCAAACTAGAGGATAGGCTTATCACAAAGAATCTAATTCTATATTATCGATTTCTTGTGATAAAAGAATTGGTATTCATCCTCTAAGTTTGCTATAAAATGATTAATCTAACAGCTCATAGAAAGTAAGAAATATATTTAGAGAGACACAATTAAAAGGACTCTGTAATTCTATTTCGCTTCATAATGAGCATATAATTGTTGTTTCTTGGAATGGTGAAATAGGTCATTACAACTACAAAAATTATTATAAATATCAACAAAGTAAATTGGAGGAAATACAACTTTTAACTCAATAATATTAAAAATTGTAAGAATTAATTAAAGAAAACATTTATTTAAAATCACTACAATAGTAAAATTAATAGCAAAAGAGTTGAAACCAAATATTATTTTAAATTTATATTAGTCGTTTATCCAATTATTAAATATTCTTTAAATTCATTATTCAATGTATTAACAAATTTTTTTTGTTTTTAAATGATAGATTAAAAATATTTCTATATATATGTCTAATTAATTTTGGTAAAAATAATATGTGAGAGAGGAAAATTAATATGAATCACTAAACAAAATTTTTAATTATTTTAAAAAATTAGTAAATGATAAGAGTGTTTTCACTCAAAGCTTAAAAAAACTACTTAGAACAATCTTATTTTTTAATTCAAACAAATCTAAATTTTTATATTAAATAAATAATAAAATTAGCATTACATTTATTAATTAATGTGCTTTTATTCGAATAGACTTAACTTAATATTTTATTTTTTTTCTATTTTTAAAAAATCTTTTAATCTTTATTATCAATTTTCAAAATATGATCTAATTTTAACTCCCAAAACAATTATTTATTTACTTATAATTTAAAATATTGTGATATATTTAAAATCTAAGAATGTAAAAATGTATTATGTATTTAATAAAATTTTAATTATTTATTTTAGTTTACTTTTTACAAATTTTTTTTAGTTTTTAAAACTTGATTTCAATTTAAAATAACTTCTTATGATTATTATAAAATATTATTTATTTATTTAATTATCAGTTTAGAAAAAATTCTAAAACTATTTATTGATTTCAACTAATTTAATACTATTTATATATATAAATGAAGGACTTTAATATTTCATAAAATTAATTAAAATAGATTTTATTAGAAATTCTAATTATTTAACAAATAAGAGTTGTTTAGTTAAATAATTAATAAAATTCAAAGCCATATTACTCATTTTAATTATTCTTTTATTAGTTAATCATTATGCATTAAATTGACTATATTCTGAATACATCAAGATATTATAAATTTTAAAATCATAATGATTTAAAATTAATTAAATAATTTTACATGATATAAAATTGATTTTATTATAACTTTAATATTATTTATTTACATTCATATTATTAACTCATTTAATATTTTATAAATCAAGTTCAGTAGACCAAGTCTGGGTTTTTAGATAATATTTCTTTGACTAATCTTGAATCCTTAGCTTCCATTACTATTGCATCATTTATTATGTACAGGAATGGTTTATTGCTAACTTAAAATCCCTAAAATTATTTATTTCTTTTAATGTGCATTTCTTCGTATATTTTTTCAGATTCATCATATCTTATTGATTAATAAGCAATTGTTATATCACAATGACACTTCCATCTAAACTATTATTCCATACCTAGTATTATTTTTTGATAAAAATAGTTTAATACTTAAAACATATATGATTTGAATAATATTTTTACCATATTCTCTTTTGATGTTCTTTAACCCTTCTTTAATCAAAAAATGCTTAACAAACACTCTTTAAAGATCAACTGCAATTCTATTTAATAATACGATATTTATTTATTTTATTTAGAAGCTAATGAGTAGAGATTATAGAATATTTATTTATTTACGCTTGATCAGTTGCTCTAATTGGCAAAACTTCTAATTTTATATTAGTTGCAATAATAAATTTTCCACAAAGAGCACAAAAGTACTATTATAAATCTAATTTTTCTTATCCTGCTTCATCTGAACTATATATTTTAAACTATTTTTAAGTGATATCACATGTTTATTTTATTTAATATTTTTTTTCTTACATTAATTCTTTGTTCCTTCTTTTTTTCTTCAGTCAGTTTGTTTGCTTGTTATTTTAAAGATGCTAATGTTATGGTTTCATCCTTTCCTATGTTTGTTTTATTTGCGTATCTCTTCAGAATTTCACTTTCATCTTCCATTTTTGATAAACGATATATTGTTACTTATGTTAAAAAGTGTAAATTTGTAAATCTTTTAATTAAGAAATGAATTAAATTTTGAGTGAGTTAGACACTAAAAAATAAAAAACTATCAAAATTGAATAAAATATTTATATAATTATAATAAAAATACATTTATAAAAAATATATACAAAAATACCCTTATGTTATTTATTTATTATAATATAATGTAATTGATTAGATTATTTGTTAGTTAGTTAGTTACTTTTTGTTAAACCTTTATTAGTTATTTGGAAAAATTAATGCAAATAAAGTAATTCAGTAAATAAATAAATATTTAATTGATAATATATATATTATTTTTTTTTAGTAGCATTTCTAATTTTAATTTTGTTAATTTAAAACTTCTTTTAATTTCTTGGTCATTCATTCATTCATGCATTTATAAAATCATTAATCACTCATAATTGTGTTGATAAATTTGTTTGATTCTGCGATTGATATGATACTGATGAATAAAGTTAATTTGATTTCTTTTTAAATAAACTAACTGTATTTTGATTACGGGTTGAAGAAGAGTATTAGGGAAGAACAGGTCCATTGTTATTTTATAAATTAGTAGGTAAAATTAAATTTTATTTCAAAGGGCTTTTGTTCTTGCTTTAATTGCTTTATGTACTACAAGCTGTGACATGTGAACCTAAATAAGTGCTACCAATTTCTCTAGTTAAATTGTTTACTCCATTTATCTATTAGTCTGTATTTACAGAAAGAGATGAAGGAGTTTAAGCCGCTTTTTACCTAAGAGCTGAAGGATTGTTATTTTGCTTGACTTGGATACTGTCATATGCAACAGTTTTATTTATTACTTTTTACTGGGTAACTCCTATTTAAGTTGAAGCTGTAGATATTGCACTACTTTTTAGGTATTCAAGCTTTTAAAGTTGATTAGAATTCTCCTGTTATAGCAATGGCTACTTACTAATAGGATCTATTTAATAACTTTTTAGATTATCTTCGTGTAAAGAGCATGCCACCAATTTTCTATTCTAAACTTAACTATCTTAATTAAAATTCTAACTTTCTTATGTATAACTCATATTTTAATAAGCATTTTTATTGTTTGCTGAGGTATTATAAGCCATTTTTTTGACTTATCTTACTCCATTTTAGTTTTATTGTTGTGGCTTGGTTTCTTTATGCATATGTTGCACCAAGATTTAATTTAGCTATTCAGGTTTTTTGCTAATCTAAATTTATTTTTCTTCACACTCTTCGTTTTTGAAATTTTCCTCATTAATATTTTGTACAGCTTTTTTTATTTTACTACTTATTCTTTGATTGGTTTATTCAGAATTTGATACTTTACTTTCCTCATCACATTTATTATTATAGGAATTCATGGTATTTTCATAGCAGAGAACCTAATTTTTGTTATCTTTTATATTTTATGTGCTTTCCTATTTTTATGGACAGCTAGCTTTCTACTTATTATTTGAGTTGCTATTAATAGAATAATTATCACTTTACTAGTTAGAGGTTGGATTATCTGTTGAATAACTATCTAGTGTCAAAGGTTATGTACTGGTTAGAGATTTACCAATAGAATTAGTTTTATGGAAATATTTCTTTTTTACTTGATCATATTGATTGGTATTAACTGCTTAAACTTAATTTGATTTTAAGCTGATTCTATTTTCTTCTGATTTACTTTTAGAATTTTGTTGAAATTTATCCTCCTTAAAACAATTTTAATTAAAGTTTTATTTAGTTATTTTTTTGCCTGAAAATTCATTTAAATTAAATTCACTATTTGCACTATAATTTTTATGCAAAGAAATTTAAACCTAAGAATTTTTATCGAACTCTTTGCTATTTTAAAACAGAATATTATCATTCAAGAATATACTACCATCATTTTGGTCATCCCCATCAGTTTTTAAATACCTTCTTTCATAGTTTTACAATTGTCCTGCTTCTTTAATAGGCTTTTCTTTACTCAAGTAGCTTTTATTACTTAAAATATGCTTCTGTTGATTTAATTAATTGCTTTGCTATTAGCTTTAAGAAAATCTTGCTTTATTTTCAAAGCTATTTAAGTTTTCTTTTCTCAGCATTGATAACTTTTACTATTCTAATTTAATTGCATTTTTATTCTAAGTCAGTTCATCTTCAAAACAAGGTTATAAAGGTTATATTTAATAAGTATTTTTAGTAGAATTAGGCATATTTCCATGATATTAATTTGAATTTCTGAACTGTTCCTATAACAACTAATTTTTTTAAGAGTTGTATTTGCAGCTTTATATTTTTAGCGTTCTTTTTACTTTTTAGTTATTATATGTTTATGGGAATCTAACATTCGACTTTGTAGAATCTGCTAACATAACTTTATTACTTGAGTTATTACCATCAACTTCATTTGCACAGGAGCTAAAGTTGGCAGTTTTAATTTTCTCTTAGCTTTACTCAGAAACAACTCTATTAAAAAAAAATTAAAATATAAATATAAATAAATATATGTGAATTAAAAATGTGTACCTATTAGTGGCACTGCTTCTTAAAGCATTATCAGATGGTTAGCGCTAGTGAGAATTCTTTGTTGTAGGAGGTTTCATGTGGTAATTATTTATAGTATTGCTTCTGATATGCTTAGAAATTTAAGTATAAGGAGATAAATCTATTTAAGTAAAATTTTATTCTTTGGAGCTGGTTGGTATTAAATCACTAAAGTCATTTGACATTCCATCAAAATTTATTTTTGGTCTTAGCTTACGGATGCTTGCCTAATTTCTTTTGTGAATTTAGTTAAATTAAGACTAAGTTTATATGGCTTCTTATTAAAAGGGTTCATCCTTTAAAGCAGACCCTTTTGTAACTGAAAGCGAAATATTTAAATTCTTATTTTTGGTAGATTTTGATAAGGAATATTCAAGATTGTTGCTATTGCTTACAGATCTATTCTTTTCATCTCCACATGAAATATAATTATTGAGATGACTTGTCGAATTAGGATTTTATAATTGCGAATTATTTCTGTTTACTTAAGATGGAATTTTATTTGAACGAAGAGGAGTAAAGCGTGTATCTTAGGTTTAATAATCTAAACTCATATTTATAATTTTAGAAGTTTAGCTTAAATTTTATATATTATTTTATGCAACTGTATTTTGCTAAGTTTAATTCATTTGTTATGACTAAATAATTTTACTCAATTTATTTTCTGATAAATAATTTTATTGCTTGAAAGCCGCATTATTATTGTTGCCATTATTAAGGTTATTCTAAATACAAAAAGGGTATTTTATTACTTTATTAATTTCTTGAGGTTACTAAGTAGCTGAACATGTATTCATTATATTTTCTTACTTGCTTGACTTACTTGTCAAATTTGCTAATTGAGTGTTTATCTGTATTTCGTTTATATCATAAAGAAAATTTGTGTTGATTCCACCCATTTTAAGTTAGTTGGAAAAATTAGTTTTTTCAAAGTTTTAATTTTAACTTTTTTATTGAAAATTTTATTTATTATATACTGTCTGAGGTAATGCATGATTGGTGTTTGGCATATTTGAAATCTAGTCAAATTAATTATGCAGAGATAAACTCTAAATTAGTTTTTGATTTTAATCTTTCTAGCCTTAGTGAAAAGAAGCAATCTTCAGTTTTCTTACTTTTGCATTAACCTGTTGTTGTTGGGTTGTTGGAACATTGTAATATTGCTTTTGAGGAGATTTATTTTGAATATCTCCTTCTGTATACATCCATCCTATTTTCTACTATTTAGAAGAATCAGCTTTTGCTTTTTGATCAATCATTGATTGTACCCATTCTTCCCTTGTTTAATGCTAAGTGTCTTCATCAATTTCATCTGCTTCTGTAAAAACTCCTTCTACTTAACTAAAAGCCATTTTTGAGTGTTTTATATTTAAATCACTTTTATTGCTATTATTGGTGTTAACTTTATTTTTACTTAAGTTTACTTATTCTCCAATTACAGTTGTAGTACCTGTTGAAGAAGATGCTTACATTTAAGCGGCATCATTTATGAAGTCAATGTTACTTAGATGTTTAGCATTTGAAATTTTTTCAGTTAAAGGCATTCTCTACATTTAATTATCAATTTATTACTTATCAACAAGTTAATTTGAATTTGAAGAAACCATTTCATGAAAGTTTCTCTCTTTAGGAATTTAAGTATTTTTTTTCAATTGAGTTGAGTGTAACACCTGGTTATTTTTAAGTCCCTATTAACATTTACTATTTTGTTGTCTTTACTATTACAATAATCCTATTTCTTCTTTAGATATATTAATATTCTAATTGAAATTATTATTATCACCAGTATTAATTTCTATGTTAATCATATCATTATCATAATAATTGCTTTAAACAATATCAGACTATTTTATTTTATTTGCATCAGTTTAGACATGACTTTTAACTGCTTGTTATTATTTCTAATTCGTTGTAGTAGTCTTTATAAATTAAGTCAGATTCTGCTAATTTGAATTGTTTTGATTGGTGTAGTAACAATGTTTTATTTTATTTTATTATTCTTATTAATTTCCTTAATTTTGAGGTTTTTAAACCTGAATTTAATTTCCTTTGCTCATTTACTATAATGCACTATTTACATTATGATTTGGCTAATTCAATTGTAAATGCTAAATTTACTTTTAACAAATCTTATTTTAAGAATTTAGATCGTAAAATGAAACATCGTTAAGAGAAGAAAAACTGTCATCAGTGTTCTCATTATTTTAAAATTAAAAGTTTTGCTTGTCATCTATGAACACCTTTTTTGCTTCCTAATTTACTATCCCTTCATTTTAGCAATTTTTTTTATTTGTTTCTTTGAATTAAAACTGTTTATTTATTTCTTTGCTATTTTAAGCACTATTAGCTAAAATTTACTATAATTCCCTTGCTTTATTCCTATCACGCTCTGTCACTTTTCTTGGAAAAGTATATGTCTAGTTAATATGAGAATTTCTAAATTTTTCGTCTATTTCTACAACTGTTCTTTGCTTTGAGAGTTCCAGTAGATATTAATCTTAGGGATTGGGTTAATATTCCAATATTAATTACAATAACTACTAACCCAAATCATCTGAAACTATCGAGTAATTTGAGCGAGAGTCGCGGTTGGACAAGCTATTGAGGTCTTTTATCTCACTTAGATTATGATTCATTTGATTTTAATAAAATTTGAGCTAATATGTCCCTGTTTAGGGATTCACACTTTATTAATTGAATTACTAATTAATTGATATGAGTGAAATATTGTTAACACTTTGATTGCAATTAATTTAATATGAATAATATTTTCTTAAAGTTTTACTCTTTATTAATTTTTTTTGATTATAGTACTATAGTTAGATCAAAATACAAATAAACAAGAAAACAAACAAACAAACAAACAAAAAATAATCAGATTATTTCAATGCTGTTAAAAATTTGATAAACTCAAATGAAAGAAAAGTTAATATTTTTTCTTTATTTATATTTCAGAACTTGTGTTATTAAGTTAATATTTAGATAAGGAAGCAATTGATTTAAGGTAGCTATTTATATACGTAATTTAATTATTTGGTTTCACAAAGCACTAAATTTTTTTTTGATTATTCTAAAGGTATATTAATAGTATTTTTTCATAAATTTTACAGCTATCTTTTCTAATTTAAATATTTTTCTTTTTCCACTCTGTTCGAGTAATGATATCTGAACTAGTGAACACTATTAAAACTTGAAGCAAAATCAAATTACACTTTTAATAAAATTTTAATATCTTCCTAAACCGAATTTTGTATTATTTACCAAACAATCTAAAAATAACTTAAAATGTAAAAAAACATTTATTTAAATATTTTTTATTAGTTTTCTGAAATTATTATCTATTTTGGTTTTAATTTCTTGTTAATTTTAGAAATAGTTAAGTTGTTTGTTTACGTCAAATGCGATAAAAAAATATTAATTAATGCTGTTTTACATTAAATTTTTATTTAGAAATAATACAAAAGTAAGCATATCAAAATAAACAAAAATAAGAAAGAACAAATATAATTATTGCAATAATAAATTTTTATTTTGGAAGAGTTAAATTTTAATCTAATCAATAATAAATTAATGGTAAGTTATTTAGTTATTTAGTAAGCAATTTAGCTAGTTATTGATAATAAAATTGAAAAGTAAAAGACATATATTTAAAATTAAACATATATTAATTTTAATAGTTAATTTATTTATTAAATATATATAAAGTTGAGGGATAAAAAAAATTATTATATTATTTATTCAAATTATTATTTGTTTATTTATTTATTTATAATTTTTCCATTCATTTGATCTAATCAAGTCAATTAATCAAATCTTAATAAATTCTATTTATTGTTAATTTTTATTAGTAAATAAATATTTGCCTCATTCATTAGTTCACAATTAAATGAAAAGATTCATTAAAATAATTAAAATTTAGCTTAAGTAGTATAATTTTTAGTAGTTTATAGATGGTATATAGATAAATGTGCTTTCATATAATTTTGAGTCAAATAAATTCATTTTTTCTCTTTTGTTTTTTTGCTGTTGTTCAACCAATATGGAACCCTTGGGAACCTTCAGATATTGCTATTAATAATTTTTCTTTTAGCTTTTCTTTACTTTCGTATTCTGGTAAATCTATTTAATTAAAGCATGTATGAGCAACAGGTAAACTATCTGGCGAAACACCTCTGTCAATCTTGAGAGGATAGTTTTTAAATCCACCATAAGGAACTTTGAAAGACCCTATAAATTAAAATAAAATTAAGCATTACAATAAAAATATATATCAATTATATAATTAATTTACCTGTGAGGAAAAAGAGGAAATTAGCTCTTATTATTTCATTTTCTTCTTATAATACTTCCCAAAACCATTTAATTACTCTATTATTTTCTGTGTAGTACTAATACTATGTATTTTTTTTCATGTCATCAACTTTTTTTAAATAATTTTAATAAATCTTTTAAAACAAAAAAAAAAGATAAAATAATTTTTACTGTCTACAGTTGGCATTCCTGTTAAATGTAATCCCAGTTCCTGTACGTTAAAAAGCTCTAAAGCTTCACGAGGAATTATTTATTCTAATCCTGTTATAAATGCTTTCGCTTATTTTTCTATATTATTAATCATTTTTACTATACAAAATTTCTTAACGTATTATTTCTTATTTTCTTCAGTAACTGCTATATTTTGTCCATCCTTAATAAGATCTATTGTCCTTTAGCAGCCAAGTATATTTTCAACATAACTAAAATCATACATTAAATCATCAACATCATTCTCTAGCATCCACATTAAATTTCTACTTAACTCAGGATCTATATCTTCCAAATCCTTCACATAAAGATTCTTTTCTATTTTTAATTAAGATAAAACATTTTTTTGTATTCAAATTATTTTAATTTTTTAAATTTATTACTTAACATGTGTTTAAGGAAAGATCTACAAAAGTTTATATCGAAATGCCAGTTTTCTACCAAGGACTTTCCTACTAGCCTACCTAAGAAAAGGAAATGATTAAGGTGATCTGGAATGAGCATAGATAATGGAGATGGTTGTATACTTCTTTTATTTGCAGACAGCTAAAAGAGTCCATAATCGGGATTAAAAACCTCTTTACTCAAAAGAGCTAGCCACTCTCTTGTGAGACCTCCGTAATCTATACCATCTTCATCTTTAAATTAGATCTTTATTTGCTTTATAGTGAGCTCTGCAGGAGTATATCTGCTCAAATATTCTAAAGTAGTATGCCAAGTCTTTTCTCTATCGATTATGAATTTGAGATGCTAATTTTAATCTTCTGAAAGATTTAATTGTCTGTCAATAGCATATTGCTTTGCTAGAGATCTCAGGAAGCTCAGCTTTAGCTTTAATGGTAGTTTATCCTTTTTCTCAGCATTTCTGATAAAGTGATGGAAGTTATCAAGCCTATCTGAGTTCAAGTAAATAATTTATTCTAAAGTATTCATTACTTTAGGTAAATACATTAAACTAAATGTTGAATCAATGTCAAACTTAGGCTGATTGGAAGCAGACTTACTTCTAAAGAGTATACCTATTTTTATTAGCAAATATATTAAAAAAATTTTCAAAATTTTAAAATAAAAATACTGGTTGGAAGCTTTGTTGGGTCAGTTTCTTCTTGTGTAAATAGTCTAGATAGTCTTGGACCTTCTAAATCTTCCTCTATTTCTTCAACAAAATCAATTGAATTGTTGTTGTATTAGTAATCGTTTGATGAATTAAGTGAAGATCCATTGTTCTCTTCAAAAGAATCAATTGACATTCTTTTCATTTATCTGGGATTGGGATTTGAGTTGTCTTCTTAATTCTTTTTAGGTGTGTTACTTTAATCAACATTATTTTGTTGGGTTTCTTAGTTGTAAGGGTTGACGAATTGGTGAAGGATGATTATAGATTTCAGAGCATACTTCCAATTGCAGTAAAGCTCTAATGTTTAAGAATTATTAGATTCAAAATCTTGTCCAACAAGTTCCTACAGAGTGAAGATATATTCTACACATTCACGGAATGCAAGATTTAGAGACCTTATGGCATAAACTTTGTTTTTTAAGAAGTTAGTGAATTTTAGCCTTACTTTTTTACTCTCCTCTTCCATATAATTTTTAAGTTCTTTTTGCTTTTAGGCAATTTATTGTTTCATTGATTAAATAAGCTCGTCTTTCTTATGCTTGCTCATTATAAGATCAGTCATACTTTAGTCTTTGCCAGTGTTAATAAAATTATTTGTATTGAGTATGTGAGTAGAGCTACTATGCTACAGATAAATACCGCTGTTTGCATTAAGCAAATCAAATTTACTTTACTATAAATTAGTCTATTTAGCTTAGCTTAGTGTATGAGAGGACGATGAAATATTATGGCTACTATTCTAATGTTGTAAGTTATGAGCTGATTAAATTTATTTATTTTACAATCTTTCTTAAATTCTTGCAAGCTCTAAGTTATGGCGACTTGAAAAATTTAAACAACTTCCTATGTCAAGCATCGAAACTGTTGGAGTATTCGCATTTATAATTTCATGTATTTGCTTATTAAGTTTCTTAATCTCCTTTTCTCTTTGTTTGCGCTCCTTTTGGGTATAAAATTTAATAGCTTCCTCAAGGATATACTGCTCGAAGATGTATTTCATATCTTTTATGAAATGTCTCAAGTTATGGAATATCTCTCTGAAATCTTGGGAACCTGTAAGCTTATAAATAGTGTCCATTTCAAATTTAGAGAGCAAAATATTGAGTTATTCTTAGTCGTTTATTTACTCGAGCAAAGTAACCTTCATATTATAATTGTTCTTCTAAAGGACATGTATTTTAAAATTTTCAGTATTTTATTAAATTTTCTAAATCACTTCAACTAGCTGTTTGCCGTACTATTCAAGTATCCCACAAAGAATAGTAACAAAATTTACTGACCTGAATTTTATTAAACTCTTTACAATACCAAGAAGGTTATTATTTGTTTTAATTCTCTTGTTACATTTGAAAATGATTTCACAAAATGTTTTCATAAAATTATTGTTTATAATCTGTTCACCTAATATGTATTTATCATCATGGGTCACATAACTAGAATAATTTGAATTAGGTTACTCTGTTGCTCTATTTGGTTCAAGTTAACGCATTATACCTTGACTGGAAAAGCCATTCTGAGCAGCTGTACTTGAAATACTTTGATTGAATTGGTAGCTAAAATTTAAATGGCTTGTTGGAGAATTTCCTATAGACTAATTGTTCTAACGATTATTCTTCTAATCCTATTTCATGTAAGGAGATATTGACTCGTACAGGTTTTACACTTTGCTTTTATTTTTTTTATTTTAATTCTTTTTGAGCTGCTTCAGCTGGTTTTTTCTTCTCTGGATTAATTACTGCTGAGATAAAATTTAATCATAATTGAAAAACTCATTTTCTGTTTGCTCATAGTTAAGTGTACCTTCTTTGTTATTATAAAATGAAGGTTGGAACTTTTATTAATCAAATTAATGATGCTTAATATGCACATCATGAGATAACTTTCTATTTCTAAGCTTTCCAAGTGTGTCTTCTCCTCCTTGCTCTTCCTAATCTTAATTATAATTGGAGTATTTCTGTGACTTATTCCAATCATTTTAAGATACATCAATAGGCATAGAAGCAGATGAAGCGAATTCTGATTTTCCCAAAATGTAATCTACAATGAGTAGCCCATCATCACTTTAACCTTTAGAAAGTATCTATTCTCCAATTAACTTTATGCCTAGCTCAAATACTGATGAGTTTTCTAAGTAACTGCTATAAACAGTGCTAACACTTCCTTTGCTTATTTCCTATCTCATTTTTGTAATAAATTCAAGAGGAACTAAAAATTTAGAATAGTTTGATTATTATTATTACAATGTTGAAGCTAAAGAGTTTTAAATTAATATATCATTTTTTATTGAGTTGTTAGATGAATTTAACTTTTATTTTTAAAATCCTTTGTTAATAAATTCTTGTGTTTTATTGATATGAATTAAATTTCCTGTTGGTGATGATAATTTTAGTGGTTTATTGCTATTTATTACCCCCTGAATATAGAGAGGTGCACAAACATTTGCACCCAATAGCCTCCTAATCAAAGAACATATCCTTGATTAAATTTCGCTTCTTGGAATGATTAGACTAGAGGCTTAGTCTAAATCCTTATAAAATGGAAGAAATTTTATCACAGTTTAGAATCTTTATTCTGAAAGTGAAAGATAAAATGTCAATGCATCTGCTATTTTATAACCATTTATGGGACTGAGAGATAATAACTTCAACATTTTAAAAATGCTATCTGTAAATCCTGCAAAATTATCGCTGCTCTGCATTCTAATAGGAGCAAATATAGCATTGTGAATAATTCCTATAAGAACTTCATCATCAATAACATCTAAATTCATGTAAAATTCGGCACTATTAATACTATACTCACCAATCTTTTTATCAACCTGCTTCTCACATTTTGCTAAATCATCTTTATAAGACACTTCATTGTAAGTTTATTCCTTTTTAACAGAATATTTTTAGGCTTCATCTTCTTTTCTTCCTCTTCCACTGATGTCACTGCTGCTATAGCTATTATTAAGTGTTGATTAATTTGCAATTGAAGTGTATCCTTAAGATATTATTTACGAGTCCTTTTCATCTTATTCTGAGTTTCCTTCTAAGACTTGATCTGCTTCAACTGTGTTTCCATTTAATTTTTTAATTTAATAACAAAAATAAGAACAGCAAATAGATATACTAAATAAAAAATTATAAAAATAGTTTATATATTACTTGATAAATTTGATTCATTGTTGTCATCGGATTCCTCATCTGAGTCTGCATAGACTAAGTCATCTAGCGAAGGTAAATAAACGAGATCATACATCCTTCTATTGTTATTTCTAAATAGATCATTTTAGCTACTGCTGTTGTAAACTTTTAGTGTGTCTTTGTTAGAAATTTAATTATACTACCTTCTTAAATTGAGAGCTCTCTAGCGCATTTCCTTAGGCAATTTTTCAACTAAATTATTGTCAGCCATTTTAAGAATACCTTCTTATGTTTGAGCATCTAAATTTTTAAGGAAAGATACTATCTTTTTGATATCTTGCTTTCTATAATTGATCCTTGATTGAAAATCACTACTTTAAATAAGGCTTTTTAAAGCCATAGATTCTCTTTGAAGCATTAACTTTAACTTTTGATGAGTTTACTGTTCAGGTGAAAGATTTTATTTTTTAGGAGACTTTCCATCATCTACGGCGCTAAGACTTTAGTTTCCGCTGCTATTTTAGAAATTACTTCTATCTATGTTATTACTTGGGCTGATGCATATCTGATTAAGATTTGTTTAGTCTCTCTTAATCAAATTTAGTACTTCAATTTTAACATCATCAGGTAAAGAAAAGAAATAAGTTGGATCTATATCAAACTCCTCTAAGCAATTAGGAGTTAATCCATACTACTCAAAATTAAAATTCTAAGAAAAATATTTAAAAAATGTAAGAATCAATTAACACTTAAAAATAAATTAATAATTTTTTATTTAAAATTTAAATTATTTTTTTAAATTTAAATTAATTTTAATTTAAAAAAAATAACAGAATACATTATTCATTTTAAACTATACTTAAGTTTGCTTCTGAAATTCAAATTAAAATAAATATAAATAATTTAGTAAAATTTTTTGTTAAATTCAATTTAATAAATATTACATTTCTCTATTAAGCACGCGTTATAAGCTCTGCTTATTCTCTTTCTTTCATAGCTTAGTACCTTTCTTGAGCTTAGACTAGCATTTCAACTTTTTCTTCATCAGTTGCTAGTCTAAATAGCTGCTTATCGATTCCGTACTAATTTAAGGCATTTTTAGGAAAATCAAGGAGAGTCCAATCAAATTCTTACAATATCTCTTAGCTTTCCTTTTATTAGTTAATTAATTAATTAAATAAATAAATAAAATAGTTATTTTAAATAAAATTATACTTAGTCAAAAGCGAGGTCCTAGTCTACTGCAATACCAACATTTTGCTAATCTTCTTCAATCTCATCCTAAAAAAGAAAATTAATAAATATTTAGCTTATAAAATTTATTTATTTACTATAAAATCTTCTCTAAGTTCATCTTCAATTCTTATTTCATCAGATCTTCCTCTTTTATTCAGAGACTCATAAAATAGAGAGTCAAAGTTCTCTCTAAACTCACCTAGTTAATGGATATCCCTAATATCTTAAGTATTGTAATCATTTTTTTCTTCTTCTTCATCTTACTGAATGCCATCTGCATTATGCTCTGATGAATTAAAAACATATCTATCATCACACTCACTAAAATAAATATTACGACTATTCAAATCAGTAATTCTTACTTATTAATAATTTTCATTTCCACCTGTATTTTCACTTCTTAGCTACACTTGATTGAGATCATCTTCTGAAGCCCTTATCTCTCTTTAATTTAAATTTTCTTGTATGGCAATATTATCTCTATGTAAAAGATTTCTTTAATTTTAAATGCTGGTTAATTGATCTTCATCTTCCTCATTTTTCCTTCCATTTATATTAGAATTATATATATTTAAATCATAATCTGAATCGTCCTCCCTTCTTGGTTATCTGTTTGAAGGCTCATTTTTCCTTTCTTCAATTTACTCAAAATTTAGAGTTTCATTATTTAAACCATACTAATCATTGTAAATAGAATTAGGATAATTAAACTCTGATCCTCTATCATTAGAAAATATTGTCAGATTATTATTATTGGTGTTGTTGTTACTGTTTATGTTTTCTATTATTTATTAATTTTATTCCTAATCATTTACAGAAGTATTTTATTAATCTAATTATCTGATTGTTATTGTTCTTATTTAAAGAATATCATTATTTATATTTCTCAAATTCAAGGTGTTGTTTTGACTCTTTTCTACACTTCCACTTTAGCATAAATTTTTTTGATTTCCTTGGATAGTTTTAACTAACTAGTTTCCCTCATCAAGATTAAACTACTTCACAGATCTTCCTTGAGGAAATGGGCTATTTATACTACTAACGGCACTGGTATTAGGACTCGACTTTTAGAATAAAGAGTTATCTTGATGTTAAGAGTTGTTTTAGGTCAACTCTGCTTATCTTATTTCTTAGATTTTTTCTTCAGCAAATTCAAGCAAAATAGTTTGATAAATATTTTATGGCTTAAGATTATTATTCTTTTTGGGCCATTTATCTATATCTTCAGAATCATAGATGTAAAGGCTGTAGAATAAATCAGAATCTTCATCTTCTGACATATAATTTAGCGACCACTCTAAGTACTCTGAATAGAATTAGTTAGATAGCTCTCCCTAAAGATGATTTTGTTAAACTTGGTTCTTAATGTACTCTAAAGTATTGATTTTAGATGTGCTGTTGTAGACGCAAGTGGACCAAGATCCTCTTGAGACATAAAATTTAGAAAAGCTTTCTTTTGAATTTTTTCTAAGATAAGTATCCACTTTTATATGATTACTCTCTTTATGATAATAATTATCAGGATTCTAACTGTATTTTCTAAATTAGTCCTATTGCTGCTTACATTCTTCTGAAAAGCTTTTTAGGAGCATATCTTTAGGTAGAGTAATATTTCTAGTAGCTGAAGATTGATTTTCATTAGCTTTATTTGTCTATTCATCAAGAGTTGTTTTATTTTCCTCTACTGATGAAAAAACAGGAATTTGTTTTAGCATCTTAATTTCGTTAACATTTTTAACTACTTATTCGATATTTTTTTCAGTCATAAGAGACACTAAATTTTTATTGCTCATCTATTTAAGATTTCTCAGATTGTGTATACCTTTAGCATAAAACTTATCAGAAAAGAGACTGAACTAAATTTGAATAATTTCCTTTTAGACTTATTTATAGATGCTATAAAAATCTATAGCAGTTAAGATATTCATCTACTTGACAGATTGAGAGCATTTTTCAATTATTTTTGATAAATTTTAATAGCATCTTTTAAGATTGATTTCTTTAATTTGCAAATAATAAATTGGCAAATTAATTATTTATTAATTTTTTAAATACTGCTCTTCGTCTATTGAAATATTAAGCTAACTTGAATATCCTCCACTTAAGTATAATTAATAGTAACTAACTAACAGATCCTTTAGCTCTATTACATCTTAATCTGAAGTAAGAATTTCTCTAGCGCTTAATATTTCTTCAAGCTTTAGCTCATGAAGATTTATGAGATAATTTTTAAATTCATAATTAGAACCAACGACAATTCTCCTTATTTTTCCATTTTCGTCTTTTGTCTAAAAAGGACAATCTAATAAAATAAAATTGGAATGAATTTTAATATAAAATTATTTAAAAATATTTACCTATTTCTTTATAGCAATAATTTATTGAATTAGAAACAAATTTAAAGAACTATCTGGAGACATTAAAAGTGTAAGGAGAAACTAAAAATAAATAGTCAATGAAAGCAATTTTATTTCCTTTATTCTTTATATGCTAATGAATAGCCTCGTAGAGTCTTGGAATATGTATTGTTTAAAGCAGTAGAGTACAAGCATTAAGCTCTTTAGCTATTACATAAGGTATCGCTAGAGGATACTTTCCACATAATTAAATAATTATTTTTAATGAAACTTCATGAGAAAATGTAGAATGATAAACTCTATCTTTCTGTTAATAAACTTATCCAAGCATCAATTGAAGAGAAGTTGCAAAACTTTCTATTAAGAAATTTAAGAGTTCTTAGCAGAGAGTAGGAATTTTAGACTATAAAACATCATTATCGAAGTACACAATTTTACTCTTTAACTTAAAAGTTTGGCTATTTTGCAGTAACTTATTGATTTATTGCTGTTATAAATCAAGTTTAGAAATTCCTTCCTTTTCTATATCAAAATATTCGTTTAAAATTTCTAAAAATAATTCTGGCTGAGCTGCAAATACTGAACCAGAGAAGTTCTTTAGTTTGATGTACTCATATGAATCAGCTATTTTACACTAGAATCTGTCATAGAAAATATCGAGCATATGTAGCTTCAGGCATTCCTTTTTGAATTAAAGGGTGCTGCTGTAAACAAATACAGAATCGCATAGCTGTCTCAATATTTTGAATAAAGAATTATTCCATCCTGAAAAGTTACTTTATTTAATTGGTGTTTTTTGTAAAAGTGGAAGAGTTTCTTTTAATAGTCTTTTGATCTTTTACTCGTTAGGGTCTTGATAAATACACATTGTCATTGTACCAAGAAATTTTCGAAGAGGTGCACTCCTTATACCAAGTATTGTGTGGTTTGAATATTTTTCTATTTATGTAATTTCCATATTTAAGTAATTTTTTACTATGTCTGCTGAGAGGTCAAACAATTCTTACCAGTTTTCCTTCTTAAATATCTCTTTATATCTATATTCCGTCAATTCTAACTAAGCAGCTTTTTACATATTTTGATTTCTTTCTAATTTTACAAGAATGTCTGCTGAGTAGTTAAGTAGATTCTCTGTAATTACCATTGAGTATCTTATAGGATCAAAGTCAAGTGTGTTTGATTCGTCAGTACCAATTTTTCTAAACTTCGTTTCCTCCATAACTTTTGAAATGTATTATAAAAAGTATTTGCAGCTTATCCATGACTACCCAAATACATATTTCATTCCTTAGTCTAAACTAGGATCCATTTCAGGAGATTCTTAAATGAGACGACATAGTAAGTTCATTATCATAGCCAGTGTGCATGCGTTAATTATAGGATCTAAAGAATTTGGCTTATATAGAAGTAACTTATTTTCAATATCCGACTTCAAATAAATAGAGTTATATTTCTCAAGTAGATTCTCTCTCAAAACATAACCACCATGTGATATTGAATTCCATTAGGGTATAAAATCTTATAGATGCAGCTCCATTTATTTCAAGAAGAAAATAGAAATTATTTTTTTTTACTGTAAAATTTCTTCTTAGTTTTTGATCTTTAAATTGATGTAACTATAAATGACTTTATTAATATGAGAACTCCTTGTTCTTACCTATAATTAATTAAATGAAAATGATAGGTTTAAAGTGTAACAAGCAAATAATTAAATAATGGGTAATTAATTAGCTTACTTAATTAACATATGTTGAGTGCAAATAAAGGTTCAATATCCTAAGAGCTAGATCCTCTAAATACATTACTAATTATTATTTTTCTCTATCTGTAAGAGTTCTATCTTTGTGGTATTCTTTAGTCATCTCATAAAAAGATTCAGCCAATTTTTCAGGAATCTACTCATTGTATTTTGCATAAATAGGCATGCTAGAAAAAATATGTTTCATATAAGTGGTAAACTCAGTAGAAATTTTAAAATAACTGTCCGAGTTTTCAATTTCTTCTTTGTAGTGCTCTAAGATCTCATTAGAAATTAAATATCTTTTTGAAAAAACTCTAGGCTAAATAACTAAATCTCTCATGATAAAAGAGTAGAAGTTATCATGATGCTTTAAAAATGAGAAGAAAATGTCTCTCAACATATTTTTTTCAATGAATCCAAGCTTTTTTTTGATAATTAAATATTAAAAAGAGGAGATTGTAAAAAAAATTTACTTAATAATTTTGGTAATCAATTGTGATATTCTACTCTTTTAGGGTTCTTAAAACACTAGATAAAATCAGTGAGCATGAAGCATATAATTCTGAGCACATGATTGGGATAAATAAGCTATTATGGCTGTTTGGAATACCTTCTGTATTTTATCTTATCTATTTAATAAATATTTATATTTTTTTTATAAACTAATTAAGATAAATCAAATTACACTCTCTATGTAAAAGAAATATTTTATTATATTTGTGAGTTAACTCTGATTCATCCTTTGACTTAATATAAAATTAATATAATTATTAAAAGCAATTCCTTTTAAAAGAACAATTTTACCTAAGTATGACTATATTTCTGCAATTGTATTTTATAATTTAATAGCTGATTTCTCTAATCATTCTTGAATATCTCTAACTAAATTTTCTATCAGTTTGATATGGAGATGGAATCAGAGAAAGATCTACTCTTTTTAGCTTTGTAGCAAGCATTGTTACCTTGAAAATCATTTTAGGCAATCTGATATTTCTAAATATAAATTTGTCAAATGAATTAGTCCATTTTGCATCTGAAATAAAAGTTCCCTTTTCTAGTTTGTGGAATTTGATTTAGAGATATTGCTAGTATTATGCGTATTATTCAGAAAAAGCTTTAGCTTTGTCTACTTTATATTGAAGATAAGAGCACATTTCATCTAAGAAAGTCACTGAAAGTATTTCTTAAGATTCAATAGCTTTTTAGCAAATAAAGGCATAATTATCATAAAATTCATTTGAATTGATGTAGTGGCCTACTGAGTAAAGATTTAATATAGCCTTTTTAAATAGAAACAGAACAAGTTCACATTGTCTAATTTGTTTAAGCATCTCATAATGTTCTCCTGTGAAGTAAGCGTTTTACAATAGCTTTAAGAATCCCTACCTTTAATCTTTCCAAAATCTCATCATCATAAATGGCTTTTTAGGGTAAATTCCTGGATTTTATTTGTTTTTTGAGTTTTGTGATGAATTTCTCATTTGTATTGAAAGTCTTTTTAGTAATAGAGGAAGATTGTCTAGGTAATCTTTGCATACTTCTGTCATTACCATTAAAACTGGCTGAGCATCTGAATCAGAAAATCGTCTTAGTCTCCCAAATAATTCTGTAGCTTGGAAACGCAACTAAGCTTGATTGCTGTTACTTTCTTTTTCTGCCTTTTTTTATATTTAAGGAGCCAGTGGTGAGCAGCAATTTAAGCAGTATAAAAATATTTCTTCGAATTCCGTCTAGCTTATGCTCCTGTTTAAGGTTGTGCAAATGCAATTTATATAATACAAGCTATTAGAGCATAGTACTTTATATTTGAATTCTAATAAAGTAAACATACTGTGATAAGCAAGTGAAAATGATTGCTTATCATCTAAATCTTCATCTTCTATGGTAATGTTATATTTTCTTTTACTTTTTATGGCTTTTAATTTCTTTTTTAATGCTAAATTGTTTTTATCTAAAAAACGGATTATGAAATCGTCCTCTTATTTAATCATATCCATGAGTTAAATCATTTGTATTTTTAGTTGCTTCTATATTTCAGGATATGTAAACTAAATAACTTCAGTATGTTCTTAAATTCCTGAGCGCTAACCCCAGATCAATGTATTCTTTACACAGAGCTCGGAATAGACTTAGCACACTTTTGTGTTATGAATGATTTACTCATTTCTTTTGTATATATCTATCAACTCTTCGAGGAATCTTTTAATTAATCTGAATCCCTTTAAAAAGACTATCTAATTCCTATCTGAAAGTAGCTTAAAAATTTCTGCCAAGATTTCCCAGATTTCCTCAGGTTTAGGATCAACTTAGTATAGCAAGTATCTTGTTGTAAATTAAATCTCTGCTTCTAAAATGTGGTAGAGTATCTAGTTTAAAATTAAATGCCCGAATCTTTTTTTAAAAAATAATAAAATATTAATATCAGTTCAATTCAAAAGAGTTTGCTTACTGATTGCTTTGAAGAATTTGAGCTTTGATATCTATAAAAAGTTATCTATTTATCAAATTTTATATGTAAACAGTAGAGTTTGTTATTTTTTCTTTGAAGATATAAGAAATCAAGTTTAAAAATATTTTTTCAATAGCTTGTTCTCCTAATTCCTAAATTAAAAATTGGGATTAGCTAAGCATAAGGCCAAGAAATTGTTGAAATATTTTAAAAGCTAGATCAGGTTCTATAGAAATCAACTCACACAATAAGAGAGAATTCCATATGTATTTCTTTGGATATTGAATAAATTCCTGCATTTTAACTTTCAAAAATGTTTTACTTGCCACTGATAACTTTTCAAATATTTTTTTAAAAATATCTTGTACTAAGCTGACTTTTTCTTATATTAAAGTGTTATTAGAATCTTCTAGATGCTGCCTCATATCGATCCCAAAATATTCCACTTCGTTGTAAAACGAATCGAATACTTTAAATAGCATTAAGTAATCAGAATAGTTGATAGACCTTTCATCTTCAAATGTTTTTTATAGTACATTTTCAAAAAACTAGACCCATAACTCGCATATATTTTACTCATATGTGATCTTAAAGGAGTTGACAAACTTACTTTCAATTTTATACATGCACATATGTGCAATAAGTGGACCGCAGTTTGATAAACTCCTAAGCATTAAGTTGACATGCTGACTTTCATTATTACTGAATTCTTCTTTTTATTTGTTGTTTAAATTATTTTTAGATTCTTCTATACTGGTAATATTTTATATAATTTTTGTAAGACAATATTTTTGCAAAAGTAATTAATCGTAGTAAGCATCTAGGGGTTAGATTGGCTTTTAATTTATGAATTAAGAATAATTATGTAAAGGTTTTTTAGCTCCAATAAGATTTAAATGAAGGAAAACAAGTTGCTGAACAGCAATCAAATGAGCATCTTTAGAATGGTGATATGCTTTTAATATTTTAATCTCTAAAAGAAGCTTTATAAAACTTTGGGAGTAAAATTTTCTTTTTTAATTTTTATAATCTTCTTCATTCAAATACTTTTTGAGTAAATTATCAACAACATTGATGCATTTCTCTTATTTTGAACTGAATATTTAATCAATATTTTGCTCTCTTACTTATAAAGTTATATTTTTGGTATTTTGGTTATTGCTATATTATTTAGATGCACTCAGATCTTCTTCATAGCTTTGGTTTCCTGAATTAATATCAACCTAGTTACTAGGAACGCTAATTTCAAATTCTAAATCAATATTTAATTCTTTAAATGAACATTTTTATTTTGAGCAACTTTGATCATTTTGAGCTAACTATTTCATATTTTTAATTTCATCTAATGTTTCTAACAAATCTCCTATCTACATCCTATTTGTATTATTTTGATATGCTAAATATGCACAGAAAAGAGAAGCTAGCAATTCTTAATCTTCTGGTGGCATTTCATACAGAGTTGCACCTTAATGCTTATAATAAATTAAATAAAATAAAGAAGTATAGAGGAGAAGCTCGTTGTTATCAGAGTACAAGAAAATCTAAGAAAAATTATTAAATCCTTAGACAAACATATTATAATTAATTCTCAAATCAAACGCTATATCTGGGAGTTTTATTAATATTTTTAAATAATCAATAATATCCCTTTCAACGTCTTCTAAGTTTTCCTATTAGCTTATTCCTACACCTTTTTCTATTAAAATTTATACAAAAAAAGAATTAATCCTAAATTCTTAAAATGAAAGTCTGCTTGTAGAATTATTTTATTGTAAAAATGTAAAAAATTAAATCAAATAAAGTAATTAATAAATATTTAATATTTTAAGAGAGCTTTTATTATAAATTTTACTTTAAAAACTTACTTTTCCTAATAGAAAAAAATAATTTTTTATAATTCAGTTTTATCTATGAAATATTAATTTCTATGCAGATAAATTTTTTAATCTAAAAAGAATAGAATATATCTTTATATAATTTAAAATATGATAAATGAAGTTGCTAATATATTATACCTGAATTATCTTTAAATGTATCTTTTAACTTGCTAATACTTGACCTCATTCCTTAGTCGATAAGGGCTAAAAGAAAATTTAGTTCTACTATCTTTTCTTAAGCATAAAACGTAATCCTCTTATTTTTAAAAACCTTTTATGCTATATCAAGTATATACTAATTTTTTTCATGTAATGTTTGAAATGAACCTCTCTCTGCCTTTAACAACTCCTCACTAGGCTTTGATATCTTTTTTATGTAAAATTATATTCAAAAATTGTAAAATCAAAGTTTTTCCACTTATGTAAAAAACTACTAAAATTAATATTATTGATAAATAATGCTAAAATTCAATCTAATGCTGTAAAAACTGCTTCGAATCGATTAAATAAAAAGTAAATGGCTAGATCTTTATCAAATTTAATAATTTAAGTGTTACTGGCACAAAAGGATAACCTTTTGGATCGACTAAGAGATAAATTTCCTATAAACCTATAAACATTTATTTGCTCTTAATCAAAAATTTTGATTAATATATTTATTTATTTGCTTCTTCTATTCTACTTTATCAAATAATTTTCCTTATTAACTTTATTATTTTTCAATATTTTTTATTTATTTTTTGATTCCGCAATTATCTGAATTAATTATGGTTAATTTAGCGAATGAAAATATTTATTCATCTTTTAACCACTTGATTTAGAGAGTCTCTCTTCAATACTACATCTAATAATTTTACTAAGTAAGCCCCTTTCGTTTATCTTAACTTAGTTTTCTATTACCTTATAATATATATTTATTTATTAATTAGTTCATTCATTTAGTTAGTTTTTTTTTATTTATTTTAATAGACAAGCAATTATTTTTATTTTTCAGCGAAATTAAAATAAATTCAATCAACCAATCACTCAAATAAATAAATAATAAGCGTTATTTTATGAATAATAAAACCAACACATGAAATATCTAACTAACATTTTAAAAATATTTATTTAGTAATCTAATATATTATCTTATAATGGTTTTCTTATTTTCTTATCTTTATTTTTAAAATTTTTAATAAATAAAATAATAGCAAATAAATAAATCAATAAAATACAATTTAATAAATCAAAAAATTTTTATAATAAAAATAATAAAACTATTAACTAATACTTTATAATAATAATTAAATATATATTAAATAAATAAATTAGTTTGATATTACAATATTTAAATGACTAAATTAAATATAATAAAATTATTTATGATAAATAAAACTAAATTATCCTATACATTAAGTTATTCTTTTTTCATTTTAAGACTTAATTTAAATAATCAAATGCAATAATAAAATAAGCTTTAATTTCTATTAAAATAATTTATAATCAATTAATTTTTTTCATAGAGATGATCTATGTGTTTGATTTTATTTCCATTCAATTTTATAAAATGGATTATTATTCTTGATTTAATTGATAACACTCTCTATTACAAATATGGAAAAAACATTTAAAAAATCTTGAAAAAATATTTTAAAATGATAAAATTTTTAGTGAAATTTTGGTATTCTATTATTTTTATTAAATGTTTAAATATTTAATTTAAATAAAAATCCATAAAAATCAATAAAAAATTATTTTGTATTTGTATTTATTTAAATTAAATATTAAATTACTTTTTAAAAAAATATTATTAACTGATGATTTCTATTTAAATGTACTCATTACTGTTATTTTAAATAAATGAACTGATTTTATTAATAGTTCAAAATTTTATATTTTAAATTAATTGAAAAATATTTTTAATGAATGAGCTAATTATTTGATTTATCAAAATTTTCCATAAAAAACTACAATGTTAAGATTTTTGAAACTCTTATAACATTCTAAATTATTAATCAAGATAATTGATATTTTAAGAAAAAAGTAGATTTACATTCTACTACAATTAGTCATCTATATCATAATAAGATGGTAATAAAATAAAATTTAACTGTTTTATTAAAAATTCAAATCAGTTAAAAATACAATAAAAGTAAAAGTGATTCAGCAATTAACCATTTGCAAATTATTAATTTAAAGGCATTAATTTATCAAAATAATTTCAAAAATGAGTTGAAATTAAATACAGATTTTTATTACTTAAACTACTCATAAAAGATAATTATAGATTTGAAGTAATTTACTGCAAGTACATTCTACAATTTTTTATCTCCAAAAATTAGATTAATAGGTTTATAATTGAAAAGTTTTACATTATAATGTTAGAAAGGAAATAAATTGTTATCAGAATTCAATATATTAAATATATAAAATAAAAAAATAAGTAATTAAGTAAGATCACAAAAATTTTCTTCTAGTTGAAATATTAATTAATTAAACATAAATTTTTTAAAAAGATTTACTGAATCTAAATTAACTAAATTGATTTTATTCTCTATAAAATATGAAACTAAGAAATCTACTTGTTAAAATATGATGTTTAAAAGAATTTATCTAAATGCTTATTATCAATCACATCTTAAATATTTAATTCAAGAACCTATTTTTTTCTAAAACTTATTTATATCAATCTATATGATGTTTAAATAATATTAAATTAATCTAAAATATACATCATTTACTCTATTTTTTTAATAGAATAAATTATTACAAAATTTAAATTAAAATAGAATAATTTGAGTCAATATATTTTTTTCAAAGGGTTAACAAATCAACTCAACTTTAATTTAACATAATTTAAATATATCAAATTTCTGATATGATATTCATTTTTTAACGTTTTTATTTCAATATTAAAAAATATTAAGTCATTATAAAGCTATCATCATTCATCTACGTAAGTGTCAAAATTAATTCAATTTTCTACTTAAAAATTCACTAGACAAATGATACATGAATCAAAAATTGAGGATTGATATGATGTACTTATAATTAAATTTTTTTTTTGTGTTTTTTGAAATAAGATAAAATTATCAATATTGGAATTAAACATAATTTAATAATTTACTTTCTAATTTTATTTAAAATAGCATCGTTCTAAGTTATATGGCTAAATACCATACTTATTATATAACTTCTATAGCTTGTATTAAGTTAAAACAATTAAAATTGATTAATTTAGCTTTATTTATATTTATTATCTAGTTAAAAAACTATAAATGAAAACTTTCTGTTCAGAATATCAAAGGTATTTACCAAAATAGTAGACAAATATGTGATAGAATGCGTTTACAAGCTATAAAATATACTATTTTATAGTTGAATAATATTTAGTTAGGATGTAATAAGTATTTTATTTAATGTCTCATTGTTTTTAAAAAAAAAAGTATTACTTTATCCTTTACTTACTAAATAAAAATGCTTATTCTAAGTTTGTCATATGTAACACGGCAGTTTCTAAATTTTTCTAAAATAGAAAATTCTTCTATGCAAATTTGTAAAAAAGATATAAAAGGAATTGGTTATCAAAAACATTGCCAAATTGTATTTTATATTTGTAATTTTTTTTTTTAAGCTTTAAGAAAAATTGAACTAGTTAACTGGGATATTTTTATTTTCTTATTTTATTAATATTTGTTTTTTATCTAAGCAGGTGGAGGAAAATGCAAATGTGATTAGTTAATTGAAACATTATCAAGAGATGGATTAATAGGATATAATAAAAAAATGAGTAATTATTCCATTTTATAAATTTTAACTAAGTAACTCATATTCAATTTGCATATTGAGTAATAATACTTAGTTAATGAGGGAAAAGTAAAAAATTAATTAAATAATCAAGTGAAATATATCTTAAAACAAAAACAAAAAAAGAAAATTAAATAATTAAAAGTTTTTTACAAAAACAATTAATATCTGTAAAAAAATAAGATAAAACAAGATATCAGCTTTTACACAAGCCAATCAATTTTTAACTAAAATTTCTTTAAAATAAAATAGAATAATCCTATTTTACTTTAAAAATAACCCGAATTTTAAAGGTTTGAATACAATCATCATTTGATACCTACTAAGGTGGGATTATTTTTTGTACCTAAAAATGGCATAAATGGCAATGGATAACAGCTTTGTTGAGATAATTTAAAACTAACTTGTATCTTTGGTTTAAAAAAAATAACAAAAATTTCAATGGTTTTAATTCAGATAAGATGCTCCTTCTTACGTGAAAATAAATGTTGCTGAAGATGGTAAGATGTTTACGAGAGAAGATAAGGAGGATAAAGGTCTTCTTTGGTATAAAAATCTTAATTTTCCTCCAATAAATATCTCTATCAAAAGTACTAGGCCTATATAAAATACAGAGAGCCTAAAGTGTTAGATTACAGCTGTAAAATTAAGAAGTAATGAAAAACCAGAACAATCATCACTAATTGGAGATTTAGAACAATAATTCAATCAAAATACTGCGTGCTTTTAAAAACTGAAATTCACTTAAACATCTCATAAATGTGGCGTAAAAAATAAATAAATATATATAAATAAATAATTACAGTTAACCTTTTAAATTGTTTGGAGTTAATTAGTATGTTAATATATCATATAACTTTTTCAGCAAGCTATTAATTGATTATAGTTATCAAAAAAAAAGAGAAAGAGTTAATCAATGAAAGAAAGAAATAGCTCTGATTAATTTTGGAATAGATAAATTAATTAATTTATCTTTATTTACTATGAATATCTATTCATAAAAAAAAAAAATAGTAAATTTAATTAGGAAAAGCTAGCTTTTCTTTTTCTCTTAGATTTAGGTTCCAAGATAATTATTTAATTAATTAATTGTTACCTATTTTAAAATTGCAAATGACTTTCTCATAATATTATTTACTGTGTGCAAATCAAATGAAATTAATTAAAAGTCAAGCGTATTAACATTTTTAACTAATGATGCTAATTGATTTTGATTCGGATATATTTTTTTTAAAAATTCAGTAAATATGAACATGGTTTATAATAATCCAAATTAATATAATTATCAGAGCGAAACAAAATAGAGGATGAACAATTTAATCTACATATTAAAAATATTTGATAATAAATCAATTGCTATTGGATAAAAAATACAAAATGTTAGAGTTTGCTTGTTCTTTATAAAAAAATAAAATATACGCATTCAATAAAGTTGTGTTAAAACTTTCCAATTAAACTTTTATTGTATTCACTCCGAAATACAAGAATAAGCAACTAAAGAAAATTCAAAATTTTTATTTTACATTGAACCGAATAATAATAATCTCTGATGTTTTTATTAATATATATAGATGTGCCTCTTTTCTCTCGTCATAACTATATTTAACGACAGTGAAGATGCTTCACAAGGAGAAGCAGGTTTATGGTCAATTTTTTATTCATCACCCTTTGAAATAGAGGCAAGATAGAGAACTCTCCCTGAGAGAGTTGCAGTTTAAGTAAGCATTTCTACAAAATGATATGTTGTTTAAATATTAATAAATTTTTTAATTATTAAAGAAAACTACATATTGGTCTCTATTCAATCCCTTCTTACCTGTTTTCCTAGATAAATAATATGAAGCTAAGAATAGAGATGGATAAAACCAAACTATTGGATGCGATATAGACGGAATGTTCATGTACTTAAGATCTCCTATAATTCGTCATAAAGTAATAAATGAAGTTTCTTAATATAATTAACTCGAAAGCATATAAATATATAAATTATTTAAATTTAATCATGAAAAGAGTTTAAAAACTTTTTTATGTAATAGGTCTTTCATCCTATATTCTTGCTTTTGAAATTTAGAGATTCAGTTAGGCTATTTTACAATAAGAATTTAATTAAAATCTAAGAGGTATGCATTTCATTTAAAGTTAATTTCATGCTTACAAATTACAATTTTTGTTTTAGATTGGCATAGTATTTATCTTTAATTCTATTTGTTATCATTTTAGGGAGAAAATTTATTTTCAAAGTTACAAAGATAAATATTTGAAATGTTATGGCAACATGACAAACCAGTTTTTTTGGATGAAAACAAACTATTTTTACTGACTCTTAAAAGAAAAGACAACGAAAGTCCTTTAACTCAAAACGAAAAATAAGTAAAATACAATTTCTATAAATCAAATGAATTACTTTACTAAAATATTTCTTTTAATTGAAATTTAGATTATAAAATACTTGAAAAGTTTAAATGGGCCAATAGTAACTTTTATGGCTCCTCAATCGGAATCTTTCCCCAAAAATTTCACAGAAATCAAATACAGTGTAAATTTTATATTATTTTTATTACTTACATTATATTAGTTAATCATTCCTTTCTAAAAATAGGATGGTCTTATATAAAAGTATAGAGAAGGATTTTTATCAATGGCTTTAATTGATTTCAAGCGCTCTAAAATGAGCGAAGCTGATAAAAATTTGATGCTAGAATTTTAAGCTACTTCTTATTAAAGTAGTGACTTGCAATCTGAAAACTCAGCTTAAAAAACAAATCAACAATCCTTCGCACAAACAATAATTTCTATAAATAACAAACACATCTATAACAGGAAAGAAAGAACTGAGTTCTAGTGCATTACCCATAAGAATTCAAGCTCAAGCTAGCCTCAAAATTTTTAGAATATTTATTAAAGTATATACTTTTAATATTAAATTATATTTTTATGATATTTTTATATTAACAAAGATGAATAAAAAATTAATGAAATTAATGGCAAAAGAACTTTTGCTGAATTTGAATAAGAAACTAAAAGAGACGATTTAAATATATCAGAAGTTAGAGATCAATTGAAAAAATTAATCAGGAAAAGTGATGATCAGCCTAAATAAATTTCTTAACCTGACTTTTCCTCTTAAAATTTATAAAAGTAAAAAGAAAGTGAGGACTAAAACAAAGCCAGCTAAGATAATCTATAATTGACTTAATTAATAGACGGAAATAAAAACTTTTAATATAATGAAACAAATAATAAATTTAACAAACAATATGAATAGTAATCCTAATAGTTTCAGAAATAAAGTAGCTCATAGTCAATTTAGAATGCTGTCACCTAAAAAGTTAGATTCCAAGGTGACCTTCCTGGGTTTTCAGAAGGTGATATGAACAAGTCATCATCTCCTGTAGTTTAGTCTATTAATTAAGAATAAATGCTCTAAACATAGACAACTATGCCTTAATCAGGAAGCTCCTAAAATACATAATAAAATGTTTAAATATTCCAAGATACTTCAATTTCTGATAGAAACCCATCGATGATTTATATGCAACCAAATACATAAAATGTTGGATAAGTAGTATCTTAATAATAGTAATGTCCTCCGATGGTTATATAAATGGGAGTTATGCCTCCTCAAATGTAGCCAATGTACGTACCTCAACAAAAATAACCAAACTAATATTTTTAGATGCCTATGTATATTTACCCATAGACTTCTGCATAAATGCAACCATTTTTCTATATGTAGGGGTAAAATTAAATATAATAATCATCTGTAAATAACTACTACCAAGACCTAATACAAAAGTAGTAGTAAATAATACTGGAATAGCAAAAGAAGCTAGAGGAAAAATAAAAGCAAATAAGTTGATTTTATTCAGCAATAAATGTGTTAATAAATAATTAATATATAATTAAGATCTTGAATAAAAGTGAATTTTTCTGCTGAGTGATTAATTTCCTTGCATTTATTTTTTACTCCCTAAAATAGTAACAATAACATTATTTAATCAATCAAAAGATATTTATGAATTTAATACTTTCTTTAATAAAATGAGTATAAGTAAATCAATCAATAATTATTTATCTATCTATCTAACCATCTAATCATAAATTCATCTATCTATCTATCAACCTACCTTCACTCTTAATACAATAAAAATGAATAAAAATAAGCAATTAATAAATAAATAAATCAATGAATCTAGCAATAAAAAATATACTATTCTTTCTAACTCTATTTCAAAAATTATATATAAAAACAAATATATATAAAGTATAATCTATTTATTTTATTTATAATTAATTATTTTATTTAAAGTTTACTAAAATTTGTTAAATGTATCTCTTCCTTCCTGAAGTGTAGGAGTTTTATTCAACAAAATATGTAAAATATGTAAATTGTAAATGTTAATAAATTTTGATACTTATTCAAATAAAAATTAACTATATAATAATCTTATTATTTTATTTCTTTAAATTACATATATATTTTATTTTATTTAGTTTTACGAAGCTTTATAAACAATTTATCTCTATTGCTTTAGTTGATCTAAAAAAAGTTCATTTACTATTTTTCTTAGAATTTTGATGCTAATCTTATTATTTTCTGATAATTGATTAAATATTTTCTTTGTAAAGTATTCTTAAGCAGCAAGTTAAAAAATACATTTTATCTTATTAACACCTTCATTAAGTACAAAAATAATCATAATACTAAATTTTTATAATAAAAGAAAATTTCAAAAATTTTAAATTGTTATTCCCTTACTCAATTTGAATTAATTTATTAAAAAGTATTTGAATATATGGTTTCTAAATTAATAAATTTGATTCGTTTAACCCAAAAACCCTAAATAGTTTTAAGAAACTTTGTAACTTTAACATCAAATGGGTACCAAAGCTATATGCTGAAAAAATTTGTCGAACTAATTTCGTGATATTAATGGTACATATTGATTATTATTAAGAAAATATCTATACATTATAATAAGAGCAAAAAAGGAGTATATTCTTAAGTAAATACAAAAAAGTAAAAATTTGAAGATTACTTGGCTTGTTTTTTATAAAAAATAAATTTTTTGGGAAATATAATGAAGAATTGTGTGATAATTATTTAAAATATGATATTAAATTAAAAAAATCAATACTTACATTGACAAAACCATTCATTTACTTTTTAAGGATAATTAAGAAAATAACTTTATCCCACTAATTAAAGGTTAAAAAATAATAATAAGTTTAATGAAATGTTCAAATTCTTTTGAAAATAAAAGAAAAAAATATTGATATTTTTGAAAGTTGTATTTAAAAAAATACTTTAATTTATTACTCTAGAATAATATTTTCTTTGTACTTTAAGTTAGAATTAAGATTTGACTAGTTTTTATATATAATATTTACTCAATATAGTAAAAAAATTTAATCCCATAAATAAAATTTATTTTTTATGATATTCACCTTTATAAAAAGTAGATACATATCTAAAAAGACCAATAATTTTATTTAGAATAGTTATTAATTGAATTGAATTAATTTTATCAAATATTTGATGGATATCTAATTAATATTACATAAATTTATCAATCTAACATAATTTTAAAAAAAAATGTTATGATTGAATTTAGTGAAAAAAATTAAATATTTAAAAATTTATCAACAAAAGCTTTTTAGTTTTAAAAAAAATCATAATTTATAGTATGAATGAATACATGATGAAAATACAAAATAGAATTTAATCTAAAAAATCTTATTATTTCTTTAACAGAAACATTGAATATTCTCTCAAATTTATAATATAAATCATAACATATTTTTATTTTAAAATAAAAATTAATTTTAACTTTATTTTAAAATATTTTTAAACTAATATCATTAATTTAATATCTCATGCATGATTTATTTGTAAGTATATACTTGTTAGAACGAAGAGAATGAATGTTTTTAACTAAAATCAAAACACTAAACAAAAATTAATAAAACAAAAGATGATGTAGATATAATTTTAATAATTTTTTAAATCCAATATTTTTGTTATTTTTATTAAAATCTTACTTGTTGTTTGCAGCTAATATTCTTAATTGAATTAATATTATTATTATAATTAACATCAAAAAAGATAGATCATTTATTTAATTTATAATTTTTATAATAAAGAAAATCAAAGGCAATGAATGTCTTCAATAAAATAAAAGAAAAAGCGAAAAACTTGTATTCATTTTTTCTCATTTTATATAGACGATAATATTGAGATATTTATAGCTAACTTATAAAATAATAATAGGATTAACATTTCTAAATATGTAGGAGAAAGTAAGTAACAGGATTAAATTCACCCATCAGAATAGTTTTTGATAGAAACAATATCAACTGACGATACTATAGTTCCAGTCGCATAGCTTGATAAAATAGCATAGGAAACATTTGATATGTAATTTCCTATTAAATTTATAAGCAACATAACTTAAAAAATGTTAAAGAATTCTCACTTAAAAATTTTTTCAATACATAGTGAGAAATATGAAGTCATTATTCGCTCGTTAACTCGTATACTTGAAAAAGAGTTGAATAGCAACAAAATCATCAAAGTATATTTAATTAAATTACAGGCTAGCTAGATATCTTATTGAAGCTTCTTTTTTTTTATAAAAATTAGCTCCTTATTATTAGCGATTATTTATTGAAAAATGGATGTTCAGGATGTATTGATGATCTTCGTGATCACTTGTATATTTTCAAATATTTTTAAAAATACGAAGAATAAAAAGCAACAGAAATGCAAGCAATAAGTAAATTTTGATAGTTGATACTTGTTTATCAAATAATTTGGATACTTAATTTTCAATAGTTTAAAAGAAAGCACTCCACCTTTGCAAACTTCTAGAAGATAAATAGCTTTTGCAAAAAGAAAAAATTATATCATGCTAAATCAAAAGATAATTAGAAGGTAAAAATCAATTTTGAAATTTTAAACCAATTAAAAATACTCTTCTTTTTATATTAAAAAAGCAAACAAATCATAAATTTATGGCTTAGGCAACATAGAAGGTTTAGATGCTACTGAATAATCTAAATTTAGTAGATTAAAAAGTTTAAAATATTTTGTTTAGCTCAACGATTTAGTAGAGAATTACTTTTATAAATATCTTGACAATATGAACGATAAACTAGATGATATGACTGAGACAATTGGTGTTAAAGTTGATTAATATATTGGATATATCCAAAAAAAAATATAAAGTCATTCAACTGATAAATCTCAAAGTAAAATATTATATTAAACAATATAAAAGATAACAATAACTTTATAAAGATTCTTAATTTGTTGATTCTTGCATGGATTATGACATAGATGGTGCAAATGGTGCTCAAAAAAATTAGTTTGAACCTGCTATAGGTACAGATATATTGGAGTTTGAAGATAACCCAGATGAAGAGACTTTTGCAACATAAAATAAAAAGGAAGAATAAAAATAGTAGTAGTAATAATAAAAGTAAGAGATTAAAGAAGAAAAATAGCATCAAAAGTAAACAGAATATGAAAACGAAGAATTATAAATGATAGACTTATTAGAATTAGAAGATAACACTGATTCTAAATTTGGTACAAGCAATTAATATAGTAATTCATTATTAAATATAAATTATTTTTTCATTTTAAATACAATTTTTTTAATTTTTAGGTAAAAATAAAGATTATTTGCTATGAAAGACTGCAAGTTAGCAAGCGTTATCTAAAAAATAAAACTATTAAAACCTAAATTATTATTGAATAATACATTTTTTATATCATTAAATGTATTTTTATTAGAAGTTATTTACATTTTTTATCTTTGATTCAAAATATATTATTTATCCGTTCGCATTTTACACTTAACAAAATTTCCGTTTTGGTCAATTTTTAACTTAATTTAATACTCTCAATAATAAATTAATGCAATTGAATTTTGAGAGAAAATATAAAAGATATCTCAACTAGATAAATTTAAAATAAAACTATATTTATTACTCGTTTAACTTTATTATTGCAAAATTTACATTTTCAAACAAAGGTTTTAGTAGAATATAAATTAATTAATTAACATTCATTGATTAATTAATTAATTAATTAATTTATTATTAGCAGGTTTACATTGTTTTTTTGCAATTATCTTTTAATCGTTTTTTAATTATGAAAATACTTCTTTTTAATTAATTTATAAAAACCAATTATGCTGATTGATAAATATTTCTTTGTTTCTTAATTAATTAATTTTTGTTTTTTAGAGATAATCAGAACTTGTAGAGCTAATTCAAATCATAAAATACAATTGATCTACCATTTTCATAGAGTTATTTATAAAAAGATTTTTTAAAATACTAAATATAGTTATTCTCATAATGAATATCAAATTACATACTGTCATTAATTTGATTTTGTTCGTGCAAGTCTGCATTTGTCTTCCAGGTATTAAAAATACTTTTTCTGATTGTTTTAAATTAATAATATTTTTTTAGGTGATATGATAATAAATGGAAGTGTAGTATCATAAAAATAATTTCAAGCTTAGAAGATTGTTACAAACTAATTGTTTGCTTAGTCAATAATATAAGATAGTTATCTGTGCACTGCTTAAAATATATTTTCAGAATAAATAGTGACTAATGAGATTTCTCTTTCAAGAATATTAGTTACCAATCCAAATGTATTTTATTCAGATTTAGCTAAGAATAAGAAAATGACATAATATTTTTTGGTAAATTTTAGGGTATTTTAGAGTTAAATGGCGACATTACTATTTAATCTCTTGAAGTAGAGGAAACATTAGAGATGACCAGTTTTTTGCAAAGTAATAAATTTACTTTTATTAGAAAAAGAAAAGATAATTATTGATTTATAATTTATATAAGGCAATTAGTGGTAGCTTGCATATCATGATCACTTTGAAGATAAAGTAAATTTTAAAAAATAGCATCACATCACATTACATTATTTATTCTTTTTTTTACAAATTTAGAAAAGCTTGATAGGCTGGAATATTAATTAAATTTAATTATGTGCTAAGAAAACTGGTGGACATGAAAATAATCAAGATGATGAAGATCAGGATTATTTCTTAGGAGGTCATTGTGTTGGGCCTTCTGATTTGAAATTATAAAAATTGTACACAAATCTACCTAAGCATAAGAACATTAAGATATAAGCAAGAGTACACTTTTTTGACAAATGGGAAGGAGAAAGTTTATCACTTTTTGTTGATGATAAAATGGGTAAGAATTTATTTTGGAAAATGTTAAACTCATTTGAAATTTAATTAAAAGCTTGGACTAAAGTTATTGATGGAGATAATGCACACTTTGATATATGTGGAGATTCTTCAGCAGATCCTCACTTTGGATTGTAATTTACAAATTATATTTTTTTAATTAATATTTATTTTATTAACTCTCTATTAGACCTGTAGAAATAACAATTCCACATAGTGAAAGCTAAGTGAATATTAAATTTGAATCTAATTTAGCTAAAGATAGATGTTTAGCAAGTTTTGCTATTGATGATGTTGAAATATTTGTTAGATGAGTTAATTAATTAATTGTTTATAAAAAATTGATTTATTTTAGATTTTTATTTTTTAAAGTAAAATATCTATTTTAACTAAACCAATAATTTCTCCATAATTGAATAAAAATTATATAAATTGTAATAACTACTCAAAAAAATATTCATTTAAAAAATTAAAAAAAATAGTTAAATCATTTTAATTCTTCAATTTTATGTCTATAAATTTAATATATTAAGAAATTTAATAAATTGAAATGATAAATTTAAATTTATTGTGTGAAGATAATATGCAAGTAAATCATTTTAAATTTTGCAAAATAAAACATAATTAAATTTAATTACAAAAAAATTATCAGACTAACATCATAAAAATAATTAATGAAATACTAGTTAGAGATAAGATCATACTGTTAGCTTAGTTTCCTTTGAATATAAATTATTTATATCCAATAGGAGCGTATTAAGAATCTGCACACGAATCATATGAAGCTACTGTCCAGTAAATAGCATACTCATAATTTAATGTTAGATTAATTGTAAAGTTATAATATTAGTTAGCTGTCAAAACAAAAGTATTATGATAAAGATTCATGACTGTATTATCACCAAATAAGCCTTGTCTCAGCTTTAGAGGAGTTGGCTATAAAGCTATTCGAGTTAATTACTAAGAAGATGTATCGGATGAACTTACTTTTTGCTATGACTAGAACTTATGAGCTCCAATAATTAAAAAACCTGGAACATTTTTATTTTAAAGTTATAGAGTGATATTTTAATTAGTATATGTTATATTCAGCAAATCGATTTATGGCTTAAGATTTGTTGAAGCCTGAGGAGTAATGGGAGTAATAATGTAAATATTTGTAAAATATTAAACTATATCAAGATCATAAGAGTAGTTCAAAGCTAAAACAAAGAAGCAAGGTGTAGATGCTAAAAGGGCTTAGAGCTTTTTCGATACATCTATTATTATACCTGTAGATTACTCACCTGACCAAGCATAAAAAGTGTATACAACTGCGTTAGTAGACTTAGTTTTTTAAACACAAGTGCTTGGATCAAAGTTTAAATCTTATTTAGAAGCTGGATTAACTATTGTATAATTCTAAGTCTAATTACATACTGCACATGTAGAAGTTGATAGGCTGTACACATTTAGGGAAAGTGCCTATTAAAGTTAGCATTATAAATTATTTATTTGATCATTTGATAATTATGTGTTAAATGTCAAATCAATCTAGACATGATTGTAAGAATTAACAGGATTACCAGTAGAATCCAATCTCCATGAAGTTGTCCAAGTAGCATTTTAAGCTGTACTGGCAACTCCTAAGTTACTATAACAATAAGATGTGAAAGAGTAAATACTTCGTTATGGTAAATCATTAAGAGTTAATGTGAATTAGCTGCCTGAAACTACAGGCATAACTCCATAATTTCTAGCAAGAAGTTAATTTGAGAATGATAAAGGTGTCCCAACCCAATAAAACTGCTTATATCTCATATCATTTAGTACATTTTTCAGAGAAACTGTTGTGGAGGGATTATAATACAATGTTTATTGCATTATCTAATTTAAAGTGACTCCAACTGTAAATAAAGCACTATTTAAATAACTTTCATTAATTCCTACAACCCAATAAAGATATCCACTTTAGTTACATTAACCAGTAATTTTAATTTAGGATTAATCTGTAGAAAGAGCTTGTGAAAAACCAGTAATAGCGGTATTTTAAAACGCAGGTGGTGCTGTGACTGTTATCGTCAGCGTGTTTTGAGATAATATAAAATGATGATAATTTACTCCTGAAAAGGTGAATGTAACTGTATAAGTGTTATAAGGAGGCTGTAAACTTTTATTTGACTTTTATAAAAAGAAATGTTATTTAGTTTTTAATGATAAATTAATCCAAATTTACAGAGAAATAAAAAACTGCCTATGTTTGATAAAGATATCCAACTACTTAATTAGCTTGGCTGTAGAAAGTTATATCTGATGACGGCACACTAGTTATTTTTGCATTTACTGTCATTGGTTTTGAAGGAAGACATTAAGAAAAATCCAAGATGATTGGACCTGAAATAGAACCAACAGGAATCGAAAGAGTTGTTGAACTTAAAGATATTTGGCAGTAGTATTCTTATACGTTAACAACTAAATTAGGAAGGTAGGATATTTCTGGATCTTCGAAAGGTTCAAAAAGTCCTACTTTTTTTATTTGTAAAGTATAAGTGTTTAAAGGAGTAGTCTCTGATGCAGCTAAAGCAATTTAAATTCCATTATCTCCAGTATTTATTTTCACAGAACTACTTGAAAGAGATTGTTTTCCCATGTAGATGTCAAATAATCCAAATACCTAATGATAAGAAATTACGTTAATATGAAATAGATAAAAGATTATTTACAGTCGAGTTGACATAGTAAAACGAATAATCGATATCGAACTAAGTGTTTTACTGTAAGAATGATAAATAAATTATATTATTAGTAATAACACCTCTATAGATAGTGATTGATAACTACTTTTCTCTACCAGATAATTAGTTATAAACTGTTTAAATTGCATTAACAGATGGGTTGATTAGATTTGAGAAATAAGAATAAAACATAATTTATTTAGAAGTTGCGCTTGGAGTAGAAAAACTTATTGGTGTAGATGTTTGAGTTAAAGAAGGAGCTATAGCGTATAAAATAGTGTTCATAGTTGAATCTGTTATGAAGAAGTTTAAGAATATCGGATTAATGGCAGTATTGCTATAGTCAGGCGATGGTAAATAAAATACTTATATCCAGTACGAAGCTGCTTGATTATTATTGAAAGAATCTCCAGTAAGGTTCATTCTTATTAAACTATTTCCAAATATACGCTCACAAGTAGAAGTAATATTTATTCTTAGTGGGTCACCACTTCTAAAAAAGTTACATTAAAAATCTACCTCCTATTAATCTAATTACTATTATAAAATAAAAATCCATCAATTAAATTGTTTATATATAAATCTATTTATTTTGTGTTTTACTGAGTTGAAAAATGCTGGATTTAATCTAATTATTGCAATTCTATTACTCGTGATTGTACTAGCACTGCATGTAAAATTCAAACCTAATAATAAAAATATTTATTAAAACATTAATTTTTTGAGTTTAGAATGAAATATTAGAAAAAATAATTTATGCTGTAAAATCTCATTATAAATATTTATTCCATATTTAAATAAAAATAAATATTTCCAAAATTAATTTTTATTTATTTTTACAGATTTTGGCAAATTATTTTTGCTAATATTAATAAGCCTTAATTTTTAATTTAATTCATTAATTTTTTGAGTTTAAAATTTAAAAAAATTTATGCCACGTTTAAATAAAAATTAATATTTATTTATTTATTCCTGATTTTGATAAAATTATTTTTAATAAAATTAAAAAGACGGACTTAGTTTTTTATTTAATTTATTAATTTTTAAAAATTTATTAATAAAATTATTTGTTTTTAAATAAAAATATAATTAAAAACTAATGAAAATTATTTTGATTTATAAAATTTGAAAACAACTAAGAATTGAAATAATTTTTACTTAACAAAACTCTTGGCTATCTAATTTTAAGGGTACTATAAGAAAAAGAAGGATAGGACAAATAACTTATTTTAGCTTGTTAAACTTAATTGTCTTATAAATCTCCTTATTCATTAATACCATTAGCTAAGTTGTCATCAGCATCAATTCCAAACCAAATATATCCATAAGAGTCTAATTGTTGTGGCTGCTAAACTCCTGCTATAACTAAGGTATATATTTATAGTGGTGGTAGAGAAGTTTGAGTTCCGTAAAGTGGATATACCACCAATCTACGAACATTAGTTTAATCTAATATGCAAGCTACTTTGTATCCATTTAATTGACATTGTGGTGAACTTCCTTTTGAATTTAAGTTTTATTTATAACCAACTGAAAATTCTATATAAATTCTAGAGTTTTTAACAATTTTAACATTCTATGGAACAAATTATATAGTATAAACAGCTTCAAAACCTTTTTAAATTTAAAAATACATTTACTTTTATAAATAATACTATAACTTATTTACCTGGTGCACTGAATATCTTACTAATAAGCTTAAGCTAGGAGCTTGTCATTTGCTTTGCTCTAAAGAAAGTGAAGGAATAATAGTTGATATTTGGAAATGATGACTAAATGACTGTGTTTTAGCTTTAAGTTGTATCTATCCATTAAACACTCAAGTTAGACTTAATTTTTAAATTCAAAATTAAATAAAGTTTAATTATTAAAACAAATATAAAAAATACATTGTTATCGCCTGTAGGTGTTTTAAATCCAAAGCACTTCATCAAAAATGGAGATGTAGGAGGAGTGTAGTATCCTCTAAAAACGATATCCATTGTGTTTTATACTAAATTATATGAAATCTAAGAAAATTTATCTGATGGTTAATAACCTGTTACTTGGCCACTATCTACTCCTTCAGGGAAGTAATTATGATAAGTTTTTTGTTCAAATATTTAGCAATCTAAATTTGAAATCATTTTTGGAGTTGATAAGAATCCAAGATAAAATCTGATTGTCGTATTTGGAATTGAGGATATTCCTGAATACGCGAAATTCCATTAACACATTGTATTTGATAAAATGGTGGGAGTCGTGCATTAGAAGTTAGATATTGTAATAGAAGCCGAACTAGTTCCAGGTGAAGAAGGAGCTGCAGCCGCAGGTAAAGATGTTTAGGTTCCTGAGTTGCAAAGATCTTATATATAAGAATTCAATGCTAATTGAACAGTAAATTTCTATAGATTAGATGTTGTTCCTAAGAAGCTAATAACGAAATTGATAGAAAATTATTATGAAGGGTTAAAAGAAATAGGTATGCCATCATCGTTAATTTTGGTTATAGTGAATTGAATTACAGTTGATGTCTTAATTTTAGCTGCACAATTAGTATATTATGGAGAAATATTACTGCTAGGATTACTCACAGTTTAAACAAAGCATTATTAAAAAAATATCATCCCAGAAGGTAAACCATCAAATGTTAATATGATATTGTAGAAGTCAGTAATTAGATTAAGGGTTGCTTATACACTTGGTGTAATATTCATTGAAATTTATTAACGGTCTGTTTGTTTCTAGTATTAAGGAGACCATGCTGTTGACAAGCAGCCAGAAACATACCCTGTAGCTGGCACTTTTTAAGTTTCTTACATCATGGCTATTATTTAGCCATTATTATTACTCCATGAATAAGCAAATTTATTCTAAAGAGGATAACCTACTCCCCATTAATTTGGAAAATTAAAACTCTAAAATGTAACACCTAAACCTGTCGCTCCATCAGTGTATGATGAAGAATCAAAAGGGCAGAATGTGATATAATTATAATATGGAATATCCATCAAGTAAGTTTTATATCTAAATTTCTGAATACATTTAGAGACAGATGAAGACCCAGGAAAAGCAGTAATCTGAGAGGTTCCTATTAAATCGTTTTAGAAAGAGCAAATAGTAAATCCTGAACCGTATAATAAGCTTGCTTAATTATTTCTATTCACTAAATTACCACTGTCTGTGTGCTGAGATAGGATCAAAAAGCTGGTTGCTGTTTTAGAAGGACCTATAGAACTCAGGCTACTAATTTGATATAAGCTACTCACTTAAAAAAAGAAGTTAGAATATGAATTTAATAAAAAAATTACTTTAGCCTGAGTTTTCAGAGTAGTTGGATGTCTAATCCCAGCTATTAGCTGATGTTATAGTTCCAACTACTTAATTGTAGAATCTTTAATTTGTTAAGAAGTTACTTAAACCTAAAGAGGCACCAAATAACCTAAAAGTATTTACAACTTCAATCAATCCATTAGGTTGGAATTAAAAAACGGCTTTTATTTAATTATTAGTTATTTAGAATGTTTTTTTTTAAATAAAAAATGAAATATTTTAATTCAAATTTAATATTAAAAATGGTAAATAGTTAAGATTATAATTAAGTAAGTAAGTAAAAAACCATTAATTTAATTATTAATTTGTAGATTTGATTGCTTAATTGATTAATTTACCAATATTAATAGTCTTAGGTTACTTTTGTGATTTTAAAGCTAACGCTATGGCTTGTGAAAGATTGATTGTAACACTTGATAGATCAAGCACGACAAAAGGATTTAATGACCAGTTATCTGGGGGACTTGAAATTTTTTAAGATCCTCCATCCTCATAAGAATAGCAAAATTGAGTTGTACCTCCACAACCTTCATTTGGACTTTAACCTGGAGTTACATAAAATTAATTTACTGTAAAAAATTTCTATACAGCTCTATCAGGTATAATTGCAATTTTTAATCCTGTTACTGTGGCAACACCTATCTGAGTAGTTGTAAGCTATCCATATAACCTTAATAAGGTAGGAATCTTATAACCCTTATTATAATCTGCACCTTTAGAATATACATTACTAAACGAAGCTTCGTATGGATTAGATGAGTCTACATATGAAGAGGATATTGTATATCCATGGAAAAGCATCTAAGAATTAGATAGTAAATTAGTTTATGTACTTGATTATTAATACATGAATGTTAAAAGAAAATCTAAGACTCTGTCATCAGCTAGAAATTATGAAGTTCTAAATGTAGAAGGAAACTAAACATTTTGCAAACTAAATCCTTAATTATTTGCTGCAAAAATTGGTCTTTAAGAATTTATTTGTAGCTAGGCGTAACTAAAAAGTTTATTATTTTATGAATCTTATTATTATGTGATCATATTTGCTGGATTTAACTGTGTTGCAGCTGTGTTATAAGCTGTAAAGTAAGCTATTATTTTATGTAGTAAAAATAAAAATTGTAGAGTGCTTTAATAAAAAACAAGTTACATGTTTAAGTGCTCTGTACTTCTATTCCTTTTAACTAGTCAGCTGCTGAGATTTGAATAACATTATCATTATAAATTAGCTTCATTGTACTTTGCTACCTGTAACCAAGAAAGTCCTAAAATGTTTACTGCATTTAAGTAACTCCAATCTTTAAAAAATATTTTTCTATTTAAATTGAATATTTATTTAAAAATTACATAAAAGAGTAATCTTTGGTTGCTTGAAGAGGGGAATATACCAATATTAGCTCCATTAGTTATACTAGCTGCAAAAGCTTAACTTAATGTTAGAGCACTTGATGATGATACCACAATATTATCTCCAAAATTAACAAGACTATGAGTACCAGTACTATCAATAAATTCAACATTCTTATACACATTTATTGAATTTACAGGGTAAGTTATCTAAGACACAGGACCAAAATATGCGTTTCCGTTAGAATCTTTTAATGCAGATAGAATTTAGACTCCTCCAAAATTTTATATGGCCAAGTTATTATTTGAATCGGTAATCAAGGTAGGATTATTTGTTAAAGCGATCCTGCATCCGACAAAATAATTTGTATTAGATAATAGCTAGCCAACTTAAACACACGAAACCATCTTAAGTTAATAATTAAATTAACACTTTATTGGAGTATTTGGATTAATTTAAGGTAGATTGTGATAAATTGAGCTTTCTAGTATTGATTCAGCAGAATTATAAGTTAGTTATATAACAAGTCCACCGTTTGGATTAGATATTGCTGAAGTAACCTAAAAGACAACTCGAACGGAATTGAAAGGCTGGAATCTAGGAGAAGAAGTGCTGGGTATATAAATACCTAAAGGAACTTAATAATTTTATAAAAAGCTAGTTGTGTATGGTATTCCGTGCATAAGCTTCAATTATAAATTTGATAACTAGATATACGAAATAGAGAAGAAGGAACTATTTGAGCCAGTTTCAACAACTTGTTAAGTTGGTGGATAAATTACACTAAGATTAAACCCTTAATTATTTTAAACTTGCTTCATTGAATTTTGAACAGTAACTTAAACTTATATTGGCTATGTATTGGCTACTAATAAATCCTATGAACAGCTAATCAGTAATATAGCTGGGTTACTTTAATAGCTAGAGCACGAGCATATACCAGTGGGTCTATTTAATATTGTGCATGAGCTTGGATTCATAAATGAAAAAGAAATATCAGTCATAGCTACTTAATACTAGACACCCGATGGATTTGACTGATCGTATGAACTAACATTCTAAGTAGTTGCTAAAACTAGTGTGATTTAATAACTTTGTCCAGGGACATTGATCAAATTCTTATTAAAAATAATTAATTAGTTTTTAATAATAAAACAATTAAAGATATTTTCTACATATTTTATTTTTTAAAATTAAACATTTTTTATTGTAAATATAACTATAAAATCTTATCAGCAAAACTTGTTAATTTATTTTGAAAAGAAAATTAAATTATAAATAAATACATTTTATCCAGGAAGAGCAGTGGCTTATATGGTAGCAGTTGAAGGTGGTGTAGAACTTAATGCAAAAAAACCAAACAAAAAATTTGAGTCAATGACTACTGCACTAGAAACAGTTGATGTAACTGTTGCTACCTAAATCAAGTTTTAAAATCCTACTGTCTATGGATTATCTAAATTTACAACTCCAGTTAATGTAACAGAATACCAAGTAAAGGGTAAAATGTCAGAAGGAAACGAAAAATGATAGATACTATCTTATACTGTGACAGTATTAGTGGACATAGCTGGATTTGCTTTTAAAGCATCTTGAATTACTATTTTTACATCATTAACTCCATTTAGATAGTCAATCTAATAAGGCATGCTTATCCTTAAGTAATTTCCTGCTGTTAGGATGGTTTCAAACATAATATTAAATGAGTATTGAGTTGCTTGAAAAGCGACAGGATACATGACTTAAATATCTGTTCCATAAATCTATCCACTCAGTATTTGTTATAAAAGTTAGCTTATAATGAAGACTATTGTAAAGCAATTATTAAAATTCCTCATCTTTCTAATTTTGTATTCAACAAAGAATATTTCTAAGATGAGCTCTCAAATGATTAAAGCAGAATAGTATGATTAAACTAAAAAGTAAACAATTAACTATTATATTTAGTTGTTTTTTGTTATTTTAAAAAGTATATTCACAATGAGTTCTCCTTAATATTTCAGTAATATTTATTTTGATTGAATTAAAGTTTATGAATGATATTGTTTTTTCTTTATGAAATCCTATCTAATCATTATAATTAAATATAAGCCTGAATTTGTTTACATAACCCTAAATATATAAATCCATTCATTCATTATTTCATTCATTCATCTTAGAATTTAGATTCTATCACTCTCATAATAAGATTTGGTTGTGTTAATAATAAGATTTCATAACATTACTAAATTCCCTTTATACTTTACTTCTCCTTCTACAAAATCTTAAAACTTAATCATCATTAAATCACCTAAGACTAATAATTATAGACTTAATTTGCTTAATATCAATAGAATTAAAATCATCATACACCAAAAATTCGCCAAAAATTCATAATATTTATTGGTAATCATCACAATAAAAATATATCTCAAATTACTGTATCTCTTTTAAATAAAATTTTTGATATGTTTTGATAAAATTAATTTAAAAAATGTATATCTATCTACTAAAAATGTGATTAAATTATACCTTTTGAGCAAATTAAATTTAATAGAGTGTATCTAAATAAATTAATTTACTAAATTTATATTAATCAATATATTCTTTTAAAATAAAAAATTAATTACTTTCTAGTTTATAAAAAACATAATTCAAAATGTCTACTAATAACAAAAAATCTAAACTCCATAAGAGAACATGGGAGGAGAATGACAAAAAGGACAATAAAAAGGCCTAGGAAAGTCAAGAAGAAGAGGATGATGAATAGATAGAAGATGTTGATGAAAATGAAGATGATGATTAAGAAGAAGATTAATAAGTCTCCAATAAAAAATCAAAAGCAAATAAAAAAAATGAAAAAGCAGAAGAAGGCAATCAAGAAGAAGATGATTGGGAAGATGAAGAGGATGAAGAAGACGATGAAGATGACGATGACCTAGATAGTGAAGACTTGATAGATATTACTAAAAAAAAAAATGAATTAGAAGATGAAGAGGAAGATGAAGATGATGATGATGAAGAAGGAGAAGAAGGCGAAGAAGATGAAGTACTTAATGTTGATTTTGAATTCAAAGATGCAAATGAAACTATGTTCCATTCTGTGAAAGGTTTAATAAATGGTTATTTAGATGGTTCTGATTACAATTCAAGTGATTTAGCAGATATTATTGTTAAATAGTTTACTTTAGGAACTTTCATTGTGATAGATGAAGAGGAAGATGAAAACCAAAAAAAAATTAGAGAAAAAGCCAAATTAGAAAGAGAGACTAATGTCATCGGATTTTCTACATTTATAAGTGCTAAATAACATGAAAATTAAAGCGTTGTAAAAGAAATTATCAAATTTGTTAATCAAAAAAGTGAAAAGTTCAATAATGAAGCTGACCATAAAAAACTCTAAAATATCTTAGCCAAAAATAAAGTTGGTTTACTTATAAATGAAAGAATTATTAATGTAGCTCCTTAAGCAGTTCCCGTTCTCCATACATAGCTCTAGGAAGACTACAAATGGTTCAAACAAAACCATTAAAAAGAATTTAAAGAAAATTTTGATTTTGAGTATTTGTTGTGTATCACCCGTTGTGCAAAAGAAGTTAAAGGAACTTAAGACCCATAATAAGGCCAAAAAAAGCTCAAAAAGGAAGAATTAGATGAGTATTTGTATCCTAAATTTGAAGATTTTCTACTTTTGGAAAAAGCTGAAATTAAATTTTTCTTTGAAGCTGCTCAATCCAAATCCTAATCTGGTTTAAGCAAGAAAAATATGGACGAAATAAAGAGCAAAGAGTTAAATTACAAGATTATTTATTTAATAAAAATATCAGACTACTTTAAATCAATTCCAGAAATGCCTTTGCATTTATGTGATTGAGTTATTTATTTGTTTATTTGTTTTTGCTTGCACTTAAGTAGATTTAGTTTGGTTTAATGGCTTTTAAATATCCTATTTTAATTTTCAAATAAAATTTATATATTTCATTAATTATTTATTCCTGAAAAATAAAGTTAAAGTGTGTAAATGTAAGGTTATTCGGATAATTTTTCATTTTATAAATAGAGAAATTAGTAAACAGTAAGTTGGTAGATAAAGATAATACAAATAATAAAAAAATGTTTCATAATAAATTAGAAAATAATTTTAAATTTGTATTTTGTACATTAATATTTTTGAGTGAGTAAATACTGAATTAAAAATAAAATAAAATTTATGTTAATCTTTTGATTAATTTTAGGATCAGTAGATTAATCAGCAGTGATAGATATTGATTGATAAATAGATAATTATATAAAGATAAAATAAAGAATAAATATAATTTTCACTACTTATGTGGAGATTACTTTCAGTTCATATTTGGAAACTCAGTCAATTTTTTTAATCTTTTAATTGAATTTAATATTTTTTTGGTAATAAATTTCTATTTATATGCTAACTTGATGATGATCTAGCATATTTATACTGATTGGTAATATCCAGTTTGTTATTGGATTTAGGTTGAACTTCATCAACCTTAATTTTTCTAACTATAAAGTTTTTCTATTAAATATCATAACATGCTTTATCCAAACTGCAATTAGACTCGATTTACTCAGGTATTAAGTGACAACTTAAGTAATTAAACAACTCAAAATCTTCTTAATTATCATCATTTTAATTTATTTTTTCAATATTTTAGTAGCTACATGAAAAAATATCTTTGCTACTTTTAGATATTTAATTACCTAACGAAGAATCTTAAAATTTTAAATTATCCCTTTTAAGTGTGGATCTTATCCTGAAATTTTATGAATTTTGTAGCTTTGAGAAGTTTTCGTCAGAATCTTTTATCATTTAGATATTTTGGATCTGTTAAATAGGAGCACCTTTAAATAAGTTTGCATATTCTTTTGTAGAGTTCTTTACGTTTTGGATATCAGTGAATGTAACACAATATTATTTTTAACTTAGTGATTTAAGTGACCTGTTTTATTAAATTTTCTGTGATTCAAATTGTTTCTTTTCTTATTTAGCCTCTAAATTTATTTTAGGCTCACTTTCTTAATCTTTGTCATTTGGACATTCTACATCGCTGCTTAATTACAGTTTTTAAGGGGGCGTGCAGCATTATGTGTTTTCATTACTAGGATTTGCTTATAATTGCATTTTCTCAGAAATAAAACACTCATTTTTAAGTTTAGCAAAATTTTGGTTTGTTTCTTGTGTATTTTCGGTTTCCATAAAATTATTTTGTATAACTTTAGCAGAAACTGAAACTGGCATATTGTTTTTTAAGCTTGAGTTACTTTGTAGACAATCTTCCATTGAGCTTTAAATGTTTTAATGATAAAGCTAAATTAAATTTTATTATTCACTTTCAGGTAATAATTCACTGGACTATATTTTTTTATCAAGATAATTACCTGCTTTAAATATCATAGATCTTTTTAACATATCAAGGTCATTCTGGGTTTTAGAAATCACTTAATATTGTTTATGGACATGCTTAACTGTACAAAAGGTATGAATATGATCCTTATTAGTTAAATCAATTTAATTTATAAAAATGAAGTAAAAAAAAAGTAAATATTTAAATATTTTAAACTGTAAAGCAGTAAAATTAGATAAACAAAACACTCTTTCTATCATTAAAATTATTTAAACAGATTAAAAAATAATTTAATATTTATTTAAATTATAGAAAAATAGCATTTAATTACTTCAATTGACTATTGACTCTTGAATTGAGAAACAACTTTTTCATCGAAATGCTCACCGTTCATATCATTTTTGTTGCTTTTCATCAATTCTATAAATTTTTCGTCTAATTTGTATGCAGGATTGATTTTAATCTAATTTTTTTGTTTCTATTTTATATTCTAAGTAGAAATAGAGCACTCTACCACATTTGCAAGGATGTCATTCTTAAAAAGATTAATTTCATTTTAATTGGCTAAATTTGCTGAACTTCTTATTGACTTTTTCATAAAATTATCTGTTTATTCTTGTCTTGTTTGACTTTTATCAAAATTTTTAAAAATTCTTCCATTCATTCCCTGTGATGACTACCCTTCTTTTTATTAGAATTATCTCCTAACAAACCTCTACTTTGGAACAGAAACCACATTATTCGAATTATTTTAGACATCTTAATTCTAATTTTGATTAACTTACTATTATTTTTAACCTTAAAAGAAATAGGATGAAGTTAGTAATTCATTTTTTATGTTATTTTTTGGAGCAGCTTCATTGTTTTCTTTACATTTTAGCAAAATTGGGCTTTCTTCACTTATTTCGTTTTCATTGAATTCTTAAATAGTATTTTTGTTTTCACAAATCTATAAATCTTATTCAGAATCTATTTATCCAATTACTTCATTTTCTTAAAAATTAGCTTGATTTTTAACCATTAATTTCAAGTTTAAAGGTACTTTTTTAGACTATTTCATCATTTTTTTATTTGCAATCTTTAATAATATTTATTAACTTACTATTTAATTATTTCAGTATAATTTTGTAATTTTTTATTATGATTTTTTATACTATTTAATAATCTAGGAAATTAGCATCTATCTATAGCCATAGATTATTCAAATAATAAAAATGTTTAGGCATAAAAAATATTGCTATTGTTTTAAAGAATTTTTAAAAGATTAAAAGGTGAGTGTTAAAAAAACATAATTAAATTTTATTAACTCTCAAATTTAAAAAAATATTATTTTATTTATTTAAAAAATAGAATGAATATAATTCCTTTTATCTGACATTTGAATAAAATAAATATTTATTTATTTTACTATAAATTGATCCATTATGTAGTTAGTCTAAGTCTTATTTTTTATTTATTAAATTAAATCATTATTAAATTTTATTTTGATACTTAATGTTGGTATTTTTAAATTAGTATTTTAGAGTACTTTGTAACAGAAATATTTTTAATATCTACATTCTTTATAAAACAATACATTAGGATCTAATGAGTGGAATTTTTATTAATAAATAGACTCTTTACGCTATAAATTTTAATATGAATTAAATTTAATTTTAAATTAAAAATACTAAATTAAGTAAAAGATTTTGTTATTCTTAATTTCAGTTTATTTTTATTTAAATTCTGGATTTTAATATGAAAATTTTATAACAAAATTACTTATTTGTCTATATTTAAACATAATTTTAAACTTATTACATCTTTAAATAAAATATTTAACAAAATTTTATTCTACAAAATCTTAATTTGATTGAAAATCAAATAAAATCCATATAGTATTTGCCTTTTTTATAATTTAAATGCATAATTTAATCGTAAATGCATTGTTTTTTTAGTATTTATGCTTATTTTTAATGTATAAATTAATTTTAAATTATTGGAACAAATAAATTTGAAGTAATTAAAATTTTTAATTAAATTTAGCTAAGATTAAACCAATTTTTGATGATTTTTGTAAAAAATAAATTAAGAATTTAATATCATTTTATGTAAATAAATTTGAAATTGTTATTGAAATAATAAAATTATTTACTTTCTATAAAACTTTTTAAGATAGAAATAAATTGTATTGTTTTGCAATATTATTTTAGTATAAAAGATTTAGATTTAGAAATATTGATCTATGAATATAGACTAAGGATGGATGTTCTATGAAAAGTTTTGTGAAAATTGATTATCAAAAATTTGATAATTGTTTATAGCTTTTTTTTATTGAGTATTATTAATAAAAATGGAAATAAAGAGCAAAATTGGTTTCTCAAAAATTAATTATTTTTTTGTTTTTGTGAAATCTTTTCTAATGATTAAATTGATAATTGATGATTGTTAATTTTTTGTAAAACACAAAAAGAAAAGTAAAAATTAGATTAACAAAAAAATCTAATCTGATTTTTTTAATTAAGATTCACTTTTTTGGGATTTTTCAATTATTATTTGCAAAATTTGTGCAGATTTCTTTTTTAATAATTTTTTCTCTACTTTATGATTGATTTTTTTTTATTAAAAATCAGAGATTGAGTTTTGATTAATTTATTTGATTCTAATTTTTAATTAACACTTTTTTGTTTTAAATTTTTCTTTTTTGCTTGATTAATTTTTTTTTTCCCACTTAATGATTTTGTGATTTTTTTTGCTTTTTGCTTTTTGTTTTTTGAAAAATTTGATCATTTATTATTAATTATTTTTATAATTCATGATTAGTTAATTATCGATTTTTTTTTTCCTCTCTCCCAAAACTTCGATAAATACAAGAAAAAAATTGAAAAAAGTTGATTTTTTTTATCAATTTTTGAGCTGATTTTTCTGATTTCATAAATAGAAAAATATTAATTTATTTTACTCTTTTTTTTGGAATTAATTTTTTTTTGCAAAAAGTAATTCTTTATGATAAGTCAATCAATATTGATTTTTTATCTAAAGCCTATTATCGCTTTGCGATAGTATTGTTTTTTTTAAGAAAGATAAAAGGTTATTTAAAATAAAATTTTAATAACAGTAAAATGTATTTTAAGATGTTACTCACTTATGAGTTAAATATAAATTTTATGCAAAAATATTTATTTTACTTATATAAATAAAGATGGTAATTATCTAGCTCTTGTTTAAAATTTTTTTATAAACACATTTTTATGTCTCGTAAATGGACAGCAAGTTCGTTCGTACTGTAGTTTTTGGAAATAAGTAAAATCAAACTACAAAGAAAAAAATTAACTGGATAAAAAAGTGATTTGTTAGATATAAGTATGTTACTATATTAACTAAAAAAAGATAATTGAATGCATGGAAGGATACTCGAAGTTTATTTAAGAATTATATTTATCAGAATAAATGTTGGTGTTTGATTAAACCCGAACAAAAACAAAATTAAGAGAAAAAATCTTATTGAAAGAGAAGTTTGAGTAGGAGAAGAAGAAAGAATAAGCAGCAAAAGTTGATTGTAGATTTTAACAAATCCTACTGCGAATTATAAAAATGTACATAAATATAAGCATAAGGGAATGGTAAGTGAGGATAAACTAAGAATGATAGTTAACCAAATACTGAATATATAAAGTGATGAAGGGAATACATGTTGATTGAATTAAGTAGTATGTAATTATAAAGATGAATAAGTTTGTTTCAAACTTTATTTATTAATTAAGGTTATAAGATTTTCAACGAGCAATAAATTGATTGATAGATTCATCTACTAACTACAACCAGGATGCATGCGAGTAAGAAAGTAAGAGACAGTCAATATAGGTTTGAAGACTTGGTGAAGATGTATGTCATCAGTCATCATGTTCTAGTTAGTCTTCAAGCTTTCAGAGTCTGAGTAGATTTAAGTATTTGACTTTCTCACTTGGAACCCTTCTTGGCGTTACCCTTCTTTTGAGCAGGCTTCTTAGACTTGTCAGCCTTCTTATTAACAGGCTTCTTAGCGATAGGCTTCTTTGTTTGGGAGGGCTTGGGAGTGGTAGACTTAGACTTAGGGGTCTTGGGTTTAGGAGAGGCAGAAGCCTTAGTGGCAGACTTAGCAGCAGAACCTTTAGCCATTTTAATATTTAGTTGTTTTTAAACGTAAATTTTTTGTTTTTTTAAGAGAGTTTCTTTTTTTTATTTTTAATTTTTTTTTTAATTTATAATTTTTTGAATTTATTTTCTGGTGCGCTGACTTTTTATATTGAGAAATTGAAGATAACTTGACATAATTAATTAAGATTATCGAATTCTTTAATTTGATTGGATAACTCTCTCTCAATTCAGATTTTTATCAATTATCCCTACTCTCTCTGATATCAATATAGGTTCATATAAATATCATTTTTTATTGTGTTAGCATATATCTCATCAGCAGTGCTACTTTCTTTAGATTTGCTTGTTTTTCTGCTTGCATTTTTTGGTAGCCCTCACTTCTTAATTCTTGATTTATTAAGCTCCCTCATAAATTACAATAATTTAAATCCTAATTAAAGTATTCAAAATTAGATTAATTCATTTTTACTTTTGTGTTTGTTTTTTACTATCAGAACTTTTTAGGCTTGTCCCCAAATTTAATCATCTCTAATTTAATTCACTGATTTTTTTTTTTCATCATATAAATCTTGCTCTCAAATTAATTAATTTTTATTTATTTCTTTACCTTCTTAAAAGAAATCCTCAGACTGACTTTTATCTCAAAATTACTTTCATTCCTATATTTGGATTTTCGGCATTCCCCATAAATATTCTTATAAATTCTTACTCTACAAAAGATTCTTATTTTTTGGTACCTTTCCAGACTAGTATAAAATTGCTATCAAATATTTGGATTAACTATCGATTTTAAAAATCAAAGATTTTTCTTTTTAAATTGATTCGTATCATTAAATGAAGTATTTATTTTCAATCTTTAGACAATATATAAAAAATATTAACAGAAAATAGAAAATAATAAAAATTTAAAGCTTTAAAATGTTTTTTTTTAAATATTGCAAGCAAAATTCATATTTTTTTGTTATTGTTTTGTTTTTAAATTTATAAAATAATTCTATAATTTCTTAATAATTCATAAATAAGTATTTATAAAAATTTTAAATTAGAAATTGAATAGTCTTCTTGAGTATTTTTTGTTCTTAGAAATTCAAATTGTGTGATTTAAATATATAATATATTTAAGCAACTTCATTAAGATAAGAGAATTAAGTAGCACTAAAGTTCTTAATATCAATTAATTATGATCAATACAGCTTCAAAAATAAATGAAATAAAATTATCTAAAACGAATCTTATCAGGAATTTGATAATATTAATATGAAATCAAAAAACAATCTTTTCTCGATAAAATATAAGCATTTAGGTAGTTGTCTGATAGTTTGAACATAAAAAATTGTTTAGAAAAAATAAACAAGAGACAGCAAAATGCTATCAGTAATTAATTATGAATGAATTTAGAAATAAGAAGCAAAAATAGTTATTTGTGATGTGATTATTTAGTATCTACTAATTTTTACACATGATCAATATATATTTATTTATATTTCAATAATGTTAAAATAATCAATTATTCTTTCTTTAACACATATAAGTATCTTATTCAAAAAACTCTTTTCCTATTCAAAACTGTACACAAAAAAAAAATGCTCTATCGATAACTATATTAGCAAATACGCAAATCATCTTTGAATAGCTCAGATTTTTATCGTAAGAAGGTGGCTTCGCTGCATCACTTTGAAGCGAAAAAAAATGAAACTATCCAACTCTCCTCCATTAATATGCCTCTTTTTAAATTAGATGTAAGCAAAAAATGAATTTTCTTTGATTTTCTATATAAAAACTTATTTAAAGTACAAAGATTTCTTTTGTTATATATAATTAATCTGCTTTTGAATAAATGAACTAGGCTTATCAATTTAACAGGAATATTCCAACTTTAAAAGCTATGAAAAAATTAGAAAAGGAACATGGATAGGATTTCAATATCCTTTTTTCTGCTTGGAGTACATCCCATAAAAAGATTTAAATTTGGAAGTAAAAACTTATTGATTTTTGTTTCTTCTTTTAAGAAAGATAAAAATGAAATTTTAGATCATTCTTAACAGCAAAAATAGTTTTAAAATCTAATTCACATATAAACAAATTAATAGATTAACATATAGCTTGAGAGAGGTAGTTAAGGAGTGTATTAGTCTATTTGGGAAGCAAGACATATTCTATTAGATTCACTACAATTACTTTCCTGCTTTCTATTCCAATCAAGTATTATTTTCACTTAAGCTATCTAAATTATTATATTTTATTCTATTTGAATAAGATTTCTGCCAACTCTTATTTATTAATAAATCAATCAAGCTTAACTTCAAAAACATAAATATTTTTAACTTTAATAATAGATATAAATTAATAGATATATCATATTCGCTCGCATCTATATATTTAATAGCTTTATATATGTGCAAAAATTGATTATTAAAAATAATTTAGGATTTTTCAGATAAGATTTAAAAATCCATTTTTTTTGATTGCAACTTTTTTTTTCTGATTTCTTTGAACGTTTGTTAATAAATATAGGATATTTTAGTAGAATAGCTTATATAAGCTTTGTAACACATGGGTTATATAGATCAGTATAATTTAGGAAAATTTGCCTTGATAGAAGAAAATAGGCTTAAATAGACTCAATAATTCTAAAATTAGAACTAAAACAATTAAAAAACTTCTTTTCCTTTTGATGGAACTGGAAATTTATGTGATATTCTTCATAATCAAATGCCCTAAAATATTAAATACTGGTTAAATTTTTATTCATAAAACAACCCTATGTAAAATTATTTTCATTCAGATTTCAAATAATTGTTTTTAAAACGGATTTAGGATAATAAAAGGAGGTTATGATGATAGCTACCTTAATTTTAGAATATCATGTAGCTATATTTTATATAACAACTCTAACCGAGAAAAGATATATAAGGATTTTAAACGAATAAGAGACTTAAACTTGAAAGTATTTGACTTTTTAGAGGTATTATTTTATTTTTTTCTTTATTTTATTGTTAAAATTTAACAACTAATTAATTAATTTATGAACTTTGTTTATAACTTCATAAATTATTAAATCAAATTTTATTAAAAGTACTTTAATCAAATAACAAATGATGAGGCCAGGAAAGAGTTCTACTGTAAAAGATTCTTTAAATAATTTGAGTATGAATGTGAAGACTCTTAAAAATTATTAAGTAAATTAATTTAATTGAGCTTATTTACGATTGATATTATTTTTAAAAAAATAGTTAAATTAACAAAATAATATTAAGTTGAATAAATTATTCAATGGATAGATTTACTGATTTTAATGTATGAAGAGAGCTATAATGGCGCTCTTGGATAGTTAACAAAGTATCCTCAGCTCAAAAACTCTAAATTTTTCTGATTTTGATATTAAATTTAAAAATTAAAATTAATTGATTTAGTTACCTAAAATTCTATTTAATATTTTTTATACCCTAAAAAAATGCTGAAAAAAACTTTCTCTTTTAATAATATGAAGTTTTGTAAAATGAGATTGTTTCAATTAATTAAACCATATAAAATATTATCTTGCTTTTCTTTTGTAGTTATAATTAATGTTATTTATAATAAATTGTTCAAAGCTTAAATAAATAAAATTTTATGAATATAAAAATTTTTTTATTATCTCAACAAACAATTGATTTTGTATAGATTTCTATAAATTTTAAGATATTTTTGATTGTTTAATTTTTTGATAAATTATTTAATTTTATTTTTTGAGTGAGTAAGATTGCTGTTCATCAATTTATAAATAATGTTTTTAATTATATAAAAAAATTTGTAGTTTTAATAAGACATTTATTGTTAATTCAATAAAATAACTTCTATAAATAATATATTTCACAAACTAAAAATAAAACAGAAAAGCTAATTTATGATAATTTAAGAAATACCTCTCTATTTTTGATGTTAATATTATTTAATATAATAAATATCAGTTTAAATCTTCAAATGATTAAAAGTTAATGATTTTATCTTTAAATTTTGAATTTTCTTAGTTTAAAATTTTGTTCAGTTTATTAAACTGTTTTAAGAATAATAAAAGCTTACTATTTTAGCAAATTAAATAAAAAAATCATTAAAAACAATTAAATTTAAGTTTGGCAACTTAGATTTCTAAAATTTTTAGTAAAAAATAATTTTAAGAAAGTTAATTATAAATTATTCTAAGTTGAAAAATAGCTTTTTTTATTAATTGATTATAAAATTATACCAATTAATATCATATTTATTTTTTAAAATTGTAAACTATTTTATGATTAATTATTTTTAATATTTAAGCTTACTATCTTTATTTAACATTAGTTTTTATAATTTTTTATAAAAGTATTCTATTAAAAATAATATAATTGTAGCAATTTAATTTTATTCATGCTTTTAAAAATATAACTAAGTCATCACACTTTTAAATTAAAATAATTATTATTACAGTTTGTTTATAAAAAAAAAAATTATTTTAATTTTATGTGTTTTTAAAAGTATTTACTACCATTTTAAATGAATGAATATTTCAACGATTAATTTAAATTACATTTAGAATTTGGTTTTTAAGCTGCTTTATTACATCTATAAATTTACAAATACAATTCAATTCTTTTTTTAATTAATTTTGTGAATTTGAGAAAGATTAATCTTATTAATTTTTAGTTGTTAAAACATACTGATTTTAATATTTAACTATAATCTAAAAATTAGTTTAAACTTATGCTTCCAGATCTGATTAATAGAGTTTATACTACAAAACCAAAAAAAAGAGATGAAATCACATATCCTACTACAAGGGTAGGTATAATCATATTGATTTAATAATTTATTTATATTATTTCATTTTAAATGAAATAGATTTAGAAGGATTATTGTTAAAATATTGAAAATAATAAATTTAATTATTAGATTTAGAAGGGGAGTTAAAGGCGCAATCGTTTATAACAAGGAGATAACCTTCTGCATAAATAAATTTCTAAAGAAATATCCAAACAAGCTAACCAGCTGCACGTTTTTAGTAAATAAAAATAATATAACATTTCAAATATAAACTGCTAAATTGAATCAAATTTAATTAATGATCTTTCATATTAATAGTGATAAGAAAGCTATATAGTCAAGGATAGAAGCAAGACTGATGAAAGGGATGGGAAATGATCCTTTTAATAATGGAAATTAAGAAATGAATTACTAAAAAGTTAACTAGTTGATGCAAAATTAACATATAAATATGAAGTAATTAATAAATTGCTTATTGAATATTTTGTAAATTTAACCTATTGTAATATATATATAGAGTTGTAACTGATAACATATCAAGGAATATTTTGGTGTACACTCCTAAAATTGATGGAAGAGAAAAATTCAAAACAAATTCTTATCCAGAATCCTTAAAAATTATCGATCAAAAAATTTAAAAATATAAAAAAGCTTTAGAAGAAGCTATTAAGTAGTAATAGCAGATTGAGAAAGATGATTTTTATATTTAAGAAACCATGGAATAATAATAGTAGCCAGTCGTTGATGAAGAAAATTTTGATTTCTTGACTGGGATTGGGTTACACAAAAATTTAGATTCGCCTAAACAGGAAAAATAAGAAGAAGAGGAATAAGAGGTAATACAAGATCAAGAGGAGGAAAAGAAATAAGAATTTGTCTAAGAACCTAAATAAGAAGCATAGATTCTCAATCCTTATCAATATTAATTTGAATAAGTTAGAAATGCATTTAGTTAAATATATGAAAAATATTAAAATAAAATAAGCAAAGCTTTCATAAAAAAAGATTAACCTAAAGCAGTAAGCATTTATTGATATCTAAAATAAATTTTTTTAATATTTATTTTTATTAGAGGATGAAAAGAAAAAACCCAAAGATTAACATTACAGGAAAAGGAAATAAGGTGCAAAAGAATGGCGCTCCTTTCGATGAAGTTGAGCACCTCATGAGAATATATAATAAGGAACACATACCTTGTGAACCTAAAATATTGGTTCCTTCTTTCCAGTCAAAAAAAGATAATATTGCAAACACAGTTTTGGCATATTTGGTATATTTAATTGATTTTATTGATAAAAATAATATTAAAAAGTAATAATGTTATTTTAGAAAGACTATAAGCCTTTGCTTTCAGGGAATAAGTAAAATATTCCTAAAAGTATTCAAGGACTGCTTGATGTAGAGTTGGAAATGCTTAAAACAGTCGAAAAAGAAGGGGCAGCCTCGTTATAAAAATAAAATCCGTATGATGGGCTAGGAGGAGGTTTAACTAAATCTACAGTTTCTAATTAACTAAAATAATCATAATATGAATAAAAACTTTAAAATATTAATACTCAATAAACTATTTCAAAGAATAGCTTAGAAATTAATTAAATAAAAAATGTATCAAGAATAAACACAAATGAGTTCAAAAAAGATTATAGTCAGCACATACCTGTTCAGTAATCTTAGTATGTCTTTCCATCAACTTTATAAAATAATTCTAAGCAGTGAAAGATTAAAGCTAAAATTTTGTATTTATTTATTATGTTTATAGTATCAAATAAATTAATCTTTAAAATAAATGAATTAAGAAGACTCTATTATTTTTTTAAATCTTTTTTTTGTTTTTAAAAGAAATCCTCGTTACATTTATTGAAGAAATGTAACTAATAGAAAATAGTATTTTCTTTCTTTTAAAATTATTTTTATTTAGGCTCTAAAGTAGCAGAATTAACTATAGCCTTTGTTATGTTGTTTTAAATTCTGTTGTTCTTAAAGCCAAATATTTTTAGATTTACAAATTTTTTTGAAAAATTCTGTTTTTGAATTTGAGAAAATGGACAAAAATTTAAGTTTAATAATGTTTTTATACTAATTCATATTTAAATAAATAGTAAAGGAGCATTTTTATCCTTATTTTGCTTCTATTTTCCCTTATTTTTATGAAATTATATTTTTCCAATTTGCGGAAAAAAAAATTTTCACTTCTTCTTTTCATTGTATTTTGTAAGAAGATACTTTATATAAGTATTTATATTAAAAATTTCATTCATTAAACCTTCTACTTTATGATAAAATAATATTATTTTATGTAAATCTGCTCTAATCTTATAATATTAAGCTAAATATTTTGTTTAATATTCGCCTATTTATTTAATTGCAAGAAAAAAGTGATAATTTATCTAAATTTAATTATAAATTTTAGTGAATAAGTATTTAATAAAAATTTATATGTTAAGCTCAAATCTTTTTGTGCATTTCAAAAAGATATTTTTAGTTTAATTCATATCTTTTGTTGATTTAAAAAGTTGTGAGCTTCACACTCAATAATATTGATGAGAAATAAAATAAATTTATTAGATTTTAAATAATGAAGTGATATAAAATGAAATCATGAAAAAAGAAAAATAAACAAAAAAAAATTGAAAATATTAATTTTATTAAATTCCTTATTTTTTTTAGTGTCAAAAATACTTTTCATATAAAGATAAAACTTATTTTTTAATAAATTATATTTAAATAATAAATAATATTAAATTCAAAAATTATTTTCATAGTAATGCTCTTCTACAAAGAAGCTAAACATTTGTGTTTTTATAATACGAGAAACTAAATCGTCTTTCATTCTTCTTTAGCAAGTAATGTATTACTCTAAAAGTTCTAAATCAATTACCTATAAAAATATTTTAAGTTTAAATTTAGTTTAAAAATTAATTTGTCTTACATCTCCTCTTGCTACTAGTTTTTTATGAGGGAGGTGGTCTAATATTTCAGATTATATAAATTGAGAGATACTCATCATTAGGCTAGTGCAAGCTTATTTTTAATTCTCATTAGGAGAAATAAGCAGTTCTTTTTTCATAGGAATTATTTAGTTTATATTATTGCTTGTGGTTAAATCTGATGTGCTGCTAGAAAGAGTCATTTATCCATTTGATCCTGAAGTAGTGAGTCCATTATTTTTTGAAATTTTTAGATCATTAGACTATACATTAATCAAATTAACTGTAGATTTAGCTGTCTTTTTCTTATCTTAAAGATTTAAGTTTTGTTAAAAGTTATTTTAGAATATTTAATAATTAATTTAGTTGCGTCTCAGGTTTTCTGGTAAAATGCTATTATAAAGTTTGGTGGTCTAAGAAAGTAGTTTATTGTACAAAACCGAGTTGTGAATCAGTTCTTTATTTTCACTTGTATATTAGCTAATTTCAACTAAATAATCATCTAAAAATACAAAAGTGCACTATTCATGCTTTTCGCACAAATTCTTCTCTAAAACCTCTTACTTGCTCATATTTAATCCCAAGAAAATAGGTATAGGTGAATCAAGTAAGTGAATTAAATTTTAAGGAAGTATACTAATCAATGGATGAGGCCATTTAAAAGGTTTAATTAGTGAGTAAAACATTAAAATTACTGATGAAAGCAAAGCAGGATTAGCCGAAACGAAAACCATCGGCTATTCTATGAGTATATTGAAAAATATTTCTATAAAAGTCTCATAAGCTATACAAGAGAAGACTATGCTGCTTGATCCTTCAGCTTCAATGTACTTTGCACTTTGCTATCCTGGAACGTAATACATAAATCTCTCTTATTTGTATGATAAATAGATTGAAGAATTTATTGAAGGAGTACTCAAATTTTTAAGTTCTTCTAAGAGCCCATAAAATTGATTTTAGATTAGCTTCATTTTAAAATATTTTTAAATTCTAGAAAAATAAAAATTGAAAGAAATACCTTCATGAAGTATTGCTGCTCTATTTTTGCTAATAAACGAGAGTCTTTTTTTATACCTTCATGATTTTGTGTATAAAAATTAATCCTCTCCATTTTTATTTGATCTATAATGAATAAATAGATTTATTTATTTTTAGATACATAATCATTTTAAATTTTACTTAATAAAGATGATATTATGTCCAAAAAGAATTTAACGAATGGGTAATAAGTTAAAAAGCAAATAGCCCTCTTTGTGATCCAAAAGTTCTAAGAGTTTGCCAAGGTTTTGGCAGAGTTATCATTGCCCTTTATAAGAAATATTTATTTTAAGTTGATAAATTTATATATATATATATAAATACTTTTGAATCGTCTTCTACTATGTCTTTTATCTTAAAACAAATACCGTAAAGCAACTTTGACGGATTGCAGATATCTAATAATTTATTTGAATTCTAGAAATGTGATTATTTTTTAAATGAATCATCAGTTTTTACAACAAAAGTAAAGCAATTCTCATTATATTCTACTACATAATTTGCAAACATTATTTCGTTTATCTATGATAAAGAATCTGTCATTTTAAATCTTTGTGTTTCTACTCCCTTAGGAAATGCAAAGAAAGGCAGTGTGTTTTCTCTGCTGTTATCAAGTATTTGCTTATCTGGATATCTGTACTGCAACTTAGGTTATAAGCTAATTTAAATAATTTATCAATATCTAATTTTAAAAAATAAAAATTACAATTAAATTCCAGGTTGCTTTAAATCAAGTTCTGTTTTATCAATACCATAAATAGCAAATTGTTCAAATATTTTTTATCCTAATTGATCTTGTTACTATACCTACTTATTTTATACAGCAGGCACTGATTTTGTATAACTAAGTGTTGGTGTTATTTTATAAATTTAAGATGGTTAAGTATTTGAAGAACTCGTTTAGGAAATAATTGAAGAAGGACAAGGATTAAGTTTTTAAAAGTTAGTACTTTCCAAGTTTTGTTTAATTCTACCAGGCTCTTTGCCTAAATTACCACTTGATTTACTTTTTACTTTAAGTTCTAAATTTTGTTAGTTAGGGGATTATATTTGTGGTACATTAGACTATTCAAAATTATTATTCTCTTATTTTACAATTTTATTTACTTAGTTAGGAGTTTATTATTTGATAGGACTTGAAAAAGTTGAAACTTTCTGGCTAAATCTTATTTCCTTCACTGTTTCATAGTTGATTTGGCTAAAATTTGAATAAAAATTAGCATAATTTGACTCGTTAGTTATACTTTCCTCTTTGATATTTTTGGAGAAATAATTACAATTTATAATTGCCTATCCTTCAGCTTGAGTTAAATAATTCTCTTCTCCGTTTACAATATTGTTTGAGTTTTAAGTTTTATAATTTTAAGTTTATGTTTGATTAAATTCTTTTTAAGGAGATTTTACAAAATAGGCATTTTTTGATATTTTTCCGTAGTTTGTTGTTAAAAATGTTATGCTAGAAGGTTAAACTATGTCATTATTATTATTATTATTTTTACTTTAAATTGTTTAATTATTGTTGTGTGGATGATTTATAGGCTCTTCCTTTTTTATTTCACTTTAAATTTTGAATTTCTAACCAAGAAAATCATTAAATTTAGAATCTCTGCCCGATAGATCTCCATTTTTTGTGTTATTTTCTTCTCTTAAAGTTCTTTCTTTTGGGATATCATTTATTGTGCTATTACTATGAATTTAAAGAGATTCGTCCTATTAACTGAAATAAGTAAGTAAAGTTGCTTTCTGTTTGTCAGTATTAATGTGAGTAAATCTTAATTTGTCATCTTTTTGTTCATCTGTATCATCTTAAATGTTAAAATCTTCAATGTCTTCTATAAATTATTTATTCTATCCTTGAATGTTTAAATTCTTGTTTGTTTAAGAAATTTTTTTATCTTACTAAAAATCCTTTTATCTTTCGATTTCATTCTCATCTGTTTGAGAAAGGGATTTATCTCCTTCTTTTAAATAAATTTTTTAATCTTCATTGGTTTGCTAGCTTTCCATCCTAACTTTTGCAAGGTCTTTCAAAGTCTGACTTGTAGCAGCAAAAGGAGAAAAAGTATTATTACTAGTATGAGTCATTAGGCGGTCAGATTTAAATGAAATTTAATTGAAGTTTATTTAAGGTGGCTCTGTATTTAAAACAATATTAATACTATTTTATTTTTATTAATTAGAAATAGGTTTCGAGTTTTACTACATAAATGAAGTATTTTAAGTTGAAATAGTTAATGAAGATGTTTTATTGTGATTTATATTCCCTCTAGGAACTGATGCAGGCGTGCCTGATCCTGAGTTTATAGAAACTTATTTAACACCTAATTGTTTTCCTTATTGCTCAGCTATTTCTTTATTGTATAAAGTAGAAAAATTGGTTTAACTTTTTCCTCTTGACTTTGAAGATAGTGCATTATTTACTGGCTCTTCTTACTGGCAGTTTTATTGCTCTAAATTAATTGTATGCGTAAAGTTACTTTTACTTTAATTAACATATTTTAGTGTCTTTTGAGCATTACTGTCATTAATTTACTGAGTTTATTATTGATTTTGATACACTTAGGGATATTATTTCTTTGATTGCTATTATTACTATTATTGTTATTGGTGCTGCTGATTTTGAATGCTTGCATTGTTAAAGTTCTCTTTATTGCAATTTATAGCAGAAGAAGTATTTTATAAACTATTTAAGTTTGTTTGTGATTAATCCTTATATTTTATTTTATATTGATTTTTGAAATGATTCCCACTTGAGATATTTTAAATCGAAGAAGATCCATTAATAGAAGTTGTTAAACTTTGAGATACTGTGCTACTTCCAGAGTAAGAAGAAGCATTTCTTTTAGCTTGTATAGTGTTTTGAGATGAAAGCTACTATGCACTATCTTAAGAGTTTGCAACAGTATTGTTTTCTCCTGCTTTTTTTGTTTGTATATTTTAAATGCTAGATTTTCTTGATTGAGATGGGTTTTAGTTAGAGTATAAAGTTTATTTTAGTAAAGTTAAATTTGAATATGCTGACTATTGTTGATTATTTCCATTTACAGCATTGCTATTAATATGGAATGAGAGTGATTAATGAGGATTATGTGTAGATCCTTGATAGAAGCTTCCACTTCTTGAATGAGCATTTTAATTTTTTAGACTAGGAGGAGGACAAACAGTAGTCTATTAATTATTTTTAATTTATGGTACGGCAGCAGATAATGTATTTCCTTTTTTACTAACTTCTTACTGAATATTATAAAGCATAGATTTTGCAGTGTTATTTGGAGGCTGTATTTACTAATACTAAATAAGCTATTCTGAATTATCATTTTATTCTTGAATTTTAGGTTCCTTAAGATAATTTTACTATTTTTCATATTATGATTTATTAGTGTTTAAATTAATTTTTATGTCTCCATATTCATTTTTAATATCTTTATTTATTTGATTTTATGATAAAGATTCATTAAATTTAGGAATATTAATTTCATTTAAGTTTAAGGCAGAAGGAGGAGCTTCATTTATTTTAAAGTTTAATTAATAATTTTGTTAAGTTGAAAGATTAAGGCTTTGGTTATTTTGCTAAGAAAATTAAAAATCTATACCTGCTAGAGACTGCTCATTTACTCCTAAACCTTTATTCTATTGGGAATTGTTTTAAGATTTAGCATTTTCAAGTTAAAAGTTAGTAAAATCATTTTCCTTAGAATTTAAAAGCTAACCCTATCTATTTATCAAATTATTATTTAATTTAGATGATGGCCCTTCCATTTTTTAATCTAATGCGTTTGTATCAAATAATTGTATAGAAGTTGATTTAATCTATTATGAATACTTTTAAGCTTAATTAGCTTTTTAGCTATCTCCAGTAAAGTCATTTTTTTACAGAGAAATATTATTATTAATCTATGCATCATAATTTGATATATTCGTCAACATACAAGAACACTTTTTTAGGTTTTCCCTTAACTTCTACAATTCTTCTCTTTGAATCTAATCGCGAGATTAATAATCTTTTATTTCAAACTCTTATTTATAAAGCTACTTATTTTTTAAAGAAATCTCATTTTTTAATCTTTCTATCTCTTTTTATTACTCAGATAACTGTTTTTCTTCCTACTTTATTTTCTATAAATTGAAAATTATTTTTTTTTATTGTCTGTGCAAGTTAATTAATACAAATTAACTAAAAAATGTTATTAAATTTAATTTTGTTTCATTTTTAGCATATCATTATTAAAAATCCATAAATAAATTAGATAAATACCTCTTAGAGCAGGTTGTTTTAATCACATAAAAACTTAAAATTTTTAAGACTGAAATCTATCATTTTTTCTTTTATAATTTGTGTTATTTAAATAGCAAAACTATGTTCAATTTAATTTGATTAAGATCTAAAAGATAGACTCTTAAATAATTATTAAATCAAAAAATTGATTGATTGATTGACTGATTGATTGATTAATTTACTAATTAATTATTTCAAAAATTATTGTTTTTGAAAATTTTTACTTTGTTTGAACTCTCGTTTGCATTTGATAATTATTTAAAAACATCCATAATTCAACTGAAAAATAAAGTTGATTAAGATATGCAGGAAATAACTAAACTTTTTTAGAAGCATTTTGAAACATTTCTTTTATTTGTTTAATATTTATGTTTAAATTTACATAAATTTCTATAAAGAACTAAATTGTTTTAAATTGACTTATTTATTAATATAAAATATTAAATTTATCTAAAATTCAATAAAGAATTATTTTATTAATTTTTTTAAAACACCCATAATTCAAATGAAAAATAAAGTTGATCAAGATATGACTAAACTTTTTTAGAAGCATATGAAATATTTCTTTTATTTTTTTAATTTTTATGTTTAAATTTACATAAATTTCTAAAAAGATTTTAAATTGATTTATTTATTAAATATAAAATATTAAATTTATTAATGAATTTATTTATTCAAGAATTATTTTATTAATTTATTGATTTTTTTTAAAACCCATAATTCAACTGAAAAATAAATTTATTTGATTAAGATATGCAAGAAAACATTTTTAGGAACATTTTTAAAAATTTTTTAAATCTATTTATTTATTATGTTCAGATTAGAACAAACTTCGACAAAAAGTTTTAAATTTATATTGAGTTATTTATTAAAATAATCTATTAAATATAAAATATTAAATTTATATAAAATTTATGAATTTATTTGTTAAAAACCATTTTATTAATTTACTTTTTATTAAATTTATTTCTCTTTATTTATTTAAAAAAAATAATTTTCAAAATTTCAAATGTTTTTAAATGCCAATTTCCCATTGATAATGTTTAATTTATCTTACACAATACGATTTTCTTGATTTTTGGCACTTGAATTTGTTAAAGGGGAAGTTAAAGACAACACATGCTAATTATTTTATTTGGTTATTTAATTTTATTTATTTATTTTTTAAATCTGATTCTTTACCTCTGAGGCATTGATTTATTATAAGTCAGAACGGATGTTGTAAGAAATTTATTTTGAATCGTCAAAAGAGCTATCACCTATATTTCTAGATATTGATTTATTTTTTTAATCAGAAAAAGCATCATAGTTACTACTTCTATTTGTGTTTCTTTGACTATAATTTCTTTGTTAAATATATTTATTATTTAAAGAGCCTAACCTGCTTATTTATGTAGAGGGTTTAGACATTGCAGAAGAGTACTCTTGTAAGGAGCTAGGGTTACTAAAATCATATGCACCTTTATGATCAACGGAATTTCTTTTATTTTTAGCATTTACCTAGTATAAATTCAGAATATTCTAGTTTTACTGTGATTCTTAGAGGGAGGGAAGTTTAGTTTTAAAGTCATTAGATTTGCTATTACCATTTTGATATATAATGTTATCTTAGAAATTCTAAACACTTGGATCTTCTTCTGTTAGTAAATCAAGATAATTCTCTTGATTCTTAGCAGATGAACCAGAGAATTAATGATCGTTTATGTTAATAAATTTATTATTATTTTAGGAATTCTTTTAAGGGCGTAAATAAAGAGGAATATCCTCTTAGTTTTCTAATGCATTTTGGAGATGGACATTAAAATGTGTAGGGAAAATTTTTTAATAGAGATACATCATTAGCTTTTCATGAGAAAGAAGAAGCTCTAAAATTTTTACTTTGTCTTCACTTCTAAATACTTTATAATCTTTTATTGATTCTACAAAATCGCCCATATTTTTATTTGGGCTTTAAAAGATGCTGTTCTAATTAGTTTAACTTAGTCCATTTTACTCACCCTTCTTTGCAGTTTAGTTAGCTGAGCCTCCTGCCACATATTTTCTTTTTATAATTTATTTCCTTGCTGTTTCAACACATTCCAAAAAGAAAGTTTCTAAATCAGAACGTGCCATTCCCATTTTTAACTTTTCTTTTAGTGTCTTCTCCAACTTATCTTTGACTTATTTATACTGCTTTTATTTTCTATCTGTAATTATTTTACAATATTATGCTATTTCATGTATAAGTTAAGCAACACTTATTTCTCCCTCAATATTTTTCTTCACAATACTAATAATTTGAGAGCCAAATTCAGGATTTGCTTCTTCTAAAATGCTAACTTATTATTTTGTAATTATTTATTCAAAATTTATTTGCTAAGATTGTTATATATTTTAATTTTAGAGTGAAGCTCTCTTAGAAGAAGCTATTGTAGGAGAAATTTGGGTTTACTGTTAAGGCAAATTAATCATTTAGACATTTTAAGTAATATACATTTCATCTTCTTATCTAATGTTATTTTATTACTTAGAAACAGATTCTTAATATTAAGATTAAAACAAAGTATCTTAATTTCCTTCATCCTATTGATTTTTTTACTATTTAGGTGACTGTTAAGACTATTTTGGAGACTATACTGGACTCTACATATTTATTTAATCTTGTAATCCTATGATAGATTATTAAGTATTGTTATTCAAATCAATCTATGTTTGATTTGTAATACCTTAAATAGGAATTTTCATTTAAAGCAGCTTGTTTTTTTTCATTAGCTCTTTAATTTAATTTTACAAGTGCTAATTATCCCTTTATAAATCTCTAATTGTTCTTTCTCTACAAGCTAAATCATCTTTTTTTTTACCAATAATTTTATACAAGGCTAAGCACTCATCTCTCAGCCACACAATTTACCTTTCTAAGCCAGCAACACGGTCATTGTCATTAAGTCTTTTCTCTTATTCTTCAGCTTACTTTTTCATATCTACCATCTCCTATTTAATCTTAGACATGTGATTACGATAAGCAAAGAGAAATTCTGCCTCGTGACGCTCTACAACAGTATCTAATTTTCCCTCTAGATCGTCTATAATTGAACTAATTTAATTATGAAGCTCATTGATCTTAGGAAAGCTTTCTAATCCTCTAAAAGCATTTATATTTGTAATAAAAAACTAAGTTTAAGAAACGTCAAATTTGCTTCTTTGCACTTTTAAATCAGGTAATGGAGAAATGCATGGTGTGTTTCCTCCTTGCTACATCATTCTCCTTTTAGGAGATAAAGAGCTATTATAATCTCCTTTCTTTGGAGAAAACTAGCCTGCATTTTAAAGATTTAAATTTATGCTATTTCTTTATTAATTTTTGGCTTAAATATTTTCTTCATGCTAATTCTGATTCAAAGCTTCTCCAAAGCTTGTTTGCCCTTTGAGTTTCTCTTATTAATCATCAATAACCTATAAAGATGGTGTTCCATCAACTGTATTTGGATTTTAAATAACATTTTTATGATTTGGATCATCTGTTTATATTTTTTTAAGATCTATTATAGATTTTCTAGCTATCTACTAGGGCAGAACTTCTTTTTTCTGGCTTTCTTACTAATCAACTGAATCTAGTTTCTTTTAAGACTGTTAAACTTCGGACATACTGATAAAGATTAAGTAAAATAAAAGTCTTAGTTTAATTTGAAATGTTTTATGAAAGACCTACCTACCTACTTACTATTTATTTTATTATTATTATTATCTAATTTTAGTTGTAAAAATATATAAAATTATTGAGTATATATAAGATGTGTGAGCGCAAAGTGTATGTGTATTCTTAGGATTTTCAATTAATCTTTTCAAAAATAATAAATTTATTTGTGTTTGTATTTAGTTTTTAGATTATCCTTAACAAATTTAATTAAAACATTTAATGTAATCAAGCATTAAATATCATATAAATTTTATTTATATGAATTTTTGATTGGTTCTGACAGAACCTTTTTTTATAATAAAGTTGATCTCATAACTAATGCCATTAATTATTATTTTTTTCTTATTTGCGCAGAATGTTTTAACTAATTAATTTTTTAAAAATTATTGCCATCTGATTAAAAAAAATAAATGAATTAGCTCAAAATATTAAAAATAATTTGTTGAAATTTGTAGATATTATTTGAAAATATTTTAAATTTATAAAGACATAAAACAATAATTATTATTATAAAAAATATAAATTAAATAAATTAATCAATTAATGAACAATTCACAATGAGTGTTCTTTAAATGTAAAATAAATAAATAATCAATCAATCTATCTATCAGGAATTTTAAATATTGTTGTTGAATGCATAAGTGTTATTTGATTAAGATTAATCGTTATATTAAGAATCTTATAATTACTAGCCTTTCATTTAGCTCATTGTTATATATCCACCTGATTTAAGATACTCTTCATATTTTTCTTCTGTGACTTTTTCTCCAAGGGCATAATAGACTATTTCCACTTAGTTATTTTTGTAAATGAGTTTTCCTATACCATTTCTCTTGTCTTATACATAAACACCTTCAAACACCTTTCCATCTTGGTAAGTAAATTTTCCTTGTCCATGCTTCAAACCGTCTTCAAATAATCCTTAATTGTTTTTTAAATGTTTGAATATTTAAAAAATCTGAACTAAATAAATAAATTAATACCTTCAAACTTAGTGTTATTTGGATAGACTTCTATTCCTGTACCATGCTTTTTATCGTTATACCATTCTCCTATTAATTATTTAAATATTATTTCTCTATATTCTAACTTCTTAATTTACCTTAATAGTATGTTCCTTTACTAAAATGCATGACACCGTTTCCTTGTCTTGCACCTCTATTTTAAATTTTAAAAATTTATTCTGTTAGAAAGCTCAATAATTAATTAATAATAATTTATACTAATCAATATCAATTGGTAAAATATCATAAATTATATTGAATTTAGATAAATTAATTAATTACCTCTCCCATTAGCCAAAGTAAATGTTACCATCAGCATAATAGCGAGTTCCAATCATATGTCTTTGACCATTCAAGAAAAAGCCCTCATATCTAGAATTATCAGCATAGATTTCCCTTTTATAAATCAATGTATCACGATCGCCCAGCTGTTAAGTTTACTAATTCATATAATTAAGAATCTCTTAGATTTAGAGACCCCAATTTTGTTACTAGACTTTTCCATTTTCTACTGTTGATGAGAAATTACCTAATTTAACACCAATGGTTGGAGTAAATGGTAAATCTTCATGGGTCATGGTTTGTACTTAGGAAACACTTACACAAGACTTAAAGCGATTAAGCCCATCTAGTATTTGCTTTTGGATATTTTTTAAGTTTTCGCGGTCTATTCTTGCCTAAACCATTGAAGAATCAGTAATCTGAGTGTTTTACATATTTTTTGCAAAATAATTATATAATTTTTATTGCAAATTTATTTTTTCTTTGTCATTCAACATAAAATTAATTTATGTTTAAAATGTGTCATAAGTTATCTCTCTTTAAAAAAATTTTTTTATTAAGTCCTATAAGTCACTAAAATCATAGGCATCTGAATACATTTTTTTAAGGTTGTCGAGGAACTTAACTTTTTCTTTGCCTTCACCGCGAAGATAAAAAACATTTATATCAAGAAGTAAACTTTTTTTGAGAGCTTCCAGTCTTTTTAAAAGCTATTCTTATAAGCCATCAAAAAATACGTCTAATTCTTAGTACAATCCTTGAATATATTGGTTTTCTACATTAACGTATTCTTTAACTTATTTGCCACGGTCTTCTAAAGGCCAATTCTAAATATTTTAATCATCTAGATTATCAAATATCTCTTGAACCTTTACCATAAACTTCTAATGTATAGAGTGTTAACCGGCGTAGCATTTAGAGCAAACTAATCTTGTCTCAAACTAGCATTCCTTTGCCATACATACCCATTAAATTGATTTTTGTTGGTGTCCTTAAAGACCACATTTTATTTGATGAAGTGCTGTTGAAAAAGAAGTCATATTTGAGGATTTTGTAGTGCTAAATCCGTTTCTAGATGGACTTCCCATTGATGACATTGAAAAATTCAATCCTCTTGTAGGAGATTATGCGCCTTTTTATGAAAATGTTCCACTTGCTCTCATCCCTATTGCTGTTTTTTCCGTCCTTCTTTCTTTGTTACTATTAAATTTGGAGATGGAAATAAATACCTTTTGTAAGTAAAAAAGTTGTTCTACTGATAATTTAATTTGTTAAATTATTTATTGATTTTTTTATTTTTTAATAGAAATCAACTTTTTATTTACCTTCATGAAGCTTAGAGCAAGAGAATATTTTAATTACTGGAATTATCCACAAACAACAAATTTTATTTAGCTTTTTATAAATAATTCTAAATTAAAAATAAAAATGAGATCTAAAAATAAATAATTGATAAGATTATTTTAATACTAAGAAGACTGGATGGAATGGTACACTGACTATTTATTAGTTAACTGTTTTTAATAATTTAAATTCTATACAAATAGATTTTGTTCTAAAAATTTATTTCATTAAATTATATTTTTTCACATTAAAAATTTTAAAGTTAGATTTTTTAATTAATTTAATTTTTTTAAGACTAATTTTTTATTACTTATCAAATACGATTTAAATTCATTTAAACAATAAAAATAATTAATTTTATTGAAATTTATTACATATAATACCTTATTCTTAAATATTCAATAAAGTTTAAATGAAATAATATATTTATTAATTTCTTTTAATTAATTTAATATCATATATAATCATTTATTTTTATCTAAATAATTTTTTATTTAAATAAGGTTATTTGCTATTTTAATAATATATAATACCTAATGGAGGTGGAAAATTATTGGGGTAATATTATATCTAAGATTATAACCTTCTAGTTTATTACACAGACAACATATGTAATGAATAGCTCTTTTACTCTAATTTATAAACTTAATCGGATGATGGATATACAAGTAATTCTTATACTGAAATTGGATATGGAAAGGTAGTTTAGTTATTTTATGATCCTTTTGAATAAAGATTAAAGTAAATGTTTGAAATGAAAAAATTTTATCAAATTTAAAAAAAATTACTTTAATAATTATAATCAAAGCAATAATTTAAATCTATTTATTATTTTAAATAATTCATATGATTTTCAAAAGAATTCTTTTAATGTAGTTAGTCTATTTGTTAACTCGATTTAAATATTTAAATTCTAAATAATTAGTTTAAGAAAAAGCTAAATTGTAATAAATCTAAAAAATTATTTTAATTATTATCGATTTTAGTATTATTTTATAAATACTTATGCATAATCATTATAGAATATCATAATATTTTACTCTAAAATTAGCTCAACTATTTTAAAATACTTAATTAGCTTCAATTTAAAGATAAAATATTTCTATTTTTTATACTAATTTATTAAAAAATATGTTTTTAAACATTTAGCTTTTAAGAAAGACTAATTAAGTAGAAAGTACTTTGAATATTACTCCACTGTTATTCAGTACAAACTTTCATAAATAAACAGTGTAAGCATTTTTTAAATTAAGATAAATATTAGTCTTTTTTGTGAAAGTGAATTTAAATTAGGAGTTTTGAGAAAAAAAAATCAAAGAAAATTGGAGTTTTTAGTAATTAACAAAGTCATAATTTTATAAGTATTATAAATAAAGATTGGTCATTTTTGCAATCAAAATAAGAGAATTGTATGAAGAATTTAATACAAAAGTAATCACTAGAAAAATAAAAATATGTGTTAGTATCTCAAAGAATGCCAAAAATTTTTTAAATGCTAATTAATATGGTTAGGAGAATTTACTTTGTTTTTTATATCTATGTACTAATTTGATCATATTAAAATATAAAAAAATATGAAATATTATGTAAATAATTGTAAATAATTGTAAACTATTAGCAAAATATATAAAAAATGTTATCTAAAGTGATGATGTTTAATAAATAACTATATCCTTGAATAGCTAGCTCTCTTTGTTTTACTTTCTTTAGAATCTATAGATTAACAAATTTATAATGAAAATACATTCTAATTGTTCATTCAGTCTTCAATTTTTCTTTACTTGATTTAATTTAGGGAAAAAGTATTATTACAAAAAAGAACTAAATATCAAAAAAAAGAAGAAATATATTACTGAAGAAACTTATGCAACATATTGCGGCATTAGAAATATTTGATTAAGCTATTTAAAAATGCCGTTCTGATATTATTAAATACCAAATTTAAAGTGAAAAGCTAGTAACATTATTTTTTTATTTCAGCATATCTTTTTTTGAAATAATTTTATTTGTCAAATGCAAAGATTATTTGAGTTTTATATCTTTTAGATAAGCCATTAATTATCTTAGAGATAAAAATGATGATATTTTTTCAGAGATATTTAAGTCTATTTAAAATTTTAACTTAGATGACTTAGGGAGAAATTATATTTTGAATAAATAACATTTCATTTTAAACAATTCTATTAATATTAAATAGTTCTTATTTGTATTGGTTTGGATCTTAGAGAAGAACCATCTATTTGCATACAGTTTTACATAGAATCACATTAAAAAAAGTTAAAATGAATTGTGCAAAGCTATTTTAAATCAGATAAATGTTAAAAATAACAAATATAGTCATTAAAACCTCATCAAGCAAAATGAAAGGGAGAGCAAATATTTGAAATTTAATAAAGAATCGCAATCAAGAAATTAAGATAAAAAACATTGGCCTGATAATTGTAATATTTAATTAGATCTACAATCAGCTAATCCTCAAGATTAAATAATTTAAGTTTTAAACGATTAGAGTTACAAATAAAATGAATCAAAGTCTTCTCCATATCAAAGAAAAATAGAGAAAGGCCAAGATAATCTTAGATGCCCTTCTCCTCTAGATGAATCTTGTTTAATTTTCTCAGAAAACAATATAAGAAAGAGAATGGCTTTGAGTCTTTCAAGAGAAGAAGAATAAGTTTAGTTACAAAGTGGAAATACTCTAAAAGGAGAACAAAATAAATAAAATGAAAGCAAATAAGTGGTTCCTATCTAATTCAAATTTGCTATTGAGCGTGATAAAATTTATGAACAAAATCTTAACTTACTTAAACAATGCCCTGATATATTTGATATCAGCATTCAATAAAAAAATGAACCACAATCAAATTCTAAAAATAGCCCTGCCATAAATAAGAATCAAAAAATATTAAATTCAGAAGAAAATAAAAATGTGCCTCAAAATATTTCAAAAATCGAACATTTATTTAATTAATTTAATAATGGTGGCATGAAAGATCAGTAGAAGTAGCAAAAGCTATACGCCCAAATAAATTCTAACTTAAATTAAGGAATAAATTCTACAACTACACCACTTTTACCATCAACAGTAATTAATACTCCCTACCAAATTGACAATTCATACTAATAATAAAATTATGGATTAAATATAAATAATCCTTGTTTGATCGGCTAATTTGGAAATGTAGAAAACACTCACGCTTATATTCATAATACCAATCGAGTACCAGTAACTGCTTCATAGTTCTAACAAATCCCTATTAATCCTAATACAACCTCAAGCAATTATTCCTCTGCTAGTAATATTTCTTCTCAAAGAAGTATGAATAACAGCAACAGTAATTGCATTTAGAATTAGCAATATTCTTATGAATAAGAAGCTTCTTTTCATTATGATCCTTTAAAAAAGCAATTAAATGGATTATTTTAGTAATACTCAAATAATCAGCAACAACCTTCGCCGAATCAATAAAAAATAAACTCTCCCTCCCCTTCTGAAATAATTTTAGCTAAAAATACTTTTTTGACATCTAATTATTAACTACCCTCTTCTCATCAACAAGAATAAATCCCTATGTAATAATATTGCAAGATTGTGAACTCAGCAGAAATAAATTTATCTCAAAATTTAAATAACCAAAATTCCTCACATTAAACCAGTAATTTGCTAATAATATTTATTGTTTTTTGTTGATTAAATATTTTATATGTATAGAAATAGATTAAAAGGATGATCATTCATGTGACACTCAGAAATCAAATATTATTGATAGCAATTTGATGAAGGCCGTTTCAGAAGAAATAGAAAGCGTGAATAACACTAGTATAATCAGTGCAACTAATAACAATAACTAAAATTCTAGCACTTCCAAAAAATAAAAAAATAAATAAAATAAAATACCAAGTGATGACACATACAATTATGTTTAATAACTATTCCAAATAGAAGCAAATGACCATAACCACTCAAATTCTAAAATTTTACAAAATAGCAACAATGTCTAAAATGTAAATATGATTTCAGAAAAATAAAAATTAATCGACGAAAATCCTATCTCGATGAGCTCTTTTAACTCAAATTCTTCTACTTCTCTAAAACAAAAAAAATCTCTAAGTAATGCTATAGAAGACGATGCTGCTATGGCAGAAAAGTCAAAGTAGAAGCTAAAAGAAAAGCAGCTTTTATATTTGTGCAAAGAATTGTCTTAGAACAAAAAAGTTTAGTCTTTAGAATTAAAGGAAGAAAAGAATAAAATCACTTCAGATATTAATTATAGTTAGAGCTCTTATATTAGATAATAATGTGCTATGAATGTGTCAGAAGAAGGTGAAGCAAATCCAATTTTTAATTTTTCAAGTAAAAAAAGATTAAGTCTAATATTGTAATAAAGTCTCATTTCAAAAATAGAAGAAGCTCATCAAGATTTTTCAACTCCAAAAAATGTAGAATATGAAACCTGCTCTTCGTTAGATATAAATGAATAGTGAAAAAATAGAGTAAGTACCAAAATAATATCTGAACATAAAGTTATATTTATGCTGCAAAGTTATATTTTTCTACATCCAATTAAGCCAAAAATTGTTGATGTTGATATGAAAATAAAAAATTTAAACAACCAATTAATAATTAATTCATAAATAAATAAACAAACAAACTAACAAGAAAAAAATATTTAATTTTAATCATATGCAATCAGAAAATTAAACAACAAAAATAAAATTATTAAAAATTGCACAAACAAAAAAACTAACTAATAAACAAACAAACAAAGAGTATATTCCATCTAATATAATAAAATAAATAATTTAATATTTCAAAATAAAATTAATTTATCTAAAATGTATTTTATTAAATTTTGTAAATAGGCTTTATTAAAATAAAAATTAATGAATTTAGTTTTTTTATATTTAAAAATACAAAAGTAAATTATAAATATAATTTACACCAATAAGCTGATCTTTATGATTTTATTAACTGAATTACCTTTATAAAAGTTAATTTACTTTGAGGTGTAAAATTTATGAGTATTTTTATAATTAAAATATTAAATATATAAACAGAAAATACTTTAAATATTTTAATCATATTTATTCTATTCTATATAAATGATGCTGATATTTATATCACATCACTTAAAAAAACTTTTTAATGAAAAGAAAAAATATAATTAAGTCATATTCATTTATTTTATTTTTTTAAATTATAAATATTTTACTCTCTACCCATTTCATATATATATATATACTACTTACATAAATAAAAAGTAATAAATTAAATCAAAGAGAATACAATAATGTTAATGTTTGAGTGATAATAATTTGTTTACTTTGTCAGTAAATTAATGAATTAGTTAATTGTAAGTTAGATAAATAAATTATTTAAGAAATTTTATTTCAAGCAAATTTTGCAGAAAAATAAACAGTTAAACTAAAAGAAACAACTAACAATAAAGTAAAACTAAAAATAATTTATAATTAAATATGTTGGTACATTATAAAATTAATAAATGTAAATTGAAAGCTTATTAACTTGTATTTGTAGATTTTTTATTACTTTACTTGACATTTAAATTTATATTCTTTTATAATTTTTTTTTTTCATATGTTAATTATTTAACATGTTTATTTATTATTACATTTTAAATTATTTAATCCTATTATTAAGTTCAATTAATGGTTTTTACAATTCAGGACTGCAAACAAATTGCTAGTATTTAATGCAGTTTTACAATTTTAATATTAGTAATTTATTTCTATTTCATTTTTACCAAAACTATTGATTTTTCCTTTTGTTACTGGTATATATTTATTATCTTTATATTGTCATAAATATTGAAATTATAAATATGTATATCTATCTATAAAAATTTAAAAAGAATTTTAGTTTTAGGAAATAATTTATTTAATGGTAAATAGTGACACATTTTAATTTAATTTCCTATTTAATTAATAATGCTAACAATAATTAATAAATGAAGACAATAAATAAATTAATACTCTCATTAGAAAGAAATAAACCCAAATTAATAGTTTTTTAACAATCAAAAAGAAAATTTCAGTGGTTTATAAAAAATCAATTGAAAAAAAAACAATTAAATACAACCAATGGTAACATCTTTTTTTGATGAAAGTAAAGATGAATATAAAAATGGTGCTAATTAAAGATTTATATAATTAGGTGAATAATTAAGGTTTATAACAACTTATGAAAAAAGTAAATGAAAAAAAGTGTATAATTAAATTATAGTTTGAATAAAAAAGAAACAAAAAAAAAGATTAATTATTTAATAATAACAAAAAGTGATTAAAAAAAGGGAAAGTTGTTAAAAGGAATAAAATAAATATTGAAAGATCTAATAATATTGGATTTAAGTTTATAATTATAAAGTATTAGTGTAGATATAGATGGTCCAACAAAATGAATCAGCAACGGAGAAATCCACTAATAACAACAATGTAGTTCTTCCACTAGAAGAAAACCGCGAGCGTTAAAATTAAACCACTTAATCAACGAAAAACAATGAAAGCATTAATGCTAATGGTATTAAAATTGAAAACCCTTTGATAAAAAATGGAATTCCTGTAGTTCCAGAAGATAAAAAATCGAAATCTATTGGGCACTACATATTAGGTAAATAATAGCTGTTAATAATTAATTTTCTATTTTTTGATTAGCGAATATTGGCTGACATTCCTTTTGTTGTCATTAATAATTCTTAATTTTTTTGTTGTTTTTGATTTGTTCTCATTTACTTTTTATATGCTTTACAAAGTTAAAGTGAAATTTTTTGAACTTAAAGAAATTAATATTTCTGTTAAACAAAAATAAAATGTGAGATAAATTTTTAAGTTATTTTGCATAAAAAAATAGGTAAAAAGTTAGGTGAGGGTACCTTTGGTAAAGTAAAGCTAGCAACTCATATCTTAACTGGTGAAAAAGTAGCCATTAAAATTTTAGAAAAAGATCGTATTATTGATGTTTCTGACGTTGAAAGAGTATCAAGAGAAATTCATATTCTTAAGCTTCTTCGTCACTCTAACATCATCTAGCTTTACGAGGTAATAACTTAAAATAAATTGCAAAATGAATCAGAATTAGATTGAAAAATACATTTTTTTAGAAACGGCAATAAAAATTGGTTAAATTTAATGAAAATCATTTCATTTTTTTACTTTTAACAGATTAAGCATTGCTTAGCAATTAATAAGTTATTAATAAAATTCTAACGAAAATTTTTTATTAAAAATGTAGATCATAGAAACACCTAAGTAACTCTTTTTAATCATGGAATATGCTTCAGGTGGAGAATTGTTTGATTATATAGTAGCAAATTAGAGGTAAGTTTTTTATTAAAATTTAGTTTGCTTTGCTAAATTTGAGATAGCTCATTTTCTTATTTAATTTTTACTTTAAAATAAGAGTAAAAGAAAGAGAAGCTGCAAGATTCTTTTAACAGATTATTTCAGGAATTGAATATATTCACAAATTAAATATAGTTCATAGAGATATGAAACCAGAGAATTTGCTTTTAAACCATGACAAATCAATTAAAATTGTTGATTTTGGTTTATCAAATACATACAAAAAAAACGAATTGTTAAAAACTGCCTGTGGTTCTCCATGTTATGCAGCTCCTGAGGTACATTTTTGCTTCTTATTTTGATTTTGTTAATTTTTACTTTTTAACAAAATGATAATTTTTTCATTTTTTATTATTTATCAATCAAATAGATGATTACAGGAAAAAGATATAATGGTCTTGGAGTAGATATTTGGAGTTGTGGTGTTATTCTATTTGCCTTAATTTGTGGTTATCTACCTTTTGAAGTAATAACATTTTTTCACTTTTATCAAAACTAATAACAAATATATAAAAAATAATTATAGGATCCTGTTACTGCTAATTTGTATAAGAAAATTACTGCAGGAGATTTTACAGTCCCAAAGAATGTATCTAATGAAGCCCGCGATTTACTTAAGAGTATATTAAATACTGACCCATAAAAACGTTTCACTATTGAAGAAATCAGAAATCACCCTTGGTGCAATCAATATAAACTAAATAAGACTCCTGAAGGAATCATCGTTGGTTATAATAGAATTCCTGTTGATATGGACATTTTGAAATAATTAGAAAGTTTTAGTTTCAATTTAGATTATGCTTAAAAATGCATAGATGCTAATAAGCATAATCATGTTACGACATGTTACTATTTACTCCTCAAAAAGCATATTAAAAATGGAGGAAAATCTGTAGCTGATATCTGCTCAGATGATTTCGACTCTTCCCTATTACTTCCTAATAAGAGACCAGCTAAAAGTAAATAATTAATTAAATCAATTTATCTTCAATTAAAAATTAATTTTTTCAAAAAAAAAAAGCTCCTCACAAAGAATAATATGGAAGTGATTTAATCAGTACACATGAAGAAAAAGAAAACCAAAATGACACTCGCTGTAAGAATAGCGTCCTTAACTCTAGAAAAGAATCAAGAGATCACTCCTATAGCTATACCAACGCAAATAACTTGAACAGTAAGTTGTGCTCCTCTTAAAATTCTGCCTCAAAGGATGTAGATAATATCTTAAACAACAATACAGCCTAGCTAAACTAAGCCAACTAATGTAAACAAAATTCATCTTTTTTATTTAATCTTTTATATATAAATAATAATATATAAATAGACAAAAAGGAAAACACGAATAATACTTCAATGACTATCGACTAAAAGTCAACTGCAAATAGTAAATATCCAAGCTATAAATCAAGTAAGAGAAACTCTATTCAAACCAATAAATTATCATACAACTCTGAGAACTAGTATCCTAACACAACAAAGCCTGTTGCTAATAACAATTATGTATTCGATGGAAACTAAATAGCAAATCCAAATGTTCACCCATATCCTTAAATGAATATCCACTCTTAAACTAATCAACAATCAATTCAATAATAAATTATATACTAGCAATAATAGCTTTAATAAAACAATTATTTCTAAGCTAACTCAGCATTAACTTCAGGCACTTAGTCACCTTACAAGCATTCTTCATAGCAATACGCCCCTTATGCTTAAAACAATCACTATAATTACTCTAACACAGGAGCCAGAAATACTCCCTCATAAAATAACACAATTCAAATATCTTACTTAAATGAAACACTAAAATCAGTTGATAACAGTATTCTTAATAAAATTCCTCAATATGCAGACTCTTCTTTTAATAATTCTCCAAGAGCCAATGGTAAAGATCCTATGGAAAAGCGTAAAATAATTAATTAAATAAATAAACAAACAAATATTTAATTTTAAACAGACTAATTTAATCAAAATGATTATTAAAATATTTATTTCACCTAAATATTTTAATTTTATAAATTTTTTATTTATGAAAAATAGTTCGCAATAAAATAAAAGAAACAAACTAGAAAAGATCAATTAAAAATGGATCAAATAATGGAATAAATAGTAGTGGTAATTAGAATGACTGCTCATTTATTAATAACAGCAACGAATCATCCCGTCAATAGTTTAATATTCCTGGAACTCTTGGACAGAGAATGAGATTTGCAAACATAAAGAAGAACCCTAATAATATGAATGCAAATTTTACAAATAATTAAAACATGTAAAGTGGACATCCTCAATCCACTCTACCCTCTCGTGGCTACAGCTAGGGAAGAGAATCTAAGTCTCATGCCTCTTAAAGGTAACTAATTTTATAATTTAATTCATAAGATTTATTTATTAAACATATACTAAAGGTAAAAGTAGTAGTAAACTGGCAATAAAGTGAGAGGTGTTACTCAAGAACGTAAAGGAGTTTCTCCAATCGAAAGAGAAAGAGGAAAATCTACAGAGCCTTTTGATGATTGCAATACTTCTGGTTATCGTATATTAGGAATTGATAACTGCAATACTTCCCTTAATACTTCAGGATTCCATAATAACATAACAATAAATAACCCAACTCTTGGATTAAATTCATCTTTAAAAAATAATACAACTAATTCGAACAATTATTCATTCGATTTAGGAAATTATGCTCAGCTACAGCTTAGTTAACAATAATAAATATAAATTACATAACAGCTAAATAGCAGCTTTTAGCATAATGGATATTCAAACTCAAATATAAACTGTAATATTGTTCCATCAAGTATTCAAAGCTCAAACACCACGAAATCGAGTTCATAAAGTCATAGAAGAGGAAAAAGTAGTCCTTTGCAAAATATCCTGAACAAACTAGAAAAGAATAAAAATATTTAATAAGGAAATAATAACAACAACTACAACTTAAATAACTCTTTCAATTTAAATAATACTTATAATGGACCTGCGGCATATATTTCTTCTAACTATACAACAAAGAATTAAAATTAATAATATAATCGTAAATAAATCTATTGAAAAATGAATGAAAAATCTTTATAATTAATTTTTCCCTAAAAATAACTAACTAACTAACTAATATTAATTAATTGGTAAAATAGTGAGAATAAATTGCTAAAGAATATAAACAAACATTAAGCAAGTAAATAAGTAAGTAAATAAATAAATAATAATTAAGTAATATAATAAAATTAATTAAAAAAATCCCTCTATTACTCAAATAATAAAGCATTTCATGAAAAATAACTATGAATTTGTCTGTAAATTAAACAGACAAAAATTTAGGACTCTTTTATATTTTTACAAAGTATATTAAAATAGTTCACTTTGTTGAATTCTTTTATTGAGTAATGCTATAAATATAATTAAAATTTGATAATTTGTACATATACTATATCAAGTTATTATGTTTTTCTTCTTTAATTTCTTCTAATTTCAGTAAATATTATCTATTTCTTTTTAATTCATTTTTTTAAATTTAATTCCGTTTCTTACAAATTAATTTACATTTATTTTAGTGTTTCTTTTCCCTTCTTATATTTTTTACTTTTTAAATAAAAATATCAAATTTTTTTATTCCAGTTTTTTGTATTTAATTTTACATTCATTAAGCCAAAAATGTTATTTTTATTTAATTTTGAATTTTAAAAATTATTTTTTAAATATAAATAAAAATAATTCTAACATTTTTTAAATAAAAAATTAGCTAAAAGTTAAATATTTATTTTAGAATAAATTTAAAAACAAAAAAGGGTCCATCTTAAAATTGCTATTATGTCATTACAAAAGGTTAAGTTAAATTAAAAAAAAAAATTTTCAATTATTTTAATATATTTTAAATGGAAAATTTTTTAGAAATATTAAATAATTTTCAATTTTTATCTTTTTTATAAGTAATAAAAAAAATCATGTAAGTTAATTTTCATTAAACAGATTCACAACTTTAATTTCTAACACTATGAAATAAAAAACTAGCTGGCTATCACGACTATGCAAATTTTAGATAAAATTTGAAAGATATGAAATAAACCTGGTTTAAATTTGAATTCATCAACTTTTTAACTAATTTAATTAATTAGTGTCAAAATAAAAATAACATATAATAAAAAACAAACAAAGAACTATTTAGTATAAAGTATCAAATTAGGATATATTTATTTATCAAATGATACTATTAATATGAGGATAATTATTAATTTATTTATTTTTAAATAAAATGTAAAAAATGTTTGTTGCTTTTTTTTTGAATGAATTTTGTGCATAATTATAACAATTAAATTTTTGTTCGAATTATAAATCCAAAAGTTATAAATAACATATAACATTTACAATCAATAAAAATCATTCAAAAAGATAATATATTATAATAACAAATTCCAATTGATAAAGCATATTAAGAAATCAATTAATTGAAGTAAGTACTTCGATTAATTAATTAATGGAAAGATAGATAGATAAGTTCTTGAAGAAGGTGAAATTAATAACAAATAAAATTTTCTGATCCTGCTATTAGTAATTAAAAATATAAAAATTAATATAATTATTGATTGAAGATAACCTTATCTATCCAAAAGATAAATAGCAAAAAAACAAAAATTGCATTCAAACTTAGTTTAATATAACAAACCTGATAAAAAATCTGCACATTGACAGACAGACAGCAAACTAAAATTACTCGCTCTCCCTTTTCTTTTTAAAAAACTTTACACAAGAGAGTTTATATTTATCTATATAGTAAAGAATTGCGAGTAGTGAAGGTTTTTGTAAAAAAGAAAACCTCGATCTTTACCAAAATATATCAAACCATTTGAGATAGTTTTGATCTAATTAGTTGCAATATTTCAGAGTGTAAAAACACCATTGTGAACAATTAAAAAAATTCAAGGGAATAACTACAGTATTTTAACAGAGTAACTTATCGACTGTTGAATTTTTCCAATAGCTAATTAATATTTTGAACAAAATAAAAAAATTTTATTGATACTGTCAATAAATAAATTTATTGTAGCTTGCTTTTTAAAAACTCTTAATTTAACTAGAAATATTGTGTATTGATTGGTTTTATCCTTCCAGCACTTTAAAATCTATATATCTATATATCTTAGACCTGTATCAAAATCCTTAAGTAAATAACTGCATAATAGGAAACAAAAAACCCATCAATAGCAATATCTAATACAACTTAAAATATCTGAATCAGAAAGCCAACCTTCATCAATATTTATTTTCTAATCTAATTAATGAGTAGAACGAAATCTGATACATTCGACAGTATATTTTAAGTGCGAACACCTGAAAGAAAAACATAAAAGCATAAGCTATCAGATTAGCATACCCATATAAAAATATGTTCTCCTCTGCCTCAAAAAGAAGGGATGAATCTTTAAAGCTATCTTATTTTGACACCTAATAGAGAGACTCTAAAAAATAATTGCAATGGCTGTGGGGTATCAACTCCTTAAAAAAGTGAGAATATTTCATACTCGACTTGCGCAAGTGCTTATAACAAAAGTTAAAGCATACAAAAACAAAGAATTAGCTTTGATACTGATTAATATTATGAATTTTGTCCTTTTGGTAATACTATAGAACCATTTTTTTACAGTGAAGAATTATCTACTCCTGTACCAAAACTAGAGTCTTAAAAGGAAGATATAACAAGGTTAAGAAAAGATTCTATAAATCCTCATGGTAAAGACCTAGAAATGCTTACAGACGCAATTTAATCTCAACACTTAACAGATATCATATTGTAATAAAACAGTGAAAACTTTAAAGTCTTAGATCCATAATTAGTGTTATAAGAAATTGAAATTGCCTTTATGCAGCTAGAATCTTGCTCTTCTACCTTTATTAATTAATATCATAGCTGAGATGTTTGCTACAAATAAATCTTTGGGAATAGTTTAATACAATCAATACATCAGTCAGTCAAGCAATCAATCAATCAAAACAATCTATTTTTTTAATTTTGTAAATACTGAATAAGAAAAAAGAAAACAAGCTATAACTAAATATAAAAAAATATAAAATATTAAAGAAAATTTATAAAAAATATAAAGGAAAATAATAATATAAAGACAAAAAATATTAAAAAATTATTAAAAAGAAAATTATAATTAATTACTTCATACTTTCTTGCAATCATAAAAAAGTAAAAAAGATCAAATTAGATGGAATTTTTTATTACAAAAAAATTAAAAATCTGATATGATGTTATGTACAATTTAACTAAAAAAAAAATAATATTAGCTCAAATCTCTACCAACTATCACTATACTTAAAAAAAATTATAAATTTACCTTTATTTATTTATTACAACTCCTTATAAAAATCAAAACTTTAGAATTCCAAAAAGTTAATTGAAATTGACTGCTTCATAGGTTCTAAAAAATATAATAAAATAAAACAGCTATTATAAATACATGGAGCTATTTATATATACTTTTTTATTGAAATTTATGAACATTAAATACTAAAAAACTATCAAATATTAAAGCAAACCTTTAATAATCAATAAAATTAAAAATAATAGAATTTTATGCTTAAAAATAATATAATAATAAATCATCTTTAAATTGTTCCATAGAAACCAAAGCAAGAAGAAAAAAAATAATAATGAACAATTGACATTAAATCATAGAATAATTTTATAGTGAATGATTGATATCATGTCAAATAAAGTTAGCAGTAATAAATAGCAGCTTAATTGGTTATTAATAAACATTTAGATATTCTAATAAATAAACAAATTCATTAATTTATCAAGTAATTAATTCATCAACTAATTTTAAAGTTTAAAATTATTATTTATATAATTAATATTTTATATATAATTGTTAATACTATTTTATCATTTTAACTATTAAATTTAATATCAAGAAAAAATATCTATTTTTTTATACTTAAAAGCTATTAAAGACATGCTTTCTTCATAAATTTATTTTTTATTTCTAAAACCATATCAAAAAATACCAAAGCTTTTTTTTTTTTTTAATAAGCAATTCAAAATTATTATTTTTTTCAAATTAAAATTGATGATTATGAATATGAAGCTGTTCTTAGGAATTCATATATTTTTTAAATATTCTACTTGTTTTTATAAAGTTAGAGCTTTTAGTTTATTTAACTGAACATTTTCATGTTTAAATATTAAATCAAAGCAGCTGAGCCATTCATTTAAATAAATTTACTTATTTTTTTTTCATTCAAAAAATATCCAAAATGTTATGTTTATAATTATTGCATTTCAAAATTTGTTAAGAGTTTGGTAAAATCAAAACAAATTTAATTAAGTCGATCAAGTAAAAATAATAATTATGAAAAGATTAACGTAAATCTTTTGCTATAAAATTTTAATTAGATAATTGTTTGATTCTTTAAGAAAAAGTATAAGTAAGAGATTATCAAGATTCACTATTATTAATTTAAAATGATAAGCTTAAACAGTAATTAAAATAGCAATAGTGTCAAAGTTTTATGCTCAAATTGCAAAAATAGAGCCTCATATCCATTAACGCTTCATTGTTAGCATTAGATCTGCTTTAAGTGTGCTGAAAAATTAAATAAAAAGGAAAGGATTGAGTAATATTAAACTTATTAGACTGAAAATTTAAATTTTAATTGACTATTTTACAAAAAAGTAATAGAAAAGAGAGCCCAAATCATATTAATTTTTTAAATTAAAATAGAGAATTAAATACAATAGTGTGTCCTTCATGCAAGGCTGTTACTTAAACATCGAATATTTATAATTTGAACCAAGAAATTGCTAAAAATAATATTGAATTAAAAGAAAATTATTTATTAAATGCTCCTAACAATTAATAGATTAGTAGTGGTAATGTTGGTAGCGAATATAGCTCTAATTTAAGCAAGAGTAAGGAATAGGAACAAGGGTATTACATAAATAAAGACTTTTAAACTTTAGATTAAGATTAATAGCCATAAATGCTGCAGAACGAAATTGCTGATGAAGACTTTTAATTTCAAAATATACCTGAAGAAGATGATTTGCATTTAAACACCTTTAACTATTAAATATAACAAAATTAAGGGAATTTTTCAATTTAACCAATAGATACTAACTTATAATAAAACTAAAGAATAGATTATGATCATTTTAATTAAGTTCAGTAAACTAAAAATTAGGAATACCAACAGGATGACTAGGTAATGAGATTGAATGATTTATAATAGGATTTTGCATAATCATAGCTTGTTGAAAACTAAGGTTAGCTTGCATAAAATGAACTGCAAAGTTAACTCTTAGATAACTAGTTTGATGAAAATAGCTAATAAGAGTTTTAGTTCCAGAAGAGCGATTAGCTTCACAAAGAAATGTTTAATTAGCCAGTTACAAAGCAGTAATAGTTATTATACTACGAGGATGATAGTTTAATTCAGTTACAAGATAATTTGAAATAGGGATTTAGCAGTGGAAATGCCAAGTAGAGTATTATGTAAGGAGAGAATTACTTGAAAAAGAAATCTGTTCACAATAACCCTTCCAACGATAGTAGAACAAACCAAAATTAAACAAGCTCTATACAAATTCGTGTTTCTAGCAATAATCCACAGACTGGGATCATAATTAACCCTCATTATTATCCACAGCATGCCAGAAATAATGCAAACAGATTTAAATAGCTACCTGATAAAAATAACTTTCTCAAGAGAGAATAAGATAATACATAATAAAGTTCATCAGACTTTTAAATCTTTTAATCAAACAACAATAACAATGTTGTGAAGTTTCCAAATCATCAAAATAAGCAGTAACAAGAATATTTAGAAATAGAGAGCAATCTAGATTAAAATAAATATTAGCCTAATGTTATTTAAAAATTGTAATTTTCCCCTGAAAATAATTAGCAAATAGACTTTTAATATAATCAATAGATTTAGGAATACTAAAATAATTTAAATCGCCAAAATCTCTTTTTGCCAAATGATGAGGGTTAAACAATTATGGTTGATTAAATAAACTCTAAAAACCATGAAAATATTAATAATAATTAGCTGGAAAATTCTGAAGAATAAAAGAATTAGTATTTTTCTAGAGATTAATTCGATCATAAATTTTATCAAGATGGAGCTGAGCAATATTCTATAAACAATAACGACAGCTAGGGTCAAATCAATCATATATAGATAGGTCCTTAAGTAATTGTAACTAATGGAGCTGGCAGCATTAATCCAGATAAACCTCTTGTTTGTAAAGAACATAATGACTATGTTTAACTCTATTGCCAAGATGACAAATCTCTTCTCTGTGTAAATTGCTTGTATTAAAATGATAAGCACAAGAGACACAGAGTAGCACCACTCAAGCGCAGTATGGATTAAATAAAAAAAGAAAACTAACAATTCAAACTTGAGGCTAAAGAGAAGCTTTAGTTAATTGAAAATTCTTTAAAGATTTGTAATTCTAATAAAAACATTTTGAAAGAAGGCTATTCATACTTATGCGAAAGTGTGAGTAGAGAATTCACAGAAATCTAAAAAATTTTGGTTGAATAAGAAAAAAAAATTCAAACGTAGATTTAAACAATATTTGAGGAAAGATTGAAAGAATACGACCAGATGCTAAATGATTTACATTATCTAAAAAGCTGCATTAGAGAATATAAAGATTGTGATAAAAATACAAATTAAAACTTAACCCTTTATGTTTTTTCGATTTACTCAATGATAAGAAATACCTTGAAAAACATTGATTTTTCATTTAAGTAAATTAATAAAAATGATATTTACATCTGTGATTTCAAAAATAACAGAAGCACTATTATTTAAGAAATATAATCTTTTGGAAAAGTAATTAATGATCTTAATATCAGAGATCCTAATACTTCACAAAATGGTCATTCTGCATAAGTAGGATCTCACACTTCCTCTTCACAAAAACAAAACGCAGTTATTTCTCACAGTAACTCAAAAGCAAACTTTGACAGTAATAAAAAAGGAAATGTAAATAACAATTATTAGGCTATTTAGCTAGGATCTTTAGCTAACTCTGCATCAAAGTCTTAAATTTAATTGTTAACACCAGCATAGATGAACTAAGCTAATTTTTATTAACAAAATATGAATTAACCATAGCAAACTCCAGTCTAAAAAAATTAACCTTCAAATTAGAAATCTTCAACAACATCTCTGGAAGGAAATAGTAACTAATAAATATTATAGAACAATTCTTAATTAAATTTACTATAAAACTAAGGAATCTAGCAAATTGGTAGTAATTTTATCAGCTGCAATCCTTTTCCAGAATAAAATTTAAATCAGCAAATTAAAAATCCTAAATCAAGAAATTAGACTCCCTCTCCATATAAACACAATTAAAAATTAGGATAGTAACAGATGATCGTAGGGAAAGACTTAATAAATAACAATAATATCTAATATCACCGAGATTTTCTAGATGTACAATTTGAGCATTGCAAAAAGTAAACTCCAAGATAAATTTCTCACCATAACTCAAATTAAAATTAATAAAATTTATAGTAATAATAGCAACTATAATAAATATAAAGCTAGCAACAGTAAGCATAATCTGTTTTACAATAATAAGGAATTAATACACATTCTTCTTCTTATGCAAAGCTGATAGTAAGCCGTAGCACGAAATTTTCCAATAAAAAACAATAATAGGAATGCTTCAAAGAAATATAAAAATGCCAAACACCTCCACAAGATCGTAGAATGAATGACTTAGTAAAAAATATTTAAAATGTATCTTATTATGCTTTACTTGAAGAAAAATTTAATAAAAGATCTAAAAGCTCATAAAAAAAACCTGTATTCAATTAGAATTAATTTTTATAAAACAAATGATTTCTATAGAATAAATATAAATATATAAAAATATGTACATATAATTTTTATTTTAAATAAATAATGTTATTTCTCATTTATAAATTTATAAAAAACTAACTTCTCTAAAATAATAAATAATATTTTAATTAATTCAAAAATTTAGTATTAACTTTGATTGGGTTATTAAGACAGATTATGCAGTGATATAAATATAAATATTTTTTTATATTTTAATTTAAATACTTGATTAAAAATGATAAATTATAATTAATAAAAATGATGTTAGTATGAGAATTTATATACTTTATCCTAATAATAAAAATTGATATTTTAAATGTTTAATTATTTTATTTTTAAATAAAATTTAAGCAATTAAATTAGACAATTATTTATGACAAAAAAGAATCGTTAATTATATTTAAATAGATGTGAATAATATCGTTAGAATTTTTATGTCAAATTAATGTTAAAATTTGAAATGATAGAAGGAAAATAATGGATTAATTGCAAATAATTAAAAAATTAATTCATTTTAATGTTAAAATTTTATAATTTATTCTCTTAAATTCAATTTGATAGGGTCGGATAAAAAACCTTAATTCAAAAAACATTTAATAAAGTTTTATTTTTAGCGACTTGAGCTGTGATTAATTTAAGAAATTTTAATACTAAATTTATTTATCATTTTAACCACAAATTATTGGATTGAAATATAAGCGCATTTATCATAATAACAATTTAGTAAAACTTAATTCATATTTTTATATAATATATTTCAATATGAATTGGATTTGAGCACTACTTAATTACTAGAAATGAAATAGCATTGTAAATACTAAAATTTATAACCTTTAGAACCACTTTTTAATTTGTGTGAATAAATATTAACTATTCTGGGTTAACTTCTAAAATTAATAGCTCATAATTTAATTTACTAAGAAGATATCACTAAATTTAGAAAATAAAATTACTCACTTTCTATAAAAGATATGGCTTAACTTTTTTTGATTTTCACAAGCTAAATACTATTTTTAAATGTTAATTCATAGAAAACCATAATGATCTCCCCTAGGTAAATAAATTACCTGGATAGAATTTTTAATCTAGTTAACTTAGGGTATATAGGATTCAATTATACTTTATTATATGATAGTGTATAGTATTATAATTATAATTACACAATATTAGAATATGAAACGAAATAATAATACTTAACTGAGACATCAACTTACTTTTTTATATTTAAAAATTGGTTAGACTTAGTATAGAATTATTTTTACTGTATTTCAAACAAAAATCCATATTATTTTAAAAACATCTTCAAGAGAGTGTAAGTGCCATTAAAATTTATTTAAAATTAAGAAAATAAAGTTTACTTTTTATAAAACTTAATACTCTTATTTTTAAAAAATTATTTAAAAATTCACCACACAGCTTCAAAATTTTACATTTTAAAGTAAGTAACAAAAATGTTATGTTTTACACTGTTGAATTTTTTAATGCATTTGTATTAAAAAATAATAGTATACTTTTTTTTAAGTGTTTAAGTTAATTTAATCATTTTGAAATTTTTAAATCCAAAAAAAAAGTCTATGTATTTTTAAAAACTTTTAAATATATATTATGAAATTTGCGTAAAATATTTGCTTTGGTGAGTTGGACTGGTGTCCAGGACGGGCTTCAAACCCGTGGGTGTCGAAAGGCACAGGAGTTCGATTCTCCCTCCGGAGCGATTTTTTAGAGAGAAATTAATTGAATATATAAGATAGAGAAAAGTTTGAATATCAACAAATAAATGCAAAATGTATTGTTGTCATATAAAGAATTAAAATTTAAATTTCATTAATATATTAAAAAGCAATACAGAAGTTGGTTGATTATAATAGATTGAATGGGTTTTTAGCATTTTTTTTTTGAAAAATGTCAGAGATTGCTAAAATTGAATACATATTTTATTGAAAATTGCAATGAAATTCATTATATATTTGTCTACACCAATATATATATTAAGTTAATTTAAAACTTACCCGTTCGCAGTTTTTAAATTTGTAGAATTGGAATAGAGAAAGGAAGAGAATATTCGTTTTATTTAAAAAAGAAATCTATTAGTAAATAAGCAAAAAAGTCCTATTATAATTTATAGCAAGACACTATTATTTTTAAATATAATATTTAAAAGTGATAAAAAAATATTACCTTTACTAAAATTTGTATTCTTATAACTCTTCGATTCCAAGATACTTTGAAAAAATTAATATCTTCAAGATATGTCTATTGCTGTATCAAACTTTTATCTAAATATTTATAAATTTTTTGAGACAAATAAATTTTTCTCTTTATTATAATTATTGCTGTTTTGTAATTTGAAATTTCAATAATTGTCAAATGTAATCAAATTACAATACAAACTCCAGTGTTTATTTGAAAATTAAAAATCTTTTCACTAAAATGTTTTAGATTTTTGAATAGATATTTGCATATTTTTAATTTTTATTTCTTCAAATATTCATTTGAATACTTATTGCTCTATAATTTTATAATAATGGATTAACATATGTAATTTATAATCAATAAAGGATTTAATTAGAGGAATAGACAGATGGCTTTGATAATATTAATCATTTGTGAATCACATATGAAAGAATGTGTGCTAATAAAGAATATAGTATTCAAAAATACATGTTAACAACTAGTTCTAAATTATTTGATGAGATATTACATGTAACATTAAACACTATTAGCATACCTTTAAACTTTTTGTCTTTTTATTTTTATACCTAAGTAATCTACAGCTGAATATTCAGGTATAAGTCAAGGATTAAAATTACTTATATTAAATTATGATAAATTTGATTACCAAATTTAGAGTAAGCAAACCATTTTATCAATTCTTCAATTTGAATAATTATTAATAATATTTTAACAAATTGGTGCTATTAAAAATCAATAATAAGCTTGCTTTATCATAAAATTGTGCATTTTATATTTTTATTGTGATTTACATTGATATATAAATAAATAATACTATACATTCAATATGTAATGAAGTAATGAAAACTTCCCCCTCTATCTTGGAATGAACAATAAATCATAATAAAAAACTCCATACGAAATTCTAACGAGTAGAGCTCGTTTTAAACATATGTTCAGTTTCCGCATGCAGACTCTATCTTTGTGGGCATTTATTTGTGGAGAATTATTATAATATATCAATGATGTATTATCTATCTATTTTCAAATGTAAATAAGTTCCTTTCATTCAAATTTTTTGTATCTATAAATTTGCATTTGCGTAATAAGCATATAAAATTATTGAATATTTATTCCAATATCAAATTTTATTTTAATTTTTATTCTCTATCTATCTATCAATCAATCATGTTAATACTATAAATGCGTAATTAAAGAAGATCGTTGCGCAAAATTAAACCTGATTAAATACTTTTCTTTCATTACATGCTTTCAAAATGAGCTGTTTTGTGATCAGCTTTTTTAATTCAGCGAAACCCAATACTAGAATTCTAAGCATAAAAATAGTACAAATAACAAGGAATAGATGCATAATCAGCAGCGAATCAAAATAAAAGAAGAAATATCTTTTAATTAATTAAATAAATAAATGCATTCATTGATATTGTTAAATGGATTCTATATAGGTGGATTATTAGATTTAGTAGTAAAAAAAATATATGGATTTTTATTCAATTTTAAAATAGAAAAGAGTGATTAAAAATTAAACAAGCTTCTTAAATTAAAAATCTATAAATGGAACCAAGCAATAGAAAACATTAATGAATGAATTTTTAATCTAATCCATTAAAATGTAATTAATGTGTAAGATTGACTCAATTCTAAAACTTTACATTGCTTTTAGCATAAAAAACTTGGTTTAAACATTTTACAGGATTTCTAAATATAGGAGAATTGACTTTGTTCATAACAATTTAATATGTGAACACATTTACATCTGCTTAATATGACACATTCAATTTTATCAATTTTAAAACCAGAAATTTTGATTTAGCTAAAAGCCCCTATATTTAGTAAAAAAATTTTCTTTGAAAAGTAATTAGTATTTATTTGCTTTTTTAAATTAGTTTTGAGTATTTTTCTTTTCATTTATTCGCTTTCAGTCAAATTTTATTGGTTTTCTCTCAGTAAAAAAATCCTCATCAAAGTTTGAAATTTGGAGATTATTTTTCTAAACTGGTCTTTTCTTGATTTAACTTTTTTAACTGTCATAATTATTGTGTTTCTTAAAGCATTTAGTAAATTTACTAAAATCCTAACAAACGTAAGCTATTATCTCGATTACTTAAATTAAATTTCCTAGATTTTTATTTTTAATCTAGCAAAAGTTACTGCTCTCAAATATTATTAGACAAATATTTTTGACTAAAATTAGATCTGAATCATGTTAAATCACTTTTCCCATCATTTTTTAAAATAAACAATGTGATTTTGTTATAAAAATATCATCTTTCAATTTTTTGAATTTAAAAATTGTTAAGTGAATGATTTTTTGTATTTTAATGTAATTTTATTAATTTCTTTTGGTACAACAAGTAACTTACGTAAGGTGCCGTCTTATATCAAATAAATCGTATTAAAATTTAAAAAGCTTGTTTTGGTCTTTTTGTTAGGGTGGCTTAATTAACTAATTAGAAATTTTACTTCGTAAAGAAGAACTACTCAATATTGTAACTATTAGGAAATATCTAATTTTTCTATGAGTATTAATCTCCATTCAACGTTCGAATATATTTTTTAGAACCTGATTGCCTCTATTTATCCCATTTAAAATCATCTATCGTAAATCATCATATATTCAAAATATCTTCTTTTGTATTTTCTTAATAAGTGAATTTTTTAAAAAATACGAGCTAAATAATGGGAGGAGAATTTATTTAATTTATCCAAAACAATAAAGGTCTGAGAAGTGAAAAATGTGAACTCTTATTTTTTAATAGATATTCAAATAGATAATGAAGTTGGAGACAAAGAAAAAAAGAAAATAGCGAGAATGGTTAAAATCATATGAAATTACGATAAAGAGAAGAATGATATACGAATTTAATATGCAAGTACTTAGTTTGAGAGATACATTACGATAGAAACTATTAAGTGGTGCAATTGAAAAATATAAATACGTCTTTGAATTTCTTATGAAATTTATAAATTAAAATAAATAGCTAATTAGGGGGCAGGGTAAATCTAATAGAAAAAACAAAAGTGAGAGAAAGAAAATATTAAAAACTAATTAAAAGGGAAGGTAAAATTCACCTTAAAACGCCAAACAATTAATCCTCTTCTCTTCTATTTAGGTGACTGATTAGAAAGAAAAAAAAAGTGAGTATTCAAATTTAATTAAAAAGGGGAAAATCATAATAAAATATAATTATTAATTGATCAAATTAAATAAATAATTTCACATTCTTTTTCATTTGGTAACTAACTAACTAACAATTGATCATACAATTGTTAAGAGCACAGTCAAAAATACTTTGAAACTGTTAAATCTCCTTCACAAATACACAACACTGAGCATTTTCTCAGGAATCCTTAAAATCTTCTATCCTCCGTGAACACTAAAGCACACGCGAAAATGATTGAAAACATGAAAAAACTAAAACAACTTGGCACTGGTAAAACTTCTGATGTTTTTCTTTACTAAAATAATCAGGGATAAAAGCTTGCTGTCAAGTAATTTAAATCTGAAATCGGTAAATAAATCCATGACTAAGAAGTCTCCATTCTTTGCGAATTGGACCACCCTAACATTATTTCCATGGTTTCCCACACATCTGATAACATCGCTTTTGAATTTGCCTCCAGCGGTGATATCTTCGATTATGCATTAAGCAAACCTTTCGAGCCTGAATTAGCCCGCTATTATATGATTTAATTAATTAACGTGCTTGATTATATCCACCAATAAAATATATGTCACAGAGATTTAAAACTTGAAAATCTCTTTTTGGATGAAAATTTCTAACTTAAGGTTGGTGATTTTGGTCTTTCAAGCTTCCTCAACTCTGCCTCTTCTTAAAATACCCTCTCTAAATAAGTCAGCTCTGAAGAAATGAGCCTTAATACTTCTTCAACTGAATGTTCCGATGCTAGTTCTGATGAAAGCCACTGGCTTTATGAAAGCGTAGGAACTGAAACTTACATGGCTCCTGAACTCATTAACAAGCAAAGATATCTTGGAGAACAAGTTGATATCTTTGCCTTTGGTGTAATCTTATTCAGTCTTATTCATGGATTCCCACCTTATCAAAGAATAGCCCATATCTCAGATCCTTTCTATAGGTATACATAAATTATTCATTATTTTATTAAGCTTGGTAGGTAGGATATTAGTATATTTCTAAATGTATCTATTTATCTATCTATCTACCTCCTTCAAGCAATTTTAAAACTGCCATTATCAATGAAAATGCTTCAAAATTAAAATCTAAAATATTGAACTCATTTTAAACTTTAAAAAATGACGTTTTATTTGGAGTTATTTTAGCATTTTTAAATACGCTCTTCTTCAAAATAATCTAAATATAGAAAGCCAGTTACTGCTATTAGAATTTTTATGTGCGCTGAATACATTTTTGTAATTTCGCAACATGCTTGAATTAATATTAAAAAGCAAATCTAAATTTAGCTTTGTTTTTCCAGCTGATTGGAAATAAAATTTAATAATTTAAATTTGTTTCTAAAGCAATATTAATTAAATTTATGAAAACTCTTCCATACATTTACTGATTAACAATACAAATAAATTTTCTTTTAAAGGCTGTTTTAAAAAATTATTATTTTTTCTCCTTTATTCATAATGAATTAGCCTATATTAACCATTAGATTATTATAATAACATTAGATTACTTATTGAAAAGAAGTATGCTAAATACTGGACTATTTTGGAAAAAAAGACCCATATCAAGTGCGAAAGTAGCTTCATTGATTTAATGAACAAACTTCTTGAACCTAATCCATAAAAGAGAATAACTCTTGAAGAAATTAAATGTCACCCTTGGATGCACGGTGAAATTTGCTCTCAAGAAGAACTTGTTTAATCCATGAAATTACGTCAAGCTGCTTTTGCTAAAAATTGAACATTTTGAAAATATTGATTTACTTATTCACTCATTCACTCACTCACTTACACTCTTTTCTATTTAGAAATAAAAACTTAATTTATTGTAAATTATTGAATGGCGAACCCTGCCTGTTTAAATTAAATAAATAATAATAATAACAACAACAACTCCTTAAATTATTACTGAAAAAATAATAAAGATTTAATAAATGACTGACTATTGACTTCCTAACTAACTTCCAACATATATAAAACTAATAAAATCACTATCTACTTTCTTCTTCAAGCTATCTTTGGACGATGCTATAAAAATTACTTATAATAAATAATACACATAATCTGATAATTCTAATATGATATAACAACGAAAACTCTTCTTCCTTACATAAATAAAACAAATTAAGTCTTTCAATTGTATATAGAGACTCATCTAAGTTGTTAATTAAGTAGCAGTTAAAGATAGATCAATTAAACTCTAGAAAAAACTTACATAAAACAAATAAATAATTAACAATTTTCAATCAAGTGTGAATAATGGTAGTAATTCATTTTAAAGCAGTAAGTTCTCAATTAAGGTATTGAGTTTTACTATCCTATATTGAAGCTGCATAACCATTTTGCACTTCAACATTTATATGAATAATTTAGTAACAAAAAATGGTAAAGAGTAATCAGGTAATTTATTGGTAAATAATGGTAAAAGGTAAACAAATAAATAAATAAAAGGTAATCTTTACTAACATCAAGCTCTTTCATATATTTTTCTTTATGACCATTGTTTTAATAACAATCAAGCATTCACACATACATACATAATTTTTGAATGATTAAATAAATACTAATTCAAATCAGGTCATATTTCAAAAAGAAAATTTATAATAAAGAAGCTTCTTTTAGTAAAAGGTACGTCATAATAAAGATTATTTTATTAAACCAAATGACGATCTATAATTATTACCGTTCATTTTAGTTAGCACCCCACACAACATCCACTAAGAAAGATGAGAGAATAATAAAGACTGCAATCTAATATAAAAAACAGAAGAATAGTCTTTGATGTTCTCTAGATTCTTTCATTAATTATTCTTTAAAAATTGTATTTATAATTTTTCAATTTCAGCTTTTATCTATCTATCTATCAGCTGCTTGTCATGGTCAATTTTGAATTTAATCTTAATTTTTATAATGAAAAAAAAATTGAGTCAAACATTTTTTTCTTTGTAAAAAAAAAAGTAAAATTGTAATAATGTAATATTGTGTAATGTGTATTATTCAAATTCATTCTTTTTATACGTAATGTCCAACACATTTTTTTATATATTTTATTTTTCAAATGGTAAAAAAAATTTTATATGAATTTATTCATTTCTTCTTTGTTATTTTTTTAAATAAGTTTTCAAATTCTTTCAGTCTTTACAAGTAAATACAGTCAGTACCATCATAATAATACATAACTATTTATCAAATGAATGTTAATTTATTATTTTTTAAATAAACTTTATTTAATTTTTAAATGTCAACTAAAAAACCTGATTATTTTTGTTATTTGATGATTTAAATGTTTGATTTTTCTTTAAAATATATTGAATTAAAATTATATAAGCTGCTAAATAAGTTTTAATTTATTAAACATGATTAATTTAATTAAAAATGTTTATTTTTTTATTTTTTCTAAGAATTAATTTAAAACCAAGTAACTTTCCAAAATAAAGTATAAAAGTCTCTTTAAAATATTTTAAATCCAATATTTGTAATTTTTTATTAATTATTTAGACTGATTACCTAAACATTAAAATTATAATTTTAATTTTAATTTTTAATCAAAATATACCTTAATTAATAATTATTTAAACTTACTATAATCTTTAACAAATTTTAAAAATGAAGTGCTTAGGCTAGTTCTGCTATTTACCAAAATTACTGATGAATTTTTTTATTGATCTTAAAAAATATTTTCTCTATTTATTTTTCCTATTTTTAGTAATTTTAGTTTATTTAAAATCAATCAGCATTAACTAAAAAAAAATTTTTTTAGATTTTAAACTCTGATTAAAAAGAATATTTTTCAAAAATATTTTATACAAATGAGTCTTAAACTCAAAAAAATTGATAAAAAAATATTTAAGCATTATAAATTGAAATAACTATCAAACAATATTTAAAATAAAATACTTAAAATTAAATTAATTAACTTAAGATTAAATAACTTAATATAATACAATTTAGATTAATTTATATTAACATTTAATGGGTAATATCATTTGCATAATTGCATTATCTTTAAATTATGCTATTACAAAAAATATAAATTTACTAATTCTATTATTTATTAGACATAAGACTATTTCAAGTGTTTTTAAATCAATACAAATATTTTGTGACTAATTTAAAAGTAGCAAAAGATCTTACATTTTTGAACTCTTATTAATTAAAATAAATAGCTTAACCATTTTAAGTTCAATAGAGAGATAAAGAGATAGATAGATAGAAAAATGAGGTAAATGATAATATTAATTGATAGATTTTTTATGAAAGTTTTGATAATCAATTAAATTTTTTTGTTTTTTTTAAAACTTTTTAGGAGGATAAATTTGAAGGTATTAATATAAAATTGAAAAATGAATGAATGAATTAAGAATGAATAGAGAGTATCAAACAAATTTGAAAGAAATACAATAATTTATTTATATAGTAAATGAAAGATAAATATAAATTATAAATAAATATAAATGTAAATTTTTTTTTGTTTTATAAAAATGAGTGCTTAGCTAACTAACTAAGCAACTAACGCAGACATACAACAACTAGCTTCACTTAACTTCCTAATTTTAACTATTGGTATTAATTATTTCTTCTTCCTTTTTTTCTTAATTATTTTGATTTTGGTTTATGCTTTCATTCTTTATTGAATTCATGCTTTAATGTTGGGAGTAAGCTTATTTATTTTCATGTTAAGAGTGCTCTTATTTTTAAGGTTATTTGGGTTAGTTTATTTGAGGTAAAGTTGTTGCTTGATTATTTTTCATCTTATTGTTTAAAAATTCAGTTTAACTATCTTATCTTTTATTTTTCATATTCTAACTCCCAAAACCATAGTGGGTTTATGAACCAGCTTTAGATGTTTATGAAAATACATTTGATGTTCCTTGTCTTGATGTATTTTATTTTTTTGTTGCTGTTGTTGTTGTAGGATAGTAGTTTTCCTAAGATGTATTATATGCTGTATTTAATTAGGATAGCTTCAAATTGGATGGTTTTTTTCTATTGATTTCTTTATGTTTTATATCAGCTATTGATTGCTAAGCAGATTAAAAAACTTATGTAAATTGTTTGCAAAGCTCATGTTCAGGCCCTAAATTTGTCTTAGCAAAATTGACTGCTTTTTCATAAGTCTATAAAGATTCTTCGTATCTTTTTAAGAATTCAAACTCTACACCCATATTATGATATGCAATAGATAACTTAGTAAATAAATCATCGCTTAATTCTTATTTGCTTTCTTAACCTTCTTAACTTTAATTATTTGCTTATACTTTTTTAAGCAGGTAACTATTATATTCGTCTTAAAGTAACACAATTGCAATTAAAATGTGTTCTAGAGCTTCATTGTGTCTATCCACATTTGAGAGTAGAGCACATAGATTTAAATGTGTATCTGCAAGTAGAACAGGATTACCTTATTTTAACTAAATTTCTTGAGCTTTTTGCAAATATATTATACCTGCCTTGATTTTATTTGTTTTTTTACAGTATTATGCCATATTATTATAAGTAATTGCTTTATAAAGGGCAGATCCTTGACATAAAATTTCTGCTTTCTTTAAAAAATCATAGCAAGAGTCGTTTTTATCTTTATTTAGACAAATCATGGCAATAATATTACAAATTTCACACAACTTTTCACTCGTTTTTTAATACTACTCGCTGTCTTCTCCGTAAACTTCCCTTTTCATGTTTAATACCTCTTCCAAAACATTAAGAGTATCTCCTAATTTCTACTACTACTGCAGCTCATCAGCCTTTTTTTCTAACTCTTTAATTCTTTCTTTTTCTTAGTTCATATTATTATTACTCATGTATTAGCGTTATATTTAAATTGATTTATTTAATTAATATAAACTTATTACTGCTTGCTATCTTTCTTCTTTTTAATAGTTCTAAATAGTATCTAATAAATAATTATAATAATTATTAATTATTAATTATTAATTCATTAATTTTTGTTTAGTTTTAGTGAATGCTGTCTTTTAGATTCAGTCAATACTCATAAAATTATAAAAAAGTTGTATATTTTTAAACGACTCTTAGTAAATAAAATACTGTCTGTCTTTCTTTGCTCTTTCAAATAATGAAATCTTAATTATAATATTTAAAATAAACAAGCTCAATAAATTTTGTATCTTAAATTTCTTTAATGCTACCAAAATTATTTAAATTTAATAATCTGAAAACTTAATAATTTTCTAAAATAATAAAAAATTATATTAGAAAAACAAAAAATTTTAATTTTTATTTAAAAAAAAAATTTTTTTAATTATATATGCAATTTGTATTTCATAAATCAGTTAATTAATTGTAGTTTGCTTTTAAAATTTTAATTTAATTGATATAAATGGCTTATGAATTAAATTAAAATAAATAAATGCATCTTCACAAGCCAGATTCATTAATTCATTTTTATTTTTTAAATAAAATGATTTTTTTACCAAAATTTTAAAAACAATAAAAGAAAAACAAATTAGAATTTTTTTATTTTATTTACATTCTGAATTTATTTATTGATATAAAGTACATTAATTATTTTTATAAAATTCAATTATTTTTCTAAATAATTTTGTCAAATAAAATTTGTTTGTTAAAATCATAAAAAAATCTGTATAATCTATCTTAAATAATAGAAATATATGAAATAATAATTTTAATAAAATATATAATATCATTTGATAATGAATATAAGTAATAAATCATTAAAAAAATTTTTTTTGGTAGAAATTATTTATTTTTTTACATTTTTTGCTTTTATCATTTAAATTTTAATTAATTTTTGCATATTCTGTTGATTTTTTTTATTTTTTTGTTTGGTTTACTTTGTTTTTAAGTATTTAATAAGTTTCTTTGCTTTATTTTATTTTTTTATTTTTTATTTCAAATCTATTTTTTTTATATTTGCTTTTTATTCTTTTTAATTTTTCTTCTTCTTTTTTTTCATTCTCTTGACTGACATATCTCAACTCTTTCTTACATAAGACTTAGCTTTTTAAAATTTCTCTTTTTTCTTTTTATAATGATTTTTAATTTTATACATATAGTGAGTCTCTTCAATTCGATTTTTCCTAAATATTTTTTTTTAAGGGAATAAGATTGAATGACTTTTAATTAAGTCGGACTGATCATTAATTGATCGCAGCAATCAAACATTGCAATCCGTGGGCGAGCACCACTATGAGATATGACGGTCTCATGTAAAAGGTTTTAAACTAGATTTTACTGCTATCCAATATGATTTTTTTGTATTGAATTTCATGTAAGTTTACAGCAGATAAGCAGCTTTTGTTAGGAATTGATGATGATTTAGGATTAAGCACAATGAACTGAGTTTCGCAGCAGTTCATTTTTGGATTAAAAACTTTTCCCTAGGCATTCTAAGTACCGTTAGGTACCCCTTTAAGTATGCGATTTTATTTGGAAAGAATGCCTTGATAGGTAAATGCTTAATATATCTGGATTAAAAAACTTTCATCAATACTTGTTTCTTAACAACTTAAAGAAATCTAGTCTCGCTATCTTTTTAATTAAAAATGTTTATGAAATTTTCATAAATTAAAAAAATTTAAAATCAAAAATATTCACAACAGATAGAAAACGAAATCAAAAAAATATTACAATCTATTTATTTTAATTGATATCTTAAAATATTCCTTCTTCTTAGCATCAGTAAAAAATCTGACCTAAAAAGCAAAAGCTTAGAAAACAAATAAATTCTATTCTAAAATAAAAAAAATATTTTTTTTTAAATTGATAAAAATAAAATAGTTTACTTGATTATAATAAAAAGTTATTTTAAAATATAAATTTAATGAAAATAATAATTTTAATAAATGCTTAAATATATGTAAGTTAGAATTTAAAAAATAAAAATATTATAAAGATTAATAATCAATAAGTGTTTATTAGGTTGTTTTTCTTTATTTAAAATTAACAATGATAATTAATTTTACTATCTTTTACTTAAATAAATTCATAAAAAATGCTTGATTTTAATTAATTTATTTATAACTTTTTTTTATTATTTCTTTCTTAACTAATTTATGTAAATAAATTTATTCATAAATTTTAACGGATTCTAAGATTGAAAAATAAATTAATAATTTGCGCAAAACAAATAAACTCTATCTTTATAAAAAAATATACAAACAATTTTAATAAGCATAATTCACAAAGAAAACAAAAAAATAAAATGAGTAAAATTAAGATTCATTCTCTCTAAAAGTTTTTAATAAAATTAATAAATGACTGAAGAGAAATATGGAATGTTGGCAAATATTCTTTGAATCTCTTAGGGCTATCTAATAATGCCACTTAGTTTTTATTTCAGGACAAGAATAATTTAAAGATAGCTGAAGATCTTAATATCAATTAATGATTTAGTCTCAACTATCATTGATGATATAAGATTTTTAAAGAATAAGAGAGTGTATCTTAAAAATTTAACTCATTTATAATAAAATTAGGATTATCTAAAATTTAACTTCACAAATCAAAAAACTTTTATCTTTGAAAAAAAGCAGTTACTAATCATAACTCTTTATTAGATTTATTTCTATTATTATTATTAATATTATTATTTTAATGGGATTTAATTCTTTCATCTAGGCATAATTAGTTATACTTCTTAACAAATTCGCTATAATAGCTTTTAAAATATTCTTCAAATTGTCTTTATTAATAAAATAAAAATTAGCTATAAATAAATAAATAATCAATCATACTTTTAAAATAAAAAAATTTCTACCAAAAAAAGCTTCATATTAAAAATAAAATATATATTTAAAGAACAAAGAATAACAATATAAATTTATATAGAGAATAAAAAATATTCATAAAATATAATAAGAAAAAATATATTGAGTTAATAAATAAAAAAAATTTTTTATTTCTATAAAAATGATAACAATAATTCAATCAAATAAAATAAATAATAAATACTTGTTTGTTAAAGAATATTTGAGCTTAGGTCTGGTTGGTGCTTCAGACATATTTGCAGCAATCTGAGATACTATTGAACCAAAAGGCAAGTGGTCTTTAATAAATAACTCTTTATCCCCTTTTTGTATTTATATTTTAATGGTATAAATTAATAAAATTTATCTTACTTGTCATAGGTCTTTTCATTCTTAGTCTTTAAATTCTTTGTGTGTACTACACTTCCTCTCTCTTTTGTAATTTACTTAATTGCTCTTTATTAGTTTTAATCATTAACTCAGTTCTTTACAAATTAACGATCTTTTTATTCTACAGCACAAACTACTCTAGATTTGCTTTATACACTTTAAGTTTATCATAGAATTCTTTCGTTTACTTTTTTATGTGTTATTCTATTAAATTTATTTTTTAAATATATATTAAAATTTTTTCTTTATTAATTGAAATATTTTATATTTAAAAATATTTGAATCAAGCTCTTAACTCTTATAAAAATATTTGAATCAAACTCTAAACACTTAAAAAAATATTTGAGTCAAACTCTAAAAAACATTTTTATCTTATTAAATTAAAAATTATTTTTAATAAATAATTTTAAAAATAAATGTTTATAAAAAATTAAAAATAAGTTAAGATTTTTTATTTAAAATAAGTTAAAATTTACTAATAAGTTTGATTTTAAGGTCTAATTCCAATTTAACTGCTTTTTAGTTAATCCTCTAATGTATTTCTTCGCTGCCATATTTTATTTTAAAGTTAGGAGGCAATATAAAAAGATCCCCTATAGTGAAAACAAATTATTTTTAAATGATAAAGTTTTTGAATAAATAATAATAAGTACTGTGAACTGTAAAAGGAAGAAGTATTTCGCTCTGAGATTAAACTAAACTTTAAGCAAACTGCTAAGTAAATGATGTATTCGATCTATTTCCTTTTAGAATATGCTTTTGAGTCTAAGTATTTGTTTAATCATTTGCACTTTTTAACTAATCAGGATCTATATACATTTAATTACTGTAATCATTAGTGATGGACATAATATTAGGTATTATTTTCCTTTTTATAATAAAAAATTAATAAACTTGAATATATTTCTAAAAATTATTTACAAATTATTTTGAGTAAATTATTTTGCTTCATTAATTCCTATATTTAAAAGCTTTTAAATAGACTTATTTTATTTAAATTATTTGAAGTCAAAAGAGCTTGCTGGCAAAATAGAAGATCGTTAAGCATTTAATTGTGTTTCCTCTGCACTAATCTTGCTTACTTTTGATTATATTTACAAAATGAATAAAAATATATGCACAAATATATTTTTACCTTCAAATGATTACTGTCCACCAAATTTAAATTGTGACTTGATCATCCTGGTAATTTCGTTATCTTATAATTTAAAGGTAGAAGTCATATAGTGATCCCATTTATCAGAGTAAATTCTAATTTAAGATAGTTGCTAATGTTGACACCACAAAATAAATTTTTAAATGCTATTTATAAAAATTAGTAAGTTAAAATTGGCAATTAGTTTTAATTAAATTAAAGATTTTTTTAATTTAGATTTTTTTTTTGAATTTAAGGTTTTTGTTTTAAAATAAGTTTGAATTAACTTTTTTATTTGATTTAACATGAAAGCGATCCTTAGTTTTGTGATTTTCTATATTTTTTATACTAGAAAATGCCTACAAATTATTGAGCAAGCTTCTCTCTTTTTTTTACTATTTCTTTTGGTGACAAATCTTAAGATGACTCTTTAAAAAAACAATTTAACTTTATAGCTCATTTTTGCAATAGTTTTTTTATTCAAGATGTAATTTCTAAAGTACCTCTGAATTTATGTTGCACATAAATTTTTTCTAAACATATTTTTTTTCCTTTCTAATGCATGATATTTTAAATCACCAAACAACTTTAAAATTTATTCTGCTGTTAATAAAGTAATTAAATTTTTCTTTTTTGTCTGTAAATACTTATTCAGTTCTTATTTTTATTAAAGAATTTCTATAAAACTTTTTCTTCTTTTATCTAATTATTCTTAGTATTTGCTTATCTTTTGTCTCAATAAATCTTCGCTTGTTAGTATTGCTTTCAAAGTTTTTTCTTTAAGGACTAGAGAGTTTTCTTATAGTTTTTATAGCTTTTGCTCTTTTGACAATATGGGTTTCTTTTTTAAGCTCATTTCATGCAATATTTTATCTATATCTTTGTGAATTTTTATAGTTTTTTCTCCGTTTTTTTAAATTTATTTAATATTTTTCAGCTATGAGCAATAATCAGGGAATTTTATCATACACTCTTTTTTAAAATATTAATTTTGCTTATAAATTTCATATTAAAATTGATCTTGATCTACTTCTGTTTATTCTTGCTTCGTTATTGATCTTAATTTGGTTATTTATTCAAAAGAAAATTTTTTCTGAGAATCTTTAGCGTTCCTTGTAGTTTAGGAATAAAATTTGTTGTTCTGAGTTTTATTTTAATTAGAATTAATAGGATCGCTCAATAGATATATCATGTGCTCTTGCTCTTAATTTTTTTCTATTATATCTAAATACTCTTTCTTTAATAAGATCTAACGCAATTTTTCTTTGTCATTAGAACATAACTCTGCTTCTTTTTATAACTATTGAGATAGCTCAGAATCTTCAACATATTATTAGCTAATTTTCTAAAATAACTTTTTAAATTTTCTTTAAGATTCAATTGAAATCTAATTTTCCTAAAGCTTTTTAAAAGAAAGATATTCTAAAGAATTTTTATTTTGTTAACTAAGTATAGACGAAATTGTATCACATTTATTTAAAGGAAAGTAATTTGGATCTTTTTATTCTTTTTAGATTATTAAATCTGAAATCTTATCAAAGTTATACGAAGCAAGGAATCCCTAATCTTCATCTATCTCATTTATTTGAATTTCCTGACTGATGTTTGATATCAAGTTCTTTTTATATTACCTACTCTAATTTTAAAGTTCTTCTTTTAGTTTTTGTTAGTGTTAAATCTCTTTAAACTTTTTAATTAACTTTTCTCTTTCTTAATCTGTTTTCCATTAACACCTGCTCAAATATTCTAAAACTTCTGATTATTCTTATTCTTCTTTTTTTTCAGCAAAGCTTCTCGTTGAGTAGAATGATGATATTCTATTTTTATTAATTTAATACATTTACTTAATTTAAGATTTATTTTGCTAGTTAAGATTTTGATTATTAATTTTTTCTAAAACTTATTCATTTTATTTTTATTCACTTTAATTTTACTCATAAAACTATTTCATGGTTTATTCAAAAGACTTGTTTATTGATCTTTAGGAATTAGGCAAGTTATTTTCTTCAGTTTTTTTTATAACGAATTACTCTAACTATCCTGTGTCATTCAAATTGAAAGAAGTTTTTCTAGCAGTTGATATGTCTTAATCTTTCGAATCAATTGAGAATTAAAGAACATTCTTCTAGATAGTTTTATGTTTACTATAGTCTTTTAAATCTTGACTTTTCATAGTTATTGATTGTTATGTATATTTTTCACCAATGTCATTTTAGGTTCCGATTTTAGTTTAATTTTATGATTATTTTTATGTTGTCTCAACAGTTTTAGTTTCCTCTATTTATTGCATCATCAAGCCAAATTTAGTTTTCTTATCTGTGCTGAAATAATCTTTTTAAGGTTATTATTTCATATCATGAGCTGATTTATTAATTTACAGATCAATTAATTTTTTGTGTCTTGATGTTAAGCTATGAATATTCTAACTAGAATAAATGTTGTTTTTATCAAGATTAATTTTATTTTTGCTTCCAAAATAATAATGATTTTTTTAGTTGTTTGACTTATTGCTTACAGTTTAAGTATTTTAATTGATATCTATACGATTCTATATTGATGTTGAAGATGCTACATCTTATTATGGTTATAAGGAATATAAAGAAAAATTAGCCTCTTGTTAAGAGGCTTGCTAACTTTCATAATTTTTTATTGCATTTTAAAAATTTAAGTTGCTTGTTTAGTTGATAGGTTCATTTAATTTATTAATAGAAGCTATATAATTTTATGAATCACTATTAGCTTAAAATCCTTTTGGTGATTTATTTGATATTTATATTTATTCGTCTTAAAAATTAAACTTTTATTAACTAGAATTATATTTTGCCAACTATGATTTAGGAGTTTCTGGATTTTATTAAATTTTCGGACTAAAAACACTAGATCTATTTCTTGAGCTCTAGGAGCCTTTCCTTTCTAAACTATTATATATAGTAGCTTTTCTTTTAGTGTACTACCTAATTAAATCTATTTAACCTTTTAATTCTGATTAAACAAACTTTATGTATCTTTAATAGTATTTTGATTCAGTAAGTTTAAATTATTTTTTTGAAGCACAAACAACTGTTGTAAAGTTAAGTCCACAGTCAACATCTAGGATAAAGTAATTTAGAAATTATTCAACCAATTTAGGTTCTTAAACATCAAAAATATACTATTTTATATAAAAGAAATATTTTTAATATTTCAAGAATAATTTCATGTAAAATTTTTATTTATTTAAAAATAATAATTAATTTGTTAATTCTTCTAATTAAAATAGCACTTAATAATAAAAATACTTATTTGACATAAATAATTTTTCCAAATGCTTATAATAAAATTTAACTATGTCGTTGTTGTTTTAGTTTGTTTTTAAATTATTTGAATTAATTAAAAATTTTTACAAATTCATCTTGTTTTAAAGTTTTTCTTAGATCAGGATGACCTAAACATTCTTAAGAATTATCTCCCCAAGTAAAGAGTCGTCCAAACTTATCTATAGCTGCACAATGAGAGTATTTTCCAGAAATCTTAATGAAATTAACATCTTAATTTTAAATCTTGATATCAAATAAAATGGGCCTATATTCTTCTGAATTTTATGATTTTGGCTTTTTTCCAGTTTAGTCTACAAATTTATCAGAAGCATTTCCTATACCCCAAGTATATAAGTATCCATCTCTAGTCAAAGCAACTGTCTCTTTAAATGTGCAACAAACTTAAATAATAAATTCTTCTTTTAATTGTTCAACCTATTTAAAATTCTGTTCATAAATTATTAGATTATAATTTATTTTACTTTCTTTGGTGTTTTCTGTATTTCTTGTCTCATCAATGCCTATTAATAAGGATGACCTAATTTTCCATCTAAAAAGAGTTTAAAAACTAATGAAAATATTAAAATAAAATACATTGAGGATCTCCCCAAGTATAAACCTAGCCTTAATTATCCCAAGCAGCACAGTGATCTTTGCTACAAGATATACCTTCAACTTTTATAGTCTTTTTAATTCATAAATTATTAGAAAAAAACAAAAATTTTTATTACATTAAAAAATGGCATTATCTAAGGTTCAATTATCTCCTTTTCCTTCTAGCCTATTCCCATTTTATTATTTTAATTCAGACCAAAACAAACTATGTGCTTATTGTCTAAAACTCCACAAAACGAAAAATTCGTACCTGCTGAAACTAAAGATACTTTAGGGTAATCATATAATAAATCATTTAGCAATTATTTTTGTTGGGATGATATTAATGCTGATTAAAATGACATTTAAGAAAATATTCTTGATTATCTTTTTTTATGAGCAAGTTTAGCTTTTATTAACACTTCATCAGTTATGCTTAATGGAAATAGTTATTCTTCTTGATTTTATTTAACACTAATTCCACATTTGTATTAAGAGATATTTCCCCAACAGTATAATTTGCCATTTTCTAATAAAAAAAATTTTTTTTAATATGATGTATTTCATTAAAATTTACCATCAACTGCAAGTACATTCTTCTATCCACAACTCACATCTTAGAAATTAACTTTTGATTTTAGTTAATTTACAGCTTTTAACTTTAATTAAATTCTTATTTTTTCGTCTATTATTGAATATTAAAAAAACCATTTAAACTTTTTTGTGTTAGATGAATAGAAATGGTTAATAATAAATATTTTTTACTTATTCCTAATTATCCATCAATTCCAGCTCCAAAACTCCATGCCTATCCATTTTCTTATTCAATAAATTACAATAAATTATATAAATTTAAATATATCCTGTATTTTTATATTATTTAAAAATAGTAAATTAATTACTATCTAAAACAACTGCAAAGTCTTATCCGCAATTAACATTTCTAAATTATTATTTTTTCCTTATGGATTTATTCTTAGCTCTTTTCTCCTCACCTTCATCTGACATAGAAGGCTAATAAGAGAAGTTCCTTTTTATTTTTTCTTTTTATTTGTCCTCATTTACTTAATTTTCATCAGGTTAAATGTGATAAAATATCCTAAAAGTTAATACAATTATTAAGCAAGCAACAAACAAAATTTATTTAAAAAAATATATTTAAATCTTCTCTAAAATACCTGTTTTGAGATTTTATTTTCTACTCTAAGCACTCTTGTTGTGGTAAAGTTCCTATATAAAATACTAAAAATAGAATTAAATTAATTTTTTAAAATGTCTTAATTCTACTTGTAGTCATATTTGTATCCTCTTAATTAAAATTAATAAATTTGAATAAATAATCAAGTAAATATTTCTTTCAAATTAAAATTTACAGTTTTTTAATTCTAAAAATTTTAGAGAAGGAATCAAAATTCAAGATTTAACATTCTTAACAACTCTATACTAGATTTTAAACTTTTTATCTAATATCTCTTACTTAATTTAAATTAAAAACAACAAAATTTTTAATTAACTTTTAACAAAAAATAAAAATCGAAACAAAATCCAATAAGGTTACCTTTAAAAAGGGTACGTTTTTATGTAAAAATAGAATTTATTTAAAGGTGTATGATTTAAATTAATTACTGCCTAGCAAATAACCTTTTTTTTTGGACTGACATATAAATTATTACTTATTTACTGTTCTGCATAAACAAAAACTTATTCTATAGAATCATAAATAAAAGTATTATTCTTGTTAAATAGTAATTCAAATTGCATTTACTTAAAAATATTTTCTAACTGTTATTATTCATTTTTTATTCTTTTTAATTTTTAAAATTTAATTAAAAATATTTTTTGATTTAATATTTAGGCATGCAATGTAAATTAAGAAAGAGAAAGGAATATTTTCAGTAATTAAAATAAAAATGAGCTTGTTTCAACCTCTGATTTAAATATAAAAAAATAAAAGTTTAATCAAATATTTTTTTTTTTATAATCAAGATTGAAAAATCTGACTCAGTTATTTTTTTCAAGTTTCATTAGAAATTTAATTAGGCATCAATTATTTATAATATAAAAATAAGCAAATTGAAGAAATTTGAAGAAAAAAAAAAGTAAATTTCAAAAAATGTTTTTTTTAACTTTTGAAAAATTTATTGTTCATTTAACAAGAGAAGCACAGATTATTTAATATGATAAATTACCAACAAAATTATAAAAAAGAAATCTAAAAATATTTAAAATGTTATTTTTTCAAATACAAATAAAAATTTCTAGGTATAAATGGATAGGTTTTTATTATCCAAATAAAAATTTATTTATTTAGCCATATAAATTGTAAGGTAAAAATTCTAACTTGTTTGGTTACTTTAGGATAAATATTATTATAGGTTTTAATTGTAAATAAATTTTTTATGAAAAATGTATTGATTACCAATTAGATATCCCTATATATAATCGCTTTAATAAATACTCACTATTAATAAATAAAAACTAAGGAGGAATAGTTATTATAATAATAATAATTAATAATTTAAGAAGAAAAAATAAATTTATTAATTAAGTTTCATGAAAAATACTTATTTATTGGAAAAGCCATCTCAGAAATAATTTGATTTCTAATAATTACCCATCTAAATTCAAGAAAAATTATATTAGAATGAATTAAAACTGAAATCTTAGAATTATGATGAGATAAAAATAGCTTTTTTACACCAAGAAAGTTTTGATTCAGTGAGTTATTGTCACAATTAAAGTTATTTCTAAAGTAGAGAAAATTTTGCTGAACTAGAAAAAGAGGTTCTAAGAATTAGCCCAATTGAATTATGCTAAGGTTTATTTAAAATTTATTTGAAAGAAGAAATATTAAATTGCTAAAAAGAAGATGAAGATAAACTAAATTAAAATAAAATAATGAATGAATGAATGAATGAATAATATATAGCTAAATCTCTCTTTAAAATAAATTAATAAAATTGAAAATACATTTTATTAAATATTAATTATTGCTTGAATTTTTAATTCAATAATAGTTTTTTTAATCAATTATAAAGATATTTCATAACATCTCTAGCATAATTAGTATGAGCTAGACCTGCATCCGCAAGTGCAGAACTAAGTCTATATCTCATATCTTTCATTAGCTGATTAACACTATAACCATGGACTTTAGTGAGCTCAACTTTATCAGCTTTATCTAATTAGGTTTACTGTTTAATAACCAGTGCTTTGGTTGGTTTCTTAAGTCTGTTAAAATCTGCCTCAACTTTTGGACGAAATTAATAATTTTCAATAGCCTACTCTATTCTCTCTTCATTTAACTATTTTTATTTCTCTATAAGCTCCTTTTAGTATGCTTTCATTTATATTTTTTCAAGTTCATAATCCTATCTAACTTGTACTTTATCTTTATTTTTAAGAACTATCTCTTTTTACTCTTAAAGTTACTATTTACGTTTTTCTTCTTCAATATATCTTTATTTCTCTTCCTTTATTTTCTTCTAATTTTCATATTCCAACTTTTTTTATCATCACAAAAATAAATAAATAAAAACCATCGAAAATAATTTACAGCTTTTTGTTTAGATTCCTTGCATCTCTAATCATAAATTTCTTTCTTCTTCTTTTCTTCTAACTACCTTTCTTCTTCTAGCTATTTTTATATTTCTAACTTTTACTGCTTTTTATGATTAAAAAGCATTCTCTTTTACTCTAACTCTTCTTAAATTCTTGCTTATTCAATTTGAGTTTACAGTTTTTCTGCATTTCTTCTATTTTCTTCAATTTTTTGTGCTAGCATGTCTTAAATTTGTTATTCTGCCTTTCTCTTAAGTTCTCTCCTTTCTGAGAGGTAATTTCTGTATAAGGAATCTAGCTTCTATTGCTTATACTCACTATTTTATAAAATACTATCCATAACTTCTAACACCAATTTTTTAACTTTTGGAAAGTGCAACGATAGTCTTTCCATGTAAAAATCTCTTTCCTTGCCTTTCATATTATAACACTTATATATATGCTTAAACTCTTCTAAATTTTCATTCAACCTAAAAAACTCTGGTGGTTCTGTTCTCCCTTTATTTTCATACTCTTCTTCAAGTTTTTAAATTTCTAAATCATATCTTTCATTCATTAACCTAAGAGCTATTTATTAAAAATTAAACATATATATTTATATATTAAAAATAGTATTCCAAGCTTATTTTACCTTTTTTATATTAAACAAGCAATTTTTTTTCTTCAATAACTACTTCACCATCTCCTTAAAAAACTTTCAAATAATTGATAATTTCGTCTTCATCCTACTCACTATTATCATTTTCTAAGAGCAATTACAATTTCGGTTTAGACGTGCTTGTAACAGATAATGCATCATCATTTTATAATAAAAATTCTTATTGTTTATCTCCAACAATATCATCTAAAATTGCTTCTTAATCTAATCTATAATTTTCCATTTGCATTTATTTATTTGTTTTTAATATTTCATAATCCTAATTAACAATTTCTTTACTTTAAAGTAAAAACTTCTTTATATCTTAGTAAAGTTCATGTAGAGTTTTGAAATCTATTTATTTATTTGATTTTATTTTTTACACAATATCTCTAAAATTTCTCACTTAATACCAAATATTTAGCTACAAATTATCACGCTGAGAGATTAACTTTTCATTTAAGCTAAAAAAGTTTTTATTATGATCCTCTTTCTCTTCTTCAAACTATTCCATTAGCTTCAAAGGCCCTATTAATTTATCTATTTATATGCAAGTGTAACCAATGTCATTTGTTAGCGATTTTTCTAATTTATTCATCTTAAGCATATCTTTTTACCATTCTAGCTTATGAGCAGCAAGTTAATTTTTTTTTTTTATTTCCTAAGATGCTTTCTTAAATTTTGTAAGTTTTTCTAAGAATTGCAAAGAATCTTGCTCTTATTCTTTGAAAGAAGCTTTTATGCTTTTCATATGAAACAAATACAATTATTAATTAATATTAATAATAAGTATTGAATTTGTGTTTTAGCATAATTTGCAAAAACCAGATCTCTAAAACAATCAATTATATTTTAAAAATTTGATATTTAAAAATTTTTTTAATTAATCAGTAAATACTAATTGAAACAAACACAAACTGAAAATTATTTTTTTATTTTTAAAAAAATTAAATTATCTTTAATTTAACACTAATAAAATAAATAAATAAATAAATAAGTACAATAATTTAATTTATGCCTTATTCTAAAATCTTATTGGTTTTGAATTTTTTGAAATTTGTCAACAAAATAAGCATATTTATTTTCAGTATAAAAAAAAATTTAATATTATATAATTATTTTAATTTATTTTAGATAATATGTATTATTTGATTGCATATTTTGTTATAAGTTAATAATTTACATTTTTTTTTTTTAATTTTTTTTAATTTATTTTTTTTTTTTCAGTTGAAATATTAATAAAACCAATAAAACAAGATGATTTTTTTCTTATTTTTTTGGTATGAATTGGATTTGTTTCATTCGTTACATTATAAAATAACATCTATATACTAATTAGGCTTTTTTTGGTCTGTTAAAAATTATGGAGGAATAACTTAAGCTCTTAGATAATCAATAGATTAACTATAGTTACCACTCTAAAGAAATTAAAAATGAGTTTTAGCTTTAGTATTATTTTCATCTTACTAATAACTTAGCTAACTTCTATTATTTATATCTCTGTAATTAATATTATTATTTATTTTGTTAATAGAAATAACATGAGTTGATTTACACTTTTTTTAAAAAATACTTTAGTCATGAAAATCCAAACAATTTTAATTTTATTAAGTTTTATTAAAATCAAAATATTGTTATTTTTGTAAAGAAAGTATATCTATAGATTTCTTTTAAGGTAAAAAGTTACTCTCTTAAAATTATTTCTCTTAGATTATTTCATTTTAGTTTTATATTTGTTATAATTTACTATTTAAAGATATTTGTCGTGGTTTAGATTCTTCATCATTTACTTTATCATCACGAATAAAAATATTATCATTCTATTGTTATTTATTAGCCTATTAATAGCCAAATAATTCTAACATTTTTAACCTCTCTGCACTATTTAAATCACCAGCTATATCATTCTGAGAGTTTTCTCTGAAAGCAGCTGGTGTTATTTACTTTGATCTTAGATAATTAATCCATTAAGAAACCTAATCACTGTCAATGTTTTATGGTTGTTGTTATTATTGATAAAAATTATCATTTTATTAATAAGAGGTATTTTAATTTGCTACAGGACCATTATGCTGGTTATGTAAATTAGAGTATGTTTCTTATCTGTGATAAACTGAATTATCAAAATTATTTTATTATGAAACCTATATCTGCTAAGGCAGATTTTCCCCAATGAGGTTTAACTAATTTTATATATTATTTTCAGTTTAATTTTTATCATCTTAATTTTAATTTTCTTCGTTCAACTAATTTTTATCATAATTAAATATCTACCACTTGACCACATGCTCAAATAAGCAATTTTCTTTGAAGGACTGAATCATACCAATAAAGAAACCTGAAGCAAAAACAAATATAATAAATAAAGCAACAAATTTTAGAGTTTCATCATAGTTGATAATAGCTTGATTTGAAGAAGCTATTGTCAAAGCTATGTCTATAATAAATAAAATTAACATCCCAAATGAAATAACAAAAAATGTAGTGAATATAATAGTAATTATTGCCCCAGTTTGATTTTATTTCAATGAATATCTCAAGTTTAACTTCTTTTTCTATTCGCATTTTATCTGATATTTATAATTGCATATTTCACACTTAGCTAAAAAAATATTTTAACCCCTAGAAACAATCCAAGTTTTTAAGCATTGCTCATGAATATATTAGCATGATCCTGAACAAAGACATGGATAAATAAGTTCTCCTTTTTCTTACACAACAGATTCTCCTTCAAAGCACACTTTACAGATTCTTTCGATAATTTTATTTTAAGAAGCATCATTTTAATGTTAGCTATTTAATTGTTATTCTTGGGCTTATTTCCTCTATTCAAGAATATTTATCACCTCAGAGGGATCATTATAATATATCTTAAATCCATTAAATGAAATTTCATTTTAATTGTTTTACTAAATCTAAGATATTTAATTTGTTTCATCTAAATTTCCTAATTGCTAAGCATAGTGTATCATACTATTAGGATTTTACTAAATTTCAATTTGTTCCTTAGTTTCTTCATTTTCATCGATTTCAATGTTATTCATTACCTGATTCTCAATTTACACTTGATAAAATTAATTATTAAAAAATAATCAATATTACATATTTAAATTATTGATCTAAATAATTAATTAATAATAATCAATCAAATATTTTTAATAAGTAAATTTTGCTTAAATTAATATTTATCCATTACAGAATAATATTTCCGTTAATATTTAAAAGCAGCTATTACTAGCTTATCAAACATATTTTTATACCACTGCTGCTAAAACTTTAAATAAAAGTTTAAGAAGAAAAGAAATTCATTAAAAATTAAACTTATTAAAACTTTTCATCAATTAATCAAATTAAAATAATATTTTTTCTGGGGTTGGGGTTGGGGTTGGGGTTGGGGTTGGGGTTGGGGTTGGGGTTGGGGTTGGGGTTGGGGTTGGGGTTGGGGTTGGGGTTGGGGTTGGGGTTGGGGTTGGGGTTGGGGTTGGGGTTGGGGTTGGGGTTGGGGTTGGGGTTGGGGTTGGGGTTGGGGTTGGGGTTGGGGTTGGGGTTGGGGTTGGGGTTGGGGTTGGGGTTGGGGTTGGGGTTGGGGTTGGGGTTGGGGTTGGGGTTGGG